GGAATTCGATCGGCGTAATTTGTAGGGTTTCGGAATCCGAGCTTTTTGAAGCGAGCGAGAGAGAGCCAGAGAGAGAGAGAGAGAGAGAGAGAGAGAGAGGGTGAGGGAGGGAGAGAGCTATCAAGAGAGTGGTCAGAGATACAGAGTAAACAAGTAAGAAGCATCATTTGGGGAGTATGACCTTGTCTTTTCCGTCTTTCTCCTTCGCCCTCTCTCTCTCTCTCTCTCTCTCTCTCTCTCTCTCTCTCTCTCTCTCTCTCTCTCTGGTTCTCACTGTCTCTCTCCCTTTCTCAATTCCTCTGCAAAAGAAATGGCGCTAAAAATTGAGAAAAACCCTCATCCTCCCCCACACGACACAGACACACGACAATTGAGCCCCCAACTACTCATATTTGACACCCAGGGGAGCGGTCGATTAATCTCACAAGGGAAGTGCGCGACCGGCCCACGAGAAATCGACACGAGACATAGTGGATCTGATAGAATCGGACACGGGGATTCCGAATCTGTAATCAGAATTTGCTAAATAAAACGGAGAAAAAAGTTATGAAGCTTCAAAGTTGGAAAAATCGCCCAAAATCGGACTTTTATGGGCCTGTAAAGGCCCAGGGAATGAAAATTTGCCACAATCCATTAGTGCATCTTGTTCAGCAGAAAAAGCGCTTTCGAATCAGCTATCTTACTTCAAGTTTACGATGATTTCGCGAAAATCTCTTCTATGAACGGACAGGCCATACCCTTGCCCGTGAATCCAAAAAAAACTTTTTTCAGTGAATTGTTTGCAAATGCTACGTATTACAACTCATTCGAAAGCGCTTTTTCTGCTGAACAAGCTGCACTAATTCTTTTCTCCTCAATTCCGTTCCACCGGTTTTTACGGGCCCTTAAAGGTACGGTTTTTGGCGATTTTGCCAACTTTGAAGCTTCATAATTTTTTTCTCCGTTTTATTTAGCAAATTCTGATTACAGATTCGGAATCCCCCGTGTCCTATTCTATCAGATCCACTATGTCTCGTGTCGATTTCTCGTGGGCCGGTCGTGCACTTCCCTTGTCAGACAGGGGGCCGGCTAGCAGGTATATTTGAGGAAGATAAAATTTGCGGATTTGGGTTCGAAGAGGAACCAGCAGGGATTATTGAGGAATTTGTCATCTGCCCATTTTTCCATTTTCATGTGTCGGGTTGGCAAGCTGGCAGAGATCCTTGCGGAAATAGCTCGAGCCGACCGTCAGAGGAGCCGACAAAGCTTATTAAGGCAATTAAAAGTACCAAGGCAGGAAATAAATGGCTTTTCAGGGATTAAAAAATTAAGGGCATGCCGGCTAGCCAAGATTCTTTAGGAAAGTCCGGCGAGCCAACCGGCAGGATTTTTGTGTCAAGCTTGGGACCGCAAAGGCAGGCTAGCGTAGTTTCTTTGGGGAATCCCCTCATATCACTTGATCCGCGTCTAGGGCCACCTAGCGAAGATTCTTTGAGGAATTTTACTTTTCCGGGGGACAATAATCAAGCCGGAGTTCCGCATTCCGGAGTACAACCTGCCGTACATTTTCTGCTTGTCTGTGTCTCTGTATGTCGGACTGTCGCTGTCTCTCTCTCTCTCTCTCTCTCTCTGTCTCTCTGTCTCACTCTCTCTCTCACTCTCGCAGAGGTTCCCCAAGACAAGATTTCAAGTCCAGATATAGCCACGGTCCTTTTGAATTTTACCCCAAAACACCGGTGCGTTTGAAAAAGAACACCGCCAGAGGTGAAAGAAGAAATTTGAGAAAACGAGAGAGAAAGAGAGAGAGAGAGAACAAGACAAAAAAAAGAGAAAGACAAGATCTAGAACCCAGATAATCCTCCGGGTCTTTTCTTGGGTCCTCACGTGTGCTAAAACTCCTCTTTTAAGGTTTATTTTGGGAGGTAGCGAGGAATTGGTGGTGGCGGGATTTGGAAAAACATTGGGCCGGGGCTGATCGGACACTGTGATACGCACCGTTCTCTGGATGCCGTCCGGAAAAGAGTACGCAAACGGACTGTCAACACCTGCCTGCACCCCGGGCCCGGAAAATATTTTGATTACGCCGGGGAACAAGGAAAAAGTGAAGATGATCAGTGTTCGGGTGATCAAAATGGTACTGGACTGTTAGCGGGGGGGGTTAGCAGGGGGAAACTAAGTAGCAATGAACTCTGCAAGGCTGACTCCGAATTCTCTAAATTTCCTCAACGAACTCTGCCATGGACCCCCGAAAATTTTTAAATTTCCGCAATAATCACCGCTAGCCTGCCCCTTAATTTTTTAAAATTCCTCACTAATCTTCGCAAGACTGCTCGAATTTTCTAAATTTTTTGAACGATCACTGTTAGCTTGACACGAAAATTTCTAAATTTCCTAAATGATCACTGCTAGCCTGCCCCTGAATTTCCTAAATTTCCTCGATGAATTGCGCTAGACTACCTCGGAGTTTTCTGATTTCCTAAAACATCTCTGCTAGTTGCCTCCGAATTTTCTAAATTTCCTCACAAGGAGATAGTCTCAGCTCGGAATCGAATTCGGATTTGAAAATTTGCACACTTATAGAGCTCGACGAGACAAATCGATTGGTGTAACTTTCAGCTGCTGATACAATAACCACGCCGAGTTATAAGCATTTTAAGTTTTTGCATACATTTTGCCATATTTTCGCCATAGCTTCATAGGCCTTCCCGCCTCCCCCATTCACGTCTGGTGGCCTAGTGGTGTAGCAGTTGGCCTCCGGGGAATCTAACGAGGGTTCGAATCCGCTCACGATTTTTATTTTTTGCTTTTTCGTCCAAAGGTTCCTCTTTTCTTTCTGAAGGCCTTGAATGGCCTATGAAGCTATGGCGAAAATATGGCAAAATGTATGCAAAAACTTAAAATGCTTATAACTCGGCGTGGTTATTGTATCAGCAGCTGAAAGTTACACCAATCGATTTGTCTCGTCGAGCTCTATAAGTGTGCAAATTTTCAAATCCTAATTCGATTCCGAGCTGAGACTATCTCCTTGTCAGTGATCGCTGCTATACTGCCCCGGAATTTTTCCGATTTCCCAAATGCTGTCTACTAGCCGTTCCGGAAATGCTAAATTTCCCAAATAATCTCTGCTATAACCCTCGCATCGTTTGAGATCTCAAAATCGCAAACTTCAAATCTCTCGAAATTTTTTGATCGGCCGACAAGACTGTAACTCGGGCCATTTCAACTGCGGGGCAACTTTGTGTACTCGGAAATGGGCCATTTACACGGGGAGGAAGATCCCGAAAAAAGAGAGTATCTGATCCGAGCCTTCCTTTTTCACTTAGCTCCTAAGATACCGCTGAGTAATGGCTTTTTGTTTGGGGGTTGAGCTGGGGGGGGGATGGCAGAGATCCAAGGTCACATCAAAAGGATCTATAGACTCGAGGAAGACATACAGACAGATAAACAGACAGACAGAGGTATCGAGGTGTTCGTTTTAAAGGGGATGAGAAGGCAAAAAAAGATCCATTTCGTTATTTTGGAGATTATAAGCCCACGAAACTCGGTCACAATATTCTTCTGGAAAATAAAAGAACTTCCCGATCGGAGAGAGAGAGAGAGCGAGAAAGAGAAAGAGAGATAGAGAGAAAGAGAGAGAGAAAGAGAGAGAGAAAGAGAGAGGGTGAGTGTAGTCAAATTCGAAAAATTTGAAATCCCTTCTGGCCAACCAATAAGAAGATAAAACTGCGAAGACGAAAATAATATTATCTCGAAGTTCAGGCAAGCTAGCGTGAATTCTCTAGGAATGCCTAGGTTCATTTATTGCTTTTAGTGATCAAATAACTTCTCCGACGCCTGATTAAGAAGTTTTAAGGTCCTGAGGCTTGGCAATTCCTCATGAATCTCTGCTCTGAAACATGCAATTCCTAAAGAATCTCTGCTAGCCGTCCCTCAGGATCAATTTTGGTCTTTTTTGCGGAATTCGCGATATTTTTAGGGGCCAATAAGCGAGAGGCTTCTGTTTAGTGAGCCCTGGCATGATAGGGCAACAATTGACGCATCTTTTACTCTTTTTCTCACGCTCTCCCGCTCTCTCTCCCTCTCTCCCGCCCTCTCTCTCCCTCCCTCTCTCTCTCTCTCCCTCTATCATCGTCATTGCATGTGTTGTGTTTAGGTGTGTAGCGTAGCGGTAGGGACCGGTTTTCCGCGCCTCATCCTATTGCTTTCCTTGCCCAAATTTCACGCCTTTTTGGCGGCGATATCGATATGATGGCATTGGGGATGGGGGATTAATATGCAAATTAGGAAAATCTCAAAAAATGTGGGAATGCTGAAAACTAAAAATTAAAATTGTTTGTATTTGGTCCCCAAGAACCTCTGCTAGCTTCCTTATTTTTTTTCTTACCCACAGATTTCTGGACAGGGCTGCTAGTTCTCTAGTTTCCAAATAACCGTCGCTAATTTAGGCCTTTCTTAGGCAATTTTCCCGGCTGTTTACTCTTCTTTTTCGCTAAAACAATTTCCTACAAATTCCCGACAGTCTCGAAATGGAAAATGACCCATTCCGCCCCTCGTGAAAGGGCCATTTCGCGAAATTCCCCTCTTCCCCTGCCGAAAAGTTTTAGCGTCCCTTCCCGTTGGCATGGAAAGTTGTAAAAAAAATTGAGTGAGGGACAGATATCGTAAGCATTTTAAGATGTTACCAACTTGAAATTGTTCACTTTTCCGCCGGAAGCGACAAAAGTACCTGGGCTTGGCGGGAACCCCTCCGGAAAGGCGTCCTTGCCCCTCGCTTGGGCTCTAAAATGGCGTGAAATGGGTGTCCCTTCCTGGTTTTGCAAGATTGTTTGCGCCTAAAAGGGGACCTCGGCTGGCTAGACAAAGCCATTTTCGAAAAGCAAAAAGTAGACGAGGGCGAACACTGTTGAAAAATAGGTCAAAACTGAGTGGCCAGAAAATCATGGCGGCCCGGCTGTAAAAGAACCATAAAAGGTTAAAAAAGGCAAAATCGCGAAGATCGTAAAAACCTTTCTGGATTTCAGGATGCCCGGACGAAAGCATCTACGCCTTCCACAACGAGACCGAGGCCGATCGGTCGAGATATATCTTTATCGAGTACCACGCGCCCAGCTTACACGTGGGTGGAATTTTTGAGGGTTTTAGCCTTTCTCCGCGTTTAAAAGGCCGTTCAAGGGACTCGAACACCCGAGAATCGACGCTTTTCGGTGACTGGGTCTAGACAGCTACGCAACGCTTCAAAATACGCCCATATCCGCTTTTGAATTCCTAGAAAACGGCGCTTCGACTTGGCTATCAGAATGAGATTGACCCTTGTGCTTTGGAGAATAGCGTAGTTGTCAGGACCTAGTCTAAGAGACAGGTCGATTCTCGGGCTCCTTGGTGCCTTAAAAACGCTAAATTCTTCAGAAAATTCCGATTTTTAGGATTGCATCTCGAAATGCTTTGGGAATCAATTCTGCTATTCGCTGCGATACGATGAGGGTCGACACGACACCTGCGCCATGTACTACTTCAGGTAAGAAGTCGTCCGCCATGTGGATTTTTGGCTTATATGGTCCTTTAAAAGCTTTTTGTTCACAGGTTTATTGGCTTCATTGGCCCTTTAAAACGTCATTTTCAGCGCATACAACTGCACCCACCAAACTCTCGTTCAAGCCCGGACCATCGAGTACAAGGGAGCCCCGGTGACGATCGACTGTCTACGGTGTCCGAATAATGGCGAATTCAGTGAGCAAACCTACCATTAATGCATAAAGAATCCAAATCCGTGGCAATTGTGCCTTGCCAATCCCTTAAATTTCCAGTCACCGCCCCACCGGTGGATTTCGTTGGAGAACAAACGCTTGACGCGATGCACCAACTCGACAACAAGGGATTGGATCAGAAGGGCAAGGAAGAGGAGGAGGAAACTGGTATGCATTTGCCTTGAAGGGGCCTTTAAAACCCTATGTTTCAGCCGAAACTGTTCGTGTGCACCGGCCATCCGAGAAAATCGACACCACCACGGGTAGGTCTTTTATGCAAAAAAACATGGGATTTGGAGTACTGTAGGAAAATTCTTCGCCAAAAAACTTGAAAATTAACTATGCTAATGCTTTAGGAAAAAATGGAATTTTCGGGGTACTGTAGCAATTTTTCGATTAAATTCTGGATTCTCCTCCTCTACTAATTTTTAAAAAGACAATATAAACAGAAAAAAACGGTGTAATTACGGTAATTTCGTCAATTTTCACAACCCGTTTTAGCAATTAGTCACGCCGTTTTTTTGGTGTTGTCTTAGCCCTGTAAGACGTCAGCAGAAATTTCGCGGAATTTCGCATTTTATACCACACCTAAATGCTGGCCAAGAATGAGTCAGAAATCGGAGGGGGGGGTACTTGACATTCCGCGGGGCTCCTTATTGCGGTAGACCTTGCCCTCTCGAGATTTATTTCTCTGCTTCTCTCGCCTCTAGAACCTCTTTTTCTCTCTCTCTCTCTCGCCGTGAAAGTATGAACAGGGGGGTAGCGCCGTGGAATTTGTGGAATGACAATATTTTGAGAGGTTAGAGGCCAAGGCTGTTTTTGGAAACTTGAGTGGAAAAATTTGCAGGGATGGGGTCAAAAAATCGACTTTCTGGCACGGTACCTTTAAATTCGTGTTCGAAATTCGGTTTTTCGTCTCTGTTGGGGAGGGGGCAAACCCCTCCCCCCCCCCGATAATGCGAAAGAACCGGAAATCTCATTTCTTTCACTCTATTCATGCTTTTTTTAGTCGAGCCGCCATCCACGACCACCGAAGCCGCCAACTCCGAGACGGTAACCTCGCAGATTGTCATGATTCACACCGAGCCGACAACTGAGGGTGAAGGTATCGAAAAATACATTTAAAATAATCCTGTAATTTCTTCTAGCTTCAACCACTCCGTCAACTACAGAAGACGCCGAAGAACACCCGAATGGTATGCAAATTTCGTGCTTTTAATTTTTTTGGTTTTTTAGAGCCCACGGCCACCCCGCACTCGCTACACTTTGATCCTATCGGTCTGTTGGGGATTATATAACATTAATTTCCATATTTTCACTTTGATAATTTTCCGTTTTGGTGGGCAATTAGCAGAGATTATTTGGGTTCCCGAAAACGCTGTAAAATTCAGAATGCGACGGCGAGATCGCGTACTACGGAACGACAAATGTGGACTTTGAGACGGTGCAGCTGCTGATCAACGAGACGACGGCCGACACGGCAGCTGAATGCGCCAAGAAGTGCTTCAGCGCTGGTTGTGGGGTACGGTAGAAACGGGCAGACTAGCTGAGAATTCTTGCGGAAAACTTGAGAATCGACCCCCTTCCATCGATTAATTCTAGACAGATACGCTACGCGCCAAATGACGCGTACAAGCTAATCTGAATTTTTAGCCAACCCCATCGATCCAAGGGATTTCCTACCTTATATAATTTGGTCGCGTATCTTTGTCTGTGTGTGTGTCCGGCCGTCACTTTCGAGGCCCGATTTGAGGGCCTTCCCGTGCATAAAATGCCTTAATTCTCCGTCACCCGGGGGAATCGACCCTCCTCTTTCCGATGGCGCTTTCAGAATCCCGATAAAATACAAGTTAACAAAGTTAAAGCCGGTTTTATTGATTTTTGGGGGTCCAGGAGGGCTGATTTGCATAATGTGAAAAAATACAAATTTCCTCATTCTTGCCAGTTGCACTCGCGAGTTTGGTCGTCTCTTTGGATCTGCCTCTCGATGCCTTTCCTTCCCCTGCCCCGGGCAGTCCTCTTGAGGCATAAAACGGGTGTTTGGCGCGTGCTACCAAGCATTGCATGGTGTAGTGGTTAGCGTTTCGCCGTGCTAATCTAACCATCGGAGGTTCGATCCTCGGACATTTTAGTTGTTTTGCTTTTTGCTCGGAAAGCGCGTTTCGGAGTGGATTTCCGTGTAAGGACGTTATTATGAAGTTAGTCACTCAAGCCGTAGCCTATAGAATGAAGCTACCCGCTCAAGCATGCGCTGCAGGCCAAGGAATCAAGCTAACTGCTCAAGCTAGCGCCGCAGGCTTTATAACGAAGCCAGCCGCTCAAGCTAGCGCCGCAGGCTTTATAACGAAGCCAGCCGCTCAAGCTAGCGCCGCAGGCTTTATAACGAAGCCAGCCGCTCAAGCTAGCGCCGCAGGCTTTAGAACGAAGCCAGCCGCTCAAGCTAGCGCCGCAGGCTTCAGAACGAAGCCAGCCGCTCGAGCCAGCGCCGCAGGCTTTAAAACGAAGCCAGCCGCTCAAGCTAGCGCCGCAGGCTTCAGAACGAAGCCAGCCGCTCAAGCTAGCGCCGCAGGCTTCAGAACGAAGCCAGCCGCTCGAGCTAGCGCCGCAGGCTTTAAAACGAAGCCAGCCGCTCAAGCTAGCGCCGCAGGCTTTTAGAACGAAGCCAGCCGCTCAAGCTAGCGCCGCAGGCTTTAGAACGAAGCCAGCCGCTCAAGCTAGCGCCGCAGGCTTCAGAACGAAGCCAGCCGCTCGAGCTAGCGCCGCAGGCTTTAGAACGAAGCCAGCCGCTCAAGCTAGCGCCGCAGGCTTTAGAACGAAGCCAGCCGCTCAAGCTAGCGCCGCAGGCTTTTAGAACGAAGCCAGCCGCTCAAGCTTAGCGCCGCAGGCTTTAGAACGAAGCCAGCCGCTCAAGCTAGCGCCGCAGGCTTCAGAACGAAGCCAGCCGCTCGAGCTAGCGCCGCAGGCTTTAGAACGAAGCCAGCCGCTCAAGCTAGCGCCGCAGGCTTTAGAACGAAGCCAGCCGCTCAAGCTAGCGCCGCAGGCTTTAGAACGAAGCCAGCCGCTCAGCTCAGCGCCGCAGGCTTCAGAACGAAGCCAGCCGCTCGAGCTAGCGCCGCAGGCTTTAGAACGAAGCCAGCCGCTCAAGCTAGCGCCGCAGGCTTTAGAACGAAGCCAGCCGCTCAAGCTGTCGCCAAAGGCCAAAAAAGGAGGCTAATCCCTCAAGCTTGGGCCGCAGGATGAGGTAGCGACCTAGCCGATCAAACATGCGCCGCAGGCCTAATAACGAGACTAACAGTTCAATCTTGCGCCGCATGCCAATACAAAGAGCTTTGCATGGGAGATGGGTTTTTCTTTCTTCAGGATAACTGTCTGTGGAAGGGTGCTCGATTCATAAGGCCTAGACGGGGTCCAGCGGGGGAGAGTCGCGAAGCGGCTCCTCCCCCGCTGGTTTTAAAATCAATTTGGCACGGGTTTTGGCGTATCGCGTAGCTGTCGAGACCTAGTCGATGGAAGGGGTCGGTTGTCTTACTTCCCGGTACCTTTAGGGTATCGAGAATTTGGATTACCCTGGGCTAGGTCTAGACAGCTACCGCACGCTCCTAATGACGCTTGCAACAGCCTTTAGATTTTTACCACAGCAAAATTGTTAGGTCATTTGGTGTATTATGTAATTGTCGAGACCCAGTCAAAGGGAGTCGATTCAAGGGTTTTCTCATCCCTTTAGGGAATGAAAAATCGACTCTCCCCTGGACTAGGCCTAGACAGTGACGCTCTCCGCCTAATGACGCTCCCCTGGGAGGCTAAAACAAGATTGATAGGTCTTCTGGCGTATCGCGTTGTTCTCGAGACCTAGTCGATCGGAGGGGTCGCTTCTGGCACTTGCAAGTACCTTTAGGTCAAGGCATGCTAGCAGAGATTCTTGAGGAAGCTCCTGAAACAAACGAATTTTTTTAGTTCGCCTACTTCAACCCGGAGACCAAGGCCTGTCAGTTCACCTCAAATACGAAGGATCTCGTGGACAATTCGGGTAATTTGTCGCGTTTTTTTACGATTTTTGGCTTGTAACAAGCTTTTTAACACGATTTTAATGATTTCTACCTCTAAAATCTCCTAAAACTTTTATGTTTAGGTTGTGAAAACCTGAAGAAACCAGCCTACGATGTGATTGTCGAAAAGCCGCAACCCCTCGAAATCACGTGCGTCACGTGTCAACCCAAGAATTTGACGCAAGAAGAGCCTCGTGGGTTTATTTGGAATTTTAGGGGGTTTTTTTCCAAGTTCTTAATTTTTATCATCATAGTAAATTTGGCGATTTTTCTATTTTAAAGGGGGTGTGACAGTCAGGAAATTCCCTGGAATTCACGGATACTCTAAATCGCGCGTTTTAAAGGTTGTATCCGCTGTCTATGTCCCTTAAAAAAAAATCACGCTATATTTTTCATAGAATCTTTGAATTATTGTTCTGTTCTTCCTAATTTGGGCTAAAAGCTGCTGTCACTGTCCCTTTAAAACTAAATAAAAAGGCTTAAAAAACTTTAAATTACTCAAAAAATTGGAAAATCCACTTTTAAATTTTATAAATATCGTTAATTGAATTTTGCACAATTACTTATCGTTTTAAAAATAATTTTTTACGTTTTAGATGTTGTGAAATTTATTTTATCACATTTGTCGTGCCAAAAAACCTCCTCTTTCTATCCCTCAGTTTCAAATTTTTTATTTTTATTTTTATTTCAATTTCCCCCTCACAGAGCCCACGCCCTCTACCGTATCCACCGGCGCAGCTACCGCACCCGAGGGTCCCGCCACGGCCGCCGCCATTCAAGCGGAGAAAGGTAGTCGAAGCCGGAAGCCGCCTGCACAACGCCGCCATAGATATTATCAGCGAGGTGAATGGGGTGCATGTCACTAACAAAATATAACAATTTATGGACGGGGGGCAACCGCGGAGTGTACAGAGTGCTGTGGCGGAATTTTTGATTTTGAAGGTTTTCACCGGATTTGGGGGTTTTCTTAATCTTCTAACTGTTTTTTGGAGTGTCATTTGGAGCCCAGTATTCCCCAAAGGGCCTCTGCTAGCCTACCAGAGGACTAGCTATGATATTTTTGCGGGTTTTCAGGCCTTTTAAGGGTTTTGGGGGTTTTCTTAATCTTCTAACTGTTTTTTGAGTGGCATTTTTTGAGACCAGGATCTCCCAAAGGGGTTCTGCAAGTTTGCCCGAAATACTAGTGACTGAATTTCCGGGTTTTTACGTGTATTTCAAGGTTTTGCGAGTTTTCTTAATCTTTTAACGATTTTTAGTTAAATTTTCAGGTCAGGATCTCCCACAAGGGTCTCTGCTAGCTTGCCAATCTCATTTCGAGTCTATTCTCGGTGTTTTAGGCATTTCCCGAAATGGGTGTTGGTGTTTTTTAGATCTGATAACTATTTTTAGTGTCAGTCTCAGTCCTCTTTTTCTCCAAATCATCGCTGCTAGCTTGCCCAAGCTATATCGATTCAAGTTCCGGGTTTTTCTGGTTTCTGCTAGCTTGCCCGAGTTATTTGAATCCCATTTCTCAAAGAATCTCTGCTCGCTTGCCGGTCTGAAATTCAAAATTCCTAAAAAACATCTGCTAGCCTGCTCAAGCCATCTAGACGAGATTTCTGAAACGGTCTCCCCAAGAGCCTCTGCTAGCTTGCCCAGCCTCAGCAACTCGATTTCCTCAAAGAATCTTTGCTCTGTTTCTGAACCTTACAGTATCAGGAATATAGCGTAGTTTTTAAAGGTTTAAAACGCCACTTATCTCTGCACATTCTGGTCCCATTTTTAATCGATTCCTATTGATCGCTTTTCTACACAAAAATCGAAAAGTCTCCAGAAGAGGTGAAGTTTTTTGCTGAATTGCATGTTGGAAACCTTAGTTTTTGGATCACATATATTTTTAAACTTATATGATTTTAATTGGGTGTGATGGTGAACGGAATAATTATTTTTTGCATGATGATACGTTCCTAATTTTACTTATCTACGTTTTATTAACATTGGAATGAGAATTTATGTCGTAATTTCAACTGAAAACTAAATCCTAATAACCGGGAAAAGATATAAGCCACATTAACAAAATTACTGCTTTTTAAAGGTATCATTTTGATCGTTTAGCCTGCACAATTCGCTTCCAAGTCGACGAGGAGGCCGACTTGTCGAACTTTGTGGTGGATGGCAAGCGAAGCGTTAAATCGTAAGTCGAAACTATACTAAAAATAACTAAATTGTAATTTTATCTTTTTGTAGTCCCTCTGAAAGAACGCCAGAACGATCAAATTCCGTTGAGAGCAAGAAAGTTGCGCACCGGGCGGGGGTCGAACCCGCGATGGTTCGCTCCACAGTCCGACGCGCTAGCCACTATACCACAGGGCCAAGTGCGGAAGGGAATCAGAGGTGCCCCCAACCCCAGACAGCCTTTGCCCAATACGGGGCGCCACTAATGACGCCTCTCTCCGCGCGTTCTTGGGGCCCCCACCCTCGGGGTGACAGTGTGCGTTCCAGAGTTATAGCGGTCTTTAAATGGTTAGAAACCGGAAAACCTTTTCAAAGAAGCAATTCAGAATCAACGAGTGCGCCGCGCTGTGCTTCAGTGGCCTCTGCGCGCAGGCCGTCTATTCACCTAGCACCGAAGAGTGCAGATTTGGTAGATTTTAGCATCAGTATTTCATCCGCTATTTAGGAACCGTGAAAAAGGACACTTGCGCTGACGCTATCGACTTTGTCTCGGTCGCAAATCCCGCCAAAGATGCTTTGATCCAGTGCTTCCGATGCAGTAAGTTGGCGTGTTTGCCTTGCTAGCTCCTTTAAAATGTCTAAAAAACTGCTTTTGACCACCTTATCGCTTTAAAGAACCATGGAAGGCAAAACTCCTTATCAATTTATGCCTTCAACGGCCCTTCAACAAAAAAAAAAACTGAAAATGCGATTTTCTAGGTTTGGTCGCATGAATAAACGAATTCCCTATGGATTCTTGCCTTCAGGGTCCCTTTAACGGACAACCTAGCAAAAAACAATTCGGTTCTGAGCTTTTTTTCGATGATCTTTTCCCTTTCCTTTTCTTCCGAGAATTCGATCGATCTACGTGGATTCTTGGCTTCAACGGCCCTTTAGTGCCGGAAAATCCAAAAAAACCGCTTCCCGTTACCTTAAGATGAAAAAACCGTGATGGATTTTTGCCTTTAAAGGCCCGTATTGGTGGATTCCTGCCTTCAATGGCCCTTTAAGCCGAAAAATTAACAAAAAAAAGTTTATGACTTTCTTTCACATCAAAAGCCCTTATGGACCCTCGCTTCAACAGTCCTTTAATCCCAAAAATACACATTTTTAGCCCCCGAAAAAGCGATCCTGATCGGTGTGGACGAGGAGAATGTTGCTTCCACCACCGTACCCAGCACCGAGTCGGAAAATGCGTTGGCCGGAGAGGCGACGACAGCAACAAGTTCACCGGCAGCTGGATCATCTACCGTAGCCCAAGTCGAGGGCGGAACCATCGAGCCACCGCCGGAGACCGCCGAAAACAACGACGACAAGAAGGTCGAGGAGGGGTCTGGAGTGGTAGAGGGTTCTGGAGCGGAATCGACTACTGTAGTGGTGGTGGCAAGTTCCGAGAAAGTGCAAACTACGGAAGTGGTTGACTCGGAGAAGCCGTTGACTGGGGAGGAAGTGACGACGGTAGCTTCAGAAGTGACTACCGGAGCTTCAGAAGCTTCGGAATCTACCGTACCACCAGCTACTGTCATTCTTACATCAGAATCTACCAAAATCGAGGTTCAAAACGGGACGTCATCAGAAAGCGCGACGACTGTAGCTTCAGAATCGACTACGCTAGCTTCAGAAGCCTCAGAATCGACCACGGCAGCTTTGGAAGCATCAGAATCTACCGTACCCCCAGCCACCGTCATCCTCACCTCAGAATCCACCAAAATCGAGGTGGACAACGTGACGTCATTTGATACCGCAACAACCGTAGCGTCAGAAGTGACGTCCGGAGCCTCAGAAGCCTCAGAATCGACTACAGTACATTCAGAAACTTTAGAAACTACCGCGCCCCCAGCCACCGTCATCCTCACCTCAGAATCTACCAAAATCGAGGTGGACAATGTGACGTCATCTGAAAACGCGACCGAGACCGGAACCCCTAAATCCCTTGGAGAATGGGCAGCAGATCTTGCTCGCTCCGGAATTGACCGAATTTCTGGAATCTTCACGACCACGACGGTGGCTCCAGAAGGAGTTGACGGGACTGAGGAGCCATTTATTCTGTCGAGCTCCACGATTAAGCCCTTGGAAGAGACGACTGAGAATTCTGAAGACGCCACGCTGACCTCGGGAGGGAATGAGACGGTGCAGAGTGAACCGGGTAACACTTTGTAATTCGGGCAGGCTAGCAGGGATCATTTGGGAAAATTCGCTTATCTACTGCCTTTTTCAGCCTGCTACATTAAATTCCAAGCCGAATCCCTCGACGAGCGCCCAGCCGATTTTACGGCTACTTTCGACAAGCACGTCAAGGAGGAGACAGCCCAAGGATGCGCTACGAAGTGCTACCAGGTAGAGAATAAGTTCTCTCGTCCCGTTTAGCTGCTATCGTAGTACGTGGCCGTACGCTTGCATTACGAACTACAACGTCTTTACGCACGTTTTCAGGACGGTTGCACGGGTGCCCTCTACGACGCCGAGACGAAGGAGTGCATCCTTGGTTTCGGGGATATTCCATACTGTAGCCAGGCGCCGTACGTACACGCGCTGGAGGCAGCGAACGACACCACGCTGTGGATCCACTGCGTCTCTTGTGGTGGGTGGAGAGAGAGCGAGAGAGAGAGAGAGAGAGTGGGAGAGAGAGAGAGAGAGAGAGAGAGAGAGAGAAGGAGAGAGAGAGCGCGCGCGAGCGAGAGGGGGAGGGAGAGAGAATGAAGGAAAACTATGGAGAAAGAGAGTTAGAGGGAGAGGGAGATATAGAGAGAGGGGAGGAATAGAGAGAGAGAGCGAGAGAAAGAGTGAGTGAAAGAGCGCGAGCGAAAGAGAGATATATGGAAAAATCCGCTTTCAGATCCAAACACCGCACCGGCTGGCGGAATCACTCTACCTCTCCCAGTCCAAGGAGCTCCAGCGGAAGCTAGTATGTTTTTAAGCTCTTGCTCCAATACTAGTTAACGCCATCGGAGTGTAATGCAATATTTTTATACCTACCAAATTTCAGGCTCCACTGCTTCTCCAGAATCCACCACCACATCAGCCACCGAAGACTTCACGATGCCCTCCTCGACTCTACCCACGAATTCTGAGGGCCAGGCCGCCGAGGCAGAATCAGGAGTGACAGAGGCTAGCGGAGAGGAGGAGACGACCACACTGACGCCTGAAGCCACGACGGTGGCTGTTGCGCAGGAGAAGGAGTCCGTCACGGTGATCGCTGGAATTGGAGAGGAGGCGACAACTGTCGTTAGTACCGAAAAGGAATCGGTTACGGTGGTTGCGGAGAACCCGACAACTTCTGGAAGTGAGGTCGAGGCTAGTGGAGAGGAGCCAACTACAGCTGAAGCAGTCTCAACTACTGTAGCCACGACGCTCCAAACAACACCCGAAGGTACGGTAGCTCCGGAAGCAGGCGCGACAGTACCTTCTGAAGCAGCGTCAGCGACGACTGTGGCAGCAGCGACGTCTGCAGCTCCAGAACACACGACGGTAGTCTCTGAAGTGAAGGAATCGGCTACTATCATCTCTGTTGTGCCAATCGCTACTGGATCAGAATCGAGTACCCAGACACAAGAAGAAGGTACCACCGTCGTTAGTACTGAAAAGGAATCGGTTACGGTAGTCGCAGAAAACCCGACGACATCTGGAAACGACGTCGAGGCTAGTGGAGAAGAGCCAACAAAATCTGAAGAAGTCACGACTACGGTAGCTACTCCAAGCTCTACCGAAAACAAAGAAGTTGCTGGTGCTACCATCGTTCCAATCGTATCCGAATCGGCGAGCCAAACAGTTATAGCTTCAGAAGCTACATCTGAAGTCCCAACGACACCAGTGTCTGAAACGGCTTCGGAAGCCACTACAATACTTCCTAACGAAGACGCCACCGCTACTGTGGAGCCCGGAACGACCAAGGAGATCCTTGGAAACCTTTCGCCCGATTTGGCCGGTCCCAGCACGACCCCCTCAACGGTTGCCCTAGAAGAGGATGGCAGTGGTGAAGAGGTGCTGAGCTCTGATGTTGTCACGACGACGACTATAGCTAGTGCTACTGGAGAAGCGGTATCTCAAGAGGCCACGACGGCTATCGTTGGTGTTTTGACGCCAGATCTGGAGGGTACGACGACGTCGGCTTCTGCTGCGCCTGAAGAGCCGACCACTGTAGCTGCAACTGGGCCGAAGTTTTCCGAAGCAAGCTCCACTTCCTCGTCCGAAGCCGCTGTAACGACAACTGTGGAATCGGCGACTTCAGCCGCTCCAGAAGGCAGTACGACGGTCGTTTCGGAAGTCAAGGAATCGGCTACTGTAATTTCTGTCGTGCCAATTGCTACTGAACCTGGGGCAACAACTGGAGCCCCAGAAGAGGGGACAACTGTGGTCAGTACTGAAAAGGAATCGGTGACGGTGGTTGCGGAGAACCCGACGTCTTCTGGAAGTGAGGTCGAAGCTTCTGGAGAGGAGCCAGCGATAGCTGAAGAAGTCTCGACTACGGTACCTACCCCCAGCTCTACCGAACTCCCCGAAGTTGCCGGTGCTACCATCGTTCCAATCGTATCAGAATCGTCGACTGCGACGTCAACAGCTTCTGAAGCCACGTCAGAAGCCACTTCTGAAGTCCCAACGTCTGCTCCTGAAACCACTTCTGAATCCACCACCCAGCCCACCGTCGTCAGAATCGAGTCCAACGTCACCAAAGTCGAGATCGTGACCGGAGCCCCAGAAGTTGAAGGAAGTGGCGTGACCCCGAAAGTGCCAGAATCCGAGAAATCTCATCTGGACCGAATTTCCGAGCTCGTCACGCAGGCGACGAACCTGGTCAACGGCCTTTTCTCCACTACACCGACCCCAGTAGAAGATGAGGAGCTACTATCACGCAATGAAACCTCTGGAAGTACACTTGAAGGCACGACGATCACTCCTGAAGGCTCTGGAGCTGAAGCTTCCGAAGCTGCTGAAGCCACGACGGTCGTTGTCCTGGCTTCTTCTGAGAAGACCGTGGTGCTTTCTGAGGGTCCTGAAGCGGCAACTGAAGCCACGACGTCATCTGGAGCTACGGCAGCAGCTACTGACGAAGCTACCCAGCCTACCATCGTCTCTTCCAACCTCGAAGCGGAAGCTACGACGGAAAGAAAGATCGAGGCGACGACTCCGTCAGAATTTGTCGTCAGTGCCACGCCGATTACCGTGGTGGAATCGGGAGCCTCGACTTCAGAATCCGTGACGGCTTCCACATCGATCTCGACGTCGTCTGAACCTGAATCTCTCTCAACCGGTGCTCCAGTTGTCATCCCTGCCGTCGTAGCCGAAGCTACAACTCCAGGAGTGGTTTCAAGCACCGTCTCGGACGTCACTTCTGAAGCCACGTCTTTGACGGAGGGTTCTGGAGCAGAACAAGCTGAAGAAGCTACGACAACAGTCGTTGTGGTGTCTTCGGAGAAGACCGTCGTTGAATCGGAAGGACCACTGACAAACGAAACTGCTTCTACTTCTGAAGCTACGCCGTCAACTCCAGATTCTGCACCTACAGTCGTCGCCACCAACCTTGCAGCAGCTTCTGAAACGACGACGTCAGCGAGTCCAGAAGTCACGGCAACGACGTCAGCAACTTCTGAAGCTACCACGCCTTCTGAAACCGTCATCACTGCCATACCAGTCGTCGCCGTGGATTCTGGAGCGTCGACTTCGGAATCAACGGTCACCACGACGATCTCTGGAGCTGAATCTACCGTATCCCCATCTACTGGCGAGCCCCTAGTCATCACTGCCGTTGAATCAACGACTCCTGAAGCGGCCACGACCACGGTGTCAGAATCCAGTGGTGGAGAGGCAACATCTTATGAAGCTGCCACGACAGCCCTGACCGAGGGTTCTGGAGCGGAAGCCGAGGAAGCCGCGACGACGGCGACGGTCGTTGAGGTGTCTTCCGAGAAGACGGTGGTGTCTTCTGAAAGCCCTACTGAAGAGGTCACGACGCCTGTGGTTGAGCCTGAACATTCTACAGCTATCGCTTCAAACCTTGAAGCCACTGCAACGACGTCCGCCACTTCTGAAGCTAACGTCACGACGTCAGCCACCCCGGAAGCCACGACCCCATCAGAAACCATCATCACTGCCTTCCCAATCGTCGTCGTGAATTCTGGAGCCACATCAACCACCGAAGCTCCGGCCACGTCCTCGACCTCTGAGCCTGAGATCGATGCGTCTTCTGGAGCCCCGGTCGTCATCACCGCTGTCGAGACCACCACTCCGGAAGTTGCTGAAACTACCGCTTCTGCCGTCGAGGGTTCGGGAGCTGAAGAAACGACGACCACCGTACTTGAAGCGTCATCGGAGAAGACGGTAGTCACAGAATCCAGCGGTGAAGTGCCGACACCACTTGTCGTCAGTAACGTTGAGGAGGAGCAGGTCACCACCACGCAGAAGGCTGAGGAGGAGGAGACGCTGAGCACGAGCAGCACAAGGATCAGCCCAGTTGATTCTACGGGACAACCTGATCTTGAGCGTACTGAGGCTCCGACGACGACTGTTGAATCACCGACTTCAGCGGCTCCAGAAGCCAGCAGTACCGTCGTTTCTGAAGAGAAGGAATCGGCTACTGTCATCTCTGTCGTGCCAATCGCTACTGAATCTGGAGCAACAACTGGAGCACCAGAAGAGGGGACAACTGTGGTCAGTACTGAAAAGGAATCCGTGACCGTAGTGGCTGAGAATCCGACAACTTCGGGTAGTGAGGTCGAGGCTAGTGGAGAAGAGCCAACGACAGTCGAAGAAGTTGCGACTACGGTAGCCAGCGTGGAACCTTCCACTACGCTTCAAACAACACCCGAAGGTACGGTAGCTCCAGAGGCTAGCAGCATCGTCGTTTCAGAAGAGAAGGAATCGGCTACTGTAATTTCTGTCATCCCTATTGCTACTGAATCAGGAACATCAACTGGAGCGCCAGAAGAGGGTACAACCGTCGTTAGTACTCAAAAGGAATCCGTGACGGTGGTTGCCGAGAATCCGACAACGTCTGGAAGTGAGGTCGAGGGTAGTGGAGAAGAGCCAACGACTGTTGAACAAGTATCGACTACGGTAGCCACGCCAAACTCCACTGAATCTCAAGAAGTTGCGGGTGCTACCATCGTTCCAATCGTATCAGAATCCTCGAATGCGACGTCAACAGCTTCTGAAGCCACCACCGAGCAGCCAGCCTTTGTCACGGAAGCTGAATCCACGACCGAAGCCACCACCGTCAAGACCTTCAAGGAAATCGCCGCCGATCTGGCAGCCGCAGCTGCTAGTCAGGTTGTTAATGACACTGAAGGAAGTGGAGCATCCGAGGGACTGACGTCTTCTACGGTCATCCCAATCGAACAAGGGCCTCTTGATCGCTTGGCGGCTGACTTGCAAAACCTCGTGCACCAAGCTGAGGAGATTCTGGAGGTGAACGGCACGATTCCGGAGAAAACTGAGGGACAGCAAGCACTTGCTGAAGAGGGATCTGGGGCTGAAGCGGAAACGACGACGTTAGTGTCCGACACGTCTTCTGGAGCTACTGTAACTGCTGCTGAAGCGGAGTCCACCACGACCTTAGCTTCTGAAGATGTTGGATCATCTACCGTAACGCCCGTTGAGGCTACGAGTGAGGCTCAGGCCTCGACTTCTGAAGCTCCAGCTCATCTACTGCCTCTTGTTGTTCCCGTCGAGTCGAGCACGGTTGTGGCAACTGATGGACCAACAACAGTAGAACCAGTTGAAGCAACGACCGTACTGAGGACTGGAGCGGAATCTGATGCTGAGGTGACGACAGTTGGAGCTGTGAAAGCCACCGGAGCTACAGTAACTGCTGCCGAAGCCGAAGCCACGACAGCAGCTTCATCTGGAGCGGCAGTCGTAGCCACAGAAGCCGAGCCCACGACCCTGGCCACAATTCTGGAGAGCTCCAGCAAGAAGCAGATCATTGAAGGGGACAAGTCAACGATCGCCTCGATCTCTGAATCCTCGAGCCAAGTCACAGTCGTTGAAGGAAGCGGTCAAGAAGCCGAAACTCCTGCTCCAGAAACTCCGACCACGACATCTAGCGAGACTTCTGAAGCCACCCCTCAAGTCGAAGGAGCAACCATCGTCCCTCAAGAAGCGGTAACTGAAGGTAGCGGAGTAGTGAGCACGACAATGCCAAGCCTGGAGACGACAACCGAGGAAAAGCCGCTCGGGCAACTCGCTGCCGACTTGGCTTCAGCCGTCGCGACAAAACTTGGGCTTGACGAGACGACAACTCAGAAGATCGTTGTCGAGGAGAAGAACGAGACGATCATCGAGGGAAGTGGCGGTGTTGTGGAAGCTGTGCACGATGCCGAGGCGACAACTGTCAAAGTGATTTCAGCAAGTACAGAAGAGCTTCTGACGTCTTCTGATGCTGCTGTACCAGTAGCGTCTGAAGGACATGAGGGACCCGCTGCTGAGGCTACAACAACTTCTGCAGTTGAAACTACGAACGTAGAAGAGACCACAACCACTACTGGAGCCCCACTCCTACCCCTCGTCGTCCCGGTCGATACCTCATCTACAGCAGCTCCTGGAGAAGTTGAGAACATCGTCTCTTCTACGGTCATCAGCCGAGATGGTGCTCAAGCCACTGAAGCTTCTCAACCTGGCGTCGAAGAAGCCAGTGGAGAAACTGTGGTGCCAGTTGGAGCCGAGATCACGACTACTGAAGCTCCTGCCACATCCGGAGCCACTGTAACTGCTGCTGAACCTGTAGCCACCACGGCGTTGACTTCTGAAGGCGCTGGATCATCTACCGTAACACCTGTTGAGGCTACGAGTGGAGCTCAACCTTCGACCTCTGAAGCTCCAGCTCATCTACTGCCTCTAGTTGTTCCCGTCGAGTCGAGCACCGTAGTTGCGTTTGACGGATCGACTACCGTAGTACCAGATGAGGCAACGACCGTACTGAGGTCCGGAGCGGAATCTGATGCTGAGGTGACGACCGTTGGAGCTGTTGAAGCCACGGGAGATACAGTAACTGCTGCTGAAGCTGAAGCCACGACCGCTGCTTCGTCTGGAGCAAAAGTCGTAGCCACAGAAGCCGAACCCACGACCCTGGCCACAATTCTGGAGAGCTCCAGCAAGAAGCAGATCATCAAGGGGGAACAGACAACGATCGCCACGATCTCCGAATCCTCCAGCCAGGCCACAATGGTTGAAGGAAGCGGTCAAGAAGCCGAAACTGCTGCTCCGGAATCTCCTACCACTGCTGAGCCCATGCCGGCCTTCGTCACCGATTCTGGAGTCGATGAGGAGGAAACTACGACGGTTCCCACCTCGTCTACTGCTGCCGAAGAAGTGCAAAGCTCCAGTTTGACGCCAGATGGCTCGGAAGCCATTACTCAGGTTCCGGAAGTTACCACAGTGCTGGTTGCCAAGAACGAGACGTCGGTCAAAACGGAAGTTGTCGAAGGAAGCGGGCAAGAAGATGAAGTCGCAACCACCACCGACTCGAAGCCGCTTGGGCAGCTTGCCGCCGATCTGGCGGCCGCTGCGGCGAACTTGTTGAAGACCGAGGAGGAGAACGCGACGACAGTGCACCCAATGGAAGAGCCAGCTACGGTCTCTCAAGCACCAACAGTAGAGGGTAGCGGTCAGGAAGTTCAGGAGAAGAACGAGACGACCGTGGTTACAGAAACGACGAGCCAGAAGCCGCTTGGAGATGAAGAGGTCCTCACAGCGATTCCGGAGAAGACGGAAGGAGAGAACGCACTTGCTGCTGACGCCGGAACTACTCCCGAACCCGCAGCATCCACAATAGCTGCCATCGTTCCTGTCATCGTCCCTGTTGAGGGCCAGAAGACCGCTCCTCAAGCGACGACCATAGCTCCAGAATCTACGACCGTCGCCCTGGGAACGGTTGAAAAAGCCAGTGGAGAGACGGTGGTACTCGGTGAAGTTGTGACGACAACTACTGAAGCGCCTGCCACCTCTGGAGGTACTGTAACTGCTGCTGACGCTGAAGCTACTACAACTGTCACTTCTGAAGCTGTTGCATCATCTACCGTAACACCTGTTGAGGCCACGAGTGAAGCTCAACCTTCGACTTCGGAAGCTCCAGCTCACCTACTGCCCCTTGTTGTGCCCGTCGAGTCGAGCACCGTAGTGGCGTCTGATGGCTCAACGACTGTTGTACCAGATGAGGCAACGACGGTACTGAGGACTGGAGCGGAATCTGATGCTGAGGTGACGACCGTTGGAGATGTGAAAGCCGCCGGAGCTACAGTAACTGCTGCCGAAGCAGAAGCCACGACCGCAGCTTCATCTGGAGCTACCGTCGTAGCCACAGATGCCGAGCCCACGACCCTGGCCACAATTCTGGAGAGCTCCAGCAAGAAGCAGATCATTGAAGGAGAAGAGACAACGATTTCTACAATTTCTGAATCCTCGAGTCAGGCTACAGTCGTTGAAGGAAGCGGTCAAGAAGCCGAAACTGCCGCTTCAGAATCTCCCACAACGACTATGAGCACCACCATCGAGAAAAACGAGACGGTAGTCCAGGCGGGCACCATCGAACCCCCAGTAGTGGAGGGAAGTGGCATGGAGGTCGAGCAGAAGAACGTCAGCTTTGTCACCGGAGGCCCGGAATCGGATGAGGAGCTGCTCGTGACGTCATCAGCGCCAAGGACAGAGGGTCAAGAAGGTGTCGGGGAGGAGGGGACTACGGAAGCGAGCACGACGGAGGGAGAACCAACTATCGTTCCTGTTGTCGTTCCACTTGATGGTTCCACGACCTTGGCTTCTGATTCTGGTGTACCCTCTACGACAGCACTCCCGGAAGCTACGACTTCTGAAGGGCTACCAACTATTGTACCGATTGTTGTGCCTCTGGACGGCTCCAAGACCTCGGCTTCTGATTCTGACGTAACGACTTCGACAGCACTTCCGGAAGCCACAACCTCTGAAGGCCTTCCAACCATCGTCCCTGTCGTCGTTTCACTGAACGGCTCAAAGACCTCGGCTTCTGATTCTGGCCTAACCACGACAACTGCACTTCCGGAAGCCACAACTTCTGAAGGTCTTCCAACCATCGTCCCTGTCGTTGTCCCGCTCGAAGGCTCAAACGCCAACCTCGAAACCTCAGAGGTCAAGGCTGAAAATGCCTCAACGACGACTCCAAGCAGTTCAGTCAATGATAACACCGTAGCGCCAGAAGCGGAAGCATCTACCGTACTCGCCCAACAAGAAGAATCGGCGACCACCGTCGCCAAGACGAGCACCGAGAAACCCGAACTCACCCCCGACCTGATGCCCATCGTCCCGGTCCCGGTCCATGTCGAGGGTAGTGGAACGGAGGCTGAGAAGAGCCCGGCTGGGGAAGCGGAAACGACTGAAGCTACGTCCACCACGACCGTCAATGCCGTTACAGTACAGGTGGGTGATGCTGCTAGCAGAAGAAATTTGGGATTTTGAAAGTTTGGTTAATCCATTCTTATTTCTCATCAGGTAGATGAGATGTCGATCAACTTCACCCGTCCTGCTGAACTCTCCGAAAGTGGCTCGTCCACGGTCCGCCCGGCGAGTGTCGGCTTCGTCAAGAAGACCGAGATCAAGCCCAAGTCGCACGACAAGAAGGAGGACGACTACAACTATGAGGACGAGAAGCCGCTCGAGGAGAATTATGAACAGAAGGTGGAAAAGGAGGACAAGGAGAATGGTACGTTAGGGAAAACAAGTTTTTCTAAGGGTCCAACGGTTCTAATATAAATCGCGAAAATTTTTCTAAGCTTTTTTACTATTCCCAAAAACAAAAGCTCGACGAATTTCGAAAAAAAATACAAAAATATCGATTTTTCTATCAAAAATCTATATTTTTGTATTTTTTTATCAAAATTTAGACGTTTTGAACATTTTTTGAGTGTGTTAGATAGTTTTTCTACTTAAAATAGCTTTTTATTTTACTAAAAACTATTAGAAAAAACTTCCGATTAAGTTACTAGGCATTACTAGAGTTATGCGAAAAATCGTATATCTAAAAACCTGGCAAACAGTTTTAAAGCTAAATTCTATTCTAAAATCGACCATTTTTTACTCAAAATTTTTGCACGTTTTTACGTTTAGTAAAAGTAAAGAAAAAACAGTTTAGAAACACTTACTCTAACGAATAAAAAGTTGGTTCCCCCTCCGACTTTTATTAGGTTTTAGTAAAAAAATTCTTCAGGCACCTCATCCACCACGACGACGACAACCCCCGGGTCAACAACCGAACCTCCCGTCCAGGCCGTGTCCGACATCATCGAGACGCTCGTCGACGGAGGGCTGGATGTGTTGTTTGGAAAGCCGCGTCCCACCACGCAGACCGCGGCCGACCTGATCAACAACAACAACGGAAGAGGGTATGGCTTTGGGCTGAACCAGGAGCCGATCTCGAGGCGGTTGGATACCGTTGAAGGTATGCCAAAGTCCGATGCGTTTTTCATAAAAATCATCTTGAGACTGCCCTCCTGGTGACGTGCAATTCGCAGCCGCTGAACTGCTCGACCTCGAGGAGCAATTCGAGAAGGACGCCGTTGCGTATTCCGTCCAACACTGTGCCCATCTCTGCTTGTCACTCGGGTGCAAGACGGCTGCTTACACCAGGTAAGAGGATTTTTATGATTTTCATGATGACCTGGGTGCAGATTCCCACGGCCAGTTTGTCTGATGCACTTCGAAGCCGCGGAACCGTGCCACGAGCCGGTGACCCGAACGACGGGATATCAGTTTACACGACTTCAAGAAGTGGTGAAGCTGACCTGCATGAAGTGTGGTAAGTATTGCGTAGATGAACTTTTTGTAAGGTGTTAAATCAGATCGCAACCGATTGGATATCTCAGTTGTTATTTTTCTATTAATTTTAATGATGTTCGACGTTTTTTCTTGAAAATTGACGCTGGCTTAAAGTATATAAGCTTCCGAAACGTGCTGAAAATATGCGCCTTTTTGGTCCAAAACATGAAAAATCACTGAACTATCAAAAAACATAAAACAAATCAATTTCTTTGTAGTCTTCCATAATAATGTACTTCTATAGCGTCTTTCGCAGTTTTTGATTTCTGCAAATTTACATAAATATTTAAAACATTTTTAAAATGCGCAAATTTTTAGTTATTTGACCATTCATAGGTTTCCGATCAAAAAGTCAACATTTTTGGAAAATTTTTAGAACTTTTATGAGATGTTTCTACGTAAAACTGTGTAAAATCCTACAAAAATCGGTTTGTATTTCGCTATAGGGGGAAAATTACTGAGAAAAATTAGGTAATGAATTTTCTGTCTATTTTTTATTACATCTTTATATTCCACATCTTCAGTACGCAACAAATCAGCAACAGTCCGACAGCACGAGCAGGTCGACATCACCAACATTGGCGACCTGATCATCCAGGAGCTGGCACCGACGGCTGTCCAAGAAGGTAATCCAAACAAACAAAATTGGTTTTCATTAATGAAGCGATACCTTAACATCAAAATAAAGATCGATCGATACCTTTACTCTACCATTTCAGGTACCACGGCTCGCTGTGGCGGTCGCCTCGAGTTCCAAACGCTGCCCGTCGCTTCGATCCCGCGCCTCAACATCACGAACGACGTCCCGGCACGAACACCGGCCGACTGCGCGAAGAAGTGCTTCGAATCGGTATTTATCTATAGAATCTATGGCTTTGAAAAATGTTGTAAATCTACTTTTCTGACTTCAAGGACAACTGCACGACAGCCGGCTTCATCCCCTCCCCATCGGGTGACATCTCCAATGGCGTTTGCTTGTTGACGTCGGGTACGTTGTAGTGAGCAATTCGATAATTTCCTCTTCTCTTTCTAGACGTGAAATTCTGCGCCAACGCCGACGACTTCATCCCGCAGCACGCCTCGCTGACGCCGTTCGTCATCTCGTGCATCAGGTGTACAGGTACCTTGGTTTAATATTAGTTTAACTAGATTTTTTTCTTTAATGCACTAGTAGCCCGGCCCTTCGGACACGTGTCTATATCTTTCTCTCAAAACTACCGTTCTCTCACGATTTCTAGCGAAACGCCACGCGCTGTACGCACCTCGCAACCTCGTGTTCAGCGCCTTTACTATGCTATATCTTTTTTTGTAATCCTGAAGTTTATATATACAGTATAGTAGTAGCGTCGCTTTCAATTTTACCGAATAATTAAACAAATCATGACGAGTTTTAGCCTGTACCTACAACATCAAGACGGTCACCCCCGACCGTGTGCTGCCCAAATTTTCGCAGTTTGAGAAGGCAAGCCTTGTTAAAGTACGGTCTAAAGTGTTTTTAGACGAAATCGGTCGGCCAGTGCGCCGAGGAGTGCCACAAGCGAAAGTGCACAATGGCACAGTACGACTCGAATTTGCAAATTGTAAGTTGCCGTCTATATTGTTTAGGCCTTAACCCTTTAAATATGGCTCTTTTGCATTATCGGGGGACCAACTTTTTTCTACAAATGCAATTTTTTTGAATACGATAGAGAAAGTGTTTCTAAACTGTTTTTTACTGTTGCTAAGCGTAAAACCCATACAAATTTAGATTAAAAATACAGAAATAAAACTTTTGCCTAAAAAATTTTTAAAGTTTTTTATTTTTATAATTAGGTTTTACTGAAAACACTATTAAAACACTTCCTATTAGGTTTCTAGAAATTTCTGTTGTCATCGGAAAAAGTCCCCCCCCCCCCCGATAATACGAAAGAACCGGTATATTCCCACTATATTAAACTACAGTATTACTACTTTAACTCTGAATTTCAGTGTTCAATGACGACGAAACCTCGACCATCCTATGAGTGCACCAAGGAGGTAGCCGTCCTCACCCAAGGAATCCTGCCCGTCACCCTCGAATGCGTCCAGTGTGGATTGTAAAGTAATCTTCCACTTCTAAGCCCCTTTAAAGCTTGATTTCATCCCGTAATCAATCTCCCCGACAACCCGCCACCTCTCAACTGCTCGTATCCCATTTATAGTGGCTTTCAAACCCCCCCGAATTCCGCAGCCTTTCAAAAAATTACCGTTATTTTGTGCCGGTCGTACTGGTAATTGTGTTTTTCGCTTATTTTTGGTGTTATTGTTATCATAGTTTTTTTTGTGAATCACCCGATCCAGGCCTGCCCTCAGCTTTGCCCAACCCACATTGCCCATCTCAGCGTCGTGCTCCACCCCCCAAAATTTTGCCGTTTTTTTGCTCATCAACCACCCGACTGTGGTTTCTCAAGGTTTACAACGCGTCTTGAGGGGTTTGGAGGGTATCAAATTATGAGAACGATACCTTATCACGCTCCAAACCCTTCAGAACGACTGAATTCACCCCTTTAACCCCCCAGACATTCCATGGCCAGATTGCCTAGTCCCAGACGCACACAAAAAAGGTTAGCCCACATTCCATACCCCCTGAAAAAATCTCTATTTTCTAAACTTTTATTATTTTGCCCTCACATTCCACCGTCATTCTTCTACTTCCTCGTTTCCTAAAGCATTTTCGCCCAGTGCCGGTTGTGACGTGTATAAAGTGCTTGTGTGTGCGTAGTAAATAAGTCTGTTTTTACTACACGACATTATTAACAGCTTAAAAATGTAAGTCGCGCGCTGCCTATTCAACCATGTAGTAAATTTAGGGCAGTCATCACGGGATATCTATTTTTTTTCCTTTCGCATCCACTTTCAGTTTCAGAAGATCTGGTCTCGAAATTTCTTGCAGCACGGTCATTTATCTAAAACAAACTATTTTTCAGCAATAGCCGAGATATACCTAACCCGTCCTCGCCGTAATAAGTAGGTATCATATTCGAGAGGCACGTGACAGCGGTAAACGGGAATTGTCGTCGCATTTCACGTCTTTATATTGATTCGCGTACTGACTCCTTCCGGCTCTCGGCTAGCGCAGAATTACCTCCAGAATATCGTGATGTCGACCGGATCATGGATTACAACCGTCGATCTCATTGAGAAAGAGTATCGCAGCGGCTGGCATTACATTTCTTGGCTGAAAAAGTCAATGGCGATGCGGCTTGGTCCCCGCCTGGTCTCGGTTTTTTTTGGAATTTATCGGCACGACAATCGTTGTCAACTGATTGATTGGACCGGATACTGAAGTGTCGTCTTCCTGGCCTGAAAAATACAAAGAAAAAGAAAAAATATACCTTATGAGCCTTGTCAAAAGCAACTGCTGGACTTGACGAAACGTATTTATTTTTTCAGCTTCATTGTTCTTGTTTCACTGGCGGCACAATGACGACAAGCACGACCAATAACGTCCACACGTCGCCAGGAGCTCGCACACTAAAAGACAACTGGGCTACAGGACATCCCCCGTTTGAACTCCAGATGTTGGCGCCACCGATGACGTCGATAGCATCTGCCAGGAGCGGAACTTCCCTCTCCCGAAAAATCAATATTCTTTTGCGGGGAAAATTTTTTGGTGACCTAATGGTTATATGCTCAATTTTGCTCGTTTTTCAGCTCTTCTGGTTGGCTTTGCCTCACTGCCAAGTTCGAAAAAGTGAAGGAGACTGAGACTATCCGGAACTTAACCCATTTTCAAGCCTCTGAAGCTCAAATTATCACGCGAATTTGTCTTCTTAAGTATTAAAATATCCGGATTTACATGATCTGTGACTATTTCAACTGACTTTTTCAATAACCTCTGTCCAAAAAAGCATTTGAGAAACTCGCACACGTGCTATTCGACACATGAGCTCCACGGAGGCTTCAGATGATGAAGTTGGAGGGTGAGTTAGGGCAGCTTCACGCTTTGCCCTTATTAATTCCTGTCGCAACTTCTCGTTCAGCGAACAATACAAGTGGGAGAAGCTGCTGAAGCACCGGTTCAACGACGAGAGCGGCGTATACGAATACTACACAAAATGGGAGGGATATCCCTCGTCGGAGAATACATGGCAAACCGCCGTCTCTTTTGTGAGTGTTTCTTTCCTTCTATATTCTTTTCTTTTTTTGCTTCTCTTCTAGTGATCATAACGATGGTAAATCCCCTCTTTTTACTATTCCAAAATGTAAAAATCGTCAAAAATGATCGATTTTCGTCCAAAAATTTCTATCCTATTTTTTTTGTTTTTGTTTTTCCACTTGAACTATAGCTAAATTTTACCAACAAAACGTTAGACTACTTATTATTACGTTAATAGGCAATTCTGGATTTAAAGGAGAAAGTTATAGTTGTCTAGTCACTTAGAACCTACGACAGTTTACCGAATAGTCTGAAAAGCCCGCTCGATTAGATTAGGTTTATATTTCTCCTAAAAACTTCTATTTATTAAATTTTTATAATTTTTTGTTATATTTCGATTAGTTTAGCAGCCCTTGATATAGTCCAGGGCATGTAGGTATCTAAAACTGCGCCCTACCACCGTATGTACGTCAGGCAGGGCGCCTTTCTTTCTCCGCCGGAATTCCATTTCTATTTTCATTTTCCGGCCTAAAAACTTCCCTTTTTCTCGATAGCTGTAAAAACTATGTTTAGATCAAGCCCTTACCTTGTTCATAATGGCCGGTTCTTACTTTATTCGACTTTTCAGAGCTCCGTTGATGCTGTCAAGGGCTATTGGGAGCGCATCGAAGACAAAGTCGAAGATAGACTCAAGGTTACCAGCTTTTTTATATCAAAATTTTCGTTCAGAACTGCCACCCGAACAAGCGGAACCATTTTATGGAGCTGCACGCCGAAGTCAAGAAGGCCATGGAAGTGGTGAGTTTGATTTTCTTTTGGTTCTGGACCTTGGTGATGTTTCGTATAAAAAATTGTTTTTAGGATGTCTGGCCGCGCTGGGAGCTGGAAACGACGCTAGAAAGCCAGGAGGATGATGAGGGATCGACAGAAAAGGAGGACGAGGATGAAGTGAGGAGGCAAGCCAAGGCCAAGAAGAAAGCCGAAAACGAAGCCGGCGGAAAGTCACGACGAGACGATGAAGCGGGACCTTCGACCAAGAAACAAGACAAAGAAAAGAAGAAAGCTCGCAAACAACCTGAAGTTGATGAGGCGGCCGCAAAGAAAATGAAGGACAGTGCGTTGTGGAAGGAGCGACAAGCGCAAGACGAGGCCTGGCAAGAGGAAAATAGGAAAAAGCAGGCTCTTGAAGTGTCGAAAGCGCGAGAAGTCTTTAAAAAGGCTGACGGCGATAAGAAAAAGCTTACGACCCCCGAGAAGCAAAAGAAGGACGGCGATAAGAAAAAGCTCACAACTCCCGAAAAGCTGGCCGAGCAAGCGAAGAAGCAACAGGAAGCGGAGGAGGAGCAAAAACGGATCGAGGAAAGACGCAAGCGTAAGAAGGAGAAGAAAAAGGCCAGGAAGGAAGCGCAACGGCAAAAACGGGTGCAAGAACAAGGGCTCAAGATCAAGATCAAGCGGTCGACCATCGAGCCGCAGCTTGAGGCCCAGGATGTCGAGATGGAATCAATCCCGCCCGCACAAGCCGCCACTCCCGGTCCTTCTGGTGACCAGCCTGATCCGCCGAGGTTGGTTTTTGTAAATATGTCTCTCGAACGGTTGGACTTTTTCGGCGGTATTTTAAGGGGTTTTCTTGTTTGATTTTTTACTGAAAATGTATAGCTTATTTCTTATTTTTCAAATTTCAGGGAACCCTCGCCGGATCCGCCGGCAGTCAAGCGCGCACGCCGCAGCCCGTCAGCCACTCCGATGCTCGAAATCGTCGAGGCTTCGCCGGAAGAGATGCCAGACCCGCCGCAGAAGGACGTCGAAGAGCCGCAACAAGCTGCCCAAGAAGAAGCGCCGGTGGAGACGTCCAAGTTCGGGGGCTGGATTCCTAACATCATGGAATTTCTGGCTTGGGAAAAGGTGAGTTTCTGTTCTTTTTTTTTACTTTTTTTGAACGTTGCTTTGCTGATGCATTTTCTTTTTTAGGTTGACCCCAACAAGCCGCCACCGAAACCCTACAAACGCATCGACCCAAAAACGCTGGGCCTCGACCCGGATCTGCTGTTAGAGGACGAGGAGGAAGACAACAAGGTAAGATATGCAACTTTTCGGTCATTTCTTTAATTTTTAGCCCTATAACTGTCGCACCGTCGTCTCGGTCCGCCATCGTGATCTGCTGATTAGTCGACGACTAGTAAGCGTTTTAGCGGTTTTGGAATTCTTGTTTTTAGTGGTCAACTCTCCCCGACCTGCCCGTCCCCGAGCCTGGCGAGACGTTGATCACAAAGTGGGATTCTTGCGGCATCGCGCTGGGCTATGAGGTAATTACGCTTTTTTGGTAAAATCGGCGACAAGCTTTTTCGTGGAATCTAAATTTTGCAATAGAATTCGTGAAACCTCGACGCTTTTTGCTAACGGTTAGATACTAGCTGTAACTCTACTGTGTATATCTGAACTTCTAGGGAAAAAATACAGATTCCCCCGTTTTCGGGTTTTTTTGCTTGCTGAACATTTCTAAACCCAATTTTCCAGCCGTCATTCATCAAGCGCATCGCGCGCGCTGAGCTCGGCCCGTTCGTTACCGTCGAATACCGCGATCGCCAAGACGTGCAGCTGATCCCCGCCGAGTTCCTGCTCATGACACGCCCCGATCTCCACTATCAAGTCAAGCAGCGCCTCAAGACCCTCCCGGCCACCGTCAACACGCTGGCCACCGAGATTCAATGGCGGTTGCCCGGCCTTGAATTGCTAAAATTTTAGTCACGACTTTTCCTATTGTTAGCATATTTCGATTGTGATCTCGGTGGCATTGACTATTTGCGTTACAAGATATCTTCGGTTATGTACTTACAAATTGTTGCAATAAAGTATAACTTTTCAAAAAACGTTCCAAAGAGATTTCGAAACTCCGCATTTTCAAAAAAATTTATCAGATTTCTCCAAAAAAATGCACATAAATGCGAATAGATTCACAACGAGGGATGGTGGAACAGGGTCGGGTTCGGGTTGCACAAATGTAGAGATGCTTCTTGTTCTGATTGTCGCCCTACGAGTTCTTCTGCGGCACCTTGATCGTGACGGTCTTGACCTCGGTGTACGCCTCGAGCCCGTACTCGCCCAACTCGCGGCCGATACCTGAAAAAAGTACATTAGTAAATACAATTTCCTAATTAGTAGCTCGTGAAAATTCCTCACCAGACTGCTTGTAACCGCCGAATGGAGCCGCCGCGTCAAACACGTCGTAGCAGTTGACCCTGAAATAGAATTTATAGAAACCAAATAAAAAGTAGATTTTGGCTGTTAGAAAGCCTTAAAAATATTTAAAATTTGTCATACTTTTTGAACAAAAAATCGAAAATTTTCGGACATTTTGACTGAACCCTGTAAAATACAATAAAACTGTTTATATTTCGCTATAGGCCGTACGGAATTACCGCTTTCCCGAAAAGTATAGATAGCTTACCACACAGACCCGGCGCGAATGTTGTTGGCAACGTAGAGGGCGCGATCGATGTCCTTGGTCATGACGGCGGCGGCGAGTCCATAGATGGTGTTGTTGGCCTTCTCGACGAGATCCTCCATCGAGTCGAATCGGATCACCGACATGACCGGGCCGAAAATCTAGAGAATTTGAGATCACAACGCGTCCCGCAAGTTCACCTCCTCCTGCGCGATCGTCATGTCGTCCTTGACGTTGGCGAAAATGGTGGGCTCGACGTAGTGGCCCTTGTCGCCGAACTTCTTGCCGCCGGTCACCTGGAAAACGCAAAAATATGAAAATATTTAAAAAAACATATAAATCTAAACAAAATTTACCAATTGCGCTCCCTCGCGCTTGCCGGCCTCGATGAACTTGAGGATGGTGTTGACCTGGTTGCCGTCAATCTGGAAAAGATTTTATGATTTCTAGGAAAATTCGAAAAACCTGCGGGCCCTGGTCGGTCTTGAGGTCGAACGGGTCGCCGACGACGCGCTTCTGCGCCAGCTCCTTGCTGCGCGCCACAAACTCGTCGTAGACCTGGAAAAACGATTTGCGGTGACAAAATTCATCAAACAAAACGTAAGGGAAGGTTTTTCAAACTATCTAATTTAAAAACTAGAAATAAATTTATTGCGAAAAAGAAAATCCATGTTGCGACGCTGAAGCCTCACCTTGCCCTCAACAAAAGTGCGACTTCCGGCGCAGCAGCACTGGCCCTGGTTGAAGAAGAGCCCGTGGTGGGCCTGTTGAACAGCCTCGTCGAGGTTGGCGTCGGCGAAGATGATGTTCGGCGACTTTCCGCCCAGTTCGAGCGTGACCCTAGATGGATTTGATTTTTTACTACCAAAAATTGTACTTCTTGATGTTGCTGTTCGCCGCCTCCTTCATCACCAGGCGTCCAATTTCGGTGGATCCGGTGAAGGCCAGCTAAATAAGCGACTTGAGCCGTTAAACTTTCTAAAGCAAACCTTGTCAATGCCCATATGCTGTGCCACGGCTGCTCCGGCCGTCGGCCCGAAGCCGGACAGGATGTTGACGACGCCCTCTGGGAAACCGGCCTGAAAAACAAAATTTTATCAGCTTTTTAGCCTCTTATACCTCACGAATCAAAGAAGCGACGTGCAGGGCAGAAAGCGGCGTCTGTTCAGCCACCTAAAATCTATTTTCCAGACATCGCGAAATCTTCAAACCTTCATCACGACAGTGTTGCCCATGGCCAAAGCTGGGCCCAGTTTCCACGCCTGCATCAGAAGTGGGAAGTTCCACTGGAAAAAAGATTAATTGAATAGTTTATTGTATTTAAACAGAAATTTGGTTCTTTCGTATTATCGGCGGGGGGGGGACAAAAAAAAAACACAAGAAGTTTTGTGTTTCTAGAAATGCCAGTAACTTAATAGGAAGTCTTTTAACAATGTTTTTAACAAAAACAACACTATACTGATTCAGAAAAACTTCAAAAACTCGAAATGCTGGTCAAAAAATGCCATTTTTGCTCAAAAAAATCTATATTTATTGTTTTTCTAGTAAAAATTTGCAAGGCATCTACGTATGGACCTAGGACTCTACGTAGGAGAAACACCTTTCGAAAATGTGAAAAGTTGCCCCCCCCGGGTAATGCGAAAGAACCTATTCAATTCTCTATCAGAAATTTTCGAGCAAATCTCACCGGGATAATCTGACCGCAAACGCCAACGGGCTCATGGCGCGTGTAGGTGAAATGGTCGCCGGCGATCGGGATCGTCTTTCCGTGGTTCTTGTCGGCCCATCCGGCGTAGTATCTGAAAAATACTTGATAAAATAAGCCAAACAAGCCAAAACAAACCTCATGCAAGCAATAGACAACCCCAAGTCAGCGGCGTACGAGACGGAGTACGGCTTGCCGTTGTCGAGCGTCTCCAGGGACTAAAAGAAATGATAAAGCGATCAAGAATAAGATTACAGCCAAAATCTGGCGATCGCGCTCCATCAGGTCGGCCAGGCGGTTGAGCAGCACCCCGCGCTGGGCGGCGTCCATCCGGCGCCATGGCGAGCCGAGGCGGAAGGCTTGCTGGGCGGCCTGGAACAAACAATAAAACATTTTTGACAAATAAATAATAGTGGCGAATGAAAATTTTTGATACCTTCACGGCGGCATCAACATCGGCGCGATCTCCCTCGGCGACATCAGCGATCTTCTTGCCGGTGGCCGGGTCGTGGGTCTCGAACGATTTGCCGCTCTTCGCGTTCACGAACTCGTTGTTGATGAAGAGCTGCAAAAAGAGAAGTAAAATCACTGTCTAACACCAAACAAAAAAATCAAGAAAAATGAGTTTCTCGAAAATTTGCCAATGTCAAAAGTATCGTCGCGTTGGTGGGCAACATAGTTTTTGTAAAACTTTTATCGACTAATTTTCGGGTTCTTTCGCATTATCGGGGGGAGGGGGGGGGGTAGCGAACTTATTCTTAAGTCCAGTAATGTCTTCTAACTGAATAGAAGGTAATTTGTAGTGTTTAAGTGAACTAGATCTACATTTCAGCTGGAAAAAAACGAATGCTTCCACGATTTATATTCGAAAAACTGGATCGTATGAAAAACGTTGGTCTCCCCGATAATGGGAAAGAACCTTCTACTGAATTCGTCCAAAATTTACCTGCGTGTACTTTGGCTGAATGTTCCTGGAAGGGGCCGGGACGCCGGATCCATGGCGGATCGCCTGCCGAGCGAGTCTCGACAACATACCCTAAGCTGAAAAAGTTATATAGAAACGTACAGGCAAACAGGTAAGAGAACATCAGAAAACGGCAGGTGAAAAGAAAATCAATCTAAAACCCCCCCATAAAAACCATTGGACCGGGGGATCCCCCTCACTCAGAAGAAAGAAAGACCACTAAAAAAAGGTCACGCCGGTGGCCGGGCCGAGATTTCTTATCGGTGAGGAGGCGCTGAAGGAGGCGAGGAGGGACGGAAGGACGGAAAGTCAATTCAGGCGGCCACAAAAAGGCAAGGGGGCCTGAGTCATAAATTATGCACACGAGGGCGCCAAGGGGGCACGTCGCGATGAAAAGGGTTCTTTTCAAGGCGTTGGGCTGAAACAAATGATTGGAGGCCAAAAAGTGCCCCCTAGCCCAAGTAAAACAAATTAGATGAGTTCGAAAAATGCCGCTCAAGCAAAAGAGATTCCGGGGCAAAAGTTTTTTTGATAATTTTTGGGCTTCTTGGTCGCTTTTTCGCGGCTAATTTAGCGCAAAACTCGGCTCATAAGCTCAGAGCGACCGAAGCTCGGTTAAGCTAGGCTTAAACGAAGCTAATCCGAAGCCAAGAACCAGTTAAAGAACCTAAACTACGACGTAACTTGCCTAACAACTAGCTAACTAACAGCTTGTAAGTCGAGCTGAACCCGCCAATTAGCCGGCCCTACGCATACTCCAAGCCCGCTAAGCCAATACAAAGCGGAGTCAAAGCCAAGCTAAGCCTAAGCAAGGAGAAAACGAATAAGAATGACCGAAAATGAGCTAAAAATTTACCAGGCCGAACTTGAATAGTACCGATTCCGCTAAAAGTGAAGCGATCGGCCTGGAAATAAGATTCCTAACCTCTACCAGGTGTTCTTTGCCAAAGCTCAAGTCACGCGAGTATCAGGTATCAAGAGGGGAAAAGCCCCGAAAGTTGACCCAAAACCAAAAAAAACTAGACATCTCAAAAATAATCAAAACGCCGGCCAGTAGCCCATTTGTAAAGCGGAGGCTCAATTGAATCCCCCCAACGACTATCCGATCCTCACGTGGCCATGGCCGCGCCACACAGACGATTCTTTTGGCGAGCAGCGTGAAAAAATGGGGCTGAAAGGCAAATAAGAACGCCGGACCCTGGCCGGGGGAACTGTGTGATGACTGATTGGGGGCCCATCAGGCCACCCGGCTGGGCGGAGATCGGAAAATGGCACCAAGAAACCGCCCGAGGAGACCAAAAATGACGCGGAATCGCCAGAAGCCTGATGATTTCGGGCTGAGAAGCTTTAGGGGAGCATGGAAACAGTGTTGGGATGAGAGGTTGACGTTACTTGAGGAGCACGAAGAGGCACAAACAGCACAACAAATTGCTCCCATTTTGAAGTCCCACCCTCAATTCTTGATGGCCCTAAAAAAAACATCAATTTGCATACAAAATCAGATTTTGCCACAATAATTGCATTTTCCAGAAATTTGGCCCGTATCCTGAAGGCAAAAAAATCACTTAAGCACATTTATCGCACAAACCTCGTTTCTCCAAAACCCCCATTTTATTGCCATCCCCCTTTTCTCGAAAATCCCAGGCCAAAACTGACCGGACACCAGCTAAAAACGGAACCGTATCACCTACTCGCTTTCTTTATCCCATCACATGGCGGGGATATCCCCGCCTTTTCCGATAACTGCCCCCGCACTGTTTACAGGCAACACTTTCACCATCTTTAGCGTTATCAGTTTGACTGAATGTTTCCGTTTTCATTGGTTTCAGGCTGCCTTCGAAGGCGCGCACGTGCTACTTCGTCTTCGCTAATAAATTTGGCGAATTTTCGAAAATCCGAAAATCCGGTTTCAGAAGCTCCGAGTAGCTTCTATAGCTGGTATCCGTCATTAAGTATCGCAACGGAAGGTAAATATCGTGATTTTTCTAAAATTTTATTTTGCTAAAATTAAAGTTTCTAATAATATTCTTTTTTTCCTATTTCACCGATTTCGGGTGATAGAGGCCGCTGTTTTGCTATTGTCAAATCGTAAAGTTCAAGGATCACTACCGACTCTGGAAACTTACTTATTTTCATTTTCTATGATTTTTGAATAGCTGACTCCTGATAAAGGTGCTATTTTTGTCTATTTCTACCCATTTCTATTGATAGAAGCCGCTGTTTTGTTATAGATTTTCAAATCCTGAGGCTCAAGGATCACGCAGCTTCTCAAACCTCCCTTTTCAATAATTTTTCGATTTCGGACTCCATCCTTGTAGCCAACCGGCTCGAGCTGTATATTGCAACAAGCGAGGCTTATGGGGAGGATGGCAACGACATGCTCCTCACCCCGCTTTGTGACCGCTCTCGGCTGGCCTCTGCCTGGGCCAAGGGGCAAAAGAGGGAGAGACTTGAAGCCCGCAAAACCCGTTGAGAGCCCCTTCCCCTCGCTTCACGCTAGCGGGAAATGGGTGAACGGCCTCGGTGATATAGTTCCTTAGTTTTCTGCTATTAATTTAGCCATTGCAACGTTTTCTAATTTTTTAAATTCACTAGATTTTCATTTTGTGCGCTATTTCCTGGTTTTCTTCCCTTTTTTCGGAACGTTTTCCTCGTTATTGCAAAATCACAATTCTTTTCCAGCAGCCCAGATGATCTCCCGAGGGTTGTTGTTGAAGCGCGCCGGCGCCGGATACCGTCAGGTTTCCCCATACAGGTAAAAATCTTGGAAATTTTTACTTTCGAATCCTGGTATCTTAAAACCAATTTTTTTTCCAGCGGCCTCACCTCCGAGGAGTTCATGCGCCAGCCGGCCGGCGTCAACGAGCCGATTCTCGAGTACAAGCGCGGCAGCAAGGAGCGCACGGATCTGGATGCCGAGCTGAAGGCGATGTCGGCCAAGCCGACCGACGTCCCGCTGTGCATCGGCAAGAAGAAGGTCGCCGGCAAGCTGGACAGGCGGCAGGTGATGGTATGTTTTTTCGGCAAATCCTGAAAAATTCTAAATTTAGCCCTTCGAGCACAAGACGACGTTGGCCCGCTTCTCGCACGCCACCTCGGAGCAGATCGTTGAAGCCATCGAGGCCGCGCTGTCGGTGCGCGAGAAATGGGACCAGACTCCGTTGAAGTGAGTTTATAATTTGGTGGCACGGAAGTCGATTTCGTGACAGAAAATTTGAGGAAACCTTTGAGAATTCGAGGCCAAGGAAACTAGGAAAAAAAACGAAATATTCTTGATACGAGGCAGTCAAAATACCTTTCTAGAAAACGTGCTGATATCCTGCTCCACGCCGCCGACCTGGCCGCCACCAAGTACCGCATGAAGCTGATGTCGTCGACGATGCTCGGCCAGGGCAAAAATATCTATCAGGTAATCTTGCAAATTTTTGAACCTATTTTCTTCTAGGGTGAAATCGACTCCACCTGCGAGCTGATCGACTTCCTGCGCTTCAGCGCCAAGTTCGCCCTCGACGCCGAGAAGTGGCAGCCGATTTCGATCAAGACGTCCACGAACAAACTCGTCCTTCGCGGCCTGGATGTGCGTCCTTTCGTTTCTTTCAAAACTGTATTCTTTAGGGTTTCGTCGCTGCCGTGGCCCCGTTCAACTTCACCGCCATCGGCGGCAATCTGTCGGCTGCTCCGGCTGTGATGGTAATTTTTTTGAAAGTTGCAGGCCTTGAGCATTTTGTGAAAACGCGGTTGAAGGGCGTATCTACTCTCGTGTGCTCATTACTGATTAGGCGCGCATATTCTGTTTGCACAGGGCCCGTTGTTGTTTCCGAGCGTAGCCGCCCCGATACGACCTTCATTCTTTCCAGGGTAATGTGGTGCTATGGAAACCGTCGGATACCTCCGTCCTCAGCAACTATGTCGTGTACCAGATCCTCGAAGAAGCTGGTGGGTTTTTGAAAGCGTTTTATATTCCCTGTAATCAGGAATATTCTCGAGTTCTTACGATTGAACTTTCATTCTGGAGGCTTTCGCAATATCGGGAGGGCAACCTTTTTCGCAAGAGCTCAAAATGCTTCGTAACGTGGTAGCAATTATTTTATTCGTGATTGGGCCGCATAAAACTAGGTTTAAACTTAAAAAAATTTTAAAGTTTTTTCAAAAATCGAAATTTTGGTCGCGAAATCTTTAGTTCTGTGTTTTTTAATGAAAAGTTGTAATTTTACCTCTAGAAATTGTAAAAAACAGGTCATAAACGCTGGCGCTAATTGTATCTGAAACATCGGATTCTAAAAAAAAATAGGACCCCTGATAATGCGAAAAAAACATCTTTTCCTTTAGGTATCCCCGCCGGCGTCATCAACTTTTTGCCATCCGATGGGCCGACGTTCGGCAACACGGTGACGAAACACCCCGAGCTCGCCGCCATCAACTTCACCGGCTCCGTGCCCACGTTCAAGACGCTGTGGAAGAATGTGGCCAACAACCTCGACTTCTACAAAACGTTCCCGAAACTTGTTGGAGGTGATTTCCACTTACTTGTTGTTTATTATTTCTCTAGAATGCGGCGGCAAGAACTTCCACTTCATCCACCCATCCGCCAACGTGGATACGGCCGTCGCAGCCACCGCGCGATCGGCTTGGGAATATTCTGGTGAGCGAATTTTCTGTCTTTATTCGATAGTATTTTCTCCTTAAAATTAGGCTAATTTTTTGAAAACACTATAGAAATATTGGCATTTCCGGACTTTTTAAAAGGAAATCTCTTCACCTCGATATTGCCACAGCGCCATCACTTACCTTGATTTTTCAGGCCAAAAATGCTCGGCCTGCAGCCGCGTCTACATTCCGAAGAGCATGTGGAACAGCTTCCAGGAGAAGCTCGCCGTCATCCACAAGCAGATCAAGCTGGGAGACGTAAGAAATGCTTTCAAATTTTAGTCTATCGGTTTTCAGGTTCGTGATGGGTCCGTCTTCATGTCGGCCGTCATCGATGACAAGTCGTTCGCCCGCAACAAGTCCTACGTCGACTTCGCGAAGAGCGGCGGAAACGGCGCAAAGGTAGAATATTCAGCTGGTTTTGGAATTCTCTGTTTTAGGTGATCCTCGGCGGCAACTGCGACGACTCGAAGGGGTACTTCATCGAGCCGACGCTGATCCAGGTCGAGAGCCCGAAGAATAAGCTGATCCAAGAGGTGCTGTTTCCGAAAAATTGCATCTAACGTTTTTTAGGAAATTTTCGGACCAATTCTAACAGCCTACGTGTATGATGATAAGGACGTGGACAAGACGCTCGGCTCTTTGAAGGTATGGATTTTGTTGTTTTTATTTCAATTCCAGATAACTATTGTAATACTTATTTCAAAAAATATTTTTAGGACGCCACGCCGTTCGGTCTGACTGGCGCCGTGTTCTCCGGCGACAAGGACTTCCTGTACAAGGCGCGAGACAAGCTCCGGGACGCCGTCGGCAACCTATACCTCAACGACAAGTCCACCGGGGCTATCGTCTCGCAGCAGCCGTTCGGTGGCGCTCGCATGTCAGGTGAGGCTTTTGCGACGCTTGCTGGTGGACCGAAGAGAACGGCAAGCGTTGCTCGGGTTTTTGGAATGAGATGCAAAGCCGGGCTCGCTTGGCAAAAGAGAGACTTTTGAAAGCGCCTGAAAAATTTTGAATTGTGCGAAAAACCGAAATCGGAAGGATAAAAAAGGTTCTGTCCCATTATCGGGAATCCAAATATTTCCTAGACTCCAGAAAAGGCTAGTGCATTTTGCACGAATGAAATTTGCAAAAATTCTACGTGCAGGATGGTCAAAAATAATTTTAGAAACATTTCCTCTATTTTTATTGGAAAGCAAATTGGAGTCTGAACAAAAAAATTGGTCCCCACGATAATGAGAAAGAACCCAGAAACGTTTGAACGCTGCTGAAAAATAGTTCGTATAAAAAAAATCGAATATCCTTCTTTTTCAGGCACCAATGATAAGGCCGGTGCCCCGCAGTACATGCTGAAGTGGACGTCGCCGCAAACGATCAAGGAGACGCACGTCGAGCTGCCCGACTGGCGATACCCGTCGATGGATTGAAGCGCCTACACCGATCACTCGAATCCACCACTTTCCCCACTATGAATCGAGTTGTGTGCCGTTTTATTCAATTTCCCGCCCTGTTCCCCCGTGTCTTATAACCCTTCTCGCTCCCCGTTTTTCTTACTACTTGCATAATTGCGGGACGGCGTGTCCATGATTGGCTTCTCGGGGTGTCTTCCGTTTGTTTTGAGTGCTATCAGCCAAACATTTTTGTAGCCCTAGCCCACGATAGAGTCACATTCAGCCCGGTACTTGTTTGTGTTTTTCTTTTCTTTGTTCGCTGTGAGTAATTTGTGCGTAGATGTAGTTTCCTCATATTAATAAAGTTTTTCGATTTTTCATGGCCAGGAGGAGAAGGAGACTTATCGCATCAATTCGATAATACAATTTTTCTGGATTCGACGCGCTTTCGAAGTTTGCAATTCCCAATAGATTTCCAGATGCGTTTCTATGAGGGTAAAGATTGGACAAATGTTTCTTTCGAAGGTATGCTTTTGCTAGATGCTAACTTGATGCTTCTTGAGTTCTCTCGCGTTATCGGGGGAGGATTCACCTTATTTTTCAAATGTAGATAGTAGAAGCGTTTCTAAACGGTTTTTGACTAAAAAACTGACTGAAACTTTAAAAATGACCAGGGTTGAAAAGCCGCTTCGCGACTTTTCAACCCTGGCCCCGTCTTGGACCGCATGCTGTTCTACGCTTTGCATAATTGCGCTCAATTCAGATGACAAAAAAATGACAATGATTCGCTTGTGACCCTTTATGTAGGCGACTCCCACTTCCGGTCAACGCTAATTTTTCCTAGCGAAGAGGGTTTTACAAAAGCTTAAATTTAATATCGAAAATGACTGATTTTTATAAATCTGATATGTGTGCAGTCATCCCCAGACCATTGCGCACCTAATGACATATCGTACCCACCCCTGACTGCTTCCCCTATGGAGATACTACTGGAACAACGATACGGAAGTGGATGCAAAGTGGCACACACACACACACACACACAGACACTACTTTTTTATATATAGTAGGATAAAAATAATGGGTTTTTCTGCCAAAATTTCGACTTTTTCAAAACTGTACAGTTTTTAAATATTTTTATTCTAGTTGAGTGAGTTATAGTTGACGGCGCTACTTCAGTTTGCTGGCCCCACTTATATATGGCCAAAACCTCATTTTTCTGGTTCAGTTTTTTGCGCTGATTACGGAAAACACTATCCCAGCCCACGAAAATGAAATCGTGAATTTTGAGGGGAGAAAACACTTGATTTTCGATTTTTCTGGTTTGAGTTTTTAAAGGGGGTCAACCCGGTGTTTTGATGCGGGAGGCCTATAAAACAGTGGAAAAAGCTTTTTCCAACGAGGCTGAGCGATTGCATCCGCTTTTTTTCCTAAAAATAAGGCTTCGTGCCACCCCGGGGCCTAGTCGCTTCGGATGGGTGCGAGCTCGTACAGGGTTTCGAAATCGGGGCGCCCGAGGCGCGCGAAGCGGCCAGGCGCCCCGATTTCGAAAGAGTGGAGCGGCAGCCCATCCGAAGCGACGGCCCGCCTTGCCTGACAATGCTACTGGCTGACTTTATTCATGATAAACCCGTTTTTGGCCATTATTTAATTAAAAAACCACAAAGGCTCCTTTTACGCGCCGCCGTAAAATGGATTTTCCCGACTTTCCAATTAATTGTTTTACTAAATCGCATTTTCGTGGGCTGGGATAGTGTTTTCCGTAATCAGCGCAAAAAACTGAACCAGAAAAATGAGGTTTTGGCCATATATAAGTGGGGCCAGCAAACTGAAGTAGCGCCTAGTTCACTAACACACTGTTAAAACTCTCTATTAAGTTACTAGACATTAATAGGCTTATACAAAAAAGTTCGGTCATCTCCCGATAATGCAAAAAGACCAATTCTTGTTATAAAATTTTCATTTTCCCGATTTAGTCGGCCGCAAGACGCTCAGAGAATGGCGCGAGGAACAGCTGCGACGCAGCGAAGAGGTTGAAACTGTCCCTGTAACACCATAGTTGTGTTTAGGTTGTTGAACTGTGGGAGCACGTGATCAGCCGATCTCCCTCGGCCCTCGGCGACGAGCTCTGGATGGTCTACGAGCAGGTAAAGATTTCGAAGATTCCTTAAAACAAATTCTTTAGGTGTGCATCGCCGCGCTGGACAGCGCGCGCAACGACCTGGCCCTGGAATGCATCCAGGCGCTCGACAAGCGATTCCCGCGCAGCAACCGTGTCCTCAAATTGCAAGCCATGCGACTCGAATCGCTTGAACAGTGAGTTTAGGATGATAAATTTATCTTGGTTTTAGATACGATAACGCGAACGCCATCTACACAAAGCTGATCGAGTCGGATGCGACAAATAATGTTGGTAATTACAGAAAGGGTTATTACTACATTTTTTTTCTTTTCTTGTCGCTGAACAAAATTTGACATTCATTTTCTCTTTTTTAACAAAACATTTTCAGTCCTACCGCAAGCGCAAAGTGAGCGTGCTGCTCGCCCAGGGCAAGCGCCTCGACGCCATCAAGGAGCTCAATGAATATCTCAAGGTATTCATCCAGACTTTTCAGACAGTTTTTTGTAGGTTTTCATCAACGACTCTGAAGCGTGGATACAGTTGAGCGAGCTTTTCCTCGTCGAATCCGACTACGCCAAGGCCGCGCATTGCCTCGAGGAGTGCTTGCTGGCTTCGGTATACCCTTCTTATAACTTTTCAACGGTAAAACTTAGCCGCTCAACGCGATCTACCTGCGACGGCTCGGTGACATTCGCTATACACAGGGCGGGCTGGAGAATGTGGAGCTGGCCAAGAGCTACTATGAACAGGTTTGTTTGCTATATGAGAATAATTTTTTCATCGAATGCGTTTTTTACGTCGAAATTCTTTGACAATCAATTGCAGGCCTACAAACTGAATCCGCAAGACTTGCGTTCGCAATACGGGATCGTGCTATGCTCGAATCAGATGGCGGGCGGCAAGGCTAGCGTCGAGAAGAAGCAAGAGCTCCGTACCTCGGCATCGGCTGTAGTTGAACGGATAGCGCAGAGGTAAGGATTTGTTCTCTGTCTCTCGCTCGCTATCTCTCTCCCTCTCTCCCTCTCTCTCTCTCTCTCTCTCTCTCTCTGTGTCTATTTTTTCTGGGTTTCGCGTTCTTTTTCTTCGCAAACTGGCTCTTTTTAGATACGAAGACGCGGCCGCTGACGGGCTGAACCCAGAAGCCCAGAACATTGCCGACACCGTTCGCAAGATGGGCTCGCAAATCGGCGGGAAATAATATTAGTGCCATTTTTATCAAACCTACTGTAATAATCGTGTGTTCGGAGCCCCCCATACATTCCCGCAATGTTTTTTTTTGTTTATTTCCCGCTCGATAAATTTTTTTGCAAGCAGCTGACAATTTTATTGTGAGGTCGGCGTACCAGAACGTTATTTTCGTGAACTTCTCGCCAGAAAACCTCTTGCAACTACGATACGATAAAGATTATTTTGATTTTATGATGGACTTTCAGTAGAAATGGACGTGCTGGAAGAGAAACTTGCTGAGATCGAGCGCGCGCTCGGCGTCAACGAATTTTCGGAAGTGAGTTTCAGATTTTCCTATATCTCTGCAAATTTCAGTAGAATTTTTGAGTTTATATTACTAACGTTAACATTTTTTAGGCAAAACCCGGTGACGTAGACCTGGAGTCGATCAAAAAAGTGCTCGAACAAAAGGGCTGCTCCCACGTTCTCAAGGTCCCCGGCAACGAATTGCGCCGAATGAAGGATCTTTTGGGAGAGGTAAACCCCAGTTAAATCCCGAAATATTCCTTTCAGCCCAATCTACAACCTCTGGATGAGAAGCTGAACACCGTTCAATACTGCAGCGAGATGATCCGAAAACGCGTAGAGCTGCTCGAGCAGTGGAAGACGCATATTATGGTGAGCTCTTGTTTTGAAGTGATTCTAGTCCTTTGTTTCCAGCCAGTGCTCCAATCCGAAGCCATCGCCGCTAGCCCACAGCACGCGGCTGCCCTCGAAGCGCTGGAAAAGGATATGCAAAAGACGTCCGAAATTTATCAAAGGTTTGAAGGAAAGTATATTTTATCCGTTCGTTTTAGAGAAATCATCGAACTCCTCACTTTCCGCGACGAATTCAAGGACATCATGAATTCCCTGAACAGCCGGGTACCTTTCATCCGCGTTTTTCTTATAATGCTTTTCAGCTAGAAAATGCGGCTTCCCGGATACGCGTTCTGGATGCGGCTGAAGAGGCTTCTTCCTGAGCTTGTGAATAACTGTGCATTGCTGTGTGCGTAATCTTGTAAAGCGGGTCGACGTCGATTAAATTTTTTATAAGTTAAGATGAAAACCACAATTGAAACCGGGTGACGAGGCGTGCGCACAAACATGAACCGGAGTATATCAAACATGTAATGGGTGTATGTATGGAGGCAATGGGTTGCTACCGTCAGAAGATCATTTTGAAGTGCTAACAGAGCGGGCGGATCAGAATACACGTCATCAACGAAAAAAGGAAATCCAAACGGGCTGGGGCAATGGCAGAGTGAAAGGGGATCGATTTGGAGGAAATGGTAGGCTTTTTTGGCCACTATGGCTCCTCGCGATAATCCTCTTCCATGCGGCCGAGGATGTAGTTGACGGCCTGTTCTTCATTCTTGTCGCACGCGATGAACGCCTCGATGCAGAGCGGCTCCGGGAAACCCATGTTCTTCAGACGCTGAACGGCGGCCACCTCTTCCTGAGACATCGTGATGACGGTCGAATTTGGCGGGAGGGGGCCACGTCCTCCTTGAGCGGGCTAAAAAAATAACACGTAGCTCTTGCTAGTAAAATTGCTTTAAATTACTGGAAAAAAAAATTGGGAATGCGGCCACAAAAATTTACCCGCTCCTGTCCACCTTCAGCTGCTCCTCGCTCGCCGTTGAGCAACTGCAGGAAGGCGTTCGGGTTGGCCTGGATGGCTTGCGCGGCCTCGGGGTTGGCTTGGGCGAACTGAAAAGAAAAGGTAGAACCGCGAGCATAGATTAATTCTACCTGCTGAATAAACTGGCCGAGCATCTGCGGGTTCTGCCTGATCATGGCGCGGATCTCGTCAAACTGCGGCAGGGCGGCGATGTAGTCGAGCGGATCCATGTCACCTTCTTCACCTAAAACACGATTTCAAAAACCCTCGAAGTAATCGATACCTTCTTGCAAATACTCGTCGACAGCGGCGGCGTTTGCCAACATGTCGTCGGGAATGCCGGTGATGAGGTACTCGACGGCTCGGTCGGGATTCCAATAGGCGGCGCGAAGGGCAGCAGTGACTTGATCCCTCGGATAGCCCATACCCATCACGGCTTCAACTTGGGTGAGCTGCTCGGGGGTGAGGGCTGAAAAAAACATTATAATCCGGTTTCATCAACGGACCTTCCGGTTCCTCAGCAGCCGGAGCAGCGGCCGGTGCAGCAACCGAAGGCGTGGCAACGGCTGGGGCATTCTGCTGGGAGTCGGTGTGGGCCTCGGCGGTGGCTGGCTGGGTCTGCGTGGTGGAGGTGGCCTCGGAGGAAGTAGGCGGCGGGAGCTTTTTCTGAAAGAAAACACAGTTCAGGGAGCCGCTTTCCTCTTACCTTGACAGCCATCAGCACGATGAACTTCTTCGGGTCATAGCCGATTTCCTCGAATTTTGCGCCATCGTCGAGGATCTGAGAGAAAATGTATGAAGCAGACAATCGAAAATGCTACCTTTCCATTGTAGATGATCTTGGTAACGTCAGCGGCGTAGTCGGCTCCCTTCGTCTCTTCCAGCGTCTTCTTCAATTCACCGATCTAAAAAAAAACTTTGAAGAGCGCTCTGAAAAATGTTACCGTCTGCGCCGGGTCGACGTCGAGGTTGAACTGGATGTTCGTGATCGTCTTAAACGTCACGCCGATCATCCTGGAAAGAAGAAGTATAAAAAGAGTTTACGATGTTCATGAAAACCGGAAATTGTTAGTAAAATGGCTAATGGAAAGCAAAAAAAGCCAAGATTTAGGATGTTAGAGCAAGAAAGAGTCCCCGCTTTCACGGCGAGCGAATACGACGCTTCAAAAGCAAGAAAAAAAGGGTGAAACAGCTCGTGCGGGGTGAGTTTGGGCAAAATTTTCGTTTCGAAACAAATTGACCTTGATAAACAGGTCCAAAAAGGAGGCCACAACCGTTAGCTGAAACCTGATTCTTCTCGTTTGTAAAGTGTTTATTAGTTGGCAATCCTAGTAAAAGTCTACAAAACGAAAAACAAGATTTCCAGCGAAGAAAAACAAGAAAATGTCAGCAACCGGTCAAACGGTGGCGATGACAATGTGTCCGCGGCGAACCTCTGCACACTTTTGTCGTTTGTGGCCCGCCTCGGATTCGCCGGCCCAACAAAAAAGGAGAGATTGCGGGCTAAATAGTTTATTACTATTGTCTGAACTTTGTTTTATTAAATTAGAAATGAGTTAAAACATCTTTTCAGGATGGAGAACCTCATACGGGAACGCGATATCGCTGGACTGGAGCAACATTTCGCAGGCGCCAAGGATGAGTTGTGAGTTTTTACTTTCGAAATGTTTCACCATGGATGTAGTAAAATCTTTGGGGCTATTTCGTCAGCCGACTTTGGCTTCTACCGACCCCGTCCCGTTTTTGCACCGATTCTAGGGTAGTTCGACCCGCTAAGCACGTAAAGCTTCATCTCAGGTTGTTCTTAGATAAAAATTTGAGCCCAGCTCGTCAAACTACCCGAAAATCGGTGGAAAACCGTCAGCCAAAATAGGCCGCGTGGCCGAAACAGCGATTCTTCCAAATCTGTCTGTTATTACGAAAAGTAGATCGTTGCGGCGGTTGCAGTTTTCACGCATCACGTTTTCACGTATATCCAGTAGAATCTCTGGTTATTATTAGCTGCCATGAAATAACAATGTCCTTTCAGCCGCCCGGAATTCCTTCAAAATCACGTCGACTGCCTGCTGCAAGGGCTCGTCCTCCAGGCCGTCGACGGCACCGAGGACCCGATCGCCAGCGTCGAGTCGATCTTGTCGTTTGCGTTCGATTTGCTGGGAAAAGGTGCTTTGCTAAGATTGTCGAAAATCTATAAATTTCAATTTCAGGCCTATGCACACCCTCTGCCCCCACGCATTGCATAGCCGACGCGCTGGAGCTCTGCGAGGTCACCGTCTGCGAGCGAATGTTTTCGATACTCGAGGAAAGGCAGGAGGATTTTAAAAAGGTTATTTTCGCTTTAGAAAATCAACTTTTGTTGATTTTAGCTCGACTTCCAACACATACCCATCCTTCGCATCTGCAACGACATGCTCAAGCGGCTTTCTCGCTCCACGAACACGGCATTTTGTGGCAGGATTTTGTCGTTTTTGAGCAGGTATGATATCCAAAATTTTTTAATGCTGTTTTTTTTAGATATTTCAAGCTGACCGAGAAGTCGGGGCTGAACTTGAACGGACAATTCAACACGTTCAACGAGACGCTCTTTGACCAGCTCGAAGCCGAGGAGGCCAGCACCTCTAACGCAAACGCCGAGGAGGGCGAGGACACGGAGGAGCGCATCGCCGATGCATTGTAAAAACTCATTCTCTTGGCCATAACTTTCTTTAGGGGCAAGTCATCGGTCGACCCGGCGTTCTACAGAAATTTCTGGAGCCTGCACGCCTTCTTCGCCGACCCGAACAAGTGCTACACAGCCGCCGAGTGGAAAAAGTTTCAATCGGTAATAACTGCGCCCTTCCTAGACGTTTATTTGTTTTTTAGGGTCTGCGTGAGGTGATCGTCTTCTTGGCAGCGCACAAGCTCGACAAGGAGAGCCGAAACAAGCGGGTCCGTTTTCGCCATATTTCCGCTCTCAAAGTCCAGATTTAGAAACGAAAAGCGACCGCCTCCAAACCTACAGCATACTTTGCAAAGTACCTCACCAACGTGAAGCTCTTCTCGCTTCAGCTGGCCGATTCGCAGTTCCGGCGTTCCTTCCTGATTCAGTGCCTCATCCTGATGCAGTATCTACGCGCTGACGTCAAATCTCGAACGTAGGCGCTATCCTAAACGCCCTAATTACTTTTTTCTGCAGAAAAACATCGATTATGACGGAGGAGCAGAAGGCGTTCACCATCGAGATGGAGGAGAAGTGCTACAAGCTGCTGCGTGACACCCACCCGAACGGCCAGCACTTTTCCGACTCGGTGAAGGTAAGAAAATTTTATTAGACTGTTGAAGAGTCACCTTAGAAAGTGCTGCAACGCGAGGAGACCTGGAACCAGTGGAAGAACAAGGGGTGCCCCGATTTTACGTCGAACAAGAAGGAGGATAAGCTGATACGCTATGCGAAGTGCGTTTTTGTCAAAATCGTTAGAAGTTATGCTGACAAGAAGACGTTTTTAGTGGCAATCCAGTGCTTTTCACGAGGCTGTGAAGTGCCCAAATCGCTGAATTCACGAAGTTTTCCCCTTTTGGCATTGAAAAGCTTCATAGCTTTTTTAAGCTTGCCGTTTTGCATCTTCTGAAAAAAATTGGATATCAGCACAAAATTCGACTCCAGATAGGCTTGGTCGGGTTTCAAAACTCGAATGTCACGAAAAGCGTCCCCTGGTTTGCTGTGGATTGCCCTAATTTTTTGTATGTACTTTTTTTATTGTATTCTTTTTTCAGGCGCCCCGCCACTGCCTACGACGCCAACGATCTCGGCTCGGCTGATCTCAACGTCGTTTGGAAGGGGGCCCAGGATTCGGTTTTGGAGTCTTGCCAAGCCGAAAGCAGGTAAGAACACTGTTGAAATTTGGAAAAACCCAAACTTGAGAAAATTCACCCCGGAAGTCGTCAACTTTTTGCAAGACCCCCTCGACGAGGCCGACCCGGATCAGCAAGTCGAGGAGAAATACAGGTACATTTTTTGGATAATTTTAATTGTGCGAAACTTCTTGGTTCCTGAAAATAACCTCTTTTCAGATCAATCTACGAGCCCGGCTTCCAGTGGCGGTGCGCGCGATTGTTGGCCGCGCGCAGCAAACAATATCTCTCCACGACGACCGTCGCCGGAGCCGACAAGAAGCGCGACGACTCGAGATCCATCCCCAAGTTTTTGGATAACGCTATTCTACGCGCCGCCTATGAAATTCCGGTAATTGTTTCCTCTTGCGTTCTATTTAAGGATTTTTAGGTACTTCGCGAACGATTGACGAACGATGAGCTAAGACGTCGTCAAGCCCTGCTGGCCTTCCAGGCAAAGGCGACGGCCAGCCAGTCTAATGGGTCAGTCGAAAAAAATCCGCTTTTAAAATGTAATTTAGCACAAACTCCACGCAATCCGACACGTCGATCGGCGACTCCCAAATCGAGCAGCTCGGCGATGAGCTGGCGGACAAGTGGGAGCTGCTCGCCTCGGCGCTCGGGCTCGATGAAGCGCAAAAGGACAGGCTGCTAGCCGCCCACCAGGAGGTAACAACTTTGGAGCTGCTGAATTTAAGATCGGCCGGCTGGAAAACAAGTCTTCAGGGCTGACTTTGCGCGTTGATTTCAAATTCCCCACTTTGAGCCTACAAAAATTCGATTGAAATTGTTGAAAAATTTTAAATATAAATAGCGACATTGTTTCTAATCTGTTTTTAATATTGCTCAACGTAGAAAATTTACAAGTTTTTTGTTAAAAAGCTAGAAAAATGGCCGTTTTTTACCAAAATGTCGAGTATTTGGAAGTTTTAGACAGTTTTCTGGTTCGGCGTATAGCTTAAAAAGCTTTAAAAAACGTTATTCAAGGATTTCCTATTAATTAGGAGTGTTTCTAGGCTTATACAAAAAACTCTGTTTTTCAAATTTTCTATCCATTTTTTTTTTCCAGCCCTCGGTGTGCTGCAAGATTCTGTTGGCCCAGTGGACGGAGGCGCGTGACGGCATGGCCACCTCCCACGATCTCGTCGCCTTCCTCAAGGACCACCAACTCTACGACGAAAGATTTATCAGCTTTTTGCCGGTAATTGAATCTTCCCAGCAATCATTTAATCAATCCCATTTTAGGCTCCCGTCGAGGAGGAGGAAATGGACGTGACGACCAGCATGAGCTAGCCGACCACCGACACCAACAATTCCGCCCAACTAGCAGCTTTTCACGTTCATCATTTCCTTGTTTTTCACTCGATTTGGGGGGCCGTTTTTCTATGGGATTCGCATGTGGAATAAAGATCTCCAAACAGTGTGTTGAATGGATTGGGCAGATTTAGTGGGTTTTCAACCACGTAATACCGAAATAGATTGTAAATAAATTGTGTGTAATCATTGCCTGGAAATAGTGGTTTTTGTCTCTAAAAACGCGTCTGTTTAAGTTAGTCTTTTGTACTACTGCTACTGTTTATAAAAAGCATTCCAAAAAAATTCGAATTTTGAAGATTTTTACCTTTTTCGGCCATTTTTCATACGTTTTTGACAAAATTTTTATGTTTCATTTGTATCTAAGAACTGTAAAATAATATGAAAGGCTAAAATGTCCTGTTACTCTTAATATCTATGTAGCTGCTCTGAAGTGGAATTTTTAGCACATGCCCTTCTTCCTAAAGAAAGGCCGAGGACGCGGCGGCGGCAAGGCGCCGGGCGCGACGGTTGGCAACACGCAGCGAAAGCGACGGAAGGTACTTTAGACCCTCAAACATTTATTCCGATTTGCTTAGAACGATGACGACGAGGCCCCGCGGGTCGGACGACGAAGAAAGTTGGAGGAGAACGAGGAGATTTTGTCGGACGACGAGGTGAAGAGAACCAATAATTGCTTGACTGTTCAAATTTAGTATTCTGGCGGTGAGAGCGACAAGCACGTGTCCGAGGCCTCGGATGCGGAATATGAAGACACGAAGGAGAGCAACTACCGCCAGGCCAAAGATCTACTCGACAAATTGTTGGCGGTAAGTGAATCAGACGATGGAGAATCTTGAGCTGAATCTGGTTTTTTTTGTAGCGGGTTCTTTCGCATTATCGGGGGATCGCCTTGTTCTTCTAATCTAATTCTTCTGATATAGCTATATGAAGTTTTTATAAGCTGTTTTTTTATTCTTCCTAAGTTTTCCAGTTAAAAAAGTTACTTTTTTGCTAAAAAAAACGCTCGTAAAACACTTTTTATTAGAGTTTATGGACTTATGGGGAAAACACCGACAACACGAAAGCCCTTTAGATATTTTTTTCAGGAAGGCGACCTCGGCGAATCCGCGGACGAGGAAGAAGAAGAACAATTCGTCGCCGGAAAATTGCGGGAACACGCTGCCAGCAAAGTAAAAGCTACTACTAGAAACCTCATAACTGTTGTAGGCTGGCACATTGCAACGACAGATCGCTCGCGGGATCGTGATAGACGAGGAAAAAGAGATCTCCCACCGGTCCCACAGGCAATTCATGCTCCCGTGGGCGCGTCTACTTTCATTGTTCCAGATTTTCCCCGCTCGCCCTTGCCATTTCCCCGTGCTCGCGTTATGTTGTCAGTACCGGCAAGGAGTCGCATGTTATTAAATGTACGGTAATTTCTCTTCTCCTAAATGGTTGTGAAATTGAGGAAAATTTGCATCAAAAACGTAAATTTCGGTTGTTTCGCACTATATTTTAAGCGGAAAAACAGTGCTAAAAACTTTGAAAAATTCTGTGTGAGATTTTGGTCCAAAAAATCGATATTTTTGTGTATTTTTAATCAGCGTTTTGACGTCTAAGAACAGTAAAGTTAGGGAAAAACACCTTGATTCATATGATAAATTGGCTCTTTAGAAAAAGCCCCCCCGATGACGAGAAAGAACCTAAGTATCTATTTCAGATGATCTGCAAGAGAAAAAGACGGTCGGCTCTATCAAGCGCCAAAAGAAGATTGCCGCAAGCCAGCAAAAAGCACACTCTGGGCATATTTTTGCCGTCGCCATCTCCCCGGATGGGAAATACCTAGCCACTGGAGGTGTCGATTGTATCGTAAAGGTATGACTCGTTTTTTTGCTACAATCTTTTCTTTAGATCTGGAATTTCGAGACGCTGGCCCACGTGCGGGACCTCGAGGGCCACCGGCAACCGATCACGTCGTTGTGCTTCAGACTGCGCACCACACAACTATTTTCTGCAAGCCGCGATCGGACAGTCAAGGTATAGGAAATGAATTTTTCGCGCTTGTGCGTTAGCGGGGAGCAAGGAAAGAACTTTTGACATGCCGATACCAACCCAGTTATGAAAGATAGAATATTTTTACAGGGTTTTTAGTGGTTTCCGATCTTTACAAAGTTATAAATCGTTGTAGAAAATTTTAAAATCAGAATTTTTTTGACCAGTATTGCTTCTTGAAACATGTTTGTACCAAAAAGTCAACTTTTAAAACCTTTTGTAATTTTATTTTAGCATTGCTAAGCTAAAAAAACGGAGTGAAATGCTCACAATTGCTAGGCAAAACGTTTAAATTTGATTTATTGACCCCCACAGCAGCCTCGGAAAATTGTTTTTTTTTCTGCTCCGCTGGAGCGGAAGCACAAATTTTTGTTGTAGTTTGTAGCTTCTGAAGCTTAATTCTATGTTGTTTTTTTACAAATTCCACATTTTCAGCTGTGGGACCTGGAACAGATGGGGCTCGTCGACACGATGTACGGCCATCAGGACGCCGTTCTTGACATCGACGCGCTGAACCGGGAGCGCGTCCTCACCTGCGGCGGCCAAGATCGCACGATCCGATTGTGGAAAGTCGACACGGAGAGCCAGCTGGTGCGTTCGGCGGCTTGCGAAAGCCTGCTGCAATTTGTCGGAATCGTCGCTGCAGATCTTCGCTGTTTTTGTTTCTCGGAGCCCTTATTCCGAACGTGTTCCAGATTCTGAACGGCCTGCAAGAATGCGTGAGCATCGACTGCGTGGCGATGCTGAACGAGGATCACTTTCTGAGCGGATCGGCTGACGGGTGAGCGAGAATTTTGCGGGGTAAATTTATGATTGTTTTTAGCTCACTCTGCGTTTGGTCGGTTTTTAAGAAGAAGCCGACGTGCGTCCGGAAACTTGCGCATGGAAAGCGAGAAGTTACTGCAGAACCGCACTGGGTGGTAAGCTTTTTATAAGTATTGAAACAAACTGGGTACTTTGACAATATCGGGGGTCTTGAAAATCTAGTTATTCCTAGTAGTGATCGCGACGTTTTTGATATTATTTAGAGTTCCGAAAGATATAAGCTATGTTTTAAGAGTTCTTAATGAACTTTGACTAGATTTTAATGGTAAAAACTATTTTGCTAACTTTAAAAAATGTTTATGACTGAGAATTGTCTATTTTTTATCGAAATTCGATATTTTCGGTTTTTTTTTAATAAAATTTATAATCCTTTTATTTTTAGGAATAGTAAAAAAATTTATTGAATAAAACGGCCCTTCTATTTTTATGAACACAATCGGATCGCTAAATTTGTTGCAAAAAACGAGAACTGATACGCTTCATCACTTAATTTTAGGTCTCCGTCGCCGCGTGCCCCTTCACCGACCTGGCCGCGTCCGGCTCCGGCGAGGGCCAACTCCGGTTGTGGCGCATCGCGCAAGACTACAGAAGCATTGTGCTGATCTACGAGTATGAAATGGTATCTTATTTCCTAGAAGTTTTTAAGCACTTTTTTGTAGTTTGGCTTCGTGAACGACATGCGGTTCTCGGCCGACGGCAAGATTTTGGCGTGCGGCGTCGGCAAGGAGCACAAATTCGGACGCTGGTGGATTGACGAGGATGCGCAAAATTCAGTATATTTTTTGGAATTTGTGATGTTTTTCCATGGCGTTTCAAGAGGTTTTTTAAGTTTGCAAAATTTAAAAACTGTTGCGTTCGGAAAAAAATAATTGGGGAAAATTTAACAAATCAAACCCGACTTTTTTGGCTCTTGTTTTCGCCTTTTTTCCTTTAGCAGAAATCGAGATTATTAGCCCCACAACCACCCGTGGAAAGACATGAAACCAAAAAGTGCGGGGTCGGGGGTGTCACGGCCGGTCTCGTTGTCGGTGTGCTGGTGGTGGTAAACAGTGGCACCCAAGTGCCCTCAGCCCCCCTTGCTTAATCCCACCATTGCAGATCGTCGTCCTAGCGTTGTCGGATGGAACGAGTGAGCCACCCCGTGATGAGCCCCTTGGTCGAGAGGCCGACAACTAGTTCCGCGCCGCCGCCAGCCGCACCAGCCTGCTGGCCTGTTGTTTTAGGCTTTGCCGATTTGCTCACCATCCATGTGGATAGATAGTTCTATTGAATTTGCCGTTCCTTGTTGTTTTGTTGAATTGAAGCACTTGTCCCCTTCCCCTCCCTAAAAAAATTAGTTCCGGGTAATTTGGATTGTGGGTATGGCCTTTAAAGGTATCAGGAAGAGGTGAAAGTAATTTTTCGTTGTGGATTTCATGCGTTTTTTTCCTTCTCCCGCGGCACGCAACGCAACACGCTTGCCTATCCTGCATTTTCGTTGCGAAATCGATTCCAACTCCCTAGGGAAGTCCTACGACCGCAAAACGCAACGCGTCTCTACGCCGTAAACAAGTCGTAATCCTTTACGCAATCAAAGAGTGGCGTTCGCGTTACGGCTTGCGGTGCGGAAAAAATGCGCCAACAAAGCCTATAAAATTGCCATATCGGTTCATTTAAAACTTTTTCTTTTTAATTATCCCCTGAAAAACTATAGGTCTGCTCCTAGACTGTCTAAAGGGCGCTATTTTGACCCATTACGCAACGAAATAGCGGGCGTGCGCTTTGCGGTGCGAAAAACGCCTCAAAAAAATCTATCACCATGCCTTACCGGTTCCGTTAAAACTTTTGATTTTTTTTCATTCGCCCCCAAAAACGATCTGTCAGCTCGCAGACTGTCGGTACGCAACGAGCCCGCCTCCCCCCTGCAACAAATATAAGGCTTATAATATATTGCTTTCAAAAGCAGCCCCCAGCCCCCCTTTTTTTTGACCATCCTGAACCACATGCAGTGTTGTTGGCCGGGTGGACGCGCCGCTCCGCCGCCGCGGGGGAGAATTCCCGATTTGGGCTGTGCGGCTGTGTTGGTTACGGGCTGTACGCGCCCCCCTTGTGCGGGTCCGCTTTCTTTGTTTGGCGAGAACCGAATCATGGCTCTCCCCGCGGCGGCCTGCGCTAGACCCTTACTGAATTCTTCCGTTTCCGACTAGAGGACGGCCGCCCCCTTAGCCTCTTCTTTGAGTGGGGGCGGGGAGGCGGATCGTCTTCGATCGATCCCCCACCCCGCATTTGCGTATTCAAATTTGAAAAATTGATTTATTAAAGCCTGTAAAATATTAGCAAACTTTGCAAATCTTTTTATTTACTAACGGGGAGACGTTTTTTTAGGGCCCAGGATCTTCGAAATGGGCCCCTCGTGGAGAATTTTTCGCTGAGCAAAACGTACTTTTCCCGAACCAAACGAAACCACCAGGCTTGAAAAGTTCGGAAGCTTAAGAGTATTAGAAAATGCGAAAAATAGCCCACTTTGTCCTGCTTATCGTCTTTTAAAGCTTCATAACTTTCTCATTGTCGCTGTTACCCCGATTCTGAAAATGTAGGCGTTGATCAGCGAAAAATTCTGCACAAAATAAGCTTGGTCCCATTGCGGGGCTACGTGTAGACTCGAAAACGTCGTCTTGTAAGTTTTCTGCTGGTGAAGGGGCCTGTCTTGCCTGTACCTTTAACAAGTACATTTCTTTGAATCTTTAATTTAATGTTACCCCGCCCCAACGAAGTTGTTGTCCATTTTCAAAACGCCTAAACCAGATTTCACCTCGATTTTTCAAATCCTAACATCAAAAAAATAGAGAAACTTCGGGTCAAAAACAAAAATTGATCGCTCTCGTTCGTCACCTCGAAAATAACCCGGCGCCCGGCGCCAGACCCACAATCCAAATACCCACGCCCGAAAAAAGCCCCGTTTTCCCTCTGTCCCAACAACCACACCAACCTGACGACTCGGCCGGCAATTTTGCCGTCTGCCCCCTCCACTCCAGCATGCCGCGCTCCACTTTTCCCCCGCCGGATAGCATATGGAAATGGCTTCTGCCAGCCAGCCACGAATTGTGCTTTTCCCATGTTCTGCCCCTGCTTTTCCACGTTCGCTTGTTCCTTCCTTCCTTCCTTCCTTCTTTCGTTTTTGTTGTTGGTGATTCCATTATTGTTATTTGTTATGTCTGCTTGTTGAGTTTCGCGTGGCGCCAACCCGGGCGCCCGCCAATTCGTTGATAAATTTTTGATATTTTTGCGGTTTTTGTTTTTATTGAAAAGACTGGTTTCGTGCCAGAATCGATATTTGGCAGGTATTCTGCAATTTCCGTTTTTTTTTTGTGAAAACCCTGGTAGGAGTTTTCGGAAAGTACCTTCAAAAAGCGCTGCGTCTCTTTTTCTAGGCAACGCCCATGATAAAAAAGTTTCTTCCGCTCTTTAGCAATATCGGGGGAGGACCAACTTTTTGCCTATAAGCCCAGAAATTAAATAGTAAGGGGCTTAATGCGTTACTAAAGTTTAACTATATTTCAGGTGGAAGAGCAATTAAAAAAATCGGAAAATTCAACAAATTTTAGTTGAAATTTTGGTCAAAAATCGGCCTTTGAGTCGAAAAATCTATATTTTTGGTTTTTTTTTTACTAAAAATCTGTAAATTTTTTACATTTAGGTATCATATGAAAGCTGTTTAAAAGCGCTTCCTGCATTTTTATTAAAAAATGGATTCTTAGAGAAAAGTTGGTCCCCCGATAATGCAAAAGAGCATTTTCTTCTACTATTCTAGCCTTTCTTCATCCGTTCTGCTTCGCTTTTGCAAATATTTCGCATCTCCTTTACACGCCTTTCATTCCCGCGACCCTTATCTGAATCACCGACCCGTGGCTAGTTATTGCGCCCTGCCCCGGGTCGGGCTTGCGAAATTGATTCACGTATTTGACGGCCGTTCCGTTTCTGAAGCTCCATAATTTTTGGCCTATTGCCCGGTTTATCCCTCGATTCCAGGGCTCTTCAGCCGACCCATAGGACTTAATCAGTAGGATGGAGCCGAACACGTTACTCGTATCAGGTGAGTCTTGCTCAAAAATTTTAAAATTCGGTTTTTAGTCTTGAATGCCCGAGGGCTGTACCTGAAGGGCCATGCGACGATGGACGCGCTCGTGACGGTGACGATGCACGGGAAGGGCAGCCTGCGAAGTCGTGCCGTCACCGAGCATCTGCAGACGGAAGGCGACTGCCGATGGGATGAACATATGGAATTGTGGGTATTGGCGTATTTTGTTGTTTAGCAGCGCAGTATTTTGCGATTTAACTGAATTTTTGTGTCACGCACTTTCGAAAAAACGCAAAAAGAAACTGTTTTTGATTTATTTTTCAGTGCTGGGCTTATAGGAAAAAAGCCCCCCCACCGATATTGCGTAAGCACCAGAAACTCTATAAATTCGTCTGGTGTGCCTGAACCCCCTGGAATATCAGCAAACCACGCTGCTTTCTCGCTTCTCCCGATGTCAATACGACGGTCGTTTTTCAGCAAAATCAGCGACCCGGCGGCCAACCTTATCATCTGCGCCCAACACAAGTCGCGCATCGGCCGCAACGACGTGATCGGGCGGGTCGAGATCCCGTTGGACCAGGCGCGCGGGATTCGCGGAGAGCATTGGTGCGTATTCGCTGCTTTGAAGTCAATCCCGTTGTTTTCAGGTATCCGCTTCGAAAAAAGGCCAGCGAGGACAAATACCGTGGCGAGGTGCAACTGCGCTTCGAGTTCCGCTTTGAAAAGTCTCAGCTCTCGGTCTCCAACCAGTCGCTGAACACGATCGGGCATAAAGGTAATTTTTATTGCGTGAGCGCTTTTACGATTTCTCAGAATCTGTGATGGACAAGATCAAGGGCAAGATAAAGCTCGGAAAGCTGCGCCACAAGAACGACCCGGATGGGATGAGCATCGCCAGCGGTGTTTCCGGAATTTCCGCTTTTTCGGCGGTGAGCAAGGTATACTTTTCCAAATGTTCCAGCAGCATTTTTCAGGTTAGCAAAAGCGGCACGCTCTCCAAGCTGTTTGGCAAGAAAAACAAGAGCAAGCACGACGACGACAGCACCAGCCATACTTCGCTGGGGGATGAGCGGTATGCTTTGTCGAACGGGGCTACGTTCAGAATGCCGAAAATTCAGGTTTTAGATATTTACGGAGCTTATGTATTTCCGAGGGGGGGGGTTTGCAATTTTTCGCCCCAGGATCTAGATTTTTAAGATGAATGGACGCAGTGTTTTTCGGCCGTTTTTATTCTTCCCTAAGGCGTGAAAAATACAAGTTTTGATGAAGAATACAAAAATAGCTATTTTTTTACGCTTTTAACAAGCGGGATTTTTATATTTTTTTGTAGTATTGTTTTCCTCTTAAAAAGCTGTTTGAATTTTGTTAGATATCCTATTGAAATACTTCAATACCCCCCAGAGACTAGGCAAAAAAATGTTGACAATACGAAATTTCGACGTTCTGATAGCAAATCTGTCGAAAGGAATTTTGAAAAATCTCAGTTTAGACGCTCCCCTATGCCGGGCGCTTCTCATCTCGAGCCCCCGGGCCAGTCAAACCCGCCAGCCGCTTTCCAGCGCTCCGGAAGTCGCCGGTGGCAGCAGAGCTCTTTTGGACGGCAGGTAAAATTTTGCCCTTTTTCTCTCCAAAAATGGTTTGCTCATCTTCTTTCTGGCGCTTGACAGCGAGTTTGCTTGAAATACAGCCGTTCGAAAATCGCGGCCGTTTGGTGCTTGTTTTTCGCTTTCATCCACGACACCGCACCACAAGTTCATTTACTTTTTGTGTGTGGCGTGCGTGTGTTTGCGTCACGTTTTGTTCGGTGTCCACGTGCAGCTGTTGTTCAGCCTGCCGCCACCACCATCACCACGCCGACCCTCGGCTCTACGCCCCGTGTGCCGGCGCTTGAGCGCAAGGCCAGCGAGGACAGCCTGGGGCGCTCGTACCGGGATCACCGCCTCTCCAACGGCTCCACCTACAAGGAGCTCGTATTCGACGCGCCGCCCGTTTCGGTATGCTATGAAAATCCCGTTTTTGCGCAACTTTTTATGGTGGCTTGCTTGATTTTGAAGAATCAGCAATTTTATCAATGAATTCAAATTCAGCGTGTAGTTTTTCTTGCAGTTTATTTTGTTGGAGTGCCGTGAGCTTTCTGGAAATCCACGCATTTTGCACTAATTTTGGTACTGGACTGGTAGCGGGGGGAATGATTTTTGCCATTAATTCGGTACGGACTTACAACAAAATATGAACAATTTTTATGGCATTTTTGGAGTTTTAAAAATGTAAAAGAAATCATTAAGGATTGCGAAAAATTTTAGGGTTTGATCAAAAAAATTTCGAAAAAGTCGCGAAAAGAGTAAAATTTTCGAATTTTTAACAATTTTTATATATTTTTATATTTTTGGACACCAAAAACTGCGAAAAACCCTATAAAATCAGTCCCCCCGCTAACAGCCCAGTACCTTGAGTTTTTGTCGTTGAAAAGAAGACTGTTTTCGAATCGGTGCTCGATAAAGATTGTTGTCGTCCTCCACCCGCTTCTCCATCCCTGTCTTTCAGCCGCCCACCATCGGCGTGTCTTCGATGTCGACGGCGGAGCCCTTTGTGCCACCCAGTAGCCATCATCACCATCCCCGACCGCCCTCTGTCGCCAGCTCGGGCATCGGCTCCAACCACCGCAATCAGGTGCCGATTCGGTTTTGAATGCATGGGGAGATGTTTTTGAAAGCTTCTCCCGTTCTTTTTCTAAATTCCCATTCCAGAACGGCTCAGACGATGCGCACGACAATGGACGGGACAACGACCTGCTGGCCAGGATAGACAAGCTGGAAATGGAGATTCGGGTCAAGGTTAGGAATAAAACTGAGAAATTATGATTATGTTCTGTTAGCGGGGGTCCAGCACTAAAATTTTGCTGATTGAATCAATGCGTGCCTAGTAGGTAGTTGGTGGGTTCTTTTGCAATAACGGGGGGCCAAAAAATTTAATTTTTCTTAGGGCTCATTTTTTGTAATATGGTTAGCGGAGGGATTTCGATACTTTTTTTACCATTCCGAAATGTATAGACTTTGCAAAATTTCATTGTAAACAAAAGTACAAAAATCTCGATTTATCGACCAAAATCTCGGCTAAAATAAGTTTTCAAAGTTTTTCTCGATTTAAAAATAATTAAATTTTACTATACTGCGTACTAGGCATTTCTAGACTTATAGGAAAAATTTTGCATTACGGCCCCGCTAACAGTCCCTGATCAAACTTATTATTTTTACCTCAGGACTCTCGTATGCGCGATATGGAAGAGTACATGGATGGTTTGCTGGCACGCGTGATGGAACATTGTCCAGAGGTCGGTTTTTGGGCAATACCGTAAATTTTGGCTGGAGTTAGAGTTTCACTATCGTTCCAGACGTTGAACCAATGGTTTTAGCTGCTCTCCTCCACCAGCGCCAACCCGATGGGCCTGAAAAGCATGAAGAACAACCGACGCTTCTACTCGACGATCGGCTTCTAGGATATTGCTATTTTCTCCCTCATTCGCTGTACCTATGATATTTTTAATGCTCTCTCTCTCACTTTGTATTGTGTGCCCTTTTTCGTCAGCTCTATTTCGCGTCACCCCTACTTGGCAGCCTTAAAACCCCACCCGGAATCTGTGATCTTGCTCATTGTATGTGATTCTATCCTCTTTTTGGTCAACGCCCCCCCGAATTGTGCATCGAAGCTTTCATATAATTGTACTTATGCATTTCGCAGCTGCTGCCTTATACCCAACACGAGAATCAGTCACTCGGTTAGCGGAGAATAAACTATATGGACGGATGCTTGAGGAGCACTATTTTGAGTTTTAATTCAACGCTGATATTGGTAATCTAATTTGTAAAAATGTCGCTACTTCATGTTTTTAAAATCCCGGAAACGAGCCGAAATTTCTTGTTCGTGCTGCTGAAATTGAATTATATATAAAAAAGCGCAAATTGATCATTTTTGTAAGATTTGACGGTGCTATTTTGATTTAGCGGCCCCATTAGGTTTCGACAGGTTTTAGACGAGTTTTTCACCGATTCTAGGGTAGTTCTAAGCTCGAAAACAACATCCCGTATTTAGTTGATGTAAAAATTCGAGCTGAGCGCTGCAAGCTACGCTAGAATCGTTGGAAAACCCGAGGCGAAATTTTCCAAAAACCGTGGGATCCGCGAAACCAAAATAGCGCCGATTTGACCAGACGATAAGCTGTAAAAAATCCATGTTTAGATGGCGAAAAGTCAGCTGGTAGGCTTTCAAGGACAAAACGCCGGTGATGGTAAGAAATTCGCTAAATTTTACGTATGGGTTTTGTTTAGCCCAAAAATCCAACAGCAGAGAAGCGGAAAAGCAGTTCTTCTCCGATCCATCGGTTCAGAAAACGGTAATTTGAAAGCCTTGCTTTGTAACCTTCTTTTAGGTCACCGAGTTGCAACAAATCTTCGACGCTTGTTATCAATGCCAGGCGGTGACTTCCGGAAAACTATCAGTTCAAGAGTACGGCACCTTTTATTTGTTATATTTTACTTTTAGGACGCTGCTCTATTCCCGGCAATACTTGGAGGTGTTGAAGGGCGCGGCTGTCGACCGGTATACAAGGTTTTGTGGTGAAAACTCCCGAATTTCAGTGACACCCCTGAGGGCTATCGGGATTGCATCGCGTGGAGCCTGTTCGAGTCGCTGTTCTTCAACCAATCTGGTGCGCCATTTTGCCAGCTAAAAAATATGACATTTTTAGATTCCCTACTCACGTTTGACTTGATACGCTGGGCGGCTACTTCATTCCCCGACGATCAGGTAGTCAGATAATATCCCGGAAGATTATTTGGGGGTTTTTCGCATCGAAGCGATTGTAATTTTTTTAATAGAGGAAGTATTTCTAAGCAGTTTTTACTAATCCTAGACGTGAAAACATTGCGAATTTTGAAATTTTGATGAAACTGCAAAAATAGCGATTTTTCGACAAAACTTTCCCTAAAAATCTGCTTTCCTTATCCTTGTTTTGCACTCAAAGTAAAGTTAAATTTAACCAAAAACAGCATTAAAAGATTCACTATCAGGTTTTGTTTTAGATTTTAATGGCCAAAATGGAAGACGAAGTGAAACGAACGGGAAAACAAGTAGAAGAAGCCTCGGACTACTGGCGAACGACTGTCTTCCAGCTTCTTTCGTTCCATTTTGTGGAGTGTGCCCATCTTTTGCAGGATAGCGGACAGCAGGTTTCTTTCATCTTCTTGTGTGCAGCTGTTTTTTAGGATCAAGCCACCGAGGCGTTCATCACTGCCCTCCATCGTATGAACCTGGAATGGTTATTGCAACAGGATAGCGTAAGGCGGTTTCTCCAAAGTTTAATATCTTTTCGCTTCAGATGTCCGCCTACATCTCGTGGCAAAAGTCGCTGGGCGGTCAGGTGGCTTCCGGGATCTTTGACCAAAATCCGAACATCAAATTCCTCGCCGGGATGCTGACCGGGGACAAAAAGGTGGGCAGGGGCGTAGCCAGAGAAAAATTTCGGGGGGGGGCCCCGAAAAATTTTTTCCGAAAAACTCAAAAAATTAACGTGAAAACAGCGCCGCAGGCGAAAAATTTTGGAAAAAAGGCTATATAGCTCTACAAATAGCAGTAAGAACGTGAAAAAATAGATAAAAATAGCGCCGCAGGCAGCAAATTTTTTGAGAAAATAAAAATCATAAGGGTCCCACCTTATGAAATTTTCGGGCCCCGGCCGATTTCGGGAGGGGGGGGGGCCCACCTTACGCTACGTCCCTGAAGGTGGGTAGTAATAATATTAGTGTTGTATCCTATTATATCGATGCTAGGTTCTTTGGCATTATCGGGGGAAGCCAACTATTTTCTAAGGATCCAATTGTTCTGACGAAATGGGGGTTGTTACTCAACTTTTTAGCGATTCTAAGCGTAAAAACTAAAAGTTTGATCGCAAAAAAAAACCCGAAAAAAATACAGATTTTCAATAAAAAATGGACGATTTTCGACGAAAATAAATTTTCTTAAATTGTTATGTTTTTTCACTTGAAATATAGCTATATTTTCCTAAAAACGATTAAGCTGCTTAATTTTACATGATTAGGCATGGTCAGTAAAAAAAAATGGTCAAACTATAAAGATTCTAATTTCGTTTTTAGGTGTATTCCCGCCTTGTCGAGGCGATTGTTCCGAATTGGTGGCAGCTAGTCCCTCTCTACACAACCACCTGGTACCCGGCCGCTGAAATAACGCAATTGCCGGATATTGCTGAGGTAAAGGTTTCACGCATTTTTTGACCTACGTTTTTCCAGGAATGCCGACGTCTCTATCCCGCGACCGGAGACCAGGGCGACCTCTTCGCCAGCATCCTCTCCCTCGACCACTTCTCCGTGCTCCAGGAGATGATCCACCCGCCATATCTGGCCGTCCACCTTGCCGACCTCATCCACGCGTCCATGTCCGGGGCCAAAGAGGACGAGAACGGCACAACCACCATCTACGACCTGCGCAACTACTTGATCAAGGACTACGGCAAGATGCTGATGACGAGCAGCTCGATCTGGACGACCGGGGTCAACTACTTGTGCACGTTGGGTGTAGAGGGGAGGGCTGAGGCCGAGCAGCACCTGCTCACCATCCCGATCAAGGGCGAGAACACGGCAAATCAGGTGAGTTTTTCTGGAAATTTCGAAAATAGTTTGCTGTAGATTTACCGCATCGCAAAGGAACAGCGAATGGACAGGGCTGCTCAGCACGTCGCGGACACGATGGTCAAGAAGTCGGTTATAGGATTTTTTCACTATTCTACTTCCTAAGTGAAAATTAAGCTAGGTTCTTGCGCATTATCGGGGGGGGGACGGCCGCAATTTTTTTATGTCTAGAAATGCCTAATGACGGACTAGGAAGTAGTGTAATATGATGATTAGTAAAGTTCAGCTATATTAAGTAGGAAAAATAGCCAAAAAAAAACCTTTGAAGACGTTTTTTAGTCGACTTTTTTGTCGGAAATTCGCCATTCTTCGCCGAAAAAATTGACACTTTTGACCTTTTATTGTAATTTTGTCACTTTTTTTGCGTTTGGAAATAGTAAAAAAAACACAGAAACACTTCCGCTTTTCATATTAGGAAAATTGGTTTCTTACGATTTAGAACAGTTAGAAAAATTTGGCTCCCCCGATATCGCGAAAAAAAACGAAAAATTAGATTTAATCTTCTAATTTAGATACCTGAAAACGAAATGCTGGGGTCCGGCCGTCGCCTGGGCGCTCCGCGGTGACGACGAGGACCGAAATGCCCTCGACGCCGTTTGCCACACGGTTCTTCAAGAAGGTCAGAAACTCCTGAAAGCCTTAATTACCATTTTTTAGCCTCTTGCGAAGAAGTGGCCCAGCTTTATGCCCTCGAGAATCTGGGCGATCGTGTGCTTCAATCTTCCGGCCTGACGTTCCTCTACTCGTACTTCCAGTTCAGCAAGAGCCTGACCGACGGCCTGGTGCACGAGTCGCTGGCGCTGCTCATCACGCTCTTCAAGGGCAGCACCGTCCCCCATCGGTTCAGCGAGCGGCTCCTCGAGCACTTGATGGACATTTTGGGCAGTGTTAATGAGGTTGGTTCTTGGCTGTTAACGGGGGAAATCCAATTCTCATTAATTCTCTACGACCTTGTAACTAAAAATAAACCATTTTTATGTCCTTTTACGGTGCTTTCGCATTATCGGGGGGGGGGGGGGGGGGGGAGAAATTTTTTCTTTGGATTTATTTTAAATTTTAAACCATTTTTTGAATATATAAAGGGGTGGAAGTGTTTCTAAACTTTTTTTGCTATCCCTAAACGTAAAAACGTTACAAATTTATGAAAAATTGCGCTTTTTCGTCCAGAAATGGCCGATTTTTTACGAAAATTTCGACCTTTTTAGAAATTTTTTATATTTTTGGATAGTTTTTCTAGTTTAGATGCAGTTATATATTACTAAAAGTTTCAAAACTTTTACGAAAAATATTGAGTATTAAGACGTACCTTAATTCCTTGTTTAGATCCCGATCGAGAAAGAAGTGCTGTACGAGCTGATGTCGGTGGTGAATCAGCTGTCCACCGAACGTCTCGCCGAGATGCCGGAGGACGAGGCCCGCAAGATGGACAACACGGCCGAGTTCCGCATGCTGCGAACCCTGCTCTCACAAGCCTTCGTGAAGACGATCGCCGTCGACATTGGCCCGGCGATGGAAAGCTAATCGTTTTTTGTTCCATTCTCTTGCCACTCTCTCGCCTCCGACACTCCCATGTTATTTCGGGTCCCTTTATCTGATCTTCTCCTAAGATTCTCACATTTTGTTCCGAACAAGATTGTCCACTTCCCGATGCGATTAGTTGAATTATGTGTGTTTTTGGTACAATAAATTGTCGAAAAACAAAGGAAGGGTTTGAGTGCAGTTGAACTGTAAAAAGGCATTCAATATTTTGCAGAGCATAAATATTGGTTCTTTTGCATTAGCGGGGGGACGAACCTTTTTGTAATTCTTGTAATTCCTAGTAACGTATGAAGACGTGTTTTTGGTAATCAGTGGCTAGTTCCAACTAGAAAATTTTTCTAATATCTTTTTTTAAAGGCGACATTTTCGTCAAAAACGGCCATTATAAGTCGAAAAATGCCATATTTTTTAAACTTTCACGTTGAGCAATAGTAAAAAACCGTTTAGAAACTCTTCCACAATTTATATTTGGAAAATAGGTCCTAAGAAAAAAAGTTGGTTCCTATAGAGTGAAAGGCCCTAAATATTTAGTAAATAACCGAATCTGTCTGGAAACTTTCGATTGAAAGGCAAAAAACGGCATTTTCTTTTTCCAAATAACTCGCTTTTCTTGAAATTACACGCTTTTCTATGGCATTTCTTTAGATGATCAGTCGAAAACTATCATCTCTACTCCGGCATGCCCCAAAACTGCCTGGCCGCGCCCTCGGGTCTTATTGTATTGACCGTAAGTTTCACGTCTTCGTCAACTCAAGCTTATTCTTCCCTTTTTCAGCAACCGTCGGCCTGTCCCCCGAACAAAAAGACATCCAAGCGGTGGCCCGGGAATTCGCGCTGAAGGAGATGTACCCGAATATGCAGGCGTGGGATGAAAAGGTTTCAATTTGAGATTGGCGGCTTATTTTTGTTCAGGAAGAAATGCCCCTGGAGTGTCTACGGAAAGCCGGCGAGCTCGGCTTCGGCGCCGTTTATTGTAAAGAAGACCACGGCGGGACCGGTTCGTTTACCGGGATTTTGCCAAATTTTGAAGCTCAGGACTTGGACGACTCGACGCTTCTATAATTTTCGAAACGCTCGCTACTGGTTGTACGTCAACGGCTGCATATATGAGCATTCATAATATGTAAGGCTTTTTGGCAGTAAAATTATGCAAAATTTCGTTTAGGTGTGCTTGGATGATCGACACTTATGGGAGTGAAGACATCAAGGCAAAAATGATCCCAAAAATGGCGACATTCGAAACACTTGGATCTTATTGTTTAACAGAACCGGATGCAGGTATTCGGCATGGCTAAATTTATCGGGTTTTTAGGCTCCGATGCGGCCAATCTCCGGACGACAGCCAAAAAGCAGGGCGACTACTATGTGATCAACGGCTCCAAAGCATTCATCTCGGGCAGTGGCCACAGCGGGAAGTAAGTTTTTTGTGGCGCTTTTTTGGATCGATCCTGTTACGCTGGACAATAGCAATCATGAAGTTTTTAGCTACCTCGTCATGGTACGCCACGAAGGCCAGCCGGGCCCGAAGGGTATTTTCTGTATACTCGTGAGTTTGAGATTTTCTGGGTTTTTCAGCATCTATTTCTTAGATTGAAGACGGCGCGGAGGGCTTCACGCTGGGCAAGAAGGAGAAGAAGCTCGGCTGGAACACACATCCGGCCCGAATTTTGTCATTTGAGGACTGCAAGGTGAGTTTTGAAAAATTAAAAATCACAGACTCTTTTTAGGTCCCAATCAAGAACCAAATCGGCGGCGACAACGAGGGCTTCGCCATCGCGATGGCCGGCATCAACGGCGGGCGGCTGAACGTGGCGAGTTGTTCGCTCGGAGCCGCGCAGATGAGCATGGATTTGGCGATAGACCACTTGAAGGTAGAGTTTAGCGAATTTTTGATTTTTAGCTCGTCTAGCCTAGCCTGGTTTTTCGAAGATCCAGTGGACTGAATTAAATATTTCGTTCCAGGTGCGCAAGCAGTTCGGCAAGGCGCTCTCCGAGTTCCAGTGGAACCAGTTCAAGCTGGCCGAGTCGGCGGCAAAGCTGCACGCGTCGAGATTGATGGTGAATTTTTATCATAACTATTCACGGGAATTCATCTACAAAAACCGAGTGTCGATTTTCTATATCATATTTTCAAACACTTGAACTTTAAACAAAAGAAAAAATCGATATGAGTTGATTTTTATGGATTTTTGATGATGTTTCTCGTTTATGAAAAGTGAAGAAAATTAAAATTTGGTAAAAAAAAACGAAAAACTCCCCAAGGAGCTACTTTTCTCTACGGGCTCCAAAGAACAGCGCTTCCGGGATAAATCGAATTCCCCTTCCAGGTGCGAGACGCCGCCCGCCACCTCGACGCAAATTCCCAGCATAAAGTGGCGCTGTGTGCGATGGCCAAACTGCACGCCACCGACAACTGCTTTGAGGTGACTTCTTATCGATTTTCGTCGAGACTTCTCTTGTAGGTGGTCAACCAATGTCTGCAATTCTTCGGCGGCTACGGCTTCTTGAAGGACTACCCGCTGCAGCAATTCCTCCGCGACATCCGGGCCCACCAGATTATCGAGGGGACCAACGAGGTATCGTTTTGGAATCTTGGATCTTATCGATTTGCTAAATTATATTTCAGTTATATTATCCTATATTTAACCTAGAAAAATTACCTGAAAACGTTTTAAACAGCTTGAAAAGTCGAATTTTGCTCAACAACCGCCCATTTTTGGTCGAAAATCGATTTTTTGAGATTTTTGAACAGAAGTTTGCAAAGTTTTCACTTTTGGAAATAGTCAAAACCGTTTAGAAGCCCTTTCAGATTTGAAAATTAGATGCTAAGAAGGCAAAGTTGGCCCCCCGATAAGGCGAAAGTACCAAAAAGACTAAAAAAAAAATAACATTTTTCGAATAGAATTTCATCTCATTGATCCTTTTTCACCTGAAATAGCTTCCGTCTTACCTTTCCTAGTTGAAATAGCCCAAAACTATTAAAATCTTGTTATTAAGTTAATGCGCATATCTTGGCGTATGGCCAAATCCCCCCGATAACGCAAAAGAACCGGAATTTTATAAACCTAATAACTTTCCAGATCATGCGCATGCTGGTGGCTCGAGACTTGCTGTCGAAGCAGACGTGGCTGATCCAGTAAAACCCGACCGGATGGCGGCTAGAAAATTGGTACTACTATTACCGTTAGAATTTGCTGTATGGATTGATGGAAAGGGCGTTGTTTTTCGGTGATACACCCCCTTTTTGAGTTCAGATTGTGAGATTTTTATTGCATTTACACCCTGGGAATAAAGATTTTTATGGATTCTGGTCTTTTCTCGAAAGGTTTTGTTTCATGGTCGAACGGAGATTTTCTGGGATTTGTGGTGTTTTTTTGGATGTTGTGAATGACTGACTGACTGTTCAGTGGATGAAGCAGAAGCTGGGCAAGATCCAGGTGCGCTTCAGCCGGCGCACGCCCAGCACCGAGTCGCGCTCGTCGGCCACGGCGCCCGCGGAGGCCATCCAGTTCAGGTGAATCGTTTGAGCTGTATTTTTCTCGGTCCCTTTTCCTTATTCTAGTTTCCAAAAGATTGTTTTACAGTATCGGGATTTGCTATTATAAAATTTTGCCTTACGATCCAATTTTCTAACATAAATTAAGCAACTGTGTTTTTCTAACTATTCTAATAAGTAAAAACTTTAGAAAATTTTACTTTTTTACTTTAAATTATAATTTTACCAAACATAGTGATTTCTCGACAAAAATTTGAAATTTTGGAACATTTTTCGAAGGTTTCTAGATATATTTCCACTCGAGGTATAGCTATTTGACCAAACCGATCTGGTAAACTCTTCTAACGGGTAACAACTTTACAAATTATGTTTGAAAAATCTCAAAATTCGATTTTTGGACCCAAAATTTCTATTTTTAAACATTCTATTTTTGGAGATAGGTTTCCCTTGCGATATAGCTATTTGACCAAAAAGCGCTATCGAAAATAATTTTTAGTACCCAACCCGGCAAATGCGCGGGCTAGCAAAAGCTTTCCCCAGGCCTATTTTGAGCCGTCAACCACCTAGTGCCGCCTCCGAACTCTTCAATTTGACCACTTCCCGCCTCCTGACGCTATTTATGGCCATGCTATACCGCTGCCACTGCTGCTGGTGGCTTCATGAATTACGCGCCGGGGGAAGGGTTTCCGCCCCGCTTCTGTGTCTGCTCGTCGTGCCCGGGCCATCCTCCCCCTCCTTCCCCAGCTCCTCATTTGATTACACTGGCCCACGGGCCTGACGGCCGGCCAACCCTGGGTGGCGCAGCAGACCTCTTAGGGTGCACACCACGGCGAAGGCCGGGTTTTTATAGGCTTCATCTTAGAGCTGTTTTGATCGACAGGGCGCTATTTCTAATTTCCGGGCGGTGTGTTCATTTCGTAGGCTCGAAAGCTTGTGGGAAAAATTGGGCAAAAATAGCCACCATGCCTTGCTTGTTTGGCTTAATTTGCGGACGAAAATATTTAGGATTTGGAGCATCGTTAGAATACGCACGTCCCGGTTCACAAATCGGGGTTCTTTTGCATTAACGGGGGGCCCGAATTTTTTTCATAAGTCCAGAACAGCCTAAGAAGTGAATCGTCAGTCTCTCAATGTTGCTTTTAACATCGTCAAGTGGAAAAAATAAAAAAACTACGAAAAAATTTTAGCCGAGGTTTTGATTTAAAATCGCTGTTTTGTCGAGAAATCGTTATTTTTTTTGTTGGTTTTATAAAGTATTATAACGTTTTTAAGTTTAGGAATAGTAAAAAATAATTTAGAAACCCTTCCGCTATTTATATTGTAAAAATTGGATTCTAGTAAAAAGCTGGTCCTCCGAAAATGCGAAAGAACCCAAATTTGCCCTAGAATGAGGACCCTATTAATAGGGTCAAATTGCTATCCCTAAATTCCTATCAGATTTTCAACCCCGTTAGAACTCTACTCGAAATCATAGGTCTCAAGGTTTTCCTCCAATTTTTTTAGACCCGAGAGAAGTCTTCAATCGCCTGACTCCTTTTTGGAACGCGAATGAATAATCCATGAGGTTCTTCTGCCTCGCGCTTTTTTTGCAGCCGCCTAGCCTTTATTTTATTTATATTGTTATGCTGTGCCCTTCAGCGGGCTAGCCTTTTCGTGCGAAAGTACTCGTTTGGTTTGGGGGAAAACAGGCGATTTCGACCACTCACCGTCGCTTTAGTTCGCACCCCCGCGGTGCGAACTAATTGGCAGCTGACCACATGGCGGTAGTAGTCTACGGCACTTATGGCATCGATTTTGCGGGTTGTTTTTCGGTGATTCAGCGGGTTTAGATCAAGGGGGAAACTGGATTTTGAACGATTCGTCATCCTCGGGAAATTCGAATAATGTGTATTTTTAGCTCTTGACGGTGGATCAGAAATTTTAGGCGGTGAACTAGCAGAGGTTGCGACGGAAATTTATAGAAAGCTCGTTTATACCGGCTTTCTTTATTTCTCTTTGGAAAATATTAAAAATTAGTTTTTGTCAGCTTTCAGGTAGAAAAAACCCGGTATTTTTAGACGTTTCCGGACGATTGACGATTGTCGTAAAATTTGAAGCCAGAGAGCCGGCAAAGATTTTTTGAGATTTTGTGAGATCGCATTTTTTTTACTATTACTAAACGTGAAAACTTTATAAATTTTGATTAAGAAAAATACAAGAAAAGCAGCGATTTTTCGACCATTTCAGCTAAAAATTTTTCCACGCTTTTTTTTTTGGTTGTTTGCCACTTAAAATAAAGTTCCTATTACTAAAAACCCTATAAAAACACGATTTTTAAAATATTAATTTCTGAATTTATGGGGGAAAAGTATGCGACAATGGGAAAGAGCCCGGAATTCCAAGCCTTTCAAGGAGTTGCTCACAATTTAAAGGACTTCGCGATTTTCGTTTTAATAACTTTGCGCGAAAATGCACCAGTCTATCTATCCGGTCTTCCCAGGAATTTCCGGTGGCCATTGTATAATTTATCTAGCCCTGAAACATATAAACTTTGGACCCGCGTAAACACTCACTCCTCTCTCCTCCAAAGCGATCGTGCCCCCCGGCTGGCGCGTCTGCGTTTTGTATCGTCTGCTCCCTCACCCCTCAGCGCGTCCCTCCTTCTCCGCTCGCCCCCCTTCTCCGCGGAAAAACACGTTCCCCTCGCGGCCAGCCAGCCATCCAGCCAGCTACCCGCTGGCTGTCTTGTACGTCTCGCCCTCAAGGTCAACCCCGAAGCAACGGATTGTTCTTTTCTCGGTCTTTCTTTCTTTCTGTCGGCAGTCCCGAGTCGCTATTGCCTAATTGGCACGCTGCCCGTAACGACCCTCATTCCGTTTCTCTAGATTTTCGCTCGGGGGTTCATTGTCTCTTTACCGGGTGCTGAACTTATGGGAAACCCATTCTAAGCGCGTTTTTATTCGAATTTTTATTGGGGTTTTGATACCTTAAAAGTTATTGACCTAGATTCCGAATATCTAGATTTCGTAGAAGATATTACGGGTTATTCCTTTGCCGGAAATTACCCGAGTTAGCAGGGTAATGCGGAAAATACTAATTTCTTGGATAAACTTTAATTCGCGTGAGTTTGGTCAACCACTGAATTTTCATTTTCTGCTCTGATACTTTTAGAATCCCGGGGTTACTCCATTCGACTCGATTTGATTTTGCAAAAAAAAAAAAATTGCCGGACGTTTTTGTCGTTCGAAATTACGCTTTTCCTGTAATTTCTAATTTCACGGTTTTTTTTCCCTAATCCTAAATGACGCTATAAGACGCTCCTGTAGTTTTTTTAATTTTTACTAACTCTAAAAAGCTTTTTTAATATGTAGATTTTAAACGTAAACCCTGAAAGTCGAAACGTTTTCCTTTTTAACCGATTTAAAACAAAGAAAAACCTTAAAAAAGATGCAATTTATTTTTGCAGTGACCCTCCTCCGGCGGTGCCCTCCTCGGCATCGATGGCCACCACCTCGGCCGCCTACATTCCACAGCCCACCGATATCGACGTCCATGAGGCCATCAACGATTCGCCGAGATTCCGCGGGCAGGTTCGTGTCGTTTTTTTGCGATTTTTGGGAGCTTGAAAAAGCCGTGGAGATTCGCTATTGCAAGAGTGAAAATAGCTTTTTTTTCAGGCTCGCGGCCACGAAGCCTACTTCAATCGGCTGGAGTCGCGGCTGACCGAGGTTCTAAAAATTTTATGGACGGAAAACCTGGCTTTTTTAGATCCTCAAACACTTTGCCACGATGGCCGACCTCGGGAGGACTTATGCGACCACAGTATAGTAAGTTTTTTCCCAATTATTTAATTGAATTATTAAATTTTATATTTATTATAACTTGAAAAATTTGGGACTGAACTTTTAGCGGAGGGAAACCAGACGTTTCAAAGTAATGCCGTACGGCCCTATGACGAAAAAAAAACCCTTTTATATAGCATTTCGCACGGTTTTTATATCATAAAAAAGCTCATAAAAATGTCCAAAAATTTTAGATGTTTGCACAAAAATGTATGAAAATTCCCCAAAAGGGTCAAAATTTTCGGATCTCCGAAGATCTTTAAAAATTTTTGTAACTTTATGGCGAGCAAAAACTACTAAAAACATTTATATCAACCGATGGGCGGAAAAAATTAGCTTGTCCCCCCTGCTAACATTCCAGTACCGTGCTTTTTAGCAAACTGTCGATATCGGTCAACCAGCTAGGCCAGGAGAGCTTCCCGGACAACGCGTTGGCCCAGTCTACGTTTGGCACACTCGCCGAGGCCTACACCAAGATTGTCGAGTTGATGAGGTGCGGTTTATCCGATTTTTTTAAAAGGAAGAGTGTCAACTTTGCCATCTGCCAATTTCGCAATTTTCAACCCTCTTGCCCGGCGGCTGTCACGCTCTCTTTAAAACATTGAGAACTCATAAAAAAACTAATTTGCTTTTTTTCAGAGGTTTCCAAGAGGAAAGCACGATCAACGCGTACAACAAGCTGCAAATGTTTTGCAGAAAGTAGGCGCGATTTTGCAGCTGTGAAACCGTGTTTTTCAGAGAACTTGCCGACGTCGCCGCCCTTCGGACCCAGTTCGACAACACGGCGGCCCTGACTGACGATGCGCTCACGAAGAATGCGGCGAGTTCAAGGACGAAGAAGTCGGAAACTGTATGAATTCGTATTTTTAGGGTCTGTTTGGCTCCCTCTGGCTCTGTTTATCTATCTCTCTCTCGCCCGCTCTCTCGCTCTCTCGCTCTCTCTCTCTCTCTCTCTCGCTCTCTCTCTCGCTCTATCTCTCTCTCTCCATCTGTCTCTCTCCCCAAATTTTTAATCCTCTTTTTTTTCAGCTCGAGACCCGAAACGCCCTCGTCAACGTCGGCGCCCTGCACGCGCACACAGCGCTCGACTTTTTGGAGAAAATCAACCTGGCCCACGCCCAAAAGGACCTCGTCGTCGTTGATGCCGTAAGAACAATTCCGAATTTTCGACAAAGGTCTTCGTTTTAGTTATGGTCATTCGTGAAGGACACTAGTGCCTTCTTCTCCAAGGGGCACGCCTTTTTCGACGAGTGGACTGCCATGGATAATGGGGGTGAGTAAAATCTGTTGGGTTGAGAAGCTAGAAAATTCGCTGTGGTCGGGTAGCTTACAATAGGACAGCCCAACAGGGTTCATTAGCGGAATTGTGATTTTCATAATTTCGTTTTTTAGGAATCGCCGACGCTGTCGACGCCTTGACGAAGAAGCGCGACTACACGGCACGGCAGATGCAAGACATTCACTCGTTGGTCCCGTCGGTGGGTTTTTTTGTTTTTTTTTGCGCTGTTTGTATTTTTAACTATATGCAATTAATTGGTAGAATATAATGCTTTATTCAAAATTACAGGTAGAATATGGAATTTTGAGGGAGAAATTGAACGTAAAATAGATAATTCACATAGGATTTTAAATTGTAGAAATACATTGTAATTTTAGTAAGTTTTTAGCTATAAGAAGCATATATACAATTTACGAATTTTCGAATATTTTGGATTTTAGGGATAAAATTTATGAAAAACGACCAAAAAAGTCAAAAATTTCGAATTTTCACATATTTTATAAATTCCGGGTAATGAAAAACTACTAAAAACAATATAAAAATACTTTATATATTACCCACATGCGAGAAGATAAAAATTGGTTTGCCTTGATTGCAATCCCCCCGCTAACAGTCCAGTACCATCGAACCCTTGAGACGCTGTCCCTTCCGCAATTACGCACCTTCTTCTCCTCAAGGAACAGGACTATCATTGCGCCCTTGGGCACACATGCACGAACGTACGGATTGCGCCAATCAGCCCCTTCAATGGACACACACACTCACTCAGCCCCTCTCTAATTGCTGACCGGGAGGGACCCAAAAAAGGCCGTGCACAAACAGCATCAAGGCCCCCACCCAATGCGCGCTTGCATTGTTTTTCCTGAATTGATGATCGGGCACTATGGCCCGAATGGCCAATGGCCTGCACCGCACCGACTGATTCAGCGCTTTTCGATGCGTGTGCCCGGCCGCGGCGATCAATTCGGCCCCGGCGCGCCCGAACTCTTTTTTTGCAGTCTTGCCGGTCACACACACGCACGCACATACGCAAACTGACAGACAGAGAACAGACAAATATACGCCAAGAAATACTCACCTTTCTCTGTCTCCCTCCCTCTCTCTCTCTTTCTCTCTCTCTCTCTCTCTCTCTCTCTCTCTCTCCCGCTCTCTCTCTCTCTCTCTCTCTCTCTCCACAACCTCTCTCACCGGCTGACCGGCCGGTGACCGGCAGGCTTTTGCCACGGGTTCCTAGGCCATTCATTTGATTCGGAAAACTAGATTGATTTCTTTAACAATTTTTTCTCCCTTTTTGTGTTGATTTTTAGGCTTTTCGGCGTTTCATCTGAAATTTATCTGAAACCCGACAATGATGCCCCATTTTCTATAGCTTTTTAGAATTTTCTAGCCTGATTTTGCTCTCAACGGATTTTAAATATTGATCACCGGGTTAGCAACTATTTTTAATATTGTCGTAAATCCTGTTAATGGTCGTGATTAGAAAATATTTGTGGTTTCGTTCAACATTTTTTTGATTTGAGTGTTTTTAAGCTTCTTTAGCGCATGATTTTTTTTCTGCTAGTTTAGCGATTTTCTAAAGACTGTTTACCTTGTTTCTAGGCTGGCGCCGGGTGTTTTTATTGCGGATTCTGAGGCCGCTGAAACTCTAAAGCTTGGAGCGAGCTCATTTGCTAGAGTCCAAATCTAGAGCTAGCTACTCCTTTTTAGCACTTCCTCGTCCAATAAAAATGGCTCTTCTCGACAATAATCAAGCCACTTTCCCCATCCCCAGCTGTTCCTCCCCAGTGCTCGCCCCGTCCTTGTTTCCCGGCGCGGCTTTTTGCAAGTCGGCGCCGGCGGCTGACTCATCAAACTGCCTGTTAGCTGTTTTCATTGGGCGACTGGATCCATTTTTAGTGGCCTAATCGATTCCGCGGATCTTTTCTCTCTAATTCTGGCGGAATTTGATAAAATGACGTTAATTTTTTACCTGCAAATCGCCAAGACTTCTACTAGAGTTACAGCTTTTTTTTGTTTGGCTTTAACATCCATTTTGCCAGCGTTAAAGGTGTAAAATTACTAGATTTTTGTGATTATGAGCCTGCGACTGACGGAAATCAACGCCTTTATGACCTGACGCGTTTATTTAATCCGGTAAGATGCGGGTGGCTTCCGGCATTTCCGGTAGACTTATCAAAAACTTTCCAATAAAATTCCAGCGCTTATCTCTCTCTCGCTCTCCCTCGTTCTCGTTCTCCCGTCCTCTCTCGCGCTCTCTCTCCTATAATAATACGGCCCATTTTACCAGTCTTTTCACGCGATTTTTTCGACCCTGAACCTTTGAATCGTGGAAATTGAGACTCTCTGCTTTTTCCCCCTGCTGCTCCCCACGTCAGCCCCGTGAACACCATACCGAACCCCATTTTGGCTGATTCAGCGCGTCGGCCGGCCGGCCAGCCCGCCGGCTGGATATTGTTTGGCGTTTATTGGAGCGGGTGCGCTGGTCCCGCGATTCCGACGAATCGATGGCCGCTGCTTGTTTTCACCATTAGATTAGATTCTGCCCCCGGTATTTTCGGGGAATCTGTTTTTTTTTGGCGGTTTAGAATTAATATTCCGAGTTGCGAATAGCCCTCAGAATTTTGAGATTTTGCGAATTTTATTTTTTTGTCTCCTTGTTGCTGAAATTTCTGCAATCTGATCTAGATGTCTGGCTCTCTCTCTCTCTCTCTCTCTCTCTCTCTCTCTCTCTCTCTCTCTCTATCCTATCTTGGTCGTAGCCAAAATTCGCCGGGGCGCCTGGGCAGCCAAAACATTTCTATCGTAGATTTTCTGTTTTTTTTTGAGATATTGATCCGGCTGTCGAAATTTGGGAATCTGAATTCGGCTTTTACGGTTCCCATCTTTTAAAAGTATAAATTTAAATAATACTGTGCGTAACTTGCGACTTTCTGGTCCCTTTAAACTCTAACTTTATTTCTGTCCTCTCTCTCACTCGCTTTCTCTCGCTCTCGCTCTCTCTCGCTTTCTCTCTCACTCGCGCTCTCCGATAATACCTAATTCGCAAACCCTGATCATCTACAGCCATGCTCGACATGAGCGACCGGCAGCGTAAGGAGGCCATTCGACTCCTGGAAGTGATGGCCCAGATCCAGACGCCATTCTCGAAATTCTACCTCGACGACGACCCCCTGATCCCCACCACTTCTGGCGAGGTGAAGATGCGGCACCTCGAGGTTACGCCCAACCCCACCCACCGCTCGTCCTCCCCATCGGCATTGGGGGAGGGCATACTATTCGGGTCTGTACTGCCCAGGGCTGCCTGCCAACCGACCATGCCGGCGGAGAGGGCCCAGAAGAAGAAGACGACGCTGCCGACCAGGGTTCGGAGGCTGTTGTCGTCGCCGCCGAGTCAGGTTCGGGAGCGGGAGCTTGATCGGAAATCTCCCGGAATTTGCTAAATTTGAGCTCTAGATGCTAAATTAGATTGTCTTAAACGTATAAAACTTCAGCTTTTAGGGTTAGAGTTAGAATAAAGCGCCCGAAGCTATAGATTTTCAGGTACTGGACGGTTAACGGGGGGGGGGAATAGCATGGGTAACACTAATTTCGCTTTTCCGCCTATACCTGTTCAACTAGTCTATTTTCACGTGTCTTAGAAGGTTTTGGTTGCTAGAAACGTGTCAAAAATATTTTTAATTTGTAAAGTCCGAAAATTTTGACTTTTTTTATTTTCAAATGTTTTAGCAGTTTTTAGGTGCAAGCAACTTGTCAGAAATATTTTTTTATCTTTTCAAATCCGAAAATTTTGACGTGTTTGGGCCATTTTTTTAATCGACTTTTGGCTGATGGTATTGTCCCTAGGGTTTTCGAGACCTAGTCGATGCTAGGGGTCGATTCCGGCACTTCACAGCCCCTTTAGGAAAATTTTCCACCTTCTAACTCACGCATTTTTATCGCTAACCCAGCGTTTTTTTGGGGTCTAGCACGAGGCAATAGGCAATTTTCGGCTTATTTCTCGCGTGGAAGTTGACGGAATTCCTGCGTGTTTTCCTCTCCCGCCTTGTTGACCCGGGAAACGCCGCCATAACGTTCTTTAATTGGAATTTTACAACTAAAATTTACTCCTCGAAAAAATCGAGTATTTGGGTTTTTAAGAGAGTAGCTAAAGTTTAAAAAATCCAAAATTTTATTTTTAACTCGCTTTGATTTTTCTGCTTTCAGGAAATAAGAGTTACGAATTGGGATTTTTAAAGCAGAGGTTTTAATGGTAAAAAAAATACATAAAATTAGTTTTTAAATATTAAACTAAACAAGAAAACGAACTTAAACAATCTGAATTTTAAAAAATCAGAGATCTAGAAAATTTTTGGAACCCAGTCTAATTTTTCGGCTTTCAGGAGATGTACCAGCACCCACCCGGCATCTCGCTCGACCCGGACGTCGTCATGGAAGGCTACCTCTACAAGCGCAGCAGCAACGCCTTCAAGACGTGGAACCGCCGCTGGTTCCAGATCAAGGACAACAAATTGGTTGGTTGGAAAAACCATCAAAACCATTATTTTCCAGCTGTACATCCACCGCTCCGGCGACGACTTCCACCCGACGGTGATGGAGAAGAACTTGGTGCTGTGCATCGTCCGCCCCGCCCCCACGACCATCGACCGCATCGGCTGCTTCGAGCTGGTCACCCCCGAGCGCAGCCACATCCTGCAGGCCGACTCGGAGGCGGTGTGCAACGCCTGGATGCGCGCCCTGCAGCGGACGATCCTGAATTTGCACGAGGCCAGCCAGGCGGTTAGTGTTTTTTAGGAAAATATTTTATTTAAATAATTTTTTAATTAAATTAATTCTATTTAAAAGTATTTAATGCTCTTAAGGGTAATTAATAATTTAATTACGAGAGTTTGAGCTTTAATAAAGGCACGAGCGAGCCACGACTATGGATATGCATGAAATGACTTTTTGGGACCGAACTTTTTCGTCTAGAAATGCCTAGTAACTTAACAGGAAGTATTTTATTAGTGTTTATGGTAAAATATAGCTATATCACTTATATATAAATTGCTAATGTCCGTGCGCCCGACCGTCCGTACGGATCGCTGCGGGACCCCCATGCCCCCAGACTATGCCCCCAGGTCAACGTGCCCCCAGGGCATGTCCCGGGGAAAGGGGGAGGGGTCAGAGGTCACAGGGGCCGTTCGCGCATTAATGGTAGCAGAAATCCCCAAACACAAGAGTAATTGTTTCGCAACGGTTTTTATTGCTTTTTTAGTATTAAAGAAGGTTTAGGACTTTGTTTTAAAGGGTATTCTAGCCATACACGCTATTCTTAGATGTTTTTTAGTATTAAAGAAGGGTGAATAACTTTCTTTCAATGGTATTATAGCCATTACGCGTTTCTTAGATGTTTTTTTAGTAGCTAAGAAGGGGGAAATAACTTTCTTTCAAGGGTATTATAGCCATTACGCGTTTCTTAGATGTTTTTTTTAGTAGCTAAGAAGGGGGAAATAACTTTCTTTCAATGGTATTATAGCCATTACGCGTTTCTTAGATGTTTTTTTAGTAGCTAAGAAGGGGGAAATAACTTTCTTTCAAGGGTATTCTAGCCATTACGCGTTTCTTAGATGTTTTTTTTAGTAGCTAAGAAGGGGGAAATAACTTTCTTTCAAGGGTATTCTAGCCATTACGCGTTTCTTAGATGTTTTTTTAGTAGCTAAGAAGGGGGAAATAACTTTCTTTCAATGGTATTATAGCCATTACGCGTTTCTTAGATGTTTTTTTAGTAGCTAAGAAGGGGAAATAACTTTCTTTCAATGGTATTATAGCCATTACGCGTTTCTTAGATGTTTTTTTAGTAGCTAAGAAGGGGGAAATAACTTTCTTTCAAGGGTATTCTAGCCATTACGCGTTTCTTAGATGTTTTTTTTTAGTAGCTAAGAAGGGGGAAATAACTTTCTTTCAAGGGTATTCTAGCCATTACGCGTTTCTTAGATGTTTTTTTTAGTAGCTAAGAAGGGGAAATAACTTTCTTTCAAGGGTATTCTAGCCATTACGCGTTTCTTAGATGTTTTTTTAGTAGCTAAGAAGGGGGAAATAACTTTCTTTCAATGGTATTATAGCCATTACGCGTTTCTTAGATGTTTTTTTAGTAGCTAAGAAGGGGGAAATAACTTTCTTTCAAGGGTATTCTAGCCATTACGCGTTTCTTAGATGTTTTTTTAGTAGCTAAGAAGGGGGAAATAACTTTCTTTCAATGGTATTATAGCCATTACGCGTTTCTTAGATGTTTTTTTAGTAGCTAAGAAGGGGGAAATAACTTTCTTTCAATGGTATTATAGCCATTACGCGTTTCTTAGATGTTTTTTTAGTAGCTAAGAAGGGGAAATGACTTTCTTTCAAGGGTATTCTAGCCATTACGCGTTTCTTAGATGTTTTTTTTAGTAGCTAAGAAGGGGGAAATAACTTTCTTTCAAGGGTATTCTAGCCATTACGCGTTTCTTAGATGTTTTTTTTAGTAGCTAAGAAGGGAATGAACTTTCTTTCAAGGGTATTCTAGCCATTACGCGTTTCTTAGATGTTTTTTTAGTAGCTAAGAAGGGAATATACTTTCTTTCAAGGGTATTCTAGCCATTACGCGTTTCTTAGATGTTTTTTTTAGTAGCTAAGAAGGGGGAAATAACTTTCTTTGAAGGGTATTCTAGCCATTACGCGTTTCCTAGATGTTTTTTTAGTCTCGAAGAAGGGTACAACTTTGTTTCAAGGGTCTTCTATGTTTTTTTATTCCTAAAGAAGGTTATAGCTTTGCTTCTGGGAGGTGCGTTAACCATTCGACTTTCCTTCTCTTTTTGTTTAGGATCAGCTACGGATGTTGGGGGGTTTCTTTCAGGGGGAATAGGAGGAGTGGAAGGTTCTTTGGTTTTGGAGGAGGTGCATAGGTAGATCACGGAAGGACTCCGCGCCAAGCGGGAAATATACTAAAGAGAATGGGAAGCGCCCTGTATTGCCTTGCCCCCCGGGAGGGCCAGGCAAAAAAAGCCGCGAAGCGGCTTTTTTTGACTGGTATTAACTTGAAAAATCTAAAAAAAATCCAAAAAAACATTATCTTCTTTCAACAAAATCATTTTCTTCAAAAAAAAACGGGCATTTTCGGTGGAAAAATCTTGATTTTTTAATTATGTTTTTATTTTATTCTTGTAAAGTTTTTCAGTTTAGGGATAGTAAAAGACAGTTTAGAAACACTGCAGCGATTTATATTTTAAAAATTGGCCCCCAGAGATAATGCGAAAGAGCCGTTTCGGAAACTTGTTGAAGCCATTTTGAAGCCCGTGAAGCGTGGGGCCTCGCGAAAAAATCCACGTGAATTTATGGCTAACAAAGCAAAAAATCCCTGCATTGCCCGTCTCTAGAATCGAAAATCCCTAGAATTGATATCTCTATTATCTGCCTTTTCAGGGCTACGACGCGATACGCAACGAGCCGTCCTCATCGGCACATCAAGCCGCTTCCGAGTCACATTCTGGCACGGCAATGTCCGGACGCCCCACGACAATCACGGAAATCCCGGGCGGCTCACCGCGTAATGCCAACGGCACCGAGCCGGTGTACACAAAGATCCGACGGACGCCGGGGAACGACCGTTGCGCGGACTGTGGCGGACGAGAGGACGTGAAATGGGTCTCTATCAACCTCGGGGTCGTGCTGTGCATCGAGTGCTGCGGCGTGCATCGCAGTCTGGGCGTGCAGGTGTCCAAGGTTTGTGCATATTCTTAAACTTTTGATTGTGGTGCGTTAGCGGGGGAGAGGGACTTGACTTCCTTTTTGCGCTTATTCCCGAGAATACTAATTTAATTTAATTTAGTTTAATTTAAAATATTTAACTGGTTTGAAATGGCTTTACCGGAAAAATTTGAAAATTCAAGATGTCATTTTAGTTTCGTAGCCAAGCTTTGGTTTCTTGGGACAATTTTTTAATCCACACTGTAGCTCTGATATGGGCGTAGGGATGCTAATGGTCCCCCCGCTAATGAATAAGCTCTTTTTATGGTGACATTCTTCAGATCCGCTCGCTGACGATGGATTCGCTGGACGGCGAGGTGACGAACATCTTGATGTCGCTGGGCAACGACCGCGTGAATGCGATCCTGCTCTCCGGGCTGCCGAAGAAGGACATCGTGCCGCCGCCCGCGAATGAGCGGTCGCCTCGCGAGGTTTGTTCTTGGTTTTTCGGCTTCTCTCGACGACAGCGAGCAGTTCAGTCAGTCAGATTTAAATAATTTGTTTTAATTTAGTATATGGAAAAATTCTCGTATTTTTAGGTCCGCGAAACCTGGATCAAAGCCAAGTACGTGGAGCGTCGCTTCGTGGCCCACGGCACCCCGCACAAAGCATTGCGACGGAAGGCCAGCGCTGGAGGTCGGTTTCTAGGTGTTTCAGCCAAAAATATGTGTTTTTAGTGAACCGCTCGGCTTCGTCGGCCAACGTCGCCTCACTGGACATGACTACGAGTAGCACGTATAACGAGAACCTCGGCGAGACGCATAGTGATGAAGGAGGAGATGAGGGTCACGCTGATGTTCATGGTATGATGCGAGTCGAACGATTTGAACTGTTCGATTTAGACGAGCTTCTCCTGGCGGCCGCTCGGACCGGAGATCTTCCGGAAGTGCTCAAGAATTTGTTGACTGGAGCCGATGTGAATGCGTTGGTTGACGGGACGACGGCGCTGCACGCTGCGATTCTGGCGGTTGGTTTCCGGATGTGATTTGGAGCTTTATAAAGTCGTAGCATAAGGTTTTTACAGGGATTTTGAAGCGCCCAAATTTTCGATATAATTCACATTTTAGAACCACACTGCCGTCGTCGAATTCCTGCTGCTGAACGGCGCGAAGACGTCGTTGGCCGACGCTAATGGGGACACGCCGCTTCACGTGGCTTCCAGGAACGATGGACCACTGTTAGTTTTTATGGAGAGTCGGATTCTAGGTTTTCATCTCCTTTTTGGATTTTCCACTCAAATTTTCCGTTTTCAGGGCCGCCGCGATGCTGCTAAAACGGGGTGTCGATCGGGATCTCGTGAATCTGAAGGGCGAGACGCCGATTCAGATTGCCGTCGACAAGGAGTCGGTGGAAATAATTACCTTGTGAGTTCATAGCTTTATTTCACTCGATATATGGGTTGTTTTGAACCTCTTCAACTCGATTTTCAGGCTTCGCCTTCACGAGATGCGCGACGAGACGGACGCCACCGAGGGCGTCGACGAGATCATCAGCGACTTGACGCGCCGTGCGGCCGAGAAGGCGGCCACGATGCGCAACGGGGCGGCTGGTACGGAATCGTTTTTGGCGCTTCAATTCCATCTTTTCCAGGACGTTCACCGCCCTCCATTTCCGAGCTTGCCCTGGAGAAGATGCGCCCCGAGGAGTGAACCGCTTCATGTCGTTGCCCCCTGGCTATTCGTGCTTTACTCACTGTTCCGCCATCATTTAATTCCTTTTAAACTTAATTCCTGATCAGTTCGCTAGTCCGATTCTTTCAGTCGATGATGGATGATGGAGTCCTGGACGATGGTCAGATCGATTCTGAAGCGCGGAAAATTGTGGAAATTCTAGAAGCTTTTGGAATTCAGAATCTTTACACGATTGGTCATCTCCTGAAAAGGGCACATCACGATTTTGAATCGCTAGAGCTAGAGATTTCCAAGCTCTTGTACAATTCCAGAAACCCTGGGTTTTTCTGAATCATCTTAACCGCATCAAAAAGCTTCGAAAAGCTGCTACGTGCGTGATTGACCATCGTTCCGGCGACATTTGTAAAAATTCCCCGATTGACCCCCCCATTTTACGGATTTCAATGTGTTCACTTCCTTGTACTGTTACTCATCAGCCTTTCATTGTACCTTAAATGTACCTTAAAAAACCTGGCCACGGCCTTTTAACGGGAGCATGAGGTCATGCTCTCGCTCTTGGCTTCCGGCCAAAGCTAAAGTATCATACCTGTCGAATTCATAGTCCCCTATTAAATTTATCCTGTTTCTTTTTCTGTGCCCCCCCGACTTGCCATGATGATTGTGATTTTTGGCGGGCCACCTCCTGAAGCCCTTTCACTACGCTTTTGCTGTGCTTTGAGCCCCGTCTCTTCTGCTGCTGCTGCTCCTTGGTGCTTTGGTGCTTGCGATGACCCGGTGGATGTGTCATGACGTGTCAGATGAAGCGTAATAAATTATAAACTTTTATCGGCTTGTGAAAATACACCGAAAATGCTCCGGATTGATGGCTTAATGTATTTTGAGGTTACTTTATTGATTTCTCTAACCCTAAAGCATTCTGACGAGTTTCACGGGCTTCAAAATAGCCTCAATAGGCTTCCGAAGCGATGCTTTTGCATTATCGGGCGGTGGGGAAGGGTCAAATTTTTGTTGCTTGCAAGCTGCAACCCAAAACTGCCTAGTAAGTTAATAGTAGGCGTTTTAATAGTGTTGTTCGCAAAATGTAGCCATTATTAAAGCGCAAAAGCAATAAAATTTTGGTCGAAAATCCATTTTTTCCATTTTTTAAACAAAATTTGTAAAGTTTGACGTTTAGGTATAGTAGTAAAAAGTTTAGAAACACTTCCTCGATATATATTAGTAAACTAGAACCTTAGAAAAAGTTGCTTCCCCCCGATAATGCAAAAGGATCTACGAGGCTTTCAAAGCAAATGTTTCAATTAAATCCAATTTAGCGGTTCAAAATCTAGCAAATTTAGCTTTCTTAGTTAGGTTTTTCTTTAATTTAGTGTTTTTAGCTAATGGCCTCGTCACGGCGGCTCTGGGCGGCGTTGCAAGGCGTCATCTGCGTGCACAAGCCGGCCGACACGCACTTGGCAAGTCTGAAAAAGGTTTGTATTTTGAAATTTAGCTTTTCTAACTTTTTAAAGCATACTTTATGCCATTTTTCAGCGGATAATCGCCCAAATTGTCGAGCAGGGCAACCAGGCCTGGGAGGGGCGACCGCCCAAGGAAATTGAGCTGCCGATTGTCAGTTTTTGGCATGGAATGGTGCTATATGTGGTTTTGAAATCGAAAACGCGTACTATGCAACGCATTTTTATTTTTTAGGTAACAGAAGGCGAGAGCGGGGCCATTTGGATCACCGGGACGAAGAAACAGCCGGATTATAGGTATTTGAGACTGGGAAGCTTCAAATAATCATTTTTAGTGAACATCCCCTCGTCGTGGGCCCGATGCTGCACCCACAGGATGTGCTCGTCGAGGAGCTGGGCGATATGGAGCCGACGACGTCCGGCATTTGTCTACTCGGGCTGAATGATGGGTGAGGAATTTTGGATAAACTAGAAAAGCGGCAATTTGCCCTCTTTCATCATTTTTTTTGCTTCCTATTTACTGCTCTTTTTAAAGTTTCAAGCATAATTTATGGTCGAGAAAAGTTAAATCCGTTTTAAAAACTCCCGTATGTAAATTTTTCCAGGTGTGAACAACTGCCGGGGATTCTGGAGCGCGCCTGGCCGTCTCGATATCGTTTGGAGGGGATACTCGGCAGGCAGACAGTCGATAACGAGGTGAAAACGATATTTTCGGTACTGGACTGTTAGTAGGGGGAATAATTTTGTGTTTCTACCTCTTAATGATAAATTGTGTCTTTTCTTAATATTTTAGCAGTTTCAGGTTCAGGTTTCAAGTTACAAAAAGTATTTTAAACATTTTAAAAAGTTAAAAATTCGAAAATTTGTATTTTTTTTTGGTATTTTTTCGTACATTTTTGGCCAGAGTCCAATTATCGAAAATTTTTACGCGCTTTGTGGCTCTAAAACTGTAAAATACTGTGAAAATGGTTTTTTTTTGGAGGGGCCCGTACAGAATTACTGAGTAAAATAGTCCCCCACCCCCGCAAAAACACCAGTCCCGTAATTTCAGGCAAAAATAGCTTTAGATTTACCGGCTCCTCCATATCTAAATCTACCCATTTCAGATCAAGGGCCGCGTGATGGAGAGCGGCCAATACGAGCCGGTCAGCCGGGGCCGCATGCAGAAAGTCATATCAAAGGTATGGGATCGCCTAGAATGTCTTATTTTCTCACTTTAGATGCTGGCCAACTTCCGGCGCCTCTCCTTCGAGCTGAGCGGCGTTGATGCGCAAAGCGAAGCAGCGTTCGAAATGGCGAGAAAAGGGATCCCGAGGCCGTCGATTCCCGGCCAGCTGCTCGTGCAGAAAATGGATTTGGCCGTTTGGGCACCGCCATATTTTGCGCTGGATGTAGGGGCGAATTTCTCATTTTCACAGTAGTATTTAGTTGACCTGCTCGGGCGAGACGGACGCGACGCTGCGGAACTTTGTGCTGCAAATCGGCGGTTCTGTGGGTAAGTTTCAGCATTCGAGTCCTTGAGCATTGTCGGGGGCCAGCTTTTTTCTGGAAGTTCGGAAATGTATAATAGCGTAGTAGCAAGTGTTTTAAAAGTGTTCTTACTTACTAGTTAGTAAAATTAAACTCGATTTTAGTTGGAACAGATTTAAAAAACTTTAGAAAATTTTTAAATGCGAAATTTGGTAAAATAGCGTCTAGTTTGCTCGAAAAAACTCGATTTTTCTTTTAGCTATATTTTAACTATAATTTAAGTGGAAAACATTAAAAATTGTTGATTTCTAGAAGTTAGAAATTTTTAAAACGGAAAATATTTGAAAAATTGAAAAAACAAAAGTATACAAAACGTGTAGATGACATTTTGGTCAAAAAAACCATCGATATTTCTCCTAATTTTTATCCAAATTTGTAAGGTTTTTACGTTTAGGAATAGTGAAAACCAGCTTAAAAACAATTCCTCCATTTACATTAGAAAAATTGGATTCTTAGAAAAAGTATGTACCCCCCCCCGATAATGCCAAAGAACCACCAATTCTCAATTCCAAAAATCTAGGCACCGTGGCATCACCGACGAAGCTGATCCGGCTGGGCGTGGGCCCATTTTTGCCCGAGCACGCCCTCCTGTGGAAGCAGTTGAATTTGCAAAATATTGTAGGGTTATTTTCACGAATTCACGCCCCCAATTTAGGTCCGAAATATTGCGGCCAACCGGAAGATGCTCACCGACTTCAAGGCGGACCAGTCGCCCGTTTTCGAGGAGGCCGAGCCGGTCAGCGTGGTCAAGGGGGTCGGGCTTGAATTTTGTATTTTATCAAATTTTTCCAGCTGCTCGACACGAAGAAGTTGAACAGCGCCGACGACGAGGAGGTGGATGCGATGCGGCCGTACTGGGGACGAGAATATGAAAAATAAAACGCGGTTTTTGGCTTTTTATAGTTTGTTATTTTGTATAGCATTCGTTTTTCTAGGAGCTTTGTATTTTGTAGTTTGTGGTTGTTGTTGTTGATTTTTTTGCTTTTTGTTGCGATACCCTGGAATAAAGGAATTCAATTTGTATTTATCTTGGGCAAAACGTCAATTTTGCTATACTTTTTCTGTACAGTTTCGTTAGCATTAAGGTTTTGTGAGGCCGCTTTTCTTTAGGCTATTTTAGTGTAGGCTATTCAATGTGTTAATTACGGTATCTTATTTAGATAATTTTCGGTAGTTTCAGCATTACCCATTGGCCTTCTTTACAAAGAAACTAACATTTTCCAGAAGCAAAATTCAAGTTTCAAGCTTAAAATTCAAGAAAATATCGTTTTTCACCCGAAATTTCGCGTATTTCAAAAGTTTAAAGTTTTTAGATGCTTTTCCACTTGAGAAATAGTTGCATTTTAAAACAAACACCATTAAAATACTTACTATAAATTTGCGGGGCATTTCTGAAGTTTTACAACGAAATTCGGTCCTATATTCGATCAATTACCCAACTTCTAAATAGTGATGGGGTTATTCAAATCAAATCTCGACTCAAATCTGAGAGCTCAAATCTGAATATTTGAAGGCAAAAATTTCAATTTCAAATCGGCGGATTTGAAATTGTCCAAATCAAATCAAATCGATTTGATTTGAAGTGCTGAAACCTTATTCAAATCAAACCGTCAGATTTGATTAGGCGGATGCAAATTAGATTTGAGATTTGAATAATACCATCACTACTTCTAAAGCATTTTTATGTGTTTCTAAAGAAAACGCGATAATTTTTAAACGGATTTTCTTTATTTATGGCGGCTTTCTTCATATAGTATTTATTTTATGCTGTTATTCAACTTCTCCCGCTTTTTTTCTAACCATCTTTTCCATTTTCTGGCTCAAAATTCGGCTCTAACCCTCGTGGGAACGCACCCCAGTGTGTCATCGGATTCCCGAAAATATCATCCTCTTTGCCGGCCGCCAGAAAGAAGAGGCGAACAACGGATGCTTGGTCAGGGATAGGGGCATCTGGCAACAGTCACAAACCCCCAAGTGAAAAGTTATTATTTGGAGGGTTGAGGGGACGGTTTTGATCGGATACTAGGAGGAAGGTCCGAAAATCTGAGAGGATTAACAGGAAGAACCCCCCGCGATGCCGGGCCCCGAACTCAACGCCGGCAAGGTCAACTCGTCCTGTCGACCCCGGCCTAGAAGGACCACTTATGATTTCGGCTCTCTGCCATTTGTGGTCAGATCCGAGATGTTTCGTTTTTTTTGACGGGTTTTCTCCGGGGTTCGTTCGGGGTGTTTTAGAGATCTCTGCTAGCATGCCCCTTCCATTCCCAAATGATCTCTGCTAGCCTGCCCCTTCCATTCCCAAATGAAGACTGCTAGCCGGCCCCTTCCATTCTCAAATGATCTCTGCTAGCCTGCCCCTTCCATTCCCAAATGATCTCTGCTAGCCTGCCCCTTCCATTCCCAAATGATCTCTGCTAGCCTGCCCCTTCCATTCCCAAATGATCTCTGCTAGCCTGCCCTTTTGCCTACCGATATTTCATTTTGAGGATAACTTAAAAAGCATTTCAAAACCTCGCTCCCAAAATCGTCAGTTGATTTCGCGAATTTTTGCCGGCAGCGCCCCCGCGCCCAAAAAACAGGCGAAACACTTCAGGGCCGTGTTGACAGGGCCATAAATAAGGTCGAGAAACGAGATCCAGACCCTTGTATGCCTCTCTTTTGCCCCAATCAGTCCAAATGACGGCCGTGACGTCTCGAAGGCGTTCCCCCGCCTTCAACCTGTGCCCTTTCGCAGAGGATATGGGATTTGCCAGCCTCGAAGTGAGAGTTTTTTCTAATGCCTTGTTTTTGTTCTTTGGTACTGGTTGTTAGTGTTCTCGCAATATTCTTGAGTTACTGTAGACCGTAAAATAACGTGCTGGATTTTGCTCTCTGAACTGTCTATTTCCCGAAATTTAAATTTGTTATTTCGATCTATTTCAGAGAAAATTAATCTTCTCCAGATTTAGATGGTCACTTTGACGATTTTATATTTATTTTTATCTGTTACCTCAGTCTCGGCACAATTTTACGGCCAAAACGGTGGGTTAATTTATCGATTTTTTTGAGATAGCTTTTTACATTTTATGGTGTAAGGCCAGGTTCGAATACTAATCAAATATTTTTAAAAGATACTATTGTATTTTTGAAAAACTACTAAAATTCCCTTTAATTTCCCTTGTTAAGCCTATTAAAAATCAGAGAAATTTAATTTTTTTTTTGACAAAAAACAATGTGTTTAGCTCCCTTCATCACCTACCCAATTACGGCATATGTTTTCACGAATACAGGATATTACGGCGAACAACCTGGGGTTGGCAGCAGTACTTCTGGGCCGTACCCGTATTATTCGAACCGTCAGGGCCAGGAAAATGGTGTGTTTTTAGGAGCAATTCGGACAATTAGGGCTTAATTTCAGATTTTGGGAGATTTGCGGCAAGTCCGCCGGAAGCTCCGAAACCGTAAGTTTCTCTCTCACTCCCGCTCTCTTGCTCTCTCGCTCTCTCTCTCTCACTCCTGATGAATGCGACTTTTAGCTACACAAATAGCCGCGACTACGAACAACAGCTCCGTGACTATTATGCCCTCATCACGCGGCCACCGTATTATTACGGTTAGCTACAGTTTTTAACGATTAAAAATATCTAACCCCTTCTAAAGCTTGAGTTAAACGGCTTTAATTTAAATTAAGCTTAGGACCCCCGATTGCCTACGACATTTTCACGCCTAAAAATACGATAATTCCGAGCAAACCAGTGAATCCGGTCAAGCCAGCCGTCCAAAGGAAACCGGTGGAAAAAGTGCGTACCGTTTTTTGTAGTTTAGGTACCGAAGTCTTTTTTTTTCCAGGTATTCAAGCCGGTCCAGAAATTGTTGCCGTTTAGAGTTGAGGAAGATAGGCCGAAGACGACGACGAAAAAGTTCGCTTTTAGGAAACTTTTTAAAGGATCTTATTTGTCAAATTCGGAACGTTCCTAATGACAGATTCCTAAAGAAACTCGGCAAGTTTGCCCTAATAACAAAAAAAACTGATTTTGACCGAGAAATCCTATAAAAATGGCTACGTTTTTAGACCCGAGGAAGAATTCGTCGTAGATTCGGACGCGGAGAGCAGAGAAAATGCGAAAAATGGCGCTTCTGGCTTTGGAGATTATGAAGATCAGGTCCTCGGCAAAGGTTCACCGGCAAGTTTAATTCATATAATTTTTCTAGAGTCTGTGTATTTCAGAAAAGTTTAAAAGCTCCAATTTCAAAGCCGGCAAAACCGTTTCTTCCATCCAGAGCTGGTCAGACCGTCGGTAAGCTTTAGCAGCGACTAAAAAACCCACTAGAATTCTTTAAATGAATTTATTCATATAAAGAAGGCATTGTACAATAATTAAAGCACGGTTAAATAATTTAGATGGCACCCACTATGCTGCAGACCGAGAAAAGCCGGGGCCGAGCCGAAAAACCGAGTTCGCGATGACCGAATTCATCCCGATTGGCCACGACACCAGCCCCAGGCAAAGGCTACGAATCGGCGTGCATAGAAAAAGGTGCGTTTCTGAAGATACGATGCTTTATAAAAGCCGATTTACTTTATTACGGCCAAACAAACAAAAATTTCAGGTTTCGAGGCTGGACCGTTGAAGGGGACGCCTAGAGCACCTAAAAATGCTACCCCATGTACAAATAAATATTTTATACGCCCTCTGCTCATCAAAACGCATAAAATTTGATTTTTATAACGACGTAGCACTTTAAATTGTCGATTTTTGAGCTAAAATAGAAATCCAAAATTGTACACATCCCGGCAGGAAAGTGTGCGCCGCTCACAACCGCTTACGCTCTGAAAATCCGGCCGAAAGCCAAACAAATAAAACCTTTTAAAACAAATTATTACGTTGTTTTCGATGAATTTAGTCAGATTATAATATCGCTAGACCTTGAAATATTTGGCTAATTGATGCTTGGTGAATTTCCCGCTTTGGGGCGGCCTCTTTCCCTCACGAAACCCTCCCTGAAAGTTGTTTTCATTTCCAGATCCCCCGATGTTTCGCTGCAGAGGGCTGGTGATACGCTGTGCACACACGAGAGCCGTTGATCCACAGGTTTTTGAGCTTGAAGGAATTTTTTAGCTTTTAATTTATAGATTCTCACCCTACAAACACGAAAATCAAGGACCGATCGGGATTCGAAGGATGACGGCAAGTTTTTGTACATATTTTCTAAGGAATGGGCTTCAGAAAAGCGTCGAGGCGGGCCGCGGCGAATTCACTGGGGCCTCGGGGCCGTGGGGATGATGTCGATTCCGTTGGCGACGCTCGGGCTCGGCATCTGGCAGTCGATGCGGCTGCGGTGGAAGCTGGAATTAATCGAGGACGTTCGGTACGTTTTGCTTTGTCTGAAAATTAGGGTAAATACTTTCTAGCGCGTCCTATACCTTTTAAAATAACATAAAAATTTGTTAAACCTGAAAAACACTCTTTTTAGAGGCCGTCTCGACGAGAAGGCGATCGATTTCCCGGTGAACGACCTCGGGAAATTGTTGGATATGGAGTACAAGTAAGAATTTTTCGAGTTCGACGAGGTTAAATTTTATTTCCAGACGCGTTCGGCTCGTCGGCGAATTCTTGAACGATCGCGAGTTCCTCATCGCCCCGCGCGGCCGTTTCGATAAAGGACATGTGGCGGTGAGTTTTTTATGGTGGACAAAATCAAACACCAAAAAAACACATGAGTATGAGCTTTTTTTCAGAAAGACCACGGCTCGTTACTCTCCGAAAACGAGCTGAGCAGCCACGGCGGGCATGTGATCACGCCGTTTCGATTGAAAGGCACGGATCTGGTGATATTGGTCAACAGGCACGTTTTTTTGGAGCCGTTGCATTACTAGGGGGGATTTTTCAACATGCTTAGTAATCACTTGGTAATGTAACAGAAAGTATTTCAGTCGTGCTTTTGATCAAATTAAGCTATTTTTAAAGCGAAAAAACTATTTAAAAACTTAGAAAAATGCCTAAAACTTGGAAATTTGCGCGAAAAATGAATATTTTCGTATTCTGATGAAATAAGATCTTTTAGGTGAGGAATACTAAAGAAGGGCGAGAAACGCTTCCTCGATTTAAAATTGGATTCCAGAAAAAGGCCCCCCCCCGCATATTGAAAAAGATACGGGTTTTTCAATAAATTGATTTATTTTTAGAGGCTGGGTACCCGCGTGTCTCATGGACCACGCCACGAGAAGCCATACTGACATCCGCGGCGAGACGGCCATCGATGCCATTGTCAGGTCAGGGCTTTTTAAATTTTTTGAGCACGAGTTTTTTTTAGAAGATCCGAGCCTCGCCCTCAGTTTATGCAGGACAACCGGCCGGAGAAGGGCATCTGGTTTTATCGCGATCATGAGCAAATGGCCAAACAGTGAGCGATTTTTTTGGTAAATCCGATAAACCTTGGTGTCTTTGCGAAACTAGGATCCATTTTTTCGTAAGAACCGTTTTTTTGTGTAAATTTACAGCGTATTTTGACAATTTTGAGAAGTAAAAGCTTTACCAATTTTGTTCACAACTAAAAATTACCGTTTTTGAACAAGTTTCGAATTTTCAGACATTTTTCAAAGTTTTCTAAATGATTTTTCCACGTGAAATCCGCTCAAAATAGTTTCTATTGAATTGCGAGGAATATTTGGACTTTAGAAAAATTGTCCTGGGTTAGCCTAGATTTTGCGAAGAAATAAATTTTTGTGGCGGCTGATTGACAGAAAAAGTCAGTATTTTTGCGGGCCTTTTTAATAGTGTTTTTGATGGAATTAGCTATTTTTCAAATGAAGAATGTGTTCAAAACGTCGGAAAATGTTTAATGATTTGAAATTTGATCTAAAATTTGAAATTTCTGGTGGTTAATAAAGGAATAAGTACAAATTTGTAACGCTCTTGCGTGGAATAATAAAAAAAAGAGTTCAGAATGCGAAAACACGAAAAAAACTCTATTTTAGTTACGGCACGGCCCCAATCTACGTGGAGGCGACGTACGAGGGCTCGATGCCCGGCGGGCCAATTGGCGGCCAGACGAACGTCCGGCTCCGCAATGACCATTTCCAATATTTGTGTACGTGGTTTACTCTCTCGATCATCACCACAATGATGTGGATCGCAAAGTTTTACCGGTAGAATTGTTTGTGGAATTTTTTTTGATGAATTTATGTGGGTTTTTCTGATTTTCTGATCCCAAAAACTTCGTTGTCATTTTCCGGTCTTTCACACCATTTCCCTCTCCAGTAACCTTTTTAAAGTGCCGTATAACTTTTGGTTCTTGTGCATTATCTGGGGGGGGCACTTTTTTCCTATAATTCCAAGAATTCCAAGAATTCCAAGAAGTAACGTAATCGTAAGTCATTAATTAGCGTTTTTAGCAAAATTTAACTAGATTTTGGGTGGGAAAACGATTAAAAAGCCCTAGATACATTTTTTTGTTGAGATTGCCGTTCGTTCCGTTGAAAATCGGGCCGTTTTAGTCGAAAAATCGATATTTTTGCATTAGTTACTGAAAATTTGCGTTTTTACGTAGTAAAAAACACTTTCTCTATTAGTTTATAAAAAAAATGGGATGGTTAGAAAAAGCTCCCCCCCCCCCCGATAATGCGAAAGATCCCAAGTTATTTCTTGCGCTATTGTTTCCCATTATTCCTGGGCAATATCTCTCAATTTCTAGAATAGTTTTTTTTTTGTAAATAGAATTGTTTCTAAACCCGAAGTCTGCTCCTTTTTTGTCCTCACTTTTTTGGCAAATTTTTGTTGATTTTGTTTGAATAAATTAGAATACAATGAACTAGAATTCCGCTGAAATGGTGATCATTTTTCGGGCTTTTTGCTGATGGCGTCGATGAGCAGCGTGAAGCCGATCAGCGTCCAGCCGGGCGGCCTCAAGCGCTCGGAGGCGAAAACGGACTTGAAGTAGGTGTTTTTGCTGTTACCTTAAAGGCTTTAGAAGGTTTTAATGTTGTAAATATTGTTTATCAACGCTTTTTTAGAGCCGATCCGGAAACGGACACCTTGCCGGCGCCGGACGAGCCGCTGACCTGCCTGCCAAACCGCCGGCCGGCGCCCCGGCTAGCCAGCATGTTCGTCTTGTTCTTTCCGGTACGGTGTTAGCGATTGAAAACTGGAGCGGTGCTTCTCTGTTAGCGGGGGGGGGGTTTGACGTAGGAGCTAATTTTCAAGTTATTTGGCATTATTGGGGGGAAGATTTTTCTATGGCTCGAGGTTTTGTAATATAAATTGCGGAAGTGTTTCAAACCCTTTTTTTGGCTATTCCTAAACGTAAAAAAGTTTACAAATTTTGATAAAAAATAAAAATATTGATTTTCTTCGGCTGAAAAATGAATTTTTGACAAAGACCCAAAAATTTTTTTATAATTTTTTTTGTATGAATTTGCCTCTTAAAATATCGTTAAATTTTACCAAGTGACCACCCCGTTCCTAACCATTTCCGCACTTTAGGAAAAAGCTGTCCCCCGATAATGCACAAGAACCTATTTTTTCAAGGCCCAATTTCAGCCGGCCGCCGTCTACCTGGGCCTCGGCAGCTACGACGTGAACGTGCTGATCAACGCGGCGCTGACGCTGTGCGGCTGGGTGCCCGGTAGCTGTTTTTGATGACCGCAACGCGCAGCCGCGACGCTTTAATCATGCTGAAAGTTTCTAAAATGCTTTTTCAGGCGTCGCCCACGCGTTGATGGTGGTGTGCCTGCGGGCCGATCAGCTGTTCGACCCGTCGGGCGGCGTGGCCGAGCTGTCCGCGACGACCGGCACGTCCGGGACGGCTGGAAAATCCGGTGGATCACGCGGCTACAGCACGAGCAAATGAATTACGGGCATGGGGGAGGGATGAATAAATGGTTTTGTCATTTTTCTCGCTATTTTTCTCTGCTCTTTCGCTCTCTCTCTCTCTCTCTCTCTCTCTCGCTCTCTCCGATTTTCGATCCTTGATGTTAGTTATTTTTCACAGCTCACTGTAAACTTTAAGAAAAATCTCGATCGCGCACGTTCGACTTCTGGAGCGCCGCGAAAAATTCTAGAAACAGGTGAATTTGAGATTTTTGCCGGCTGGTTTTGACGCGGGCAATTTGCTCCCGATCGCCCCGGCCGCTAATTGGCAATTTTGGCGTTTCTATACTAAAAAGGACACCGAGAAAAATTGCGATCCTCGAGAGGATTCCGATGCGTTCTTTGAAACTAAATTGCTGATTTTTGGCTTCGAATTTGGAGTGCCACTTTGGCGGTTTGCACGAAATTGGGGGGTGTTTTTGGCGCGGACCGTTCTGGAATTACAGGGCTTAAAAAGTGCGAAATCGACCCGTTTCTTTACTAGGTCTAGACAGCTACGCGCCGCTTCTATGCCGCGCACAAACGCATTTTTATCCTCTAAAAACAGCACGACTCTCACGAATTAAAAATCAGATTTATAGGCGTCATTTGGAGAGTTGCGTGTTGTCGAAACCTAGTCGACACAAGGGGTAGAAGTTGCTACTTCCCAGCTCCTTTATACCTACAAGGTCTACCGACAAGTGTCGGGCAAAAATCAATTATTAAAGGGGAAATGCAAGTCCGAGAATCAACCCCTGCCGACGGCTAGGTCTCGACAATTAGAGCGAGCCTTGACTGTCCCTTTAAAATTCAATAGCCAAAATTCCGCAAGGATTTTGCTGCAAGCCTTTTGGCTACCACTTAATTCTCCTTTTCCAGGAACTACATCCCGATAAAAAGTTCTATTCCCGTGCTCTGGATTCTTAGTTTTGGGCGCTGCAGGCGTCGATTGCATTTGCGTAGTGCTTTCGCACCTCCGGTCGCCCATTTTCGCCCGATCCGAGCAGCAGAGACGGAATGTAATGTAGTCGCTCTGTCTCTCTCGCTCTCTCGCTCTCTCGCTCTCTCTGACCCTGACGGTTATGGTCTTCTAGGGCAGCTGCAAATTCGATTATTTCACCTGCTTGTGGGGTCCCGAGGCGCCGCTCGTTACCGAAAAGTGCTGTCCAGCCATTTGGTCTTCTACATTCGGATACGGTATTTCATCAACTCCTGGGTATTCCCTCTCTATTCTTGCGGAATAGGAAAATATCGGAAATTCCGGAAACTTCCGGAAACTTCCGGATTTTGCCATATTTTTAACTGGAAATACTGGAAAATTAAGCGAGCGAAGCCTATTACTCTCTCTCTCCCTCTCTCTCTCTTTATCTTTGTCTCTCTTTGTCTCGCTCTCTCTCTCTCTCTCTCTCTCTCTCTCTCTCTCTCTCGCTCTCTCATTTTGATACAACCTCGGCCTTCCGCCCGGATCCAACTGACGCCATTTTCTGCGCCAAATTCCTTTGGTTTTTTCGGTAATTCAATCGGAAACCCCTGGAGTACAGGACTGTACTAAGTACGATATTTCATATTTTAATATGTATTTGTTGGAAAACTAGAGCACTCAATTTTATATTTAGAAGCGCTAGTAAAACAGAACTTTTTCGGCCCTAAAATCCTGCAAATTTTGCAACTAACTTTTTCGAAAAGCAGGTCCGTGGGGCCTAGGTTTTTTGCTATTTTTTTCAGCAAAAACGCATTAAGTCGAAATCCCCCCGGGATTCACCGATCCGCGGATTGGTTATTTTTGGTAGAAATCTTTATTTTTTTTGTCTTAGCGTCAAAAACGCGTTGTTTTTCCAGAATCCGGGGCCCCGCTTTCTCAACTTTTCCCTGCTTCCGGGGTGGGGCCATTTTTTGTAGCGGTCGCTCGCCATAAGGGAGGCCCGAGCCCGACAATTTCCGCTAATTACCATTCCGAAATCGGTGACACTCGAGTCGGCCCGAGTGCCTATAATTTTCAATGGGGGAACTCGGGGAGTTGAGGATGGAAATCGACCCTTTTAGAGGGGAAATGACAAGGTTTCTGCCGCTTTTTTACGCTGTCCCTCACTTTCTCTCTCTCTCTCTCTCTCTCTCTCTCTCTCTCTCTCCCTCTTTCTTGCTCTCTCTCTCGCTCTCTCTCACTCTCTATCTCATTCTCTCTCACTGTCTCACGCTTTAGTTCTATCTAGCTATCCCTATCTCATGCTCCACCTCATGCTCTCTCTCGCTGTGCTCCTCTCACACACGCTCACTCGCCATCTCTATGCTTCTCGCTGTTTCGCCATATCTCTCTATCTCTATATCTCATGCTCTAACTCGTGCTCAGTCTCTCTCGCTCTTTCTCTTCCGCTAATTTTTTTACGTGCAACTCCAAACTCCAAAAATCCTCTCCTCAAATTCTCCTCTGGGAATCAAGGATGGAAAAAAGCAAGATCCGATCTGAAATAGAAAAATCCCGATTCCGTTCTGATATCATTAGGGCCACGAATTCCCGCCGGAATTTCGACTTTCTCTCTCTCTCTCTCGCCCATTCTCTCTCCCTTCCTTGGTCTGAACCTTCTGAACAGACTACTGTAAGATTTTGGAACGTTTTTTATCATTTGGGAAAAGATAGACATGCCAATCTGAGCAGACTATGAAAGTCTAAGTTCATCCGCGTAATGCTTGTACAAATTGGCTTTGCCTTTATAGCTAGACAGTGCTGACATCGACTGCTAGCTTCGGCTAGGTCTAGACAGCTACGCTACGCTTCAAATTGCGTTTTGAGTGACCTGACACCCTGACTCTATATTTTCGAGAGGCGAGAAAACACAAAAATCGACGTTTTCCATCAGCTAGGTCTAGACAGCTACACTACACTCCAAATGGCGCCTCAACACCGCGCTTGCTTTGATTAACGACCCGCAATTCGAGCTATAAAATTATATCTGCAAGCGTCAACTGGAGTCTAGCGTAGCTGTCTAGACCTAGTCGACTGGAAGGGTCGATTCTCTCGCTTCCCGACATCGTTAAAGGAACTGGCAAGCCATGAAGAGTTCTCTGCTGGGTGTGGAAATTTAAAGAAGCCGGGAAGCCCCGGTTGTCGTGGATTTTTCAAGTTTTTTTTTTGCGACTGAGCACCATCTGAAAAGCTGCGTCAGCCGGTGGCATGTGGTCGTGTGAGGCGGGTGGGAATTTAACCACGGTTCCCCTGTCAGCCAAATAGTCACCTGGCAGGGGGGTTGTCGCTCGGAATTCAGGCCGAAAAGTGACCTGTTTTTTGATGGTTTGGAATTTTTGAGGCTCATTTTTGTAAAGGAGCACGATCAGCCTAAATTCCCCCCTCTCTCTCACTCTCACTCTCTCATCTCTCTTTCTCTCTCACGCGCTGTCTCTCCCTCATTCACTGGCCTTCTCGGTCTTTCACTCGCCAGCTCTCACTAGTTTTCGCTCTCTCTCCCTCTCTCTCTCTCTCTCGCGCGCGTTCTCTCTCTCTATCTCGCTCTATCTCTCTCTCTGCCGGTGATCTCAAAATGCTATCATTTTCAAGCTGTCCCCAACCAAATTCCGCTACACTCCAAATTCCACAAAGCCCCCCTGCCTGCACCAACATTTCCAAGATTTTCCTCTGGGACCCTGCTAAGAATTGTCCTTTTTGCGTTGCCATAAATCCAGCCAAAAATCCATTCAGGAAATGCATGAATTTGGCGATTTTGGGATTTGCGCGTAAATTGCGAAAAGGCGTTTGGAGGGGTGGGAAGTGGAAAAGGGCAAGAAGGAAAAAGTGCAATTGAGTGCTTTTTCTTTAAAACGAGTATATTTTCATAGGAATTCACGTATTTTTGGTTTCTCTCTCCCTCTCTCTGTCTCGCTCCCTCTCTCGCTCTCTCCCATTCTCTCTCGCTCTCTCTGTCGCTCTCTCTCTCTCTCTCTCTCTCTCTCTCGTTGTCTTACTCGCCTCCAAAATGAGATTCATTACCTCCGATTTCCCCCAGATTTTTTTGTGTCTTTGTTTACGGAACCCGGCCTCGGGCCTTTTCCGGATCGTAGAACTTCTTTGTGGGTGCAAAAGGCGGAAGCTTTTTCTGCAAAAATCGGCTGCTATCGATTTTGGGAATTAGCCACTCTCTATCTCTATCTCTCTCTCGCTCTCGCCCTATCACCAATCCCTCTTTTTTCAGATGGATTTCGCGGAAAACAACGACGAATTCTACATCCTGCACCTCATCCACTGCAAAGTTGCCGGATTTTTCACGGCTATTGGAGGTAAGGGAATTTGGATAAGCGAGAGAGAGAGAGAGAGAGAGAGAGAGAGCGAAAGAGAGAGAAACAAATCTATCGTCATTTTTGCAGGTTCGTTAGCTGTTGTCGGCTTGAGCGTGGCGGGGCTGTGTCTATTCGAGTGGTCTTCCTACGACAGTTCCATCTGTCTACTAGCCCTCCTCGGCTTCATCATTTTCCTCATCTCCGGCACCGTTGTTCATCTACTCGTCGCCTACGGTATTCGGCATAATAGGGTACGTAACTGGCTTCCACTTTTTTGGCGCAAAGAATCTCTGCTAGCCTGCCCCTTCCATTCCCAAATGATCTCTGCTAGCCTGCCCCTTCCATTCCCAAATGATCTCTGCTAGCCTGCCCCTTCCATTCCCAAATGATCTCTGCTAGCCTGCCCCTTCCATTCCCAAATGATCTCTGCTAGCCTGCCCCTTCCATTCCCAAATGATCTCTGCTAGCCTGCCCCTTCCATTCCCAAATGATCTCTGCTAGCCTGCCCCTTCTATTCCCAAATGATCTCTGCTAGCCTGCCCCTTCCATTCCCAAATGATCTTCGCTAGTTCCCCCGATTTCAGTCTCGCTACTTGGCTCCCTTCTCTCCCTACCATCTCTTCCTGATCGCCCTCAACACCATCACGTCACTCATAGCCGTGGGGGAGATCGTTTCCGATCAGGTTCGTCAAGTTCGAGCAGGTCAGCAGCCCGTTTCGAGGGTTGCATCGTTGGGCCAAATTTGCGTTCAGAGGCCCTTTGAAACGGCACAATTTTAGCGTCAGGTCCGCGAGAACTCGAGCGACCACGCAAAGACGATGCTATTCACGCTGCCTGTCACAACGGCGATTCAGGTTTGTTTGTCGGGATTAAAGGGACTAGGAAGCACATGGTTTGGCCCTGTCGATCGACTAGGTCTAGAGAGCTCCGAAACACTCCAAATGACAAGTTCTCTGGATTCTTAGTTTTGGGCGCTGCAGGCGTCGATTGGATTTGCGTAGTGCGTAGTGTATTTTCGCCGATCCCAGCAGTCTGTCTTTCTCTCTCTCCCTCTCTCTCTCCCTCTCTCTCTCTCTCTCTCTCTCCTTCTCACCCTCTTTGATTTTTCTCTCTTGTAGCGACGTGCCGTTCGGTAAATCATGACGAGCTTCTGGTGTCTTTTGAAGCACCGCGTAGCTGTCGAGGCCTAGTCGATTCAAGGGGTCGATTCTGCCGCTTCACAGTCCCCTTAAAATCGCAAAATATCAATTTTTCTTTCTCGTTCTTGCCGCGTCATTCAAAACGCGGCAATTCGCATGAATAACCCGCTGAAAATTAGCGTGTGAATTTTTTGGGGGCGTCTCGCGAAAATGGCGGAACTTCCCAAGTGTTGTTTTGTCGCCCCGGGGAGGCAAACAATTTTGCGAAAAAATTAGTATAATTGTGGGGAATGGGGGGAATTGGTGTGGGAAAGTACGTCGGAGTGCCCGAAGACGATCTTTGCTTCGGGTTCTCGGCGAATTAAAGGGCCAGGCAAGGCAACGGGATGGGTTTTTCGGCTGTGGATACCCTAGGGAACTCACGTCACTCAGCGCGCACGTTAAGCTTTTCATTGCGTAATAGGTCACGACGCAAATAGAAGTCCTAATTTTCCAGGTGGCCATGATGTACTCCGTCTCGAGGTGCAAGGCGTACATCCGGAAACGCGCACGGTGGAACCGGATGGGACGGAGGCCGGTGAGGATTTTGGGCTTGTAGCTGTCTCTCTCTGTCTCTCGCCCCCTCTTTCACCCTCACTCTCTCTCTATCTCACTCTCCCTCTCAGTCTAGTTCTCTCTCTAGCTCTCGCTCTCTGACGCTCCAGCAGCACGCGACGCATCCGCACAGGTGGAGCTGGAGCAGAGAGAAAGAGCGAGAGAGAGAGAGAGAGCGAGAGAGAGAGAAGAAAGAGGGGGAGGGAGGGAGAGGGAGAGAGAGGGCGAGAGAGAAAGAGCTAGAGAGAGCTAGAGATAAAGAGACGGACAGAGAGAGCGAGGGAAAGAGAGTGAGAGAGATGAGGAGAGAGAGAGAGTGAGTGAGAGAGATAGCGCTGGAATGATAGAATGAGAGAGAGAGAGTGAGAGAAGTAGAGAGATAGGGAGAGAGAGAGAGCGCGTAAGATAGGAGACACAGAGAAAGAGAGATAAAAATCCAAAAAAAAAACAAAAATTCGAAAGATACATCCGTTTTTAACCATTTCTTTGCAGCGCGTCCGCGAGGTGCTCGACACGAGCGCCATCTTCACCACCAAGTCCTCCTCCGTCACCCCCATCTCCACTCCGACAATCTCGCAGTCAGATGAGACGTTCGATCTGCGCCCAGGCCCGTCGACCTCATCCATGAAATAGCTTGTTTCGCGGCGTAGCCAGCCGATTTTGAAATTTTTGAAGGGACTGGAACGCCTCAGAATCGGCCCCTTGAATCGGTTAGGCCTAGACCACTACGCGATGCTCCAAAAGACCCGTATCGATCAAATTTTGATTATCTCGGAATATCCGACAAAAACGGCTTCAAACCAAGATTTACTTGTGTAATTTGGAGCCTCGTGTAGCCGTCTAGACCTAGTCGATAGAGACGTCGATTCCCAGACTTACGCGTCCTTTAAAACGCAAATTTTTGCAAGTCCGGCTACCGAGAAAGGCAATGACGATAGATGCTCAAAAAGGCCAAACCCGGGCCCGAAAATTACCCGGGGAAATTCGCCGGAAATTGGCCGTCGTCATTGGCAATTTGCACGTTTTTTGCGGGCGTCATTACGTACAGGCGCGCAGTAATGTTTTCAAAATGGCGCGGAGACATAGAGAGAACGAGAGAGACAGAGAGAGGGAGATAGAGAGAGAGAGAGAGAGAGAGAGAGAGAGAGAGCGAGAGAGAGGGGGAAGGTGAGAGAGACAGATAGAGAGAGAGGGAGAGAGTGAGAGAGACACAGATGGCGAGAAAGAGAGAGAGCGAGCGAGAGAGAGAGAGAGAAAGCGCGCTAAAAACAGGTCCTTGCCATTCTTCCTTTCGATGATTTTTGTAGCCCCCCTTTCTACCGCAATCCTACCGTAGCCGCTATTTTCAAGGTTTCTAGCACAATGAAATTGTTATTTTTCACCCCTAAAAGTGCAGCTCATTTCTACCGGTTTTTTTCTTGCGTTTTTGTTTGTATTTTGTGATTGGAATGTGATGTGAATTAAATAATGAATAAAACTAATAATTAATAAGACCCAAAATGAACTGAAGAAAACTTTATTCCACAACGGCAAAAAAGACGAGAAAATCCAAATAGCACCGCACGGACAGTAATATGGCAAGTAGGGGGCGAGTACGAATGTGTACGATGGGGTACGGTAAGGTACGCTGGGGGTTACGGTACCTTTTCGAGGAAATGTGTAAGAAGAGGCGTTAATGGAACCGACGTCTTCAGAGGGCCAACGTGCAGCACTTGGCCGATCCGCCCGCCTTGATGAACTCGCTCATGTCGACTTGGGCAACCTGGAAAAATCGGAAGCCTGTCTCTTTCTCTCATCTCTGACTCTGTCTCTCTCTCGCTCTCTCTCTCTCTCTCTCTCTATTTCTCTTTCTCCCTCTCTCTTTCTCTCTCCTCTAGCTCGCACTCTCTCTCTCTCTCTCTCTCTCTCTCTCTCTCTGTCCATCTTTCGATCTCTCATTTTTCAAATTTTTCAGATGGACAGTCAGCTTGAACAATCCTGGGGTTCGAAAATGCCGACAAACACCGAACAATTCCGACAAGTTCAGTTTTCAAGGAGCGGGCAAGGCGCGACTATGGATTTTTCTTGTAATGGATTAGGCGTCACGGCTCGACAACTACTAGACCGTTGCCCAAACATGTGTTAGCCATCGTTTTCGTACTTTTTGGGCTCCGAAAACCAAACAACATGCAAGCGCCTGGAAAAATGACAAAATGGCACCTGCATTTGCGAGGAGCAGGCCCTAAATTGCGCCTTTTCAGCCAAAAAAATGCAAGAGAAAAACACGCCCAGGTTCTCTATGGTCGCCTAACTGCCTCGGTTCTGGCCTGTTACCGGGGGGGGCCAAACCTTTCCCTGTGATTCTCTCCAAAATAAACCATTTTTACAGCATTTACAGAGTTTTTAGATACAAAAACAAAGTAAGCAAACAATAAAAATGTTCGAAAATTTTTGATTTTTGGTCAAAAAGGCTTGAAAAATGACCAAAAAGGCTCAAAGTTTTCGAATTTTGCAAATTTTACGAACGCTTCTTATAACTTTCTAGCAGCCAAAAACTACTAAAAAACGCAAAAATACATAATCTGTCACCAGCAGGTGGAAAAACAGAAAGTGATCCCCCCGCTAAGAGTCCAGAACCGAAAATCTCGTACTATCGAGACCGTCTCGCAGGGGCTTTTGAAGCCACCTCCCCCGCATTTACCTCAAAGCCGAGCTTGTGAAGGGTGTCGGCGATCCGCTGGCTGCCCTTGTTCATCACCACCGTCTTGCCCACCACCACCGAGTTGCACGCAAAGTTCTTCGCCTCACGGTCGTCCACCTGGAGCGGAACGGAATTGGTGGATTTCGTGAGACTTTTTAGATTGTTTTAAAGGCACCGTGGGCTTAAGTGCAGTTCCCCCCCCAGCCGACCCGACCTGCCGTATCTCGACTCCTTGTTCATCTACAGGTTTGTAAAGTATAATAAAATACTCGCCAAAGCAAGACGAACATTTTGATATACTTTACAGACCGGTAGATGAACAGGGACCGGAGATACAAACCGCACCGTGCCACCACGATACCTCAATGGTGCCCGTCGTCGACTTGATGTGCCATTGGGTGACCCCGTCGAAGGCGTGCGGGAACCAGATGGCCGCCTGGAAAGTGGGACGGCTAAAGGGACGCGTAAGCCCGAGAATCGACCCCCTAGCTCGACTGGGTCTAGACGGCTACATGAGGCGTCAAATGACGCATGAGACCACGTGTCAAAGCATGAAAAACACGGCGCGCACCTCGTCGTTGAGCGGGCAGAAGCACGTGTCAATGTGGTAGAAGCGCGGGTCGAGCAGATTGCAGCCGACGATGCGCACGCCGTAGTCGTCAAACTCCTTGCGAAGGTCGGGCAGGATTCTGGGTGGTTGTGACGAAGTCAAAGAAATTTGGAACTGACTTCGGGTCACTTCTGGGGCCGACACCGACGAGCAGCGTCGAGAAGTCCTTGCCCGCCCACAGCGCATCGCCGGCGCCTGAGATTTGCATGAATTCGGGTGAGAATCTCTCTGTCTCTGTCTCTCTCTCTCTCTCTCTCTCTCTCTCTCTCTCTCTGTCTGTCTGTCTGCCTGTCTCTCCCTCCCTCCCTCTCTGTCTCTCTCTTTCGCTCTTTCTCCCTCTCCCTCTCTCGCTCTTTCTCTCTCTCTCTCTCTCTCTCTCTCTCTCTCTCTCTCTCTCTCTCTCTCAGTATCTCTCTCCCGTCCTAAAACACGCTCAAACCACCGTACCCTCAAAAGCGAGCGCTTCACTGCCGACACACTCGTATCCCTCTCCCTCGAGGAACACCTTATTGTGTTGACGTTCGGGCTTGCGCTGGTCAAAGTGGAAGTTGGCGAGGTAGGCCTTCTTGCCGCGTATCACGGCCGCGTTGGCGCAGAACACCATGTCGGGCAGGTTCTCGGATCCAGCCTGCAAGAATTGGCGGGTATTCAATCAAAAAAGTGCTCGATACTAACGTATAGAAAAAATAGGACTAAAAGCTACAAGAACTGACCTGCGGCTCCATGACGTGGATCTGCGCGCCGGCTTGGGTGAGCACGTGCTTCAGCTCATCCCACTGCTCCAGGGCACGCGGCTTGTTCACCCCGCGGCGCATGTCCATCCACGGGTTGATCGCATAGGAGACCTGGAAGGAGGAGATAGCGAGAGAGAGAGAGAGAGAGAGAGAGAGAGACAGACAGACAGACAAGGACACAGACAGACAGGGAGAGAGAAGCAGATACGTGCTGTGAGAGCGAGAAAGCGGGATAGCGAGAGACAGCCAGCTAACCTAGACAGAGAGAGCGAGAGAGAGAGAGAGAGAGAGAGAGAGAGAGAGGGATAGAGGGACAGAGAGAACGAGAGAGATAGTGAACAAGTGGATAAGTTCGAGAAAAATGGAGAGAGCGCTAGAGAAAGAGAGAGAGCCAGAGAGAGAGAGAGAGTGAGAGAGAGAGAGAGAGAGAGAGAGAGCTAGACCTACCTGGAAATGCGTGGGTCGACACATCATAATGCGCTTCAGCGGTGCCTCGACCGCCTTCGCCATCGTCGCTGCCATCTGCCGATGAGCCGCACTGCAAAGGAGGAACGTCGAAATTCTATGCTAATTCTCCTCATTTTATCGTTCAATTCAAATTTTTAAAAACATGCAAATGAGGAAAAATTTGAAATCTGTCTAAAATCTAAAATTTAATGTGTCTACAATCGGAAAAATTAAATTATTTAAATTTTTGCACAACTTACGCCATGTTAGCTCAGCTTTTTCGGATGCAAATTAGCAAATACGGCGAAAATCGGGGGCAGAAAAGTAAGCGAAGACCCAGGCCACTTGTTTTGACCTTGACTTGGGCATAGCCCGAGGGCCTTTACGGGGGATATCACTGATTGGCATCTCCCGCCCTTCGAAAACCGCCAACTCTGGCCGACAAAGCTACGAAGTCTAGCGGAGATCATTTGGGAATTACGGTGGTGGGGGGGGGGCTAATAAATATCCTTTTAGATGCTTGAAGGCTTCGATTCTCAGAAAATCAGCAAAGTCAGGCTAGAAGGCTAACAGAAATTATTCAAGAACTTCCGATGGCGGCGGGCAAAGATTTTTGTGAAAAGTCGCTCGATGGTGGTAAAATTAGCATAGCTTCCTGGGGTATCTCGTGGCAAATCTGGCTTGGACAGGCGGGCTGAGGCAGTCTATGGCTTTCCAGAAGGTAGCAAACATGCAGAGATCCATGTGGAAGGTCCTAACCCAGTGGGGGAGAAACAGCGGCTTGATTCCAGGCAAGCCAGCCGAGATCCTTTGAGAAGTCGCGCCGGATTGGGTAGGCTAGCAGAGATTATTGTGGGACTTATAGAAGCTGGGAAACAAGTCCTTGTTCAACCTCGTTCCGTGTAAAACTGGAAATTACGTTTTTGCAATCAGCAGTGAATTAGGCAGGCTAGCAGAGACCGTTTGCGCCGTTTACCACGCGTGGCGTGCCAGCGCCACGTTAAGGAGTTAGCGCTGTTTATGCAACCAAGCGGAGATTCTTTGGGAAATGCTGAATGAAATTGTGTAGGCTGGCAAATCGAAGTGATTGTCTTGCCAATCTGGGGGTTATCAGCGGGGTGGATTCGTCGAAAAATCCCCCGACGGACATCAATCACACCATGGCTCTCAGATCAACGTGAGAGAGACGGAGATAAATACATCTCCACGTAGTTCGACCGAAAGTTTCATTGCTCACCGTGACCAGCAAACCAGTCTCATATTAGCTCCAGATACTGTGATAAAATGGTTTAACCTAAAATCCGTCTGTTTATCTCTCTTTCTCTCTCTCTGCCTCTTATCTCTCGCTTAAGGGACCATGGCAGTGCCAGAACCGACCCTTTCCTTCGACTAGACTTATACAGCTCCGCGACACTCCATATCACACGAAAATCGGGTCATACCATTTATTTGTATATCTCTCTCACTCTCGCTCTCTCTCTATCTCTTTCTGACTCTCTCTCTCGCGTCATTTTTCGCGTGATAAAATCCAAAATCTCTTTATGGAATGCACAATCAATAAATTAACGTTGAGTGAATGCACGTGCATCACAGTCTCGCAAAAATCGAGATTTCCGTTCCATCGACCAGGGCTTTTGTCTAGCAAAATCCGCACGTCCGGGCGCATTTGTGCTTCTTGTAGACGAGGTCGTAGAAGTCCGACTCGCACATCCGGGTTGAGCAGCTGGAAATATTGGAGGAATTAGATGATTTTCAAAGTTTTCGGCAGCCGGATCGAACCCGCGACCTCAAAAAGTCGTAAAACACCTTAAAAACCAAAAAGCAAAACGCTTTTCCTCGGCCGGAATCGAACCCGCAACCAAAAAGTCGTAAACCACCAAAAAAAGCAAAAAGCAAGATGATTTTCGACGACCGGGGTCGAACTCGGGTGGCACGCGCTTCGCTTAGCCCCTAACCGGCTGAGCCCCACACTCACGTCTTCAGCACATCCTTGCACCGCATGCCGTATGGCAACTTTTGGAACTCCTCGCACTTGTTGCACGTCTTGGCGCATTTCTGGAATCGGGGAAGGGTTAAAGGTATCGGCAAGCCTAGCCAGCTATGGATTTCGACGCGTCTTAGGGCGCACGTGATACGCAAGGCGCGTGACACGTTACGCGCGCGTTGTTTGGCCGCAAAGATACGGACCACAAGTATTTTCGCGTGCGCGACACGCAACGCTTGAATTTTAATGACGGCGAGACGTCACGCGGGCCTGTTTGGCAATAGCGCCACGCAACGCGCGCGTGAGCTGATCAGCGCGATACGGTTGCGTATGGCGACGGTGACACGCCTTTTGGTGACGGCGACACGCCACGCACGCCTTTTTGCGACCGCCTCACGCAACGCACGCGGAATTCCGGGCAGAGACACGAAACGTGGCGCGCCGTTTGGCCGCCGCGACACGCAACGCCAGGGAAAACTGCTGACCTTGGTGGTCATGACGTGGTAGAGGGGATTCTCGCAAAGGGGCTGCATACGGTCGCAGTTCTCGTCAAAGTCGAGACACCTGAAAATGGCAGGTTAGACGGAACGAATTGGCTGTAGCAAAATAATCTCATGAATAAATTGCTTCCCGGGGCTTTAAAGGGACCGGGAAGCAACGGGAACCTAGATCGGCTACGCGCCACTCCAAATGACACATTACGCTCTATAATTTCTGACCCTCTCCGCGGAACTGAGGTACCGGAAAATGGGAGCGTTGGCGAGTGTCTTTTGGCGCGTCGCGTAGCTGTCTAGACCCAGTCGAATCAGGGGTCGAATCTCGCGTTTCAGGATCCCTTTGAATGCCCTAGTCAACGTACAGAATCTCCTTGGTGGTGGTCTCCGGTTCGAGGGTGGTCACCTCTGGCTCATCGGTGGTCTGAAATGAGGAATATAAGGAGAGAGGGAGAGAGCGAGAGAGAGAGAGAGAGCGAGAGAGAGTGAGAGCGAGACTGCGATTGAGAGAGCCGTAAAAAAAAAGATAAATAGTAAAAATCCAACCTCCTTCTCCTCCTTCTCCTCGCGCCTACGCTGGGAGCCAGATTTCTAGAAAATCACAATTTTAATTTTTGCTGAATTTTAACCTCCTTGTTGCCTGCCTCTGGGAAGAGGGTGTTCGACGATGGAATCAGCGGCACCTTGATGCCAGATTTTTCTGAAAATAGAGCGTTGAGATCATAAGGAAATTGAGCTGTAAAGGGGAGCAATTGGGCGAGCTAGCAGCGATCGTTTGGGAATGGAAGGGGCAGGCTAGCAGAGATCATTTGGGAATGGATGGGGCAGGCTAGCAGAGATCATTTGGGAATGGAAGGGGCAGCCTAGCAGAGATCATTTGGGAATGGAAGGGGCAGGCTAGCAGAGATCATTTGGGAATGGAAGGGGCAGGCTAGCAGAGATCATTTGGGAATGGAAGGGGCAGGCTAGCAGAGATCATTTGGGAATGGAAGGGGCAGCCTAGCAGAGATCATTTGGGAATGGAAGGGGCAGGCTAGCAGAGATCATTTGGGAATGGAAGGGGCAGGCTAGAAGAGATCATTTGGGAATGGAAGGGGCAGGCTAGCAGAGATCATTTGGGAATGGAAGGGGCAGGCTAGAAGAGATCATTTGGGAATGGAAGGGGCGGGCTAGCCGAGATCATCGAAATGTGAGTCAGTTGAACCACGCCAAGCATAGGCTTTGGCTTAAGCTTATGCTGATGCTTAGGCTTGGCTTGGCTTATGCTTCTATTATGAGTTTTTGACATTAGGCATTTCTAAAATACTCCGTGCACCCACCGGTTTCATGGGAGAACAGCATCTCGTAAGATCCATCGTGGAGTCGAGGCGTTTGCCTGGCGAGGGCCACACCGACGACCGCCGCAATCAAAATCCACCACCGGGGTTCCATCAGGCACCTCTGAACGGATGGAATCAACGTGGAGCGTCGCGGAAAAGAGAGGAAAATAGAAAACGGTATTTTACAGTTTCCTGCAACAAAACGGCGATTCCGCTACAGTAAGCCGACGTGACGGCTTCCAGATGGCCGGCAGAATGGCCAAATTTGTGGGCCTTTCTGCCCATCCGGGGGTCCTGTGGCGCAGGGATAAAACAAACGCAGAGGCGGAGTCCGTTCCGCCCCTAATTCCGCGCCCCCTCGCCGACACTCATAATCGACGGCTTTCCGGAATCCGGAAGTCGGGATGAAGTTGACGAAACGGAGGAGAGAGAAAGGCACAGAGGGGCAGAGAGAGGAGAGAGGAGAGTGAGAGCGAGAGAGAGAGATAGAGTGAGAGCGAGAGAGAGAGAGAGAGAGAGAGAGAGAGAGAGAGAGAAAGAGTGAGAGCAAAAATGCCTCGAGGGTCAAACGGCGTCCCTTTTACTGACGCTGTCGCCCCTTATGGGGGAGAACAGAACTTCTTCTCCTCTGTAATCAAGGAGAAGTTCCGAGCTGTTCGTGTAGTAAATAGGTTGTGTTATATTTTATAGTTTGCTAGAGAAGTATTCTTTAACTACTACTTTATCTGCACTTATAAATAACTCCTCTTCCCCTTTATTAGCTAAGTATAATTTAGGCTTACAGGCTTCCCCTTTAATCTACTTGGTTGGTTATCCTACTGTAAAGATCCACTAGATGCGCTGAAAGAGCACATCTCTGCTCCGCCCTGGCCGCTCTATCGGAGGGCGGCAGACAAAGGGCGGAGCCACAGAGCAGAACGTGTAAGCTACTTGCGACCCACTTAAAGTGGTCGATCTACTAGCGGAAGAAGTGCCGTCGTCATGGCGGCACAGACGCTTCACCTTCGGAATCTCGTCCTAAAGACTCCCTGCTAGCCTGCCCTCGCCAAGTTTTTATAGAGCCTTTTGCAGAACTATAAATGGACCGTTTTCCTTAAGATCTCGACAGCTACGCGCCACTCCAAATGACAACGGCATTTTCAATGTTTTGTTATTTACCGTGGCGCGTATCTGTCTAGTTCTAGTCGATAGAGATAGTTAATTTTAGCACTTTCTGACTCCTTTTTCCACGGCGCACCAAAATACCAACAACGAGACTGTACCCTGGCCGCCCACCTTTGCGACACGTGTCCCTGGCGACTTCTCCTTGACGAAAAGCCCTTCCGAGAATCCTCAACTCTATTGAAAAAGTGTTGAAGGCGCCGGTGTGTTGGAGTGATTTGAGAGAGGCGGCCGTGCCCTCGGGACACATCTTCGAGTGTTGCGCAAGCAGACCAATCGCCCAGGGGGCCGCTTTCCGGATGCGCACAAGTCTTTGGAAAGATCTGGGGCGCTGACGTTTCGATTGTGTATAAAAAGCTACTTTAGATTTTCCCGCGAGTTTAAAAAGCTAGTCGAGACGCTACGCGGTCAGAAAAACCCAGAAAAATGATGAAAATTGTTGCCGTGGCGAAAGCCCGTGGATAATTTATAGTGATTCATGGAGATAAGCAATCTTTAAAATAGTCAAATCTATGCTAAAATTTATACGCTAAATTTATACGTGGACGGAGCCTAAGCCTTAGAACCGCAGCCTAACTATACGCATAAACCTAAGCCTGGCACAAACCTAAACGCAAGCCGCGGCGAAGCGGTTTAGGTTTAGGCTTTAAACCAAAGCCTAAGCCGACGCTAAGCTAACCTAAGCTAAGCCCAAGCGCTAGTCTAAGTAACGCCTAGAGCTTTAGGGCGCCATGTAAATACACTTCGTGGCAGAATCTTGTCTCGCCCATCGGTTTGCTGTACATGTCAAGGCGATTTTTGTATGGTATCGGCCAAAGATAGCTTCTTCTTCTTCTCATTATTAAACCCCTGAAACAGTTTTTCAGGCCAGCAAAAATCTTTTTCACTCCATTTTTAACACAGCCGCAGTACCCTCGAAATTTTGCGTATGCCGTGCTTGATTCCAGCCAATTTTTGCCAATTCCAGCAGAGTGGCCCGGTTGTCTAGACGTTTTTTTGGGCGTCTGCTATCCCACAGACCGCGACAATGATCCCGGCCGGCTCAAAACTGCGCGATGTGTGCTGTTTGTGGCTATCAACGGTGTGGCCATGGCCGCGCGTAGCCGCGTCGTGGCGATCTGCAACAGCGTGAGTGTCCCCCTATCTGGAGTGCGGTGGGGCATTTCCGCTTCCGCGCCGCCGCGTGCTTCTCGGAATGGGCAAACTTCCAGTGGGGTATACGGCATCCTTGAAAGACGTGGAATGCAAAGGCTAGCGAAAAGCCCGAGTTTGTGCATCTTCACGAGCAGCATTTTTGAGCATAGCGTGCAGCGCAAAAACAGCGAATAATATTACCATACCTAAGAACCATTTTTACAAAATCGCGCCATTAACTCGAATAAATGCAAAAAATGTATTAATCTATCGACCCGAGTCAAGCACAGCTACCGCACAAACAAAAATATCAGAACACGCTAAAAACACTATTTCAAAGCTGACAATATACAGGAAAAACACAGACGATCAAATGTGCTTGGAGAAGTCAATGTCGTCGCTGCCGTAGATCTTTCTGAATTCCCGGCTGAGCAGCTGGTCGAGCGTCTCGTCGTCGCGCGAGTAGTACCACCGGTTGTTAACCTAAAATGTGGCGAAATTTTGAATGAAGAGGGACGAATTACCAAGTCGTATCGCTTTGGCCCAGAGCACGGGCTTGACAGCCAGATTTGTTGATTCGGCGACTGCTTGTTGATCACGTAGGTGCCTAAAAGACCATAGAGTTTCCACCGCACATAATAGGGACTAGGAAGTGATAAAAATTCAAGATACCGCACCAATTTTCGAGTCGACCACCACCGTCAGCACGCCCATCGAGCAGTTGACGTCGTATTCTTTAGCTACCTAGGAAATGGTATTGTTAGAGCCCCCGCAAATACCTCGAATTTCTCGGGAAACGTGTCGAAGTAGCTGTACATCTTCTCTAACGACTCGTTGCTGTGCGCCTCATATTCTCGCTGCGAGACGGACGGTGTGCATAGATCTATTTTCATTTTTATAACATAAAAATAATAACTGACGTCTTCCAATTATTCGACTGGACGCGGGTAATCGTCGAAGGGCCGGGCATAGCGCTGTCGCGAGCATTTACACTAGAATTTATGAATTAGCTGGTTTTACGGGATGAATATTCAAGCAATGGCATTTCATCATGGCTAGAAAAATCGCGAAACCTGATCAAACGGCTGTTGTAAAAGTTTTTTGACGTTTTTCACGGTTGCAGATTTGAAAGGTAGGCATAACTAAGTCTCAGTTTTACAAGAACGGCAAACATTTGGCGGAAATCAGCGGCAAAGCTTGCGCAAGAGATTCGCTGGCTTCTCCATTCCCTGTTGGCGGCTTTTTCTCCTGCAACAACATCACCGAGCACAATTTATTAGCAAAAAAAAACACGCATGAGCCGGGCATCGATGCCCAGCAAGAATCGAGTATATAGTAAAACGGATAAAGCTCTGCAGGGGTCCGGGCGTTTCGGAGGGCATTTGGGCTGGCAAACGGCTCGCCGGCGGGGGGAAACTGATATGTGCACAGGCCAAGAAGAAGTGAACGCGAAAAACGGTGTGGGTGTGATGGTGGCACGAGTGGGTGGGAGAGGTGAATTTCGATAAAATAAAAATACACAGGATTGCTAAACAGGGAGAAAACCGGGGTGGGGGTATTCGCGGTGTGGGGTAGAGGATTACTAGCAGAGAAAACGAACAAATCACAGGGTACAGACGCGATGATGGTGGTTGGGTTAAAGATGGACCGTAGGCGGAGGATATTTCAGCGGAACGACGCATTCGACTAGAGACGTGAGCCCATTCCTGAAAATGGACAGAGGAAAGAGGAAAGGAAGAATGATGTGGATTCGAGAGCAGTCGGGGGATTTTAACGGGGGTTCTTCCGCATTATCGAGGGGGAAAACAACTTTTCCCTGTCACTCTAGAAATAGGAAGTAATTTCATAGTATTTTTATTCAAATTTAACGATATTTCAACTAGCAAAACTGTATAAAAACTTGGAAAAATTGGCCGGTTCTTTAGGATTCCCGGGGGGGGAAAGTTTCCCGGGGAACCAATTTTTTCCTGGTGGTCCCGGTTGACCTAGTAATCAAATATAAAGTGTTTTCGAATTGTTTTTAGTAAGTTTTAACTATATTTAAAGCAGAATAACTTTCAGAAAAATTTAGAAAAATGTTTGAAAAAGTCGAAAATTTGGTCATTTTGGGTCTATTTTTCGACCTAATTTTTAATTTTTTACATTTTTTTGGTTAAAATGTGTGTAGTTTTTATGCACAGGGATAGTTAAAAACAATTTAGAAACGCATCCGCAATTTATACAAAAATCTAGGCTTTCGCCGAAAAAAATTTGTTTTCCCCCCCCGGGAATACTTTCCCCCCCCGGGAATCCTAAAGAACCAATTGGCCAAAATTTTTTCGAAAATCGGTCCTTTTTGGCGGAAAAAATCGAGGAATTTTTGTATGCTTTTCATAAAAATTTGTAAAGTTTTAGGTTCAAGAAAATTTTAGAAAAAAACCGCTAAGAAACACTTAGAAAACGTTGGTCCCCTCCAATAATGCGAAAGAACCTTTAATGGGGAGGAAGTACCTACGAAACAGCGCGCAGCCATCGCATTCGTTTTCAAAGTTATTCGGAAGCTTCACAGAGATGGAATTTGTTTGAGCGCGAGATTTGCTGGAGCAAGGCGGCCAGATATGGATATGCGGGGAGGGGGGGGGTCACAAAATTTTCTTCTGGATGTGATTGGCGACTGGGTGATCATCACAGGGTACAAGGGTAGAAACTGAGCGCGCGAATGTGCCAAAATAAACTACGAACAATGAAAAACACGTACTGGATCGTTTGCGGGGGACATTTGTTAGCGTTTATGCTGTTTTATTGTTTTTTAGCAATTGTCGACGATTCAAAAGTCATCAAAACGTTTCGAAAGTCTAAAAAAATCAAAATTTTCGAGACTTGTTATGTTCCATGCATTTCGGCGGAAAACCGCAAATTTTTGAGACTTATGAACTTTCTGTACTTAAAAAGCTCGTAAAAACCAAATAAACGCTCGTAGTTCATTTTTGGGAGACCCTTGTGAGGCCAGGCCAGAGATTGGTCCCCTGCAAACGCTCCAGTACCTAGAAAACAACAGAACAAAAGGAGAAGAGGGTAGAAAAACATATAGAAGAAGCCCTAAAGAGATCGGGGGTGGGGGAGCGCTTTGGATGAGGGCGAGCAACCCGGCGAGCTGCCAATCACTTTTTGGAATTTGCGCGTAAATGACGGGCCAGAATGGCGGCGGCGGCGTTGCTCGCCCCGGTTTCGGGGAGGCCCGGTGAGATACCAAAGATTATGTGCAGAAACAACAGCGGCAATCGATCACATAACAATTGGAGTATTTTTTGGGGGGCAAAGATTACTTGACCCGGTAGATGAGGCCGCCCCATCGCAACCGGTAGACGCCGCGACGCCACTCAATGTCCGGCTGGCACAGTGCGCGAAGGTACGTCGGGAAGGCGGACACCTCACGTAGCAGCCAAATTTGCATCAGCTCCAACAACCGATAGGGGAGAGGGCCATTCTGAAAGCAAGTGACGTTTCTTTTTCATTATCAGGGGGGGATTTTTGTATACGTCTAGAAATGCCTAAGAACGGATCAAAGAGTATTTTATTGGTGTTTTTTGAACACGATAGCTATATTTCAACTACGAAAAAATCATCTTCAAACCTAAAAAGTCCAAATTCCAATTTTGGCAAAATTGGTCATTTTGGGCAAAAAAGCTAACATAAATAGAGGTAGTAAAAGGCTATAAATGATTGATTCTATACCAACTTTTATCTGAAAAAAACCAATTTCGACGATTTTTACCAAAAACCGCGTATTTCCACAAAATTTTAACTTTTCCAAAAACTGGCATTTTTCGTCAATTTTCACACTACCTAGATCAGAAAAAGGCTAATTCGTCCCGAAGTAAATATATTTCAGCTGATCGCTTGCTACGTAAAAACGAGGTAAAATGGTTGTCAGAGTTTCTACGAGAAAATCGGAAAACAATGTTCGTTTCCGCTTCCGTTGACAGTCCAGAACCAAAGCTGATCCAGGGTTCTTACCTGTAAAGTAACCATCAACAAGTAATCCATGGTGAACCAGAAGACCATGTGGATCGCAAAGTAGAGCCACGGGTTCGCGCCGAAGAGGTGCGACGCCGATAGGGCAGCGAGGAGGCCGGAGAGGAGGCAGTCCTAAACACCAATTTCCAAAAAAAATACCAGTTTATTCTACTTGTATCGGTTCGAGGATGATGGTGTGTGGGAGCATGGCAACGCGCAGCTTCATCCAGCGACAGATACGAGCCGAGAACCTGGAAACATTGAAACTTGGCCGGCAAAATGCACAAACTTTTGCGGGGTCACTTCAGCTGCATTTTGCATGGCCGGCAGGGAGGCGATCCGGGTTTTCCAATTTCTAAAGCATGAACATTTCGAAAGCCCGAAAATGATCGAACCTCTTGACGAGCTCCGTCCCAAAGAAGTAGTCCTCGGCCAGGTAGCGCCCGAATGCCTGGAAGAAAAACAGTAACGAGAATTTATCGCTATTCTGGGATCAATACGAAAGGAGATTTGAGCAGCAATTGAGATTGACGCTCGAGCAAGAATTTTTTAATTGCTCAAGACGTGGTTTTCGGATGTTTCGGTTCCTAAACTTATCTAATCGAAATCCATTCGAAATCGAAAAATCACCTAAAAACGTCTTACTCGTCTAAAACGTCTCAGTTTTTCGACTGTGTTCCCCCTTAAAAGCTAGTTGAATATCACTAAAAACACCATTAATTTACTAGACATTAGCGAGACGCCAGTTTTCTAGCCACCAAACGCTAAAAATTTTTCTTTCTCACCTGAAGCCCGCCACATTCCTCGAGCGCCCGCTTGCGCAACAGACAACTCATGCCCGTGCTGCACACAAAGCCCAAGCAATTGCCGGCCAGGTAGATTCGAGCGTGGCCGGTTCCGAAATAGACCTAAACAAAACAATGCGGAGAATCAATATATCCAACCTTTTCCAGCGCCGGCCCAAGTCCCTGTCGATCGACGCTGTATGGGGTCTGGGTGACGAGACCGACGCCCTCCGTCATGCTGCTCGCCAGGTCTTGCAACGAGTCTGGTTGTATCCGGATGCCTGAAAAGAAAGACATGGTTACGATGTTTTTTTCATAGCAAGAACGTGATCCAGCATCTAAATGGTGAAGTGAGACTCGTGGCACGAAAACTTTGATCGACCAGTTCTAGTTTTCCTTTTTGAGTTAATTTTTTTAACGGAATCGGCTATATGCGTCTGACTAAGCAAGAATGACTTTGAATGACTTTAAATGGGGCCAATAAGGCTTAAAATCAATTTTAGAGTAGCAAATATCGTGCAGCCGTCCAAGTAAACCCACCACAATCGCTGATCAGCACCAGTGGGTATGAGGAAGCGCGATACGCCGGCATCATGTTGTTGATCTTCGGATTGTGGCCAACGTCTTCGCCGCCGTAGAACAACCGCGCCTTCACCGACGGGTACTTGACCATTAGCCGCTGAACGATGGGGATCGCCGGGTCCGTCTTCTCGTGCACGCAAAACAGCAGCTCGAACTGGAAATAACAGTTATTAAAAGAATTCATTTTCTTCGGCAAACAACGTTTGAAATTTCGTTCAAAACCAACCTCATGATAGTCAATATTGAAGAACGTCTCCAGATTCGCCGCCAAGTGGTGGTCGACGCCGACGAGTGGTTTGATAATCGAGATGCCAGGCTCGCGTCCGGAGTAGTTGATCTTTTTGTGCAATTTGTAGCGCCTAAACGAAGAAAAGTAAGTTCGAATGTATCAAAATGGGTCTTACGCGTAAATTAGTGCAATGCAGTGGATCAGGTAGATGCCGGAGATGAACAACATGAAGGCGACGGCCAGTGGCGTTGCTGAAAGTGCAAAGATCATGACGAAATCACAAATGGAAAGCCCGGAAAGTAAAAATCCACGAAATTGGCTTTCCGATTCGGTCTCCATCGAATTGCCCACCTATACATGGCGGTATCCACAAAGTGATGGGCAATGGCAGCATCAGCGGATGAAACCGAGTGACCAGGGCCAGCACGCCGTCCCACCGCGAGTCCTCGGAAGCTGATGACACGCTTTCCCCTAAAAACGCGTGTTTTTGAAAAGCAAGAAGACGATACCCGAATAGTACTCGCCGAGGCACACGGCCGCTGCCGCCGCAGCAGCCAGGTAGACAGCGGATAACGTTCTGCCGGCCAGTGCACCTGGAACTGAAATTGTAGATTCGGCCATCACATACAAAGAAGCATTGAGAGGAAAAACGGAGAATGGGGCATCAAGGTCCAAAAAAACCGCGAAGAATGCTCTCGCTTTTTAAAACAAGTGAAAATTCTAGATTCTAATTTACAATCGCTAAACTTACACCAAAATCGAAATCGAAAACGGAAAATGGGTGCACACTGCCGCAAAATGCGTCTGAAAACGCTTTTGCTGTCTCAGATTTTGAAAATAAAAAATTCCAAATGTTAATTGACAATCGATAAAATTGCATCTAGATTGAAAACTAAAAGCTGGCCCCAAGTCAATTTTCACCCCCAATTTCGACACGTACACAACTCACCAAAAACACTTTTCAAAAGAACGCCCGATTTGTCACAGCGGTTCAGAGGGCCTGGCTATGCCCTATCTTATCGCTCTGGCGGCCCCCTTCAGAAAATGGCCCGACGAGGGGAGAGCCACAATATACAAAAAGATGGACGCATGGCTACATTTCGTTTCTCACGGCTCTTTCGCATTATCGGGGGGGAGGCAACTTTTTTCTAAAGACCCGTTTTTTTCTAGTAAAAATCGGGAATCGTTTCAACACTGTTTTTATTATTATTCCTAAGCGCAAAACCTTTACAAATTTGACTAAAAAAACAAAATACCAAAGATTTCTCAACCAAAAATAAAATTCATCTATAAATTTTCGACCTTTGTTGATTGTTTTCCACTTAAAATATAGTTCAATTCGATTAAAAAACTATTAACATACTTACTATTATATTACTAGGCATTTCTGGAGTTATAGGAAGAAACCCCCCCCCCCCGATAATGCTAAAGAACCTGTTTCACCAAATCGGTATGGCGTCAAGTTGTCCATTTTGTGAGTCAGCAACCGCAGCAGCAGCAGCCCCCACAAAAAAAAATGTTTTGCCGCCCCCCGTGTGCCGGCACCAAAACGTCTGCCTATAAAAGGGCGGTGGTGTGCACACCCGCCGAACAATAGGATCGATTTTGCACCGGGAACTGCAGGTGAGGCACGCCCGGTAATGGTCGGGTTGGGTAATCCGCGATTAATGTAATTTCGGGTGGAAACCGTTCCGCTTTTTGGGGGTAGGCCGGAAGGCTAAAGGCCTGAAACGGCGACCAAAGACTAGAAGCGGCCAGTAGAACGGGAATTCGTAAGCAAAAAGCCCTTCCAAATGCGCACGTCCACTTCAAGCTGTCCAAAAAAGATCGCATTTCCAGGGTCTGGAAGTACTTGGTAGAAAAAAATAGGCAATTAGCAAATGAAACACGGTTCGCATGGTTGTGTTTGTTTTAACTATTCCTAGAAAAACGTTACCAAAGTTCATTAAAATCTAGTTTTAGTTGGGAAGATTAATTTTTGCGACCTAAATTTTCGGCTTTTTCAAAAAGTTTTCCTACTTTTTTTAAAGCCGATCTACTTTAAAAATTTATTTAATTTACGAAAAACAATATAAAAACATTTGATATTCGATCTTAGCCCAACCCGGATCGCGATGAAAAAAGTTGGTCCCTCCGCGAACCCTCAAGAACTAAAAAAGATAACATGCGCAACAATGTAACCGTGCGACAGGGCAAAAAAATGTCCAAGGATGCCGGGGCGGAAGCTATTTTTATATTACTACGAAGATTTCTTTTCCAAAGCCGATCTTTTACGTGGAAAATTGTTTTTCTGACGGAGCCAGCAGAATCAAAAATGCCAACTAACCAGCCGGGCCGTGGATCTGTGCAGTTTCTCCGGAAGCACGGGCTGAAATAAAATCCCTAAAAAGGGAAGCCCAATACAGCTAAAGAGAGAGTCGCCAATGCGGACCCCCGCCGCCCGCGCGTAGCTTCACATAGCAACCGCATATGTTTTTAAAAACATAAGAAGGAGACGCCGGACGGACCCTCTAATTACTCAGTTACCGGCCGGGGCGCCGGCTGGAGTAGTCGCCCAGATTGTATGTATCAGCAAAGGGCATACGGGGTGCGTGGGGCCGGGAATAGCCAAAGTCAGGGGCCTTGAAGGTGGGCTTGTTTGCGCTGGTGCTTTTCATGCAGCGTCACGATCGCCCGCGAGATTCCAAGGTGTTCTACAAAAAGGTTAGATTTTGTTGATCCAATTTTGCGGGGCTAATACGAACTGGGTTCTGGCATTGAAAGGAAATGATTAGGGTAGTTTCACGGTATTTACGGTATTTTCAATTTATTTTTTTGGCGATTCTCGATCACTAAAAAGTGATAAACCCTTGACAAATTCCATAAATTCTGACGAAAAAATCCAATCTCTCCTACATTTTATTATTCTCTGTGACCCTCTGATACCTAAAACATGCGTAAAATGATATTATGATCGTAGACATATGTATTGTCGGCTACGGGGATCTAGGAAAAATTTACCCGCTTGACCCCCTCCCCGCTAACGAACCAGCCCCCAGCCATCAAATATAAAGTTTAAAAAAAATCCCGATGGATGGACCAGGAAGCTGCTCAAAAGAAGGGGAAAATAGCCGGAAAGTGTTCAAAATAGTCCCCGAAACGTGCGTGATTATTGTAGATTGTGGCGGGGACGAGGTGCGGCAAATACTCGGCACCCGGGCACCGCACTCCAGGGCGTCTGTTTGGGCGACATGGTGTAAATAAGCAAATGGCTGGCGCGGCGCCCCCATCCCGTGTTTGACCGTCCGCTTGGGCATGCGGTCAACGTGACGAAACCCTAGTGGAGTGATGTTATCAAAGCGCCTGTAAAGTTCATCAAAAATGGGTGCAAAATCGAGCCCAAGCCTCGGTAATCATGCAAAGTTTTTCGCATTATCGGCGGCAACATTTTTTGAGAATTGAATTTTTCTGATAGAAATAGGCTAATTTTTCTGCTACGCCCAAACGTAAATATTGAAAATTTTTGATTGAAAAAAGACACAAAATATAGATTTTTCGACCAACATTCCAACTAAAAAATGTTTTTGCTAAGTTTTCAAATTATTTTCTACTTAAATAGCGTTAAATTTTACTAAGAACATTATTAAAATCCGTACTATTATATTTACTCGGCATTTCTGGAGAGGAAAAAGCTGATCCCCCCCGATAATGCGAAAAAAATAAGCCTGGAATTTAGCAACACCCCGCTGCTGTCAAAAATAATACCGATCACTAGGGGGAGGAGCCTAGTTTTATACTGCTACCCGGCCGCCTTCATAGTACCTTTAAAGTTTCAAAACCCCCCAAAATGCAGATGACTCACGCCGTGAGACACCTGGAAACCCCTGGACCTTGTAGCCCTGTAAATAGAGAACGCTCGCAGCAGGAAAAAACAAGACATTGGTAAGCAAAACTTGTTGGGAAATTGCCACCACGGGGACAACAGCGCACGATCGGCAAGAGAAACGTTTATCGGCAACCCAAAAACAGTATCGAAAAATGTAAAAAAATTAAAACAAGGTACCAAACCGAGCTATTCACAGGAATATTTTGGGCTGAACGGGACGGGCTAAGAATCACAGAATTTTCGGGGTGGATGGGCGCGCGCACGGCACCACAATAAATTAGAAAAACAACCTCAGAAACCAAAGCAAGATAAAAGCCAAAAAAAAATGACAAAATCGTCTGGGCAACAGGGGGTGGATTCGGCATAGCACACTAGTAGGTGGACCACGTGTATTTGAATGTTGAAGTGGGGAGGGACCAAAATGGTGCACCGGCATAAACAAGAGGGGGGAGTTGTAAAAATGTCTCTAGGTTTTGAGGGGAAAAGTCTCGCTTTAGGGCAAGGAAGATAATGGAAACGACATGACAATAACGGATAGACTTTTCGAACTATGTACAGGGCAGTAACGGGGGGGGGCTATCTTATTATGGGCGGACTAGATCTGGAGGTGTTCGGCAAGGTCGGCGTGCTTCTCCCTGGCTTCCCGGATGTACTGGAGCGTGTGCTGGAGGTGCTTCTCGATGTTGTCGGCTTCCTGCGACGGCTCGATTTGGACGGAGGCGTCGCGTGTCCGCGAGATCAACTCGTTGAGGATCTCGGGGGTAATCTGGAAATGAAAAAAAATTCATAATATCTCGAAGGGATAATTTACCTTATCACAGCCGTCCTCGTACAAGTGCATGTAGTGGTTGAGCAGGTGGATGAGCAGCTGTTGTTGAACGAGCGGCTCCATGCATTGTGAGGCAATCTGACAAAGGTTTTGCTTAAAGTACCGGCAGAATTGAGTCCAGCGCGAATACGTTATTTCGCAAAGAAAGGAGACAGTACCTTTACAGCCTTCTTCAACACGTCGCAAACCCGACCGCCATCCCTCATCGGTTCAGCCGATCCGTCCACTCGACCCTTCCAGTACAGATACGACGATGAGCACAGGGCGCGCACTTGGTCCGGCTAAAAAAAATCGCATGTAAATGTCGGAACATAAAACCCATACCTTTTTGAACATCTTTGCCCCGGCCAAGATCACCTGGCTGGCGAGCGGCTCCCAGTTGTCGTTGGGCAGGCAGTCGATCTGAAAAGGATATTTTTTCTAGTGCTTTCCGTGCCTAAATTACCTTTATCAATGTATTCGTAACGACGGCCAGCGCCGAGAGTCGCTCCCTCGAATCGGCAATTTCATCCTCCAGCACGGAGAGCGCCTAAAAAAGCAGAATCAGGATAAAACCCAGGTAACGCACCTTTGATAGCAATTCATAAACGACGACGGCTTTCTCCTCAAACGACACCCGATTGGCAACGATGGCGCCCTCCAGGTACAAGTTATACGGCAGCTGGGAGAGCTCCCCGGAGTTGACGAGCGCCCCGATCGTCCCCATCACGCACATGAACATCTTCTTCAGCTTGGCATCTCGAGCCGAGTCGTCGCCCTCCGGCGCGGGATAGGCCAGGATGAGCTGGTAGAGGGAGAAGATGATTGGTGGCAGCGTTTGCCGAATTCGCCACTTCCCGCCGGCGCCGAACCGCTTGCGCAGGCCGTTGAGGAGCAGGAATTGGGCGTCCTTGTCGTCGACTTGCACCAGGTGCACCATGCTGGCCACGAGGTCTTGCTCGTCGGTGAACTCTTCCGTTTCCGGGGTGTCGGCGGGTTGGTCTAGAGGAAAAATAAAAACATAGCTGATTAGCTCACCGGGCTGATCGGTCAGCAAGCAGTCGATGAGCAGACATATGGCATCAACGTCTTCTTCGGTTTTTAGCGGCGTGTCCATTTGGATCATGTCCTGAAACAGAAAAATTATTCTAAAACTGTTGAAGCGTGGAAAACCACTGAAGCTGTTGCAACAAGCTTTTAAAATTTAAATTATTATTACAAAAATTTACATTTACAAAAGCGCTTTTTTTAAAATTACACTTGTTCTGAAACTGCCATCGGATAGAGCGTCGAAATTTTTTCGGGACGAAATCATGCGTTTAGTATCATTTTCGATGCTCTATCTGACGGGCATGTTTGAAAGGGAACGACAGCCCCCCCCCCGTTAAGCAACTTTCACCGCAAAATTCACCTGGAGTATGTATGAAGCCGCCGTGCATCGTCCCCGGTAGTTCAGCGGGGCCATCGCACGCGCGTAGTCGGTGAGAAGCGCGACCCGGAGCGCGTCCTTGTACTCGTCGACCGGAATTCGCAGCACGCGCAAAAGTTCCTTGCCCACCGCCGAGTACTGCTCCACACTAAAAACGTGATAAAGTATTAGACCACGGTTTACGTACTTATCAACATTCTTGTCTTGCAGGTTGTTGGCAAGGCTGGCGAAGACGGTGTTCGCGTATTCCAGCTTGTCGCGGTAGCATCTGACGGCCAGCGAGACAAGGGCTGCCTCAAAACCTTCATTTTTCAATCTAGCGAAGCGTTACTGACATGTAGAGAAACGATGTCTTCAGGCGGCATATCGGAGCGGCTTTGGATGAGACCCTCCGCTTGCGAAGAAAAGATCTCAAAGAGCCGAATATCCTCAGAGATCCCGGGCGTGTCCGGATGCGAAACATACGTCGAGATTCGCTCAATCAGCGCGATCAGCACGTTCTTGATGTGCACCTCCTAAGAAAACAATGAATCCAGGTTTCAAAAACCAAACCTGTGCCAACTCCTTGCATGATGCCAAGAATTCGTTCAGTGTCGCGAGGTGGAACTCGTCGGCGAAAACTTGGATGACGCAATCCATCAGGTATTCTTGAGATATTGGGTCCCGGCAGCTGACCACTTGCTCGAGGATGCTGGGCAGCACCTCCTATCAAAAAAATATAGTGAAAAGGGTTTTTCCGCATTATCGGGGGAGTACCGCATACTTTTTTCGTAGGATTCAATTTTTCAAATATAAAAAGCTAAAGTTGTCTAAATGTACGTACAACCGGACAATCGTTATTGAAAATAGAAAAAATGAAAAATGAATAAAATTAAAATTTCGACGAAAAATGGCCGATTTTTGACCAAAAAGTTTTTAGATAGTTTTTCCGGTTGAAATGGTTATATTCTACCAAAAACCCTCCTAAAACACTTCCCATTAAGCTACCAGACCTTTCTAAACTAATACAAAAAACTTCGGCGTCCCCGTGATAATGAGAAAGAACCAAAATGAACAATTTACCGTCACGTAGACATCCTGGGTCAAAGTTTGCAGTTCAGCCAATCGAACGAGGTTGGTGCCGACGAGGATTCGCAATTCCATTCGTTCCTGAAAAAAAGCATTACTACCAATTTCGATGAAAAACTGACCCGCTCACGCTTCTCCTTTTCCCTGCTGGGCCCTTGATGCTGCATCCGCACCCAGAGCTTGTTCATCTCGGAAAAGTTAAGCTTGATGAAGTCGATGGAATCGCGAACGGTCCCCGACCCCGGTATGGCCAGCTGCGCATCTTCCGGCAAGTCGGGGAGCAGGCTTTTGCTGACCCCGAGTAGATAGTGTCGCAGGAAGAGGCCTCTAAACCGTTATTTATCTACGATTTTCGAAAAATACGACGAAAAACGCCGATCCCTTACCTTAGAGGATGTTGCACGCCTCTCGTCATCTCCACCAAGTCGTTGAGCAGCTCGCTTTTCATCTTGGGGAAGAGCTTCATGTAGATGACACCCATCGTGATCATCAGGTACATGCGGGGGATGATCGACTAAAAAAAAAATAATAACCACCGCCGAAAATTGCACTACCTGCGCGTATTGCACTTGTTCGTAGAGTTCGGCGATCGTTTCCTGCTTCAACTCCTTCTCGAGCTCGTCCTTCAAAAACGACTCGAGGTGATTCAGCTCTTGTATGACGTCAACGTCTAGAAAATAAAGTCGTAGATTATTCCAAAAAACTTACAGAGACGATAGTAGTATTTCGGGGTAAGCAGGCTTGACTTCAGCTCGGCGAGCATCGCTGATGCGTGCTTCAGGGCGTCCATTCGTTTTCCTTTGTCGAGGCTTCTAAAGAAAGGTTAAATTTTCGAGCGTATAATCCAACCTCTTCATCTCGAAGGCTTCCGCTTTGACGACCTTCGACGCAGCATCGAGCGCCCGCTCCTGCTCGATACTGGTCGCGTCGGTCATTGTCATGCGACCTGGAAAATGTCAATTTTGTATGGTTCGCCCACCTAGTCAGGTTCATAAAATGAAATTCAACGGTTTAAAGTAATTAATAAAATTCTACAGCTAGGGGAATTTCAGACAGGCTTTTTCCATGGTTTCTTGGATGCCAAGTAAGCTAGCAGACACCAGACAAAGCCGCCAAGATGGGCCGCAAGCCATTCGATCCAGCGAAAGCTTTATGGTCGAATTTTGTAATTGCTAAACTTAATTTAGACTTCTAAACAAACAAAGAGCCCTCTAATGGCCCTGATTCAACTGCTTAGCACCACTAAAACGTTTTAGGGGGTGCGGTGGACGGGGTGCGAAATAGAGGAAACAATTCGAAGACCCCACTTTCGGCCCCGGCCTATAGCAGCTTTTCCTCAAAAATATCAGTGTTTCTCGGGGGTTTCACCGATCGTCACCGACAAGAAAAAAATTTGAACCGATTTATCCTCGATACCAGTAATAAAAAGAGTCACAGGAAAGAACTAGAACTTCAAAGAACCCGTAAGATTCGCAAAGACAACAAAAACAGAGTAAAAACGCACAATCATTCGTTCGATTTCAGAAATTCGGAAATGGCCGCCTCGGTGATGTCCAGGTTGTAGGCGATCAGGGCCATGTTCGTCTGGTCGTAGTCGACGGCGAGCATCGACCGCATGTCGGACGGGGTCATCGCGGCGCCCGGAGTCTCTTCATTCTTCTTCTTTCGCATTTTCTCGAGTTCGGCATAGTCGCGGATCTACAAGGAAAGATTATTACGCTATAACCAGCGTATTTTGCAATGTTTTTATTAGTTTTTAATTGATAGCAAGGTAAAAAAAAACAAAAATCGAAATGTTTTAACTTTTTTTTTGGTATTTTGTGATACATTTTTGAGCAAAAAGTCAAGCATTTTGGAAAATTAATAAATTTTATCAGGGTTTGGGCTAGCTAGAAACAGTGTAAAATACTATAAAAATGGTTTTTAATGCGCTACAAGGCCGCGCGGAACTGTGTAACTGTAAAAATACTGCGGAAAAATTCGTCCCCCCCGTTAAGAGGGAAGCACCTTATGATGCTAAAAAGAAAAGTGAGAGTGAAATCAACCTGTCTCCGAATCGGCTCCAGCCATTCCGCTTGTACGACGCCCATCAGTGGTTTCCGGATCTTCTGGATGGCTTGGAAGCGCGCCAGGCAGAGCAACGAGACGTAGAACGCGGTGGCCTCGACAATTTCGCTGTATCGCACCGGCATTAAGAGGGACCAAGCGGCGCCCAGCTCTTCCTCAAGTTACTTATTGGTCAAATCACCCAAAAAAAAGTACCTGATACTCAGGGAGCGCTAGGTGAGACTTCCACTGGTCGACGATCCATGCAATAATTTGGGCCTCACCATCGAGCTTGAATATCTGAAGCAAGGATTTTTAGACAATTCAAGTCGTTTCGTGGCATTCACTCAAGTCGGTTCTTCCGCATTCTCGAGGGTCCGAATTTTTTTCTAGAAGCCTAGAAATGTCTAGTAAACAAATAGGAAGTATTTCTATAGTGTTTTTCTAGTAAATTATGGCTATATTTCAACTCGAAACCATTTAAAAACTCTCGCAAATTTTTGAAACAGTCGACTTTGAACAAAACTCGACAATTTTTGGTAAACCACCATATTTTTGATGTCTTTAATCAAGGATTTAACTTTGTACGTCTAGGCATAGTAAAAAACCCGCGTAGACACGCTGCCGCTATTTATATTTGCAAAACTTGATCCCAAGAAAAAGTTGGCCCCCCGATAATGCGCAAGAAACGTAAATTCAGTTACCTGGTTCGTGATCAAATACAGTAGCCGCTTCAAAATGAGCGGCTGCCGGATGGCCGGAAACAGCTCGAGGCTCTTCTCGATAAACCGCATCACCTAAAAAACTATCTATGAAGAGCGTGTCTAGAAAAACCTCGATTCGCTCAGCGCCCGCGTCCATATCCTGCGCCACTTTGAAAAGCTCCTTGTACAGATCCTAAAAATAACTTTATTCCTCCGAATGAATTACCACAAAAACAGGCATCATGTCGACATCCAAAATTATTTGCCCTTCCTCGCTTGCCGTCTCCTCGCGCTTCTGGGTGTTGCTCTAAAAGACTTTCAGGCGCTTTCAAAACCTCGGAACCTGCGCGATCGTCCTTCTCCCAAAATCGTACGTGGGCCGCCGGGTGATGTCAATACGAAGCAGGTCGGCAATTTCCTTTAGCTTTTGGTGGGCTGCCTAAAAGGAAGCAATTGAAAGAAATGGCAAAAATTACCGTGCTCATCCCCTGCTGACTTCGATAGGTGCTCAGGTAGTCGGCCAAATCCCGCGCGTGCACGACGACATCCGGTAAAACTGATGCGGCGTCGGCCATCGGTTTAACTAAAACCAAAAATTGTTATAAGGAAGAGGAAAGTAGCATGCTATGGGTGAAAAGACATAGAAAACCAGGGAAAACGCGTAAATTCTTCCGAAAAAAGAGGTTAGGCAGCTTTGAAGAAGCATTTTTTGGAAATTCGTGTTGTCAGAGCCAATTTTACAGCCAGCCCGGCCCATTCTCGCTCCTAGATACTCTAAAGTAACTCACGAAACTGATGGTTTAAAAAAGCTCACAGAAAAGCTGATCGTTTAACGTTATAATATTCGGCCTACTCTAAATAACGTTCAGGGAGTTTTTATAATCTTAATCCGCAGTTAATCTATGTAATAACACCTCGCAAATCATAATGTAAGACCAGCAGAGCACATATCCAATAGGTAACACGACTTATTTTAGGGTCCAAATACTTAGAAGCAATGAATCTCAAAAACTATGTAGGCCGCGCGACATTTGCGAGCTGCCGACGGTAACTCTAAACGTTTAAAAGTTTACATTAGCTCGAAAAGATCCATGAAAAGGCTTTACGACTTCGGTGGGTGCGGTTTCTCTCAAGGGATATGACCCGAATAAATTGCGATCGACGATCATCAAAGCAATTTATTAGCCGTACAAAAACAGAAAATCGATGGCCGAAAAAAGGCAGAAACTACCTCCTTCAAGCAATTTATCACAAGATGAAAACTAGACAGAATCAAGGGTGTCGAATTCGAGCAGACTAGGACAATTTTTTTGATAAAAGCCTGGAAAAAAACGGGAAAAGGCAGCGCCAAAATTACCATTACATACAATATACGGGGGAAATGATACTGAATGTACAAAAAAAAGCTATGGCAGCTTGAGCACTACTGCTTGATCAGGCCGAGGTTTTTCGCCTCGCGCGTCGCCCATTCGAGCATTTCCTTTTCGTTCTCGAGCACCGGCGACTCGTCCTCACCACAGATCGCATCGATGTAGAAGGACCCTGGAAATTTGCCGCGTTGGGGCGAATTTAGATTTTTTAACTTGAAAAAGCCATGGGGGAAGAAAAAGAGCATTTAAAATGACCGATTTAGTTCTTGTAATGGTTTTTAATAAATGTAGCGATATTTAAAGTGGGTTTTTTGGAAAACCTACAAAATTGTTTAAAATTTGAATCTCCGGTCAAAACCTACTTTAAAAAGCGACGGGAAGGAAAAAGAGCCTTTAAAAATCCAATTTGGTTCTTTTAAGCGTTTTGTAATAAAAGTAGTGATATTTCGTGGGAATTTTTTGAAAATCTACAAAATTGTTTATAAAATGGAATTTTCGGTCGAAATAGATCGTTTTTTTGTCGAAAAATCGTTGTTTTTAGCGAGGTTCCATCAAAATTTGTAAAACTTTTCGGCTTGAGAATAGCAAAAAACGGTGGTGAAACCGTTCCTCTATATACCATGATAAAAAAATTCTCACTTTGCGCTGTGAGCACATCAAACTCGTCGTCGGATTCGTCGTCGTCGTTTCCTAAATGATCGCGTGGTGATAAGTTACGAAAATAAGCCCTAAAAAGGCCATCAAAAATTGTAAGTGATGGGGAGCGAGCAATTCTATCCTTGGTTAAAAGGCGCTCATGCATTTCTACCATCGCCGAGCACCCGGTTCGTTACCAAGGGGCCGTCGCCCAAATAGCTCGTCGGCGCTGGCCAAGCTTTGAGACATGGCCGCGTTGTTTTCAACTGGGAATAAATGTGGTTCTGGCCTGTTAGCGGGGGCGGGGAGGGTTAGCAGCGGGAGCCACTTTTTGTTTTTCCACCTATTGACAATATATATATATATATATATATATATATATATATATATATATATATATATTCTATAGTGTTTTTAGTAGTTTTTGATTGCCAGAAAGTATAAAAATTATTTCTTATTTGCAAATTAGTAATTTTGATTTTTTGGTCATTTTTGACAAAAAAAAACAATTCTCGAAAATTTTTATTGTGTTTTATATTTGAAAGCAATGTAAAGTGCTGAAAAAATGGTTTCTATTTTGTTATAGAGCCGTAGAGAATCACAGGAAAATTTTGCACCCCCTTCCGCTTACAGCCCAGAACCATAAACGTTGCCATCAGCAGCGTGGAATTAGAATCACCTACTGGCGTCGCTTACCTATCTGAAAACCACCCGTGGAGCACTGCGAGCCGGCCATGTTGACGAGCGAGGAGTAGTCGCTGAAGTCGACGGCCACTCGGCTTCCCTTCACACGCAGCGCTGAAGCTTCGGCCACCGTTCCGCCGACGACGACGGTGATCGTGGTGGCGCCGTCGGTTTGCGGGAAGGCTTTGATCAGCTCCTGCACAGAGTTGCTGGTGATCTGAAAAATTTGCGTCACGGAGCCGGGGCCAAAAATTCATAAAATAGGGAGCATGTAACTTCCTCCAATTGTAATAAGGGTGCTAATGCAGTTAGGGGGGCAGTCCAAAATTGGTAGTAAGGGGTTACGAGGCGCTCCGCTTAAGCTACTTGGTTTTTGGCTTAAGCCTAGGCATAGCTTAGGTTTAACTAAGCCTAACTGAGGCTTAGGCTTAAGCCTAAGCCCAAGCTAAGCTTATCTTGAGCTTCAAATTGACTTACGAGGTCAAAATGGGGTCATTTATGGGCTAGCTTAGAACTAAGCTTAGCTTGGCTCAAGCTAAGCTCAGGCTTCGTTTGTTTGAAGCTAAGCCTAGGCTTAGGCTTACAAGGAGTCGCTTTTAGGTGCTTTTGGAGTTTCTGGACGGGACCTAGCTAGTTCGATAGAGAAAAAAATTCTGAGCAACATCCCGTTTTCAAAAAGTGCTGATCGATACAGGTGTTTTAGAAAATTTAATTTAATTAAAAACGTCCCGGTATCCGGACCCTTGAGGTGATTTGAGGTGATTTGCGGCGGTCGACCGCCCCTGCCACATGGGGACTTCACGCGTCATGGATCCCGTCCTAGACATGGCCAAGTGGCTAGTGCGTCGGCCTACGAAGTTTTTTTTGGCCTTTTGCCACAAGTTCGATTCTCATTTATCGTTAACTTTTTGCTTTTTTGCTAATTAAAGTTTTATGCGCCGATAACGGGTTCAAGAACCAAAAAGCAAACGGTTAGTCAGCGCGAAGATTCGAACCCGAGGCAAAAAAATGTTAAAAAGTTGGTAGGCAAGCGCGCTACCAATACGCCAATGCAAGCTGTGATTGAGGCATTGGCGGAGGGTTACGAATGGCGCCCTGCCCAGGCCCGAGAACGACGTGAACCGGGGAAATGGACCCGAAAACTAGAAAAAAGCGCGAACTTTAAATTAAGTTTTCTAAAATTTCTTTATCGATCAGCACTTTTTGAAAATGGTATGGTGTTCAGAATTTTTTTCTCTATCGAACTAGCTAGGTCCCGTCCAGAAACTCCAAAAGCACCTAAAAGCGACTCCTTGTTAGCTTAGCTTTTCCAGAGGCTTCGAGTTTAAAAAACGGCATTTGGAGCGTCTTGTAGTCAAAATCCAGACTGCCCCCCCCCCAAGTGCATTAGCACCGTAATAAGCTAGCAGCTATGTTAAAAAGGTTGTTTCGCATTATCGGGGAGGGGGGGGGGGGCAATTTTTTGTATTAATCTAGTACTATTAATAATAGGGAGTGTTTTCATAACGCTTTTCGTAAAATAAAACTTTAGTTTAACCAGAAATCCTGTATAAGAACTTTGAAAACTTCAAAAAGTCGAAATATTTGTTGAAAAACGGCCATTTTTGGTCGAAAAATCGATAATTTTTGTTTTTTTGAAATAAAATATGTAAGGTTTTCACATTTCGGAATAGCAAAAAAACAATTTAGCAACCCTTCCGCTGTTTATATTGTAAAAAATTGGTTCATAGGAAAAATGTATCCCCTCAACGATAATGCCTTCAAAACCTAAAACCCACCAAGATGCTTCCAGAGAGATCGAGATGGCGAAGCCGTCGCGATTTGCCAGCCTGACTCAGCCCGTCGTCGCAGAGATACACACAGTTTCGGAGCTGGAAGTAGGAGCTTTAGGGAGGAATTCTGAAACTACCTGGATCAGTTCGAGTTTCGGGCACTTTGTGAAGAGATCGGTGAGCACCGGGGAACGGACGGCAGCGATGGAGGAGAGATCAATCTATAAAAAAGGTAGACGAATAATTTCCCCGGCACTGACCTGTTCCAAATCTCGTAATTCGGCAAGCCGTCTCAGCCCTGCCGTCGAGATCGACTGGTCAGTGCCAGCATTCGCCAAGGACACGCATTTTAGGCCCGTCGCGTGCTCCACCAAGTGGTTGATCAACTCGTCGGACACCAGCGGATTGTAGTCGAGGCTGGAAATATAAAATTCAAAAAAAAAATAATTTTTTTTAATCGGTTCTTCTCGTTTAACGGGGTTAAGTTTTATTTTTTCGCCCATTTCACCTGTTGAGAATCAATTCGATTTTTTGTTTTATCGTGCTTTTACTAGTTTTTTATTGCCACGAAGTTCTAAAATTCGAAAAGTTTGACATTCATTGGCCATTTTTCATGAATTTTGGACCAAAAAATGCCCCTCTCCCCGTTAAACGAGTAGAACCCAAAAATCTAAAGAAAAATCCGAACGTAAAAAACGTACGCAATCTCCACCAAATTCGTCAGCCGTGACAGATGGGAGAGGCCGCTGCTGGAGAGTTGGGTGAAGCTGTCTCCGCACAGCGTGATGGCTTGTAGATCGGGCATCGTTCGGGAGATCATACTGAAAAAGGGGTCGTGATCGAGCATTTAGGAAACTGGCTGAGCAAAGAAGTAACTTTTCAGGCCTAAAAGTCCGCGAACTTTCGGACGAAGTCCGGCGGATTTTTCGGCCGAAAACGCTCACCACTGACAATAGAAAACCAGCTCAAACCCCACTTTATCGAGCTGTCCGTGATGCGAAAGCACTCGTTCAGTCGCAACTCTTTCAGCTGTGTCGCGTTTGTGCAGAGATCCTCGATGGCCATCTCGTCTATCCGCGAGCAGCCGTCCAAATACAGCTGAAAAGGGGCTTTATCGCGCTAATTTGAAAATCTAACCTGCTCCAAATGATGTCCAAAGAGACGGAAACAACGTCCGCGGAAGCGGCGACAACCTCGGAACTCCACAAATTTCAGCGACTTGGCCGAGCCCTAATTGCGGACGTAAATAGTTCATTTTCGGAATTACCCTAACGAGGAACCACAGGTGTTTGTCGGTGGCGCAGCTCATATCGCGGTAGGAGAGCTTTTCGAGGCCATGGAGGGAGTCGCCCAATTCACCTAGGGACTGCCAGCTCGCCGAGATTCCAGAGATGTCCAGCTAAAAATAGGGACATTTGGATTTGGAGCAGAATGTAAAATTTTGCATTTTGAAAAAATTCGACATTATGAAAATTTTTTAAATGATTTTTTTGTAGAAAATAGGCCTTTTCAATGCTTTATTCGAAAAAAAACCAGCAAAATTTTCAATGTTTTTCCTCCATATCTGTGATTTTTTCACGTTTTGCAACTCTAAAAACACTAGAAAAATCCGATATTTAGAATTTCACAATTATAGTTTTCGACATTTTCGCAGCAACCCGGAAATTTGACATGAAATCGCCGGTAAAACGCCAAATGAAGAAAATGCTTCATTAAACCTACACATTTCAAATTCGGGCATCTTTCCGCGATCACGGCCGGAGCCTTGCCATCGAGTAGATGGACGACGCCAGAAAGATCGAGGGCTCGGAGGTGGGCACCAGCACGCCTGATGATCAAAGATCATTTCCATGCGAAAATTTTTACCTTAGGATTGCCCGCAACTGAGAAGTCAAAAGCGGGCTCTGCTTCGTGAAACCGCGCCCTTGGCCGTCGGCTTCTCGCGAAAACGTGAGGGTGTTGATGTGGTTCCAAGACTGAAATGAATTTTGATTTGTTTGTTTGGCGTCAAAAATCCCTCTAGCGGAAAATAGAAGTGCCCAATTTCAAGGGGTAGGTATATCTCTCTACGAGGCGAGAAGATCATAGCAGATTTTCGCCATTTTGATATTTTCATTAGATTTACGTTTTTTTTCCGATACGCGCGGAATTTCTCATGCTTTTTCGGGGAAAGGGTTGTGAACAAAACCCAAAATTTAGAACTTTAGCCCTTTTCCGTGGGCCGGACGATAGTTTTTCGAAAGTCATTTAAGAGAAAAAACATTAAATATCATTTTTTTGGAAAAAAGTGTAAAAATTCCGCAAATCTCACCCAAAATTCCCAATTTGGAAAAACTATGAAAATGTCTTGCTAACCTCGTCGAAACCTTGAATGAATACCCAAATCAGAAAAACACGGACACTTCTGTGGGCCGCCAGACTGCGAGTGTTCCCTGTCGTCACGAAAACCATACCTTCATCGAGGCCTCCATCCAGCGCTTGTTGACCCGCTCGTACTTGATCGCGTCGAAAATCGGGAGACTAGCAAGGACGTGCTCCAGCGCTCGATCAGGCAAGGCGTCGAGGTTGAAGGAAGTTCCCTATAAAAAAATAGTCTTTTGCGCTGTTGAACTTACCTCATGGGCGCTAACACTCATCTGCGAAGCCAACGATTGCGTCGAAGAAGCGCGCGAAAGCCGGGATTCATCTAAAAGCTCTATTATACCGAAAATTGGTCTTGAAACCTGGCGTATCATCGCTCAGCACCATTCCCTTTCCGCCCTTCTTCTTCGCAACGTACTAAATGAGAAATTTTGTAAACTACATCGAGACAATACCGCGGAAACAGTCATGATTTGATCGTAGAACTTCAGATCCTCATCACAAGCGGCCTTGGCTTTCTCGGCTTCATCCGGCTTTCTAAAACTAGGTTTTGCGCTTAAAAAATTATTACTTGAACGTAATCACGGCTGTCCCGGTGTTCTTGGCGGATTTGGGAAGGGTCGAGAAGAGAGACTTCTTGGAATCGGTCTTTGGCAGTGAACAATGAACGACCTAAAAACAGAGTTAGTCTTTCGAGGAGAAGGTTGATTATCCTGTGGATATCAGCTTTATTCCTTTACACAAACCTTTCCGTATCTTGAGAAAAATGATTGCAGTTGGGAGGCGGTGACCCGAGAAGAGATATTTCCGACGACGATCTTTCTTTCGTCTTTTTGACCAGCTTGGAAGGAGAGCACGGCATCGAAGGCTGAAAATAATTCCAATTTGAAGGTTTTAAGATACGAACCATCATTAGCTTCATCGTTTCCAAATTCCTGGCCGTCAGCGAGGAGCTGCGGAAGCAGCCGTCGATATTTCATAAATTCCGCCGCCGACTGGGACCACGTTCGTCTGAAAAAAAGAGTTATTTAGCCCAGATTCGAGGCACCGACCTCAATTTGCCAATGCTGAAGAATCTGGCCCGCGTCACGAAATTTTGGAAGGCATCCGTCAGGTCGTTCAAGCCGCGGCTCTCCAAATTTTGGCCGTGCAGCCGGCGGAGCGTCTTGAACATTGCCTAAACATTTAAATGAATAGAAAATGATGGAAAATTACATGTGGAGGCTTGCCGGTCGGGCTGAACACCTTCTCGCCGGGCATCCGGAACGACGCTCGCCCGCCATCGAAGCGGTCCATTGGCGACGGTGGGCGGTGGTCAATCTACCTGGAAAAATGGGCGTATTAGGGATTACGGAAATAATTCAAAAGTAGGAAGAACGATTTAAGAGGGGTGCTGTTTTTAAAAATGTGTTGCAAAGGTATATTCGGGTAATTATCAGATACCGAAAGATTCCAACGGGCCGCAAAAAAACTGGCTTGGTCGGCAAGCCGGAAAAGCACGTTTTCGAGGTTAGCTTGGTGTGCTCAGTTGGAATTTCACATTTTAAGCCTACAAAAACATAACTTTGACTACAAACCACGAAAAGCTGGCGCAGGAAAGGTTCTTTTTCGCAACTTTAGATTTTTTCTAATTTGTTCCGACGGTAGAAACCTAAATAACGACCTATTTCTACCGTCCGACATTTGCTACTTGCCATCATATGCATTTAATCCTCGATGATGACAAATTTTCAGGACATTTGCCCCAATTATAAGCCGAATCCGTTTAAAAAGGAGAGCTCAAATATCATGCTCGGGTCGGGCCCATGCATTCGAAAAGCTTGGTACTCAAATTTCTACGAAAATTTGTTAGATTTAGCTAAAACGAAGTTGAAGGCAACCGGCTGCCGGCTAGCCGATATTTTGGCGACTGGGCGACGCTGTGCCCCTATGCTCACAGCAGCGAGTGGAGAAGCTGCATCCCCAAACAGGAACCCGATCCCCGGGCCGGGCATGTGTTCCGGAGATGATCACCTATTGATGGAGAGAGCGGGTAGAAGATCCCGGCTATAAAATCAACCATTAGGCTGGCATCGCGTTTGGTGTTCCCGCCTGGTAAACACAAAAATCGGCACAATGTCATTTCAGCAACTCATTTAAAATGTCGTTTCATCCCTTCTGGCCAGAAAAAAACGATCGTTTTCGGCTTTTAGCTCCTTTTAATGGCTTCTCTAACGTTTTAAGAATATTTTAACAAAAATTAAACTGATGGATCAGCAACTAAAACCCTCATTTGGCGTATTGTGGAAGTTAAGGTGCTGAAATGTCGTTTTCGCGAGTTGCAGAAACGTCATGCTCCCCGAAAAAATCACTCTCGTTTCGAAGAGTCCTAAATACAACGGAACTCATCAGCTTAACATAAAAGAAAATTTCAAACCACCCGTTGACCTGGACTACTTTGCGCAGACTCGCGGCACAACTACAAGGAGGGCAACTGATCCAAACATGCTGAAAAATAGTAAAAAATATCGATATTTAGGGGGCATTTGGAGCTAAATGATCGCTCGAGGATCTACAAAATTCGTAAATCCAACATTATTCTTCAATATAGCTGCAATAACTGTCCGATTTTCATTCCTAAACGATAATTTCATACTCGCATACATATTTCGGCCAGCGACTTGTGCGATCTGGCGCTGCCTTATGCACGAGCACACAAAAATCAAGCGTTTTTCTTCGTCCTAGGTCCTACAAAGCCCTTTTAATGCTCACTAACTTTTTGAACACGCGCTCGGCGACCAGGTGGGAATTACGGCATTGAGGTGACCTTTCTGGCGACCTTTCCGATATTCCACTGCCTTCTCATTTGGTCACAGGTCGTCGAACGTATCTTAGAATCCTTATTTTTCAGTTTTCTAATTGGAAGACTAGATCCATTGTTCCAGGATGTCGCATTTCCCCTTCTTTTCACTCCCCGCTGTGTGCCAAAAACTTGTCTGCGATCGTTTGCTGCTAGTCGATAAATTGGATTGTAGAAGGGCATGTAAGGTGAGTGCGCCTTTCGAGACGAAGCTATCAAATTGAACACAAACTGGAACCACCTCGAGCTAAACAGCGTATTTCTCCATAACTTCTGTTCATTTCTAGCGTCTCGCTCACATCATCGTCGAGTCGAAATGGATCCCGCGCCGTTGGACTGAACTCCTAATCAGCGATGTAACGATTTAAAAGACTTTCACAGTGGCGTTTTTGAAAGATCGCCCGGGATTCTTAAACTTCCGGTTCGATTTTGCGACCAATCGCCGGCCGGCGATATCAGGCGGCCAAATGCCGCATTTATTTAGACAACTGCACCTATTTACCTACCGTTTCGACCAGTACCGGAGCGACTCTTCTTGGAATAATTCGTTTCGTTTCAGGGATATGGTTTCCACTTGAGGTGTAGTCCAGAATTTATCTCGGCGTCTTCCACCCGTGTCGGCGATTTCTTTTGCCTCCAATTCCTCTTGGACGAGTGAGTAGGAATGCACAGGCCCAACAACGCCAAATTCTTAGGTCCGTGCATCCACCCGAAATCCACCCGGATTGCTGCCGGAATTCCGATCGCGTCCGAGAGCAGGTGGAAAGCGACCGGATTTCGATTGGAAACCGGGTGGATTCCCAGTGGATTACGGGCGGACAGATGGACAGGAATTCCGGCAGCAATCCGGGTGGATTTCGGGTGGATGTATGGACCTGGGTTGATGTGCTCGGAAATATTCGGAAGCACGAACAAAATTCTGCCCGAACATTCCCCTGGCTTTCTCGATCAGTTCTATCGAAGCATTTTCCAATTTCTGACAGACGAAACATTTTTGTTTGTTACTTTCATTTAGTCTTTCTAATTCCTTTTTTAAGATTTAAGAATTTAAGAAATGTTAAATAACTCTGTAAAGAGTTAACGTGAGCGAACTATAACTATAACCCCTTCTAACAGTTCGTAGAAGTGCCCGATGTTCACAATTCAGGTATCTCTCGGAATAGCGAGAAATTAGCGCTTTTCGTTTTTAGATTGGGGTTTTTCATTCTTAGTTATGATCAAAAACCGTGAAAAGGACTGAATTATGTCACTTGTTGCCATTCCCTTTTTTCAGTTTTCGCCTCACGCCTCTGCAGGCTCGGCACTACCGGTATAGCGTGTGGGCAAGCGACTGGTATCAAGTATACCACAAACTGTTCGGGCATGTTGCAATCGTGGACCTTGAAGTTCTTACAGCTACGGTATGTTAGTATGTCCTTTCGGAAACGAGGGCTCTCAACCCGTTAGAAACCGAGGATGGGGCAAAAAGCCACGAATCGTGACCCATTTTTTTTACTAACGAATCTTGCGCAAAAACCTGTAAAAATACATCGGCCATTTAAATTCTTCAAATTCAGGCACCAAACGAGGATCTATGGCTGCGACTACTGAGGACGCCATCGCATTTGACGTTGTCTGGTGCGTAGTCGTCCAGTCTCCTAAAGTTTGCTATTTGAAAAATACACATACATCCATATCTTTCCTATCTGTGAATTTCAGTCACATAGCCTCCCGGCACGGCCATTCAAAGCGCGCGCATGAGCTTTAAAAGCTAAGAAAAAGCTCCCAACACTTCATTATACAAAAGTTTTTTTACGAAATAGTGCTAAATCTTTAGCTTTATCGAACTAGAGCGGCGATTTTGGAAATACGGCCAGGGGGAAAAGTTATCAGCAAAACAAGAAGAAAATCCTTAGCATTTTTCATGGCTGGTTGTAGCTCTATAGAAAACTCTCTCTGTTGCTAATTCTATAACTTTTTTTATGGTACAACCAGCGCCCAAAACCCGCTTCGCGGGCCTTGGGCGCTGGAATGCGGCCTTTGCATGAAAAATTGACTTTCCGATAGCTCTGGCCCTTCAGACCCCCTTCCCCCACCGACCACACACGCGGGTGCAAATTGCAAGAATGAGGGAATTTGTATTTTTTCACATTATGCAAATTAGCCCTCCCGGACCCCCAATATGTATAAAACCGGATTTAACTTTGTAAACCTGTATTTTATCGAAATTCTGAAAACGTCATCGAAAAGAGGAGGGCTGATTCCCCCAGGTGACGGAGAATTACGGAATTTTATGCACGGGAAGGCCCTGAAATCTGGCCTCGAAACTGACCTCCGCACACACACACACAGACAAAGATACGCGACCAAATTATATAAGGTAGGATGTGCGTAATTTTTTTATCTATCGAACTAGAGCGGCGATTTTGGGAATACGGTCCGGGGAGGGGGGAGTTATGAGCGAAAGAAGAGCGGCACTCTTAAAATTTTTGGGGAGTGGGGGAAGCCCCTCTCGTGCGCGCCTTCCCATAGATCCGAACGGCCGTGCCAGAAATAGCTTACTCAAAACGTAAAGCGAAATCTGCGTGGAGAAACTAAATCCCTCTTCGAGTCGGAATAGCGCTTTCCATGGATATTCACGGGGAATTTTTAGGGCCCTACGACGCAGTAGAAGCAGAGTACCACAAATCGTTGGCGTTTCCACATGTGGCGGACAAGGTAAGGCAAAGATCATTTCTTGAATCGACCAGCAAAATTCGATTAAAATTCCCAAAACCTGAGTGCTTTGCTAGAGTTCGGCCGAATATTAAAAGCGTAGGCAAATTTTTTCAAAACAGCACAGGGAGGCTTCTCGTGTAAACAATCAGTGCAGGTCACCTGCAAAATCGAAGATGGGTTGACACCGAATATACGTGCCGAAGATCTGATCGAGAAGGTAGCCCTAAAAAATTCAACATCAACTACAACGTGTTCAGTTACTAGCGCGTCACCGTTATGTCCACCTGGAACTTACACAACGCGAGCAAAACCATTTGCTGCACGTGCATGGGAGTAGCGAGCGGATCCTGAGATTTCTACTTTACCAGGTATTTTCCTCTCAAAAAAATCCCGAAATTCTATCGTCACTTTTAAGCTTCGCAAGGGCTTCACGACGACAAAGTGCATCTTCTACCTGAAATTTAGCGGATTCGGCGCGGACTTTACCCCACAACAAGTCGAGCAGGTGCGTGCAATCAGCAACGGCAGATAAAAAAAGCTAAAGCTTAGCTTTGTATCGGCTTAGCTTAGACTCCGGCTTAGCTTACCCTAGGCTTACCCCTAGCTTACAAGGGAAGGGCATGTGCACGAAGTGGAAATTCGAAAAACGCTCGCGGCTACCCCTAGGTTATCGACTACGGCGATTCCGATGCGCTATTCAGAATTAGCCACCGAGGTCTGTAAAGCGAGATACCGCACTTCCGGAAAAAAGCATAATTACCATGCGCGTAATTAGGAATTCGAAGTTAAAAATTTTTGGAAGTTTGTGATTTTTGGGTTGGACCTCGGATCTTGAATAGAATTTTCTTTCAACCATGGGGAAAACGGGGCGATAACCTGCAATACTAGGCTCCACACAGCAAAACAAAAAAATCAGGGCGGATCCGAACCCCCATTGGTATTTCAAAAAGCGAGTGGCTTGGCACTCGACCAATTCACAGCTGATGGTAGATACGTGGAAGATCCTAATAAACCCTTAGTAGCTTCCTAATTACGCGCATGGTAATTATGCTTTTTCCGGAAGTGCGGTATCTCGCTTTACAGACCTCGGTGGCTAATTCTGAATAGCGCATCGGAATCGCCGTAGTCGAAAACCTAGGGGTAGCCGCGAGCGTTTTTCGAATTTCCACTTCGTGCACTTGCCCTTCCCTTGTTAGCCTATAGGCTTAGGCTTAGCTTCTGGGCGGGGTGAATTACCCACGCTGTAGCTTGGCTTTGTAAAAGCTTCACTGATTTTGGCTTCGGCTTAGCTTTGTTGAAGCTCAATTTGACTGAGCTTCACCTTAGCTTAGTTTAGGAGTTGAGTCTTACGCTGGATTAGCCGCAAAAAACTGACCCGGTCAAAAATGGCCACACCCCCCCTCAACGTGAATAGTACCAAAAAAAGGCGGAAACGGTTTTATCCTTACAACTCCCAGATTTTACGGCGGGAACCTACGGGCAATTACAAAAGCGGCGCTTTTTTAGAATTATGCGTGTGAGCTGTTTACGGCCCCGTTACAAAAACTGCTCACGCCCGCCGATGTCGAAAATACGCTAATGTACGTTGGATCGGATTTAGGAGTGGTGGGTGAATTTGTCTGCTCTTAATCTGCGCAAATCCTGGGTCCAACTGCCCTTACTTTCAGACAGGGTTCTTCGCGGATGGATCAAGATCCGATCCGAAAAATGCCCAACCCTGCTTTCAGACCAACTGAACTATCTACGTCGTACATTAACCCGTCTTATTTTCAGAGGAAAGCTAGCTTCATGATCGGCTTCAATTATGGCCCAGACGAAACCTCGACATTTAATCGTGACGCGAGAACCAGATGGATGCGATTTGGTCCATACATGATGCGCCAACTTGTCTTCACATTTGAAACCCTATAAATTCGCTTGACCACGGCTGGCGCAAGCGGTATCACGCGTGCCGATATCAAAAACACGCTAGTGTAAGTTGCATCCGATGCAGGAGATGGATACCGTATGGTGCATGCAAGATGCGCAAACTTGTCTGGGGATCTTTTAATGGCTTCTCTAACGTTTTAAGGATATTTTAACAAAAAAATTAAACTTATGGATCAGAAACTAAAACCCTCATTTGGCGTATTGTGGAAGCTAAGGTGCTGAAATGTCGTTTTCGCGAATTGCAGAAACGTCATGCTCCCCGAAAAATCGCTCTCGTTTCGAAGAGTCCTAAATACAACGGAACTCATCAGCTGTAACATAAAAGGAAATTTCAAACCACCCGTTGACCTGGACTACTTTGCGCAGACTCGCGGCACAACCACATGTAGGGCAACTGATCCAAACATGCTGAAAAATACTAAAAATTCGATATTTAGGGGGCATTTGGAGCTAAAATGATCGCTCCAGGATCTACAAAATTCGTAAATCCAACATTATTCTTCAATATAGCTGCAATAACTGTCCGATTTTCATTCAAAAACGATAATTTCATACTCGCATACATATTTCGGCGCTGCGTTATGCACGAGCACACAAAAATCAAGCGTTCTTCTTCGTCCTAGGTCCTACAAAGCCCTTTTAATGCTCACTAACTTTTGAACCCGCGCTCGGCGACCAGATGGGAATTACGGCATTGAGGTGACCTTTCTGGCTACCTTTCCGATATTCCACGGCCTTCTCATTTGGTCACAGGTCGTCGAACGAATCTTAGAATCCTTATTTTTCAGTTTTCTAATTGGAAAACTAGATCCATTGTTCCAGGATGTCGCATTTCCCCTTCTTTTCACTCCCCGCTGTGTGCCAAAAACTTGTCTGCGATCGTTTGCTGCTAGTCGAGAAATTAGATTGTAGAAGGGCATGTAAGGTGAGTGCGCCTTTCGAGACGAAGCTATCAAATTGAACACAAACTGGAATCCCCTCGAGCTAAACAGCGTATTTCTCCATAACTTCTGTTCATTTCTAGCGTCTCGCTCACATCATCGTCGAGTCGAAATGGGTCCCGCGCCGTTGGACTCAACTCAAAATCCTCGAAGTAACGAGCCTACCTTATATAATTTTGGCGTGTAACTGTGTGTGTGTGTGTGTGTGTGGGCGGATGTCATTTTCGCGGCCCGATTTGAGGGCCTTCCCGTGTCCAAAACGCCTCAATTCTCCGTCACCCTGGGGAATCGACCCTTCTGTTTCCGATGGCGTTTTCAGAATTACGGGAAAATACAAGTTTACAAAGTTAAAGCCGGTTTTATTCATTTTTGGGGTCCCCGAAGGCTAATTTGCATCATGTGAAAAAAAGAAATTTCGTCATTCTTGCAAGTTGCGCTCGCGTGTGTGGTCGGACGGGGGGGGGGGGTCGGCAGGACCCTGGCTATCGGAAAGCCAAATTTCTCATGCAAAGGCCGCATTCCAGCGCCCAAGCCCCGCGAAGCGGGTTTTGGGCGCTGGTTTAAAATACTTTCGAAGTGGCGTTTTTGAGAGATCGCCCGGGATTCTTAAACATCCGGTTCGATTTTGCGACCAAATGCCTGGGATGTCAGGCGGCCAAATGCCGCATTTTAGACAACTGCACCTATTTACCTACCGTTTCGAGCAGTACCGCGGCTACTCTTCGTGGAATAATTCGTTTCGTTTCAGGGATGTGGTCTCCGCTTGACGTGTAGACCAGAATTTATCTCGGTGTCTTCCTTCTGCGTCGGCGTCGATCTCTTTTGCCTCCTGTTCTGGCTGGACGAGTGAGTAGGAATGCACAGGCGGACCACGCCAAATTGATGCGCTCGGAAATATACGGAATTACGAACAAAATTCTACCCGAACATTTCCCTGGAACCCTAATTCCTACACAACTCTGTAAAGAGTTATTTAATACCAGCGCCCAAAACCCGCTTCGCGGGCCTTGGGGCGCTGGAATGCGGCCCTTGCATGAGAAATTGACTTTCCGATAGCTTGGGTCCTTCGGACCCCCTCCCCCAACCGACCACACACGCGAGCGCAACTTGCAAGAATGAGGAAATTTCTATTTTTCACATTATGCAAATTAGCCTTCAGGGACCCCCCAAAAATGAATAAAACCGGCTTTAACTTTGTAAACTTGTATTTTATCGTAATTCTGAAAACGCCATCGGAAACAGAAGGGTCGATTCCCCCGGGTGACGAAGAATTGGGGCGTTTTGGACACGGGAAGGCCCTCAAATCGGGCATCGAAACTGACATCCACACACACACACAAAGATACACACCAAAATTATATAAGGTAGGATTTCTTAAAATTTCATTATGCCGTAAAAACGCGAGCGTACTAATGCCCTTTAACAGTCCAGAGAAGTGTACGATTTTCACAATTTAGGCCTCTCTCGGAATGGTCTCGAAGAAATTAGCGCTTTTCGTTTGTAGATTGGGTTTTTTTCATTCTTAGTTATGCCCAAAAACCGTGAAAAGGACTGATTTATGGCGCGTGTTGCCATTCCCTTTTTTCAGTTATCGCGACAGGCAGCCTCGGCACTACCGGTATAGCGTGTGGGCAAGCAACTGGTATCAAGTATACCAAAAACTGTTCGGGCATGTTGCAATCGTGGACCTCGAAGTTCGTACAGCTACGGTATGTTAGTATGTCCTTTCGGAAACCAGGGCTCTCAACCCGCTAGAAACCGAGGATGGGGCAAAAAGCCACGATTCGTGACCCATTTTTTTTACTAACGAATCTTGCGCAAAAACCTGTAAAAATACATCGGCCATTTAAATTCTTCAAATTCAGGCACCAAACGAGGATCTATGGCTGCGACTACTGAGGACGCCATCGCATCTGCAGTTGTTAGGTGCGTCATCGTGCATTCTGAAAGTTTGCTAGTCGTCAAGAGCCGTCGATGATTCAAGAGACCTATAAAATCTAGGACTTTTCCAGGACCCTTCTCCGAAGTAGCAGAAGCCTACCACAAATCGATGGAGGTACCAGAGGTGGCGAACAGGGTATGGAAGCGCAAAGTTTGAGTTTGGATGGCTTTTCCCAAAATTGTAAAAATTGGCGCAAAATTCCTAAAAACCGGTCGGATATCCTGTATTTTCGGAGTATCTTGATGAGTAAAATAATCCTTGTAGGTAACCTGCGAAATCGACCATGGGTTGACGCCGAATATGCCAGTCGAAAACCTGATGGAGAAGGTAATGTTCACATAAAACATATCATCCACAGTGTTCAGTTACTATGGCGCCACAATTTCGTCCACCTGAAGCTCAAACAAACTGAGCCAGCAGATTTACTGCACGTGCGCGGGAGTAGCGAACGCATCATCAGATGTCTACTTTCCCAGGTAATTTTTCTCTGAATAAACCCTGAGACCATCGCCACTTTTAAAGCATCGCAAGGGCTTTGCGTCGACAAAGCGCATCTTCCACCTCGAATTTAGCGGGCTCCACGGGCTTTTTCAAGACGACGCGAAGCAGGTAGGTGGAATGAGGAACGGGTATCATCCTCGCAAGCCTAAAATTTCACCGCGGGAACCTGCGACTAGTTTTGAAACGGTTTCATTTTTTAGGTTTACACGCCTGAACTATTTGCGCCCCAGTTGAAGATGCTGCTCAAGCCTGCCGACGTCAAGAACACGCTGATGTACGCTGGATCGACTTTAGGAAACGTGGGTGCATCTATTACTCGTAATCTACGCAACTTTCTAGCGGTTAGCGTAATAAAGTCTACCGGAATTTTTGGAATCACCCTTAAATGGCCAAAAAGGCGCCGGAATTGAAAGGTCGATATTTGTCTCTGCAGGAAGCGCCTCCGACGTCGAAAAAAATCATGTCATTACCCAAGCTCATCGTTCAGACGGCTTTTTGACTCTACCCTAGGCCATCGTATTTTCAGTGGGACGTCTCCTTCATCGTCGGCTTCAATTATGGCCCTCACGAAATGCCAGCATTCCGTTACGACGCCAGACATAAAGATTTGCCGTATGGTCCCTGCATGATCCGTCAACCTGTCTGGAACTTTGAAAATCAATAAATTGTCTAGAAAACGAGATGTATGCTAACATTAAAGGCGAGAGGGAGAGATAGAGAGAGACAGAGACAAAAAGAGAGAGAAGCCAGAGAGATACAGTGGAGAGAGAGAGGGGGATACTAGAAAACCTTGCGCCCCTTTCAATCACCTAGAATCCCGTTGATAAGTAAGTAATAAATTGTTAGTATTGTGTAGTAAGTCTTTAATGAGTTAATTCAAATTCGAAAGAAGAGGAACAAAAAAGAGAGTAATTAAAGCGATCGAATTATATAATAAGACAGGCAATCTATCGCTGCGCTTTCAACCCTATTTCCATGCAAAAAAAATAATTTCGTGTAGGCGCTGGCGCCATCTGATGTATAACCCCCGGAAAACCAAGCGTTTTTCTTCGTCCTAGTTCCTAAGAAGTTCCTTTAATGCTCATTTTCCAAAGTCACCAATGGCGCGGAAACTTTTTGAACACCCCCCTAGGCGGCGAGATGGGAATTACAGCGTTGAGTTGACCTTTTTGATGCACCACGTGCTTTCTCATTTAGTTCCGGCCAGTTAAGGGAGTCTTCGAACCATTATTTTTCAGCTTTCAATTGGGGGACCGGTCGATTATTCCAGAATGGCGCATTTCCCCTTCCTTTCACTCCCCGCTTTGTGCCAACAAGCCGTATGCGATCATTTGCTTCTGATGGGGAAGATGGACGGTAGAAGGGCGTGTAAGGTGAGAGCGCCTTTTTAGATCACGGTAGCAAACTGAAATCACAGCTAGCTAAAGAGCTAATAATGTATCCCAATTCACAATGATTTCCAGAGCCTCGCTCACGTCATCGCCGAGACGCCATGGATGCCGCGCCGCTTGACAGGGGTCCGCGTCTACATGGTATCGATCAAAAACCGTATTCGAAGCTGCTTTCCTTTGAAAGACGATTCTCTAGAATTAGTTCGCAATTAAAAGAAATGAAAAAGCTCAGCATTTTTGATCCGCGAAAAAATTTAGAGATTTATTGGGGTTTTCGACGACCGTGTTTAAAATATATGGGATGATTTTGTCGTTCTAGGGGAATCTCTTCTGGTGCGGTAGACACGAAGCGATCTCGGCGTCTTTCTATACTGCCGGCAAGCGCTTTCAGCTCGGCTTCTGCTTGGCCGAGTGAGTAATATGCATAGCGCCGACCCGCAATTGATACGAGCATAAAATTCTTTCTTTTTAGCTTTCATCTAACTCGGAAGCCTCGGAACTATATGTACTCCGCATATACAAGTGACTGGTATCTAGTATTCCACAAACTTTTCGCGCATGTTGCAACCGTGGACATCGAAGTTTCTGCAACTTCGGTAAGTCACAACGCGTGTACGCATGCGGCTCATCGAATTTTTGCGGGCGCATTTTGCGCCCGAATTTCGCGGTGCGAAAGCTGAATCCTAGGCCCACGCTAAGCATAAACCCAAGCCGCTGCTCTTTAAAAAATACGGCCTCCAATCAGCTCCAAAAAAACGGAAGCGTTTTGCCGGGGGATGGAAAACATGCCGGCAACCGTAAAAACGTTTTCGTATAAAAGGGGGCCCGTCCGATCAAGCAGTATGCGATTCCAGCAAATAAAACGTTTTGTGACACCCCCGAACTGCTGGAAACTTGAAAACTGAAAGTAGGGTCGTCGAAAACCCCCAACGGTCATGAAATGCTTGATATCCAGGGGCCGGCCGACGACCTATGGCTGCGACTACTGAGGACACCGTCGCATCTGAAGTTGTCCGGTTCCGTCATGCCCCCCAGAAGTTTGCTAGTCGCCAAGTCTCATTTGTGCTTTTCGCCATGGAGAAACCTAGATAATATAGGGCTTTTCCAGGAGCTTTCGGCCAAATAGCAGCAGCCTACTACAAGACTTTGCAAGTTCCAGAGGTGGCGAACAAGGTATGGGGCGTAAAGTTTTAATTTTACTGGAGCTTCACAAACTTATCAGCACAATTCGCTAGCGATTTCTAAAATCCGGCGAAAAGTGTTTAATCTGATGGCCAAAACAATCTCTGCAGGTAACTCTCGAAATCTTTGGGGGGTTGACGCCGAACATGCCGGTCGAAGACTTAATGGAGAAGGTAGCGTTAACATAAAATATCTTCCACAACAATGATCAGCTACTATGGCGTCACAATTTCGTCCACCTGAAGCTCAAACAAACTGAGCCAGAAGACTTGGTGCATGTGCGCGGGAGCAGCGAACGCATCATCAGATGCCTGCTTTCCCAGGTAGGTTTTTCTGAATAAATCATGAGCGTCCATCGCCATCTTTAAAGCATCGCAAGGGCTTTGCGTCGACAAAGCGCATCTTCTACCTGGAATTTTGCGGACTCGGTGGGGTTTTTTCAGGCGACGCAGAGCAGGTAGGAGGAATCAAAAGCTGGCTTGATGCTGGCGAGTGTTTGATTTTCGCTATTTGGCTGCTAATTTTGGCCGCAGAAAGCTGAGACTGGCCTTGGAAACCGTTATTTTTTAGGTTTACACACAAGAACTGTTTACTGACCCGTTAAAAATGCTGGTCAAGCGTGCCGATATCAAAAACACGCTAATGTACGTTCAATCAAATGCAGGATTGGTGAGTGAATCTATTGTTTACTAAACCTAGGCAACTGCTGGCTCGGACTTTACTTACTTTCCGATCAATAAACTTTCTTCATTGTACCTTCTCAACTTATTTTCAGAGAAGCGCCACTTTCATGGTCGGCTTCAATTATGGCCCTCAGGAAATTTCGGCACTTCGTTGGGATGCCAGGACGGAATCGATGGCACATGATCCAAACAAGATGCGCAAACTTGTCTGGGGCTCTGGAAAGCAATAAATTGTTCATAACACACAAAAAAATGGCTTATAGTACTCAAATAGTCCTTTTGAAAACTTTTTTTGAAAAAACTGATAAACGTTGCACAACGTTGCGAACGGAACGAACGAAACGAAACGTCATACAAGCGTGTAGGGCAATTAGGGGGAAGTCGGAATAAACTCAATACAAAACAAGTACAAACAGTCAACAAGTACAAAAAAACCCCAGGTTCTTTCGCATTATCGGGGGTGAGGGTTTATCGGGGTAGCGAATTTTTTTGTATCAGTCTAGAAATTTAAAAACGTCGAAGTTTTGGCCAAAAATCGGCCATTTTCGGTGGAAAAAAAAATCGATATTTTCTTTTCCAAACTTGCAAAGTTGTCAGGTTTAAGAATAGTAAACAACCATTTAGAAACACTTCGCGATTTATATTTGAAAAACTAGATCGTGAAGTGCTACGTCTCTTTAATGCTCCTTGCCCACCTTTCCAATAGTGCAGAAAATTTTGAACACCCCCCTCGGCGACCAGATGGGAATTACGGCGTTCGGGTGCGCTTTCTGATGCGCAAAGCGTTTTTTCATTTACCTCTACGGCGAATCAAGAGAATTTTGGATCGTCTAGTGAGCTTTCTAATTGGTAGACTATATCTATTACTTCAGGATGTGGCATTTCCCCTTCCTTTCACTCCCCGCTTTGTGCCAGCAAGCCGTATTCGATCATTTGCTTCTTATGGAGAAGATGGACGGTAGAAGGGCATGCAAGGTGAGAGCGCCGAGCGCTAAAGGGTAACTGAAATATCACAGCGAGCTAAACGGCTGGTGTTTCCCCAATTTCCATTGATTTCTAGAGACTCGCTCATGTCATCGTCGACTCGAAATGGATCCCGCGCCGTTTGACGGAAGTCCGCGTCCACAAGGTGGCGCGAATTAAAAATATTCTTCGAAGCTGCTTTCCTTTGAAAGAAGATCATCTACAATTAATTCGCAATTTAAAAAAGTGAACAAGATGATCGTGTTTTGATCCGCGAAAAATTTTGGGCATTACAAAATATGGCACCTAACGACATCTGCGCTCATGCAATTGCGCCGAGACCATATGCGCATACGACATTTGCGCCTACGACATTTGCACGCAACGACATTTGCGCGCAAAGACAATTGCGCCTAACGACAATTGTTTGTAATGGTTACAATGTTTGTAATTGTTTGTAATGCCAACGCATAAAATGGGTGTTCTTCTAGGTTTCTTATGCTTTTAAAAATTTGTTTTGCTAATCTAAACCTTGCTAATTGTCGTTAGGCGCAATTGTCGTTGCGCGCAAATGTCATTGGCGCGTGTCGTGGCAAATGTTGGCAATGGTCACCTGATTTATCGTTCTAGGGGAGCCTCTTTTGGTCGCAGGGACGCGAATTGATCTCGGCGGCTTTCGATCGTGTCGGCGATGGCTTTCGTCTCAAGTTCAGCTTGGCCGAGTGAGTACGCACGCGCAGAGCGACGAGCGGAACAGTCTCTATTTTTAGCTTTCCCCGGCTTGGGGGGCCTCTGCACTACGGGTATGCCGCGTACACAAGCGACTGGTATCGAGTCTTCCACAAATTTTTTGCGCATGTCGCAGCCATGGACGTCGAAATTGATGCGATTACGGTATGTCATCACGCGTATACGTAATCGACCCAACGATTTTTTGCGGTACGCATTTTGCGGCGCGAAAGCATCATCCTAAGCCCACGCTAAGCCTAAACCCAAGCCTATGGCCCCCAATAAGCTCCAGAAAAAACACGGAAGCGTTTTGCCGGGGGATGGAAAACTTGCCGGCAACCGTCAAAACGTTTTCGTGTAAAAGGGGGCCCGTTCGATTGAGCAGGAAGTACGATTTCAGCAAATAAGCCGTTTTTGAGACCCCCGAACTGCTGAAAACTTGAAAACTAAAAGTAGGGTCGTCGAAAACCCCCAACGGTCATGAAATGCTTGATATCCAGAAGCCGGCCGACGACCTATGGCTGCGACTACTGCGGACACCGTCGCATCTGAAGTTGTCCGGTTCCGTCATGCCCCCCAGAAGTTTGCTAGTCGACAAGTCTCATTTGTGCTTTTCGCCATGGAGAAACCAAGATAATATAGGGCTTTTCCAGGAGCTTTCGGCCAAATAGCAGCAGCCTACTACAAGACTTTGCAAGTTCCAGAGGTGGCGAACAAGGTATGGGGGGGGGCAACGTTTTAATTTTACTTGATCTTCCCCAAAATCTTCAGCCAAATTCGCTAGCATTTCCTAAAATTCGGCGGAAAGTGTTTAATCTGATGGCCAAAACAATCTCTGCAGGTAACTCTCGAAATCTTTGGGGGGGTTGACGCCGAACATGTCGGTCGAAGACTTAATGGAGAAGGTAGCGTTAACATAAAGTATCCATCCTCAACATGACCAGTTACTATTGCGCCACCGTTTTGTCCACCTGAAACTTCCACAAATCAATCAAGAGGACTTGCTGAATGCGCCTGAGAGTAGCGAACGCATCATCAGATGTCTGCTTTCCCACGTAGGTTTTTGCTGAACAAATCCTGAGAGTCTATGGCCACTTTTTAAGCGTCGCAAGGGCTTTGCGTCGACAAAGCTGATCTTCTACCTGGAGTTTTGCGGACTCGTGGGACGTTTTCCCCGAGAAGAGGCTCGGCTGGTAGGCGCATGCAAAACCTGGTCTGATCCTGGCAGGCCCTAAATTTGACTGCCGAAACCTAAGACTAAGTCTTGGAAACCTTTTTTTAGGTTTACACACCAGAACTGTTTACTGACCCGTTAAAAAGGCTGATCAAGCCGGCCGACGCCAAGAACACGCTAATGTACGTCGTCTCCGGTTCAGGAGTGGGTGAATCTATCGTTCTTGGTCTACGCAATTTCCGGGTCAGATTTGACCTTTTCAGATCAGCTAAACTTTCCCGATGGTACCTTAACGATCTTATTTTCAGCGAAACGCCACGTTGATGATCGGCTTCGATTATGGCCCGCAGGAAACTTTGGCATTTCGTTGGGATGGCAGAACGAGATCGATGCCATATGCTCCATACAAAATGCGCAAAATTGTCTGGGACTTTGGAAATCAATAAATTTTCATTAAACGACGGAGACGAGAGGCCGAGTGGCTTCTGCAAATAGTACCTTTATGCGGCTGAGAAACGTCCCAAACGTTACAAACTCAATCGACAAGAAGGACAAAAATACCCTAAAAATTGAGCCACAAGGTGTGCTGAATCGACGATCATTGGTTTGCTACTTTCTATACAAGGAAAATCCTAGCGATTTTTCCAAAATAATGATTGACATCTTGCTCAGCCAACGTAAGTTATCTTTCGAATTAGCTAACAATAAGAAGGACCTTCAAAGGGCTTACTGTAAAGTGTTCCATTGGGTTTCGGTTCGGGACCAAGTGCTCTTGGCAGAATTTTTTGCTGATACCGAATCCGTTTTCCAAATTTGCTGCGGACCTTTATTTATAAAGTCATTTTTGGTGCAAATTAAGCTTGAAAAAGCCAAAAATTCTGATCCTGGTCCGCTATTCCCTCCATGGTTCTGCCTCGCCCAGGGGCCCTGAAGTACTCTGTCTCAGCTCCGCTCTCGGTTGGCACCATGGTGCATTGGCGAAGTACTCGCTTGCCAAGCGCAGGGCGGCGGTTCGGATCCCCGCCCTGCACCTTTCTTTTGCTTTTTTGCATAAAAAAATTTAATTTTTTATAAAAAAAGCTTGTTTTGACTTTTAAGATGCTTGTCTAGCCAATCTCTAGCCAATTTTGAAGTTGAAATTGATCAGGAAAATCGAAAACGATATCGGTTCCTTGATTTTGGTAAAAAACACTGCCATAACTGCTGTATAACTTTCAAAATAAAAGTCCGCAGCAAATTTGGAAAGCGGATTCGGAATCAGCGAAAAATTCTACACAAGATGCACTTGGTCCCGAATCGAAACTCCAACTTGAGTAAAAACACTTTACAGTTAATCTACCATTCGCTCGATTAAATTGATTTTTCGCTGCCCTATCTGTCCGATTTTCGTGTTTTCACGTAAAAACGGTAATTTCATAATTCTGTTTTCCTCAAACTACCGATTTGGACCCTCAAATTGCGGTTAAACGCGCTTTCTCACCCATAAACATACAAGATCAAGCTCTTTTTTGCGTCCCAGGGATGCTGCTGCCCTTTAATGCTCATTGTCCACAGTCATCAATAGTGCAGACATTTTTTTGAACATAATATCGGCCTTCCATGGAAATTACGGCGTTGAGGTGACCTTTCTGATCCACCAAGTGCTTTCTTATTAGGCTCCCAACCGTCAAGGGGATCTTGGAATCTTTAGTTTTGGCTTTCTAATTGGAAAACCGGTATTAATCCAGAATGGCGCATTTCCCCTTCCTTTCACTCCCCGCTATGTGCCAACAAGCTGTTTGCGATCACTTGCTGCTAGTCGAGAAGATGGAGGGTAGAAGAACGTGTAAGGTGAGAGCACCTCTTTAGACCATGTAAATTCGAGTTCGGGGGACGCTAATGGTAATGCAAAGAAACGCCGAATTTTGCCTCGTTTCTAGCGGCTCGCCCACCCCATCGTCAAGTCCAAATGGATCCCGCGCCGTTTGACGGAACTCCGCGTCGGCGAGGTAGCGATTTAACAATCTTCTTCAAGCCGTTTTTTGAAGATCGGCCGCAATCACAGCCGATAGCGTAAACTGGCAATATTTGGAGATAAACAAAACGTGCGACGCCAAAAAATTCGGCCACCGTTTCGATTAGTACCGGTGTATCTTTTCATATTTTGTTCCTTCCAGCGCGGTCTCAGATGGTGCGGTAGAAACGAATCGCTGATGGCGTCTTGCATGCCTGCTCGCGGGCGATTTTCCCTCATTTTCGACCTGAGCGTGTGAGTCTGAAACAAGCAACTTGGATCGAGCAGAAAATTCCGGGCGCTCGGCCATTCCGCCCTCTCGTGCACGGCCAAAAATGGCCGATTTCGATCAAATTTCAACTAAAAAAGGTCTCCAAGTTTTTTCGGTTTTTCTTACGATGTATATAAATACGTTTCACTAAAAGCGCTATTTAAATACTTGCTATTAAATTCGGTTCCTCACCCCCGATAATGCGAAAGAACCCAATTTTTGCATATTAAGGATACAACCCTTTTCTTAGAAGGTACCCATCATTTCTAGTCATGGTATCGGAGGCCGGCACTATACGTTGCACGCCTATACGCACGACTGGTATCGAATCTTCCACAAGCTTTTCGCGCATGTTTCAACCTTCGACATCCGCGTTTATATGTACAAGGTATGACAGTGCATGATTCATCCCGTTTATCGCGTGACGGGGCGCTTCAGTGGCAGCAAACTTTTTCTATGTTCAGATGTGGGCCCATTAATTTCTTACGTTCTAATTAATTTCTTGCTGGGACTGTAAGCTGTTTTGAAATCAGAAAACACTATAAAAAAGGCCAAAAAATCTTGAATCCGGTATTCAAAAAAGAGGAGAAAAACTGAGTTTCAAAAATTAAATTTTTTTTACCCGTTTTGTTAACGGGGTAACTGAAACACTGCTATAATACATTGGTGTCTACACTAGACAGGCAAAGGCTAAACAAAGAGAAGCTGCCACCAACCCCATATTCGTTATTCGCCTCAACGTTGATACAAAATTCGCCAAAGACCCAAAAATACTCGACCTTAATACACTACTATAATACATTGGTTTAGATTCCATTTAGGTGTTACATACATTCCCCATATTTAGGCGTCGAGCCAAGATCTATGGCTGCGGCTGCTGCGGGCACCTTCGCATTTGACGTTGTCTGGTGCGTAGTCGTCTAGTATCCTAAAGTTTGCCTATTTAAAAAAATACACCAACATCCATATCTTGCCTAACTGTGAATTGCAGTCACATAGCTTCCCGGAAATAGCTTGCTCAAAACGTAAGGCGAAGAGTGCATGCAGAAACTAAATCCCTCGTCGAGTCGGAATAGCGCTTTCCAGGGATATTAACGGGGACATTTTAGGGCCCTACGACGCAGTAGAAGCAGAGTACCACAAATCGTTGGCGTTTCCAAATGTGGCGGACAAGGTAAGGGTGGCACAAAGCTTTTGTCTTTCATCGACCAGCGAAACTCGCTTAAAATCCCCAAGTATGGCCAAAAAACCTTCAATTTGATAGTTTTTATCTGGTCTAGTTTATTTGAGAAAACTCGTAGGCAAACTTGCTAAAAAAATGGGGTAGAGCCGCCGAATAACCATGTTTCATGGTTAAAATAATCCTTGCAGGTCACCTGCAAAATCGAAGATGGGTTGACACCGAATATACGTGCCGAAGATCTGATCGAGAAGGTAGTCCTAAAAAATTCAACATCAACTACATCGTGTTCAGTTGCAAGCGCGTCACCGTTTTGTCCACCTGGAACTTATACAACGCGAGCAAGAAGATTTGCTACACGTTCATGGGAGTAGCGAACGGATCCTGAGATTTCTACTTTCACAGGTAGATTTCTCTCAATAAAATCCCGAAAGGTTATCGTCACTTTTAAGCATCGCAAAGGCTTCACGACGACAAAGCGCATCTTCTACCTGGAATTTAGCGGACTCGGGGCGGGCTTTACCCGACAACAGGCTGAGCAGGTGCGTGCAATCAGCAGCGGCAAATAAGAAAAAAACCGGAGCCGGCGTTATCCTTACAAGACCCTGATTTTACGGCGGAGACCTGCGGGCGATTACGAAGGCGGTGCTTGGTACTTATCAAGTTGGGGGGCGGGGCCACTTTGGGTACATATTAGGAGACACTTTTGTATCGCTTTTTCGACTCTTTCTGGGGTAGTTTTTTACGCTGAGTGCAAATAGAGCCGCAACAGCATGCGAAACGGTTGGGTTTATCCAGAAAAACGGTGTAAAAATTTATTAACAAAAGGTGCACTTATGCGCAATTTTAGACTTGCCGCATTGTCAGGCAAGGTGGGCCGTCGCTTCGGATGGGCTGCCGCTCCACTCTTTCGAAATCAGGGCGTCTGGGCGCTACGCGCTCCTCGGGCGCCCCGATTTCGAAACCCTGTACGAGCTCGCACCCATCCGAAGCGACTAGGCCCCGGGTGGCACGAAGCCTTAAATTTAGGCTCAAATTGGGTGTAAGCATTTCTAAATCTTAAAAACGTTTAGATATTGTGTTTTACTACGCTGTTTTGTTATATCAGAAACCAGCACGAAAAACTAGCCTAGAAAGACTCAAAAAGTCGAAAACCAAAGTGGCCCCCCCCCAACTTGATAAGTGCCCGGTGCTTTTTTAGAATTATGCGTGTGAGCTGTTTACTGCCCCGTTACAAATGTTGCTCACGCTTGCCGATGTCGAAACAACGCTAATGTACGTTGGATCGAATTTAGGATTGGTGGGTGAATTTATCTGCTATTAATCGACTCAAACCCTGGGTCAGAATTCCCTTACTTTGTTCGCGGGTGGACCCGGATCGGATCCGCAGTAAGATCCAATCCGATCCGAAAAAGCCCAACCCTGCTTTCAGACCAACTGAACTATCTACGTCGTACATTAACCCATCTTATTTTCAGAAACAAGCTAGCTTCATGATCGGCTTCAATTATGGCCCACACGAAACTTCGACATTCAATCGCGACGCAAGAACTAGATGGATGCCATATGGTCCATACATGATGCGTCAACTTGTCTTCAACTCTGCAATTGACCACGGCTATGGCCAATACAACATGCGCACACTTCTCCGGGGATCTGGAAGCCAATAAATTGCCATTACACGGCGGAGGCAAGAGGCCGAGTGTCTTCTGCAAATAGTACCTTTATTCGGCTGAGAAAAGTTACATGTGAAATGAGGGGAAATTGGAATAAAACTCAATCGACAACAAGTACAAAAATACCCTAAAAATTGAGCCACAAGACGTGCTGAATCGACGATCATTGGCTTGCTACTTTCTATACAAGGACAATCCTAGGGAGGGTCGCACAGGGGGGAAATTAAAATGAACACGCATCTCGAATGACTTTAATGGAAAATGGTGGCAGTCGTTGTAATGGCGCATCGGGCGCTTCACCATGGGCGTGGCGTCGTGCCGACGTCGAGGAGGGCCGTGCGCTTCTCGTAGGAGGGGGAGAGGTAGTCGTACTTCGACGGGTCGGAGAGCGCCTTGGACTAAAAAAAAGCAAAATATCAATGATGTAGTAAACAAAAACATACCTGAAGTCCGGGGTACTTCTTCTCGATCTCGGCCCCGCGCAGCAGCACTGGCTTCTCGGGCGAGTGTTCGACGCCTCGAAGGTGGGCCCAATCACGCGCCTCGTACTTCCAGTAGTAGTAGATTGCCTAAAAATCAATTAGCTACAATCAATCTGCGAGGTATACCTGGAAGCCGAGGAACGCGAAGATGAACTTGGGGGCGACGACGCGGATGGCAGTACCTGAAATGAAGTTTTGATTGGAGAAACAATATTACCGTAGTAGACGCCGAAGGTGGGCTTGAGGAAGTGTAGATACAGCTTGTCCAGTGGCCACCTAAACGTAATTATATTTGCAAACCTCTGAAAATTACCTGTAAAGCCTCCGAATCGGGTTCAACTGACGGTGGACAGCGTCGACGGCGATCGGCTCATCGGCGTGAAGATTTTGGTCCTGGAAAAGAAGGTTTAAGTTCTTACTTCAGCGAAGGCAATTATACTACGAAACCAAAACTTACAACGACCCATTTGTGGCGCCATTCACGCTCGGCGGGCGTCAGCCCACGCGCGCGCACCCTCTCGTCGGCCATGTGCATCTCCAGCGACATCGGGTTGCCGCCCCTGGAAAACGGCGTGGTGAAAAATCGCAAATTAGACAGGTCAGGAGGGCCAATAATTCAAAAAGGGGCTTACCTGTGCACCGGCTTGTCGGGCAGCCCAAGTTTGGGTGGCGGCACCCCGGAGCGCGTGTAGGGCGAATTGCCCTCACGGTGCGGCTTCACATATTGGTTACCCATTACCTGAAAATTAAATGATTTGCGAGGAAATGGCGAAAGAACAGAAAGGGAAAGCGAAAATTAAAGAAATGCAATTCAATGCTCGATGTTGGTCTAGGCTGCTTTATTGCAAAGGATTATGCTGGCAGCCGCTATAACGTCAAATACAAAATTCGGGTAGCGCGGCTAACTGCTTTTGTGAAGACAAATAGATTTCCGTTGCGAAAAGCGTAAAATTCAACCATTACAAACACCAGCTCCGGAAGGCCGACTTTCGCCTAGACAACGAGCCACAACCTGCACATGCCGCTCTGCGCACAAGTGGTAAAAAGACACCCAGAAGCACTCCAAAGAAAACTGCGAACTCATCTTCAATCAAGAATGCAACTACGAAATCTCAATACCAATCGGGTCGGGGGACCCGCAAAGGAACCTCCCCCGATCGGGGTCCCCCCGGCAGAGTGCCGGAACTGGGGTGGAGACCGGGACCGGGGAGGGAGACGTGGATGGGCTCATATGATATAATTTATTTATAGTTTATCTTGAGCTCTAGCTATAAGCTAATGAGGTGTTCCGTGGTGGGTGTTCTCGGTGTCCTGGGCCTAATTGATAGTTGTTTGGTTTCTTCTGTTCGTTTGTGCTTCCCTCATCGAGGTCTTTGCGTTTCCGGTTCTTTTGTATTTGAGTGGTTTCAGTTTGGTTCTTTTAAAGCGCAGGAGTCAGTGAGAGTCCTTGGCTGGCGTGCTAGCTCCTCGTCTCAATTTCGTCCTTGTGTTGGTTCCTTCGCCTTTTTCCTTTTTGTCTTTTCTCCCCTTTGTTTCTGTGGTATTGGGGGTCAGTAGTGTTGGCGGCCTCACCGTGGTGGCACTTATTTTGTGCTTCTTTTGTTCGCCATATTCCGTCGTTCGGTATCCAACCCCGGGGTGACCTTTGGCTTTTGTTTTCCTGGGTTGGTTCCTTGGTTTGTTGCCCTGGGTCTTGGTTGGTGGGTTTGGCATCTATCACGGGGTATGCGCGGTCCTTGTGCTTCGACATGGTTCTAGCATCAACATGTTTATCTTCTACCTGTGTCTTTTTTAGGACTTGGCGCGGCGTCGTGCGGGGGTGGCATCTTGTCGGTATTGTTTTTCTCTGGCGCGCCATGTTGGGTCTTGTGGGTCTGGTGGTTATTCGCCTTTCTTTCTCGTGCGCTAACCTGTTCTGAAATAGTGATTTGGTTTCCAACTCCTCTATTTTCGTTTTTTGTTTCCATTCCTTTTGTTCTTGGTGTCGTTTCATAACCTTCCGTAAATAGTGGCATTCGGTTATACCTGTTGTAGTAAGTTGTTTGTGTGGTGGTGGTTGGGTTGCGGTGGTCCTCCGGTTGGGCGTGTGCGCCCTCGGGGTGCGGGTCGGCGTTCCTGCGGCTGCGGGTTCGTTGTAGTGTAATGACAAATCAGTTTGCGTTTAGCTTGTAGTCTTCGCAAAATTTATTCAATACACGCAATGATCACAACTATAGGGCCAACATGTAACAAGAACACCTACAGAGAATTGTAATGAGAGTGGGTAGCTACAGGGAAGTAATTGTTACACAGTTATAAACGCATTTCTTTAATCGATCCTTGAGGCGGACGGGGCTTAGTGCTTCTGGAAGAACTCCTTGCTGTCCTTCACGCTTGGCTTGATGGTGTCCTTGCCAGGGGTCCATCCGGCCGGGCAGACCTCGCCGTGCTGAAAAAGAAAAGTTTCATAGATATTCAGAGATTTTGTAAAACGGCTAAGATTCTAGTTTTCCCCAAAATGTAAGCGAAAAAGTGGTGACCCAGGTTGAGGGTAGGTATAATTTAGTCTGGGATAGCGATACTATCTCACCTTCCAAATTAAAAAAAATTATACCTTGTCAACGAACTGGAAGGCTTGAACGAGGCGGAGCGTCTCATCGACGGAGCGGCCAACGGGGAGGTCGTTGATGGTGATTTGGCGCAGGATGCCGTTGGGGTCGATGATGAACAAACCTAAAAAATAAATTAGTTTGAAAAAGAATGGATACCGCGGAAGGCGATGCCCTCGTCCTCCTTCAGCACGCCGTAGTCCTTCGAGATTTGGTGGTTCGTGTCGGCGATCACCGGGATGTTCATGTCGCCGAGGCCGCCGTGCTTGCGGGGCGTCTGGATCCAGGCCAAGTGACTAAACAAGGGTGCTTAGAGAAGCAGTAAAAATTAGATTTACCTGAACACCGAGTCCGTTGAGCAAGCGAGCACATTGACTCCGAGCTTCTTGAACTCTTCGAAGCGATCGGAGAAGGCGATGATCTCGGTCGGGCAGACGAACGTGCTGAAGCACAGTCAAAGAAGTAAAAAGTGCACTTACAAGTCCAGCGGGTAGAAGAAGAGCACCGTGTAGTGGCCCTTGAAGTCCGAGAGCTTGACCTCCTTGAAGTCACCGTCGACGACCGCCTAAACACAAAGTTATGAAAGCGTCGATGCAAAATACCTGGGCGGTGAACTCGGGGGCGGGCTTGCCGATGAAAGCCTTGGACATCTGAAAAAGGAATATAAAAACTGAACGAGAATTTCAAGAAATGCGTGACGAAAAATGGCGCCCCAAAAAATGATGATGGCGGCAGGGAAGGAATCACCACTTTGCGGAAATTTCGGGAAACCGCCCGGCAAAGGCAATGCGCTGGGGGTGGAATGGGCACGGCGATAAGATAACAATTGCCATAGGCTAGGATTTTCGCAGCTTTTTTGCTAAGAGGTCACACAGGAATAGTTTGAAGTTTAAAGTGATGACGAAAAGGCTGAAAAGGAGAACAGACGCGCACGAGAAGCACAAAAAGCAAAGTGAGTCGAAGGAAAGAACCCATCGGAAATTTTTGATAAAAGAGAAAGGAAAAAGAATACCAATTTCTGAATGCTGCGATAAACCGCAAAACGGAGGCCGTTCGACCAAGCCATTTGGGGCGCGCTTTAAAAACTACCGTAATGCACGGCCATGCGTAAGGCGCGTATCGCTTCGTAGCAAACTCCTTTGGTTTGAAAAGTTTACAATTTTAGAAACTTTAATAATATTAAAAACGCTGGCGTCAAATTCGATCGCCGAATGAAGTGCTGTTGTCCTCGGAGCCTCCGGCGTCGCGAGAACCGCAAATTGGCACCCATCAGAAACGAGGGCCCGGCCACGAAAAGGCCTTAGAAAGTATGTTTTACGGTAAATGGAAGAAAATATCGAAAATTAATTTTTGAGGAGACTTTCGGGGAGGAAAGATTGATGGAAACGATTGCGAAGCTTAATTTTCGAAAAGCTTAGTTTTTGGGCTAGCCGTTTGCCTTGGACAAATCCTAACGCCTTCAAAATTCATGCCGGAAATCGTCAGGACAAAAGTTGAAGCTAAATAGCGCGGGGAATGGATTATTTGAACGTTTGCGAAGGTCTAATTAAAAAATCTTAGTTTTTACCCTCGCTGGCAGGCAGTTTGACTTTTGAAAACCCTAGTAACTGCGGAAATTATGGCAGAAGTTTTGAGCGTAAACTAGAAAGCTAAATACCGCGGGGATTGTATTGCTTGAACGTTCACGAAGGTCTAATTCTAGAAATATTCTTCGTTTTCAACCCCGCCGGGAAGCCGGTGGGCTTCGGAAAACCCGAAATTCCTCGAAATTCATGCCGGAAGTCTTGGGGACAAAATTTAAAGCTAAATATCGCGCGATTGCATCATTAGGACCGTAGAAAATTCGGGGTTTCGTTCCGTTACTGCCCACGAAATTGGGCTAGGCCCAAAAAAACTGGCGCCGTTTTTGGGGGCTGGCCGGTGAATCGCAGTGAAGGTCACTTCAACGAGCCGGGAGGAAGAGACCCAACAAGCGGTGGCTGCACTGGACAAATGAGGCAGTGGGCAGGTCGGGATGCACAGAGAATTCATTTTTTTAGCAGGAGGGGAAAAAGGGGAGCGCTGGAATGGATTGCCCGGGCGAGCAGGGTGGGAGAAAAAGAGGCAAGAGACAGTAGCAGCGCGCGCCGGTGGTCAGTTTGTTGTAGGATTAATCGATGTCGTCTTGTCGCAGCGGAAAAAGTAGTAAACACTGGCGTTCAAAAAGGCAACAAGACTAGTTAATTCGGTAGCCCTAATTACGCTGAAAATCCTTGCGCGACCGGCGGTTTCTGATGACAAGTTTCCGGGCTATTTTTCCCCCGTAATCTAGAATTTTACATTTTTAGAGTAAAAAAAAACTTCATTTTAGCCGCCAAGGACTGAAATTTACACCACAAACACGCGGAAAAACGTTTCCGGCGTGGACTTTGGTACCTTGCCGTCCAAACTTAAAATTTTGGTTGTCTAACAAAGTGAAATTCAAACTTTAGGGTTGGCTAGCTCTAATTAGGCTAAAAGTCTTGCGCGGGCGGTTCCTGATCAGCCTAATAACCAGTTTTTCCGGCCTATTTTCTACCCTGAATTAGAATTTCACATTGCTAGCGTATGAAACCTTAAGTTTTAGGCGCGATCTGCTTAAATTTAGGCCACAAATACACGGAAAAACGATGCCGGCGGTGACTTGTGTAGATTGCAGTCTAAATTTAACTCTTTTGTAGCCTAAAAACTAAATTCTTGCAGATTTCCAATTTGGGAGCATGGTGCGCGATTATCTAGGCGGGCATCGACATGTTGGGTACGTTCTACGCCCTATTTTCCGTGCAGATGGGCATACAAAGTGACAGGGGCGTTTTTTGCACTTTTCGAAGGTAGATTTTCGAAGGAATTTCACTGCTATTCGATGGTAGGCTCAGGAAATTAATTTTTAAGCTTGGTTTTCAGCTGATAATTGATTTTTAAAAGCTTACCGGGACTGTCATTGCTGTCTTGTCGCGCCGCTTATGGTTTTAGATTTTTGGCAGGCTAGCTAGTAGGCACGGAATATAGCGCGACCGACGGCTAGCACCCGCTTAAATACCAAGCGCTGAAATTGTAACCCGAGCGGCTGGTGGGGCCATCGAGTGTGCTGTGCGTAATTTGAGTGATGGCGAGGTAAATTTGCGTGAGAGCTGCGCAGAGAGTGAGAGAGATGAGTATCGCTAAACTACCCCAAATTTTGAGGGTAGTTTCTTGTATTTTAGCCCCCGGTTCTTTCGTAATATCGAGGGGGGTAGGGACGGGGCACCAACTTTTTTCCAGAGATCCAATTTTTCGATTATGAATAGCGGAAGTGTGTCTAAGCTTTGTTTTCCTATTCTTACACGTAAAAACTTTACAGTTTGCTATTGAAAATTAGAAAAAAATCGAGGATTTTAACCAAAATTGCCGTTATAACCAAAATTTCGACTAAAAAAATTTCCCTAGTTTTCATTGGTTTTCCACTTTAAATCCGGGTAACTTTGCTAAAAACTCTTTTAAAATATTTCCTATGGAGGTAACTTTACATTTTTGGACTTATAGGAAAAAGTTGGTCCCCCCGATATTGCAAAAGCACCTGGCCTCTCGCCGACTCACCGCATAGACGCCGGCCCGGTACATTCACGGTGTCGCTTCGATGGCTGAAGAATATCCTCTTTCCGGTGCGGGATGAAGAATCAATCTTGCGACGAAGAGACGTACAATTAGCAATTCCTCAGGTGCCCCGGTTGCCATGGCGGGTCGATTAAATGGCGTGGGCAAGCGGCTAATAACCCTCATTTTGTATTCGGATAGCCGAAATTGTGGTGTCAATTTATTCCAAAAACCCGCAATTCACAAAAATCACATAATTGGTTATTACCACGACAATTTGAGGGTTGTATCGACTACAAAACAAGGACTAATTAATGAAGAGGTATCCGTCTCGGTAAAGCTGTCAAAGTACAAACTGTATCAAAAAAAACGCCGAAAATCGTTAGAGCTTTTCGCCGCGAATGAAGCGGTCGAAACGGGTGGCGAAGGCGGCGAAGGAGAAATGCTTCTTGACTCGTTCGGGCCCTTCTTTTGCAGCTATTTCTCTAAAAAATTTAAATAAATCGCGGATCAAGCTTCTCATTAGTACTACTTACTGCAATTGTAAAATCGGTAAAAATTGCCTAGATGGCCAGTTTTTGCAATTTTAAGAATTTCGCCTTACGGGTTCTGAATAGCGCGTTTTTCTACCCCGGAGACTAGTTTATTTTCACTCAAAAGTGCTTGCCAGACTCTTAGAAGCACTAACGATGCGAATTCCTGGCGCCTTCTGACCAAAAACAGTTGTAACTTTTGAAACAGAGGCATTTTGAATTTTTGAAAATCGAGTCATAATCAGCAAAAAAATTGGGCACAAGGTGTGCTGAGGCTGTGCTACAGTTAGAAGCAAAAGCCGCTTACCGGATCCGTCTATCGAGGGCCACCGTCTTCATCGCCGATGCAAAATCGGCGGGCGACTGCTCGAGCAGGAACCCGGTTTTCGTGTCGTCGATCGATTCTTTCGGGCCTAGATTGGCGTAATTAGAGGTATCAATTTTGATCTGCTATTCAGATTGTCGAAAATCATTTTGTCGCAATTTCCTTTTTTCCGAATTTAAATGCGCAGAAATCCCAGTTTACGTTTGTTTCAGAATGTTTGAGATGAATAATCAAGGCGAAAAGGTATTGAAAATTCGTCAAGCCGAATTTCGCCAAATTGAATAGCAACAGAATGAAAATAACCCATAAATCTTACCTCCACTATTACACGCAATCACCGGTTTCCCGAAAAACATGGCCTCGACGGGCACGATGCCAAAGTGCTCGTTTTCCGGAGTGTAGACGACGGCTGCGCATTGTTTTAGAAGGTACAGCTTCTCGGCGTCGTCTAAAGTAAGGGTAGGTAGAAGCAGGCAAAAATCCTTACTAGGAGACTTCAGGAACACCACTTTTCCTGTGGGGATTTTCAGCTCTGCGGCCAGCTCGACCAGCTCGACGTAATGCGCCGGATTCTCCACGTTTTGCTGGTCGTATCCACCGGCGATGATGAGGGCTGTCTGCTCGAACATGGCCGGAGAGAGCTCGTATTGGAGCTTCGCTAAAAAACAGTTTTTTCTTGCTGCAAAGTATTGGTCCTTTGGCATTATCGGGGGGAGGGGGGGCGGCAACTTTTCGCCTATAAGTCCAGAAACGCCTAGAAACGTAATAGTAAGTGTTTAAATAGTGTTTGTTAGCAAAATTGACCTATATTTCAAATGGAAAGCCACTAAAATTCCGACAAAATTATAGAGGTGATATTTTGGTCGAAAAACCTATATTTTTGTATTTTTTAATAAACTTTTTAGAATTTTTACGTTTAGGAATCGTAAAAAAACCTGTTTAGACATATTTTATAACTTAATTGAATGTTTTTATTGGTTGTTAGTAGAATATAATTGTATTTAAACCAGAAAAATATCTTAAAACCTTTCCAAAGCTCAATATTTTGGTCAAAATAGCTCATTTTTCGTCGAAAAATCGATATTGTTGTTTTTTTAAAAGCAAAATTTGTAAAGTTTTTACGTTTGAGAAGAGTAAAAAAAACTGTTTAGAAACCTCTCTCCCTATTTCTATTAGAAAACTGGATCCTCCGAAAAAAGTTAGTCCCCCGATAATCGTAAAGCACCTAAGTATTCATAAAATTACTACTAACCGTACGCTCGAATCGCCAGCGCCACATTTTTCTTGCGCTCGTAGCGGTTCAGCGACAGGAACACGTGCTCGGCTTTTGGGAACTGGAAAACGTTAACTTTCTAGTCTACAAAAATACCTGGTCGACAGGGCTAGGCTCGAGCTTGCTGAGAAGGTCTGTGTTCAGCGATGGGTAGATGACGTCGAGGTGGCGGTCGGAAAAGCGTGGATTTTGGTTAATCCCGCATATAAAAACCACCTTTCAGCGACGGAAACGTCTGCCGGACGATTCCGGCAGTGTATTGGCTATTGACGCAGATACGATCGGCCTGGCCCGTCGTCCATTCTTCGAACGAGTCAATGACTTTTCTAAAAAATGGATCATTCTTCCGCATTTTTTTGTATAAGGCTAGAAATGTCTAATAACTTAATAGGCAGCATTTTAACTTTGTTTTTAGTAACACAAAACTATATAACAACGAGAGTAACTATCGAAAAACTTTGGCAAGTTTTGGAAAAGTCGAAATTTTGGAGTAAAACGGCCATTTATGGTAGAAAATAAATATTTTTTGTATTATTTATTACAGTTTGTAAAAATTTTTACGTTTAGGAATAGTAAATAACAGGCTAGAAACGCTTCTGCTATTGATGTTTGAAAATTTGGCTCCAAATAAAAAACCTTTTTATGTGATGCTCAAGAAAAAACGAACATTTAAAATTCTCGAAGAAAAACAAACCTGTAAAGTGACTTCAAGAGCGTTTCCCGTTTCGTGAGCAGCATGTCCGGGTAGTGACAGTAGAATACGCGACGGGCACGCGAGAACCATCTGAAGACGGGTAGACAAGCCGAGACCTGGAAAACGAAGAAATTTTCCTCCAAAAACCGCTGCTAGCCCACCTGGTCACAGACGATCACATCAAAGTCATTTCTGTAGCACAACACGAACGCCGCGAGAATCATGCGTATGTAGGCGCACAGTGCGTAGAAGCGCCCGAAGATGTCGCGAGGAAACAGCTTGATGACGTCGACGTCTAAAACAAGAGTTTTTGGCTCTTTTGAGTTTTTGGGAAGCCAAATTTTCACCTAGAATAGAATTTTTCTGTTATAACAAGTTTCGAAACTCTTATCTACTATTAATGAACGTGAAACTTCATAAAAACTATTAAAAATATAGAAAACAGTCGATTTTCGGACTAAAATTACAAATGAAAAGTTTTTATAAAGCTTTTTGAATAGTTTTCGACCACGGTTATAACTAATTCAAAAAAAGCTATCAAATACTCACTAGAAAGAAGCGAACCTATAGATTTAAAAAATAACAGAAAAATGTAAGTGAATCTCCTTACCCATATCAAGCGTTTCCCGGAAACAGTGGCCTCGATCATACTGCGCGGTGACGAGCTTCACCGTGTGTCCTTTTTTCTGGAAAAAACACAATTTTTCAGGCTTCTATCAGCCCTAACCTCCAGCGCTACTGCTGCATCAACTATCAGCCGCTCGGCGCCACCAATGCCCAAATCGGGGTGGAGGAACGTCACCCGCATCAGTTAGCTGCAAGATTCAATCTTTTTCCTGAACATTCTACAAGCGAAAAGCCACAGGTACAAATTGCTTTGCGTCAAAGGTGCGTCGAAGAACCAAATTCAAGCGTGATGAATCGAATAATTTATACTCCATCTTAAAATTCACAAGTACCGAAACAAAGAAGCAGCGTGCTGGCGAACAAGGCGGTCGTTTTTGATTAAATTATGCAGTCGCAAAACGGAGAAAAAACGCAAGGCAAAGGGAGTAGCGTCTGCACATTCTGTTGATGACCCAAAGAGAATCACAAAAAAAAAAGTATGGTAGGGGTGGCACACGCGTTTAGTCGAAGAATTCTACATTAAAACACATGTGCAGCCCCCATTATCAAAAATTTGCGACTAAATGAGTTTTGAAACGATCACAGGCGTCAAGTTTGAGGGGGGAAACCGCATCCGGGGGAAGGAAAAAGCGAAATAGCGGGGGTCTCGTCACAATGGTCGTCAGGGGAAAGTGGACACGGAAACGGCACGCGTATAGTACATCAAAAAAATCTCGGTGAAACTTCAAGGAACACATAGAGGCACACGAAATGCGGATTAAGTTGTGTGGAAAGACGAGGAGGTGGCTGGCGGGTTATTTCTTGTTCTGCAGCGCCGTCGAGAGCCATTCCATCGCCTCGTCGAGCCCGTCGCCCTTCGTGGCCGATGTTTTGAAGATCTGCAAAAAAAAAATAGGTAAAGAAGCCGCGGAACTTTCAGAAGCTCTAAAAATCAGGATCTCAAAATTTCCTGTTTCCGTAACTCATACAGATTTTGGCGCAAATCCAAACTTTAACGTTTTTGAAAACTCGTTCTGGCCTAGTTTTTTGCGCTGATGATGTAAAACGCAACCATAAATCCTGAAAACTTTCCTTTTTTTTCAGATGATCCTACTATATATAAAAAAATAGTGTCTGTGTGTTTGTGTGTGTGTGTGTGCCACTTTGCATGCAACTTCCGTCAGGGTGTCCGGAGGATATCTCGAGAGGGAAAGGGTTTTAAGCAACGTATGGTACGTCATTAGGTGCGTAATGGCGCTGAGATGACTGCACACACATCAGATTTTGCAAACTATGCTATTTTCGACATTAAAATTAAGTTTTTGTTAGAAAATGGAGCACCCACTTTGTTAGGAATCAATTAGCATATGCCGGAAATGGCGCGAGTCTATATAATGGGCGGAGGGAAAAATTTTCATTTTTTTTGTCATCGGAATTCGCGAGAGTTATGTAAAATGAAGCATATTATGACGCTAGACGGGGGCCAGGGTTGAAAAGGCGCGAAGCGGCTTTCCAACCCTGGTTTCCGATTAAAATTTGATCTTTCTTCCGAAAATGGCCATAAATGATGGGGTGACGGACACTTAATGAATTAATGAATTTCCGGAGTACCCATCGCTGATTTTGCCGGACTTGCCGAATGCCGGAATAACGGCTGAAGGGTTCAAAATTAATTTTTGTTATAAGAAATCGATTTTTGATTTCCGTGAATTGTGGTTACGTCTTTCGGAATCATCGCAAAAAAAATACCCCAGAAAAGTCTTCAAAGTCGACAAAAGTTCAGTTTCAATTTGCGCCAAAACCTGTATCGGTTTGTGAGCATGGCAATTTAGAGAACTGTAAAAAATACCTGGAAAGTTCGGTCGCGCAGCGCCTCCAATCCGAGAGCCTTGTGCACTTCAGCCGGCGTCAGACATCCGGGAACATCTCTGAATATTAAAATTAGTTATTCTCGGAGTGATTAGGCGGGTCAATTGAAGCGAAAACCGAAATTTCAACTCACTGCTTATTGGCCAGCACCGCCAGGATGGCACCTTGCAGTTCGTCTTCTTGAAGCATCGTCACAAGCTCTTGCCGCGAGATGCCGACCTAGAAGAAAGCATGCAAACCCAATAACCGTGTAAATACCCTTTCCCGGTCCACCGAATCGACCACGTAGATGATGGCGTCGGTGTTGGCGTAGTAGCATCGCCAGTAGGGTCGGATAGACGTCTGCCCGCCGAGATCCCAGACCTAAAGTATGCTTTGTAAAATGCAAGCTGAAAAAATTACCTGGAACTTCAGATTTTTATACTCCACTTGTTCGACGTTGAAGCCGATCGTAGGAATGGTGGTGACCACTTCTCCGACCTGAATAGAAGCAATTTTGACGAGGATTTTATTGAACCTGCAGTCTGTAGAGAATCGTCGTCTTGCCAGCACCGTCAAGCCCGAGGATTAGGATGCGCATTTCGCGCTGCCCGATCAGGCTGCGGAAATAGGATATGACGCCGCCCATGCTGAAAAAGAGTGGCGTTTCTAGGCACATAGTATGAAGTCAGAATACAAAAGCAGATAAATAATATGAAGAGCTGCCGAAAATTATTTGGCACGGTTGAAAAGCCTTTTGTACAGCACAAACCAACAGCATTTAGACTACTATTGCTTATAAAGGTTCTTTCGAATTATCGGGAAACCACATTTGTCTTTTTGCCATTCTCGGAACGTGAAAACTTTACAAATTATTATTACAAATCTCAAAAATATCGATTTGACGACCAAAAATGCGTCTTTTCAACAAATTTTTAGATGTTTTCTCAGTTGAAATATATTTTTGCCAAAATTCGAGAATGCTAAAGAAACAACTTTCGTGTTAATACAAAGCAACGACAAAACGGTAGCATACAAACCGCTCTAAAAACCTTGATCCCGTGAAAACAGTAGCAAAAAAGCACAAATTTCACCAAAATTCAACCGATCCAACGGCGCCTACCATTTTTGGGCTTCTACGGTAAAATCCTTTTTATTCAAACGCCAATCGCCAACAACAAAATCAACAAGTGCAAACATAACAGTGAATCGGATCTAGTCGCTCAACCAAAATATAATGAGCTTTTCTACAATCAACAATGAGTAAGCAGTGGGGGCAAGATTCATTTTATTCGGCCGCCTCGGCAGCGTCTCCGGCTTCAACTCTCGGCTTCTTCCCGTAGCGCAGCTTATTCTTGAACTTCTTCGGGTTGAGCCCGTATGCAGCCAGGCGTTGGTCGTCGATCTGCAACGCATCTGCCGGTGCGGCTCCCTTGCGCTTCCGGGTGCGCTTCTTTTTAGTGTCATTTTCCTAAATGCATTGAAGGCAAATCTTAAAAAGAGAGGGCCCCGGGGGGGGCCGCCGCGGCGGGGGGGGGGCCCGGGGAGGGGAGACATTCTCCTATCGATTGGCTATGCGTCCTGGTTTACCGTTGAAGCGGCGCCATTCGTAGCCTTCAGTGCGGTTTTTGGCGCTTTGGTTTTCTCCTGAATTTCACTATCTGATAATTCGGATTTCACTGACCTTGGCCTCAACTATGCCATCATTTCCGGCAGCTTCTTGCGCACTCTTTTCGGTCTTCTTCTTTTTCGTCTTGCTCTTCTTCGCGGCGTCCGTCTTTGCTTGGCCAGCCGCGCCGTTATTCTTGCGCGCATCATCAACATCGACCTGAAATGGAAATAATGAAAAACGCCTAGAAAAAGCCTACCCGTTCCTGGAGCTCCACGTCGACCTTTTGCTCAGTTTCCTCCAGCTTTTTCGTCTTTTTGCCGCCAAAGTCGGTGGCAAAGAGGCGCGCCTTTTTTTGCGTGTCCTGGGCTTTTCGCCTGTAGGCGTTCACGTCAAACTTTTCTTCGGCGTCTGTGCGGTAGGCGGTGGCCTAGAAACCGTGAATTTAATTGATTCAAACGATAAAAAACGAATCCCAGATTTGTTATATGTCTAAGAATGCCTAGTCTCTCCATAGGAGTATTTTATTCATGTTTTTAATGGAACTATCTTCCAAGTGAAAAAAAACTTTCCAAGAAATTAAAAAACTTTAAGTCGAAATTTGGGGGGGGGGGGGAATCGGTCATTTTCTGTCCAAAAAATCTAATTTTTTAGTTTTTAGTAGGATTTGTAAAGTGTTCACGGTTTCAAGGAAGCTAAAAAAGGATATTCCGTCGGCCAAATAACCAAATTACCTTTTTCACACTGGCCCAAGCATTTAGCTGACGATCGTCGGCATCCAGAATCTCATCGACTTGCAAGCCAAAATCGTTCGCGATCACTTGACGATAGTGGAAGCGCGTTCTTTGGTCTCCTAAAGCAGGAATAACAGAAAATAAATTCAAAAATTACCCAAAATATCCTCATAATCGAGGGCATAGTATTCATTGAAGTACTCCTCGAACGTCTTCTCCTTCGGGTTCCACAGCGGCTTCGCCCTGGAGACGGCCTCGGCGAACTGGGAGTTCCGCTTTTTCCGGCGACCCGAAGCTGGAATCGGGATCTAGCAAAAAACGCAAAAAAGATTACCATCCATACGCCCTCGGAATTTACTCTCTTCCTCTTCCTCTTGTTCATCGCCTTCAACGTCTGGATTAGCGGGTCCCGGCTTCTGCTTTAACGTTCCTAAAACAGGGATCCAAAAGATACAGTGCAAAATAGATACCCAATTGCACGTTATCCGGGTCGTCGCTTTCATCGCCGTCGAACTCGTCGTCAGACATGTCGGAGAATACGGGCTTTTCCAGGCCCTCGACGTTGTCGATCGCCTCCTCGTTGTCGTAGTAGTGCTGGTCGAAAACCTCCTGAAAATGATAATTTACGTTTTTTCGCATTATCGGGGGGAATAGCTTTTTCCCTAGGATCCGATTTTTTTACTATGACCAGCGGCAGCCCTTCTAATCGTTTTCTACTATTCCTAAACGTAAAAACTTTCGAAATTTTGATTTAAAACTATCAAAAATGTCGGTTTTTGACCAAAATTTCGGCTCTTTGACATTGTTTTAAAGCTTTTCAGATAGTTTTTCAACTTAAAAAGCTTGAAATATGTTAAAAAAACCGCTTTAGAGATCTCGATAGATACCTTCATTCTTCTATCATATTCAGCGGGGTCAAAATCGCCCTCCAAATCGTCAACGCTCAACGGGACGTCATCACCGGCGAGTCTGCGCAGCTTTGCCAGCTTCTTGTTGATTTCATCCTTAAAGTAATAATGATAATCAACCATTTCCTATTATACCTTTTTCATGCGCTTCATCTCGGCAATTTCCTTCTTTTTCTCATCTTTCTCCTGCTTCTTGCGCTCTCTGATCGTCTCGCGCTGGTCCTTGCGCGCCGTGTCCTTTTTTCGAATCGACTCGGCGACCGTGCGGGGGTATTGTTTGATCTAATGTACGTTAATTAACACTCAGGACTGGCCTACAAATTCTTGATCGGGCTCCTCGAAGCGGAAGTTGTACTTGGTCTCGTATTGCTCTTGCCGTTCCAGCTCCTCCTCGTCGTTTGCCACGTCGCAGATTTGGTCGTAAGTAGGTATTCTGAAGAACTTGAGGTTTTTAAAGGTTGATTTACGCTTCATCATCGCCACACTCGTAATCCTTGTTCAGGAGGTAGTCGCGAAGAAAGCGGTCTTGAGCGTCAATGTTTGGGTCGTTCCAGGCCTGTAAATGTTGATAAAAATAAAGTATAGCAATGCCATAATGTGGAAATTTCGAAATCCAGATAGTCAATCTGTCGAAATTTCGACAATCCAAATGTCGAAATTACGATCGCAAATCGTAAAATATAATGTTAGTGCCAAACTCCACTTTTAAAATCGATTTTTTTGAAGTTAAAAAGCCCAGCAACGGTCCTAGACCTTAGAAAAAGCACCTTTTTCAACGGCACCAGATCTTCTGCCCCCTCAATCGGCTCGTCCTCCTGCTTCTTCAGCCATTCGTAGAAATCGGCGTCCTCCTCCTCCTTCTGGCCTTTCGACTTTTCGCGCTTCACCAGCAGGTCACCATCCTCGCCTCCATCAGCCGCGCTCAACGCCTTTTTCAGTCTGAATTCAAGGATAATGCTTTTTAGTAGAAACCCCACTCTCTCTTTATCCGCTCCTGCTCCTCGTAGTAGCCCTCCGGCTTTGGGGCGTCGTCATCAATTTCATCGTCCTCATCGTCAAGCTTCCTAAAAAAGATATGATTTTACTATCTCGCCTCACCCCTCTTTTTCCAGCACCACTTTCCGCTCGTAATCGCGCAGATAGAGCTTCTCGTCCTTCGCCTTCGGCTTTTCCTTTTTTCTTCTTGTCCGGCGAGGCGTCCAATTTCTCCTAAAGGAAACCGTTAGGCTGATCGCGACCACTTCTACCTTGAAGAAAGTTCTCTTGGAGTCGTAGATTGTGCTGTTGTTGCTCTTCAGCGCGCCGAGGGTACGCAAGAAGTCCTTTTCGTCATCGGCCGTCCATTCCTAGCAAGTGAGGTGTAAATTGAGGGCTGAACTCACCGGTTCCGACTCGCTGGAGCTCTCCTCCTCTTCGCCAATGTCGTTGCCGTATTTGTCCTTCACTAAAAGGACCGGATTTTATTTTTTTTTTTTGAGGTAAATTACTTTTTTGCATCTCTTCCAGCCGTCTCCAGTTGTCGTAGCGCTCGGCGTAGGCTTCGTTGATTTTGAAGGAGCTGGAGGGCTTCTGGTCATCGCCGTCATCATCATCGAAGAGGTTCGGTTTACCCATCTGAAAAGCAGAAAAGTTGCAGCTGGAACGAAGCCGAAATATGCATAAAATGAAGAAAGGGTACGAAAATACAATTATAATCAGGGATTTCCGGTTCAGGAATGCGAAAAACCGTATAAAAGAAATTCCCAGACACTCCAGACACTTTTCTCTACTGATTCTCAAATATGGCTCCAGAAATCAACGAATTAGCTACAAAAGTAAAGTTCGATCCGCGGGAAAGCGTAAGTCTTGCTAAAAATACCCCCAAAAGGCCTATTTTTGCAGTGCACGTTCAACCCAAACCACGAGAAACAAATGGTGGAACTGGTGATCAAGAACGAGAGCAGCCAGCCGATCATCACCAAGCTCAAGTCGACCCGGCCCAAGCACTACAAGATGAAGCCGGTGTTCGCCCTGCTGAAACCCGGGGAGAAGAAGCCGGTGAAGCTCGTGTTCAAGGGGTTCCCGAAGAACGGCAGCTCCAAGCCGTCGGCCAAGGATCGCTTTTCGGTAGGTTTTCCAGGCTAAAGTTGTTTTGGTTCTGAGCTGTTAGCGGTGGGGGGACCAAATTTTTCCACGGTATGAAAATTTGTCAAAAAGGGTCAAAAATTTCAAATTTCAAATTTTTTTATCACTCTACTTGCAATTAGGCGCAACTAAAAACTATAAGGATACACTATATATTATCAAAAAGTGACATTAAACAAACAGGATTGCCCCCCCCCGCTAACAGTACAGAACCGTGATTTTTTGTTTTAGATCGTATATTCGGCGGCCCCGAATGCGATAAAGGACGGTGATGACCCGCGCGCGGCTTGGACCGATGAGCAGAACAAAAAGGTGGGGGGCGGGGGGAATTTGCTCCATCGAGAGTTTACCAACGCCTTCAGCTCATCTCGGCCCAGGGCATCTACAAAAAGGGCATCCGCATCAAGTACTTTGGCGTCAACGACAAAGAGCCGGATGTGCCGACGGGCAGCGAGTTGGTGATCGACAAGAACCAGCTGGCCAAGCTGCTGAAGGTGGGGCGGCTGAAAGCAACAGTAAAACTGTAAAAATCAGGAGAAGGCGAACAACAACCGCCCGCTGCCCCCGCCCACCCCGCCGCCAAACGCGACGACCAACAACAGCGGATCCGGCCGCCGTATTCCCAGCCGCTCTACGCCATCGGCGATTCCGCTTGAACCGCCGAAGGCCGGGGACCCCCTCTCGCAAGCAAACGGCCCCATCATTTTCCTGGTCTACAATCGGGTACGGGATACACTTGGCTGAAAACAAACGTTAAACTACGTTAAGATCCGCAGGGATACGCTTACTTTGTGGCCTCAAACTTGGGTTTAGCGGAGTTCAAGCTTGGCTTTAATTGGCCCTAGAGCACCCATAAGCTTCTATAGGCTTACCTTATAGACAGGCCTCATTAGCTTAAGCTGAGCTTAGAATTCGTTGAAACGAAGTTAGGCTCAGGTTTAGGCTGATCTTAGCTTTTACCTTACCTTAGGGATTTAAAAAACGTAGTTTGGAGTGTCTTGTAGCAAAAATATGCTTCAAAGGCTACTTTTAAAAGCAGCTAAACAGGACCTAAGCATAGGCCACGTTCAAAAAATCAAATAGTACGTCGCCAATTTTAGCAAGAAGTCGAGATCGAGGACGATGATGAAGAGGAGGACGGGGAAGAAGATGACGAAAAGGAGAAGACGCCCACCAAGAAGACGGAAAAATAGACCACCCTTACAATGTGCTTGTGATTAAATGAATAAAAATTTTAATTCTTGATGAAAAATGGGGGTTGAAAGGGATTTTTTAGCAAGATTGACAGCCAGTTCGATCCCCATCATTGGATTTGACGTAGAAAACGGCCAGAGCTCGCTTTCAGCGTGTCAATTGGAGCGATGTGTTGCCGCTCCAAATGCGTTACCCAATGAAAATCGTGAACGTTACGTTCTTTGGAAAGAAAGGGAACTTGGAATACTAAAGGGTGACTTTTGCCAAAAAAGGAGTATAAATCGGTATGTCGGAAATTGAGAAAATGAAGCTGATGCTCAGCGAGGAGGAGCCACAGGTCTTTCCAAGACTGTCAGAAAACGCTTGTATTTTCGAGAGGCTAAATTTTTATTGCGAACTTTCAGAAATTTTGCTATTTTCGAGCTAGGTATCGTTACGTACGGTATCGGTATTGACAAGCAATTTACAAAATTTATAGGAATTTTTGGTTCTTTCGCATTATCGGGGGGTCAACTTTTTTTTTCTTAGGATCCTTTTTTTCTAAAAGAAATAGCGGGAGTGCTTCCAAACTGTTTTCACTATTCACAAACGCAGCAACTTTGCAAATTTTCATAAAAAGCACAAAAATATCCGTTTTTCGATCAAAAATGGACGATTTTTCACCCAAAATTTTATTCAACAATTTGTTTTATTGTCTGTCAAATCGAAAGATAGTTCAGTTTTGCTAAAGACACCATTAAAATACTTACTATTACGTTACTAGGTATTTCTAGAGACTAAGAGAACGGTCTCCTTCCCCTCCGATAATGCCAAAGAACCAAGATTTTTTTAATTATGTAGTGTTTTGGGCGTACAAACTACTAGATGTTTTATGACTCGTTTAAACCTTTGAATTCCTCATTAAAACGATGGACATAATGGTTTTTATATATAAAAAAGCACAAACGACATTTTCACCCCTGGTCACGTAGGAAAATAGCTACGTGTCGCTCCTCTGCACGCACAACTGTCCACGGACGGTGTAATGCGTTTTTACCACGCTGAAAAACCCCCAATTTTGCCAGAAATCACGCTTTTTCTCTAGTCACAGTGGCGCTCCATAAGTGCGCAGCGCTATCACAACAGCTGGGGGCAGATGGGCGCGAGCCTGACCTTCGAATAGTTAGATTACGTTTAGACCTTACGTTCGGACGTCAGAACAAATTCGCTAATTCCGAAGCTTCTGGCAGCTTCACCATTACGAACCCATGACCTCGCCAGCGGAAAATAGCGAATTTTTGAAGCGTCGACGAAAGATGGATGTCGGCAAGGCACGGTTCCGGTATGCCGATCTGCCGTTTTCAAGCCAGGAAATCGTCTATAAACACTTGCTCTTCGACGAAAAGTCCATGTTTCGCGTGGGCTGCAAGGTAAGCTAAAGTTAAAAGAAGCAGACTCTCTGAATTTAGTTGCTAAAGCGCATCGTTCACCCGGCAGGCTGGGTCCCGCGGCAGGCCACTAGGATCAGGATAAACGAGTGCACGGTGGGTAAATGGTAGTCTCTAATTGTCGCTGGTAAAATAAAAGTTTGCAATTTTTTCGCCTAAAAATCTTTCTCTGTTGTTTTTTTTGCGTTGAATTTTTTCGCCTACTGGACAAGCGCTTCTTGAATCTCCTTGAAACACGAGATGGCTGCGGTAGAATTTCCACATGAACCTGATTTTAGCGACGCGAATAAAAAAATGGAATGCCGACATTTTCACCCCTGGTCACGAGGAAAATGGCTACGTGACGCTTCTCTGCACGCTCAACTGTCCACGGACGGTGTAATGCGTTTTTACCACGCTGAAAAATCCCCCAATTTTCCCAGAAATCACGCTTTTCTCTAGTTTTTTTTTGTTGGACTCAAATGTACTGTGCGCTTGCTAATTATACAAAGGCGGACATTTCTTTTTTGGTTGAAGCCCTGCAGCTCAAAGAGGGGCCAAGACGTAAAGGCTGCAATAAAGGCGCCTTGATTTTTCAGGGCGACTGGTATTTGTACGACGGTTTCGGCAATATGAGCTTTACCGTCCGCCGACAGGGCCCTGGTGATGATGACGGGTGGATCGTGACGTTGGCCTGGTATCGGTAGGTCTAAAAATAGTTTCTTTAACATAACGTTTAAAAGCTATACCCCTATGACTTTTCGCAAGTATTGCATCATTGGGTCCTTTCGCGTTATCGGGCGGGGCGATCAAAATTTTTTCTAAGGTTCACTTTTTCTAATAAAATAGAATAAGTGTTTTTTGTCTGTCTAAACTGTTTTTTTACTATTTCTAAGCGTAAAAACTTTATAAATTTAGATAAAAATTGGAAAAAATGGGTTTTTGACAGAAAAAATGAAGAATTTCGACCAAATTCGACCTAACTAACTAACCTAACAAAGAAAAAGACTTTTTATAATTTTTTAGCGTTTTTCTGCTTAAAATATGGTGAAATTTTGCTAAAAATACTAGGAAAACACTGATTATTACATTACTATACATTTCTGGACCCCTAGAAAAACTTGAACCCCCGATAATGCGTAAGAACCGAAGCTGAAAAGCTATAACTTTATCACATTTCGTAAGTATTTAGCGTTATAACAAATCCTTCTAAAATACGCCTCATTTTCCGCCAATTTCAGAAGAAATCGGCCGCGGGAGCTGTTCACACGCCCGGCGCGTCTGGTGATCGAGGTGCCCGCCGATCCGTGGGGGCTGATCGATCGACTATGTGCCCACGTACGCCCCAGATACGTTGGCGTACAGTCCGTTACGGTACGTACATTGGCGTGCTCTATAGTTTATACAATATACCGGTAATATTGCATATTATGCATATTTGTTTAGGAAAACTTTGCCGAAATCGCGAACCGGCTGCACCTGCTGCGGTGGAACGCGTATACCAGGGAGTTACATGGCGAGTTACCTGAACCGATATCTCTTTGCGGACACGCACCGCCGTAGGATTAGGCGTCGCGTGGGTCGCAACGCGTAAAACCCGCGACGCGACCGGCCTGTAGCGACCTACAGGCCCATAAACTCTTCAAAATTTCCAGGCAGTGTTTCGACAATCAGCGAGCAATATCGCAGAATGACAGATGTGCAGCACCGACCTCATAAGGTAAGTGATCTCGGTTCTTTAGGATTCCCGGGGGGGGAAAGTATTCCCGGGGGGGGAAACCAAATTTTTTTCGGCGAAAGCCTAGATTTTTGTATAAATTGCGGATGCGTTTCTAAATTGTTTTTAACTATTCCTGTGCATAAAAACTACACACATTTTAACCAAAAAAAATGTAAAAAATTAAAAATTAGGTCGAAAAATAGACCCAAAATGACCAAATTTTCGACTTTTTCAAACATTTTTCTAAATTTTTCTGAAAGTTATTCTGCTTTAAATATAGTTAAAACTTACTAAAAACAATTCGAAAACACTTTATATTTGATTACTAGGTCAACCGGGACCACCAGGAAAAAAATTGGTTTCCCCCCCCGGGAATACTTTCCCCCCCCGGGAATCCTAAAGAACCGTGATCTCTGCTAGCCTGCCTTCTTCCATTCCGAAATGGTCTCTGCTAGCCTGCCCCTTCCATTCCCAAATGATCTCTGCTAGCCTGCCCCTTCCATTCCCAAATGATCTCTGCTAGCCTGCCTGCCTCGATTCCTAAAAAAATAGCTGTTTAAACATGGAATTCACCTCAGGTGACGATCGAACTCTCCCGACTCGTGGGTCCGGCCTGGGATGCCGACGACATAGCGGCGATGATGACACCGGTAAAGGCTTCAGCGGCCCGAAAATCGACCCCTTCCATCGACTGGGTCTCGACAGCTACGCGACGCTCCAAATGACGGCGCGTTTCCCTTTTGATAGCCGCCAAAGACTGTCTTTTGGAACAACCTCTCGGTTCCATGCGGCATGTCGCGTCGGCGGGTTGTCTAAACCTAGTCGATGGAACGGGTCGATTTTCGGACTCTCTAATGCCTTAAAGAGAATGAATGACGTTAATGCGTTCAGATGCTGGCAGGGGAGCGGGTGATCGGTCTTAAAATTCGGGACGCGGAGCATGATGAGGCGCTGGCCCTGAGACTCGCCCACGTGCTGCTACGCGAGGCCCTCATCAAGGTGAGGGTTTTGATCAATTTTAAAGGTATATGAGAAAGTTTTCAGTGCTATGTGCTTAAAATACGACAGACTACAAAGTACAACAATTTTTAGAGCCCGCCGCGTGAAGGTACTAGGCGATTGGTGCATATTCGGTTTGTTTCGGCCGAAAATCGAAGGCTGAACAGTTCTGCGGATGGGGGCATTAATGTGAGTTCAAGCACTCTCTCCTCTCTCTCTCTCCCCTCTCTCTCTCCCTCGCTCGCTCTCTCTCGCTCTCTCTCTCTCTCTCTCTATCTCTCTATCTCTCGCTCTCTCTCTCTCACCCTTTCTTGAAACGTATTTTTTTTAGGACTACCGCGTTTCTCTGTTCATCAAGGCGTTCAAGCAGCTCGACCGGAAGACTATTCGGAATGCGGTGTTGATCATTGGGGAGCTGATGGTAAGTTGAATTACATGAATTTCTCGCTTTCTCTCTCTCTCTTTATCTCTCTCTCGCTCTCGCTCTCCCCCTCTCTCTCACTCTCTCCCCTCTCTCTCCCTCCCTCTCTCTCTCTGTCCCTCTCTCTCTTTTTCTCGCACAAATGCTCTCTCTTTATTTCGCTCTTTTTCACTCTGTCGCTCATTAGGTAAATTTCTCTCGTCCTCCTGGTTCCTCTCTCTCTCTCTCTCTCGCGCGTGCTCCCTCTTTCTCTCTCACCCGCACTTTCTCTCTTTCTCTCTCTCTCTCTCTCTCTCTCTCTCTCTCTCTCTCTCTCTCCCTCTCTCGTTCTCTCTCGCTCTCTCTCTTTTTCTCTTTCTCTGTCTCTCTTTCGCTTCCCCCCCCTCTCTCTCTCTCTCTCTCTCCAACATCATTTTTCAGGCCGGCATCGCCGTCGTGATCGGCCAAAACTTTGGCGGACCCGAGAATTGGCCACTTGTATGCAGCGCAGCCCACAAGGAGGGCTTCATCGTGCAGGGCTCCAACTGGTGGCTACTCTGGCCCGAAGATCCCCACTTTGTGAAGACGCACATCCCCAAGTTGAGGTGGAGCGGGGTGATGTACAAGGCAGGACAGATTGAGGCCGCTCAGGCCGCAGCGGGTATCTCTTTGTGATATCGATGGGAATTACGGTGCAATAAATTGGTTGGAGTTTCGAGAAGTATGTCCTGATAATTCGCTACGCATTCATAGGAGCGCGCTGAGCATGAATAACGGCTTCCAGGGTCTCTAAAGCTTGAGAATCGACCCCTTTCGTCGACTACCCCCTTTTTTCCCCTCCCCTGTCCTCTTTTTTTTTTCCCCAGTAAAATTAAAATATATTTCTTTTTTTTCAAAAAAAATTTTTAAAAAAAATATTTTTATCTTATTTTTTTTTTTTTTTTTTTTTTTTTTTTTTTTTTTTTTTTTTTTTTTTTTTTTTTTTTTTTTTTTTTTTTTTTTTTTTTTTTTTTTTTTTTTTTTTTTTTTTTTTTTTTTTTTTTTTTTTTTTTTTTTATAAATTTTAAAAATTTTTTTTTTTTTTTTTTTTTTTTTAATTTTTAATTATTTATACAACTTTTTTTTTTTTTTTTTTTTTTTTTTTTTTATTTTTTTAAATCTTTAATTAATAAAAATAAAAAAAAATTTTTTATTTTTTTTTTTTTCTTTTTTTTTTTTTTTTTTTTTTTTATTATTTTTTTTTTTTTTTTTTTTTTTTTTTTTTTTTCCTTTTATTTTTTTTTTTTTTTTTTTGTGAAAAAAAAAAAAAAAAGGGGGGGGTTTTTTTACACCCTGGATCTCGACAGTTACCCTTCACCCCTAACGACGCATAAATTCTGGTTTTAATTTAAAAAAAAAAAACAAACCCTTCCGAAAGGCCCTTTGTTGGTCAAAAAGGCTTTGAGAACGCTATGGTTTCTCTCGACTAAGCTTAGACAACTACGCGACACTCCAAAACACGCCTGCAACCGCATTAGATTTTCTATCACTTTCATTGTATGGGAGCCATAAAAAGGGAAAAACACGCGTCATTTGGGGTGTAGCGTAGCTGTCGAGACCTAGGCGAAGTATAGGTAGATTTTCCCCCTTCCCTGGCTCTTTGGGGCACGCCAGCAGAGATCATTTGGGAAAGGCAAAAACTGAAATTCTTGCTATTTCATGTTGCAGGAATCTTTTTTGTGCTCTTAACAGATAGCAGAATTTAGCACCTGACGCGCATTTTGGAACGTCCCGTAGCAGTCTAGACCTAGTCGATAGAAGGGGTAGATTTCAGGGTTTCCTAGTCCCTTTAGGGTCAGCCAGCAGGGATCGTTTGGGAAGGCGATCGTATCAAATGCAAAATCACATTTTGCGATGTCATTTGGAGCATTGCGTAGCTGTGTAGTGTCTAGAGCTAGTCGATAGAAGGATCGATTTTCGGGCCCATTCCGGTGGACGCCTCCATTATATTCAAAGCTACACGGGGAGAAGGGCCGTGTCTGTGTTGTCAACTTGTTTGTCCACCAACACCGTCCTGTGTGTTTTTGTGTTTATTGTGTTCTCGTGGAGACGTCCCCCCTGCCCGCCACATCGACCCGCCACCTCCACGTTTCGCCATGTGCTTTTCGTTTTGAATCGCCCTATATTTATTATTTTCCTATTGTAACTTAATAAAAAAATGTAGCGACTTTTTAAGAAGCGCGCAAGATTTAACTATAAAACACGATTTTATCGCAAAATAATTTGTTAAAATTTTCACTGATTAAGCTAGATATTTTGGGCTGAATTTGGCTATATTGTTTAAGAAAACCAGTTCAAACTAAGTAATAATTTGGCTTTTTAAGTAGCTGTAACCAGTTTACGTTTATTTTAGGGCTTTAACAGCTTAAAAACGTATGTTAAGCCGTCTTACCCCGTGAAATTAGGCAGCTGGAAGGTATACCTATTTAATAAAGCCTTATTCTATACTATTATCTTTTATTTTATTACGTATTTTAGACCTTTAAGCTGAGGTTTTGCTAAGAAAATACTGTGTTTTCCCGAAAAAAGCTTCTAAAATTATCTTAAGCCTATTTTTCCTTCTTTTCTCGCAAAAGTCGTACTTTCCCCCAATAAACCCTTATCATATTTGCTTGGGCTTATCATCGGCTTTTGCCCTCGCAAATGACTAGAGCAATTTTTTTTAATTTTGGTGGCGCGCCGCGGCCGGCGGTGTTAACCAACCCCCTTTCCCGCGCGCCCCGGTTTTTCCCCCTCTTCAGACCAATTTTCTGTCGCAAGAAAAGCGTGCCGGTGCCGCGGCTGCCGAACTTTGCGCAAAAACCCGATATCTCACGTTTTTCGGGCGCCTTTTCTTTTGTTAAAAGAATTTTTGAAAATTATCGACTTGTTTTAAGTTATTAAAACGATATTGCCAAGTCCCAAACAAAACTGACAAGCATAAAGTACAATTTAGAGTTTAAAAATCCCGAAAATCGTCCCTTAATCGGATTTGCAAGAAAAACAGTTGGCTGGGCGCGATGACTAATCCTATATAGCGGTTGCCCCAAATCGAATAGAAAAATATTTTATTGCATCCGGCTAGCCGCGGCATGAATTGCCGTCCATTTTTTCGCAATTTCGTCCATTGCTAGTTTTTTTCGAAGCACTTTATATCCAGGGCATATTAATTTTATACGTATACCACGCCCAAAAACCCGCTTCGCGGGCCTTGGGCGCTGGAATGCGGCCTTTGCATGAAAAGTTCGACTTTCTGATAGTTCGGGTCCTTCGGACCCCTTTCCCTGTCCCGACCAAACTCGCGAGTGCAACTTGCAACAATGAGGAAATTTCTATTTTTCACATTATGCAAATTGGTCCTCCCGGACCCCAAAAATGAATAAAATCGCCTTTAACTTTGTAAAATTGTATTTTATCGGAATTCTGAAAACACCATCGGATAGAGGAGGGTCGATTCCCCCGAGTGACGAAAAATGGGGGCGTTTTGGGCACGGGAAGGCCCTCAAATCGGGCCTCGAAACTGACCTCCGCACACACACAGACAAAGATACGCGACCAAATTATATAAGGTAGGATAAATCGCAATTAGCATGCAGATCTCGCGTAAATCTGCCGTTTTCATGTTTTTTGGAGGTGAAATTAGCGAATAAAAATACATAATAAAGAAAATGAGCCCTCCTTGTTTAAAAGTCGCGAGCGCTTTTCGAGAGCTTTCGATAGAGACCTAAACGGTGAAAATCGGACACGACTGCGTGTCGCTAGAGGGGTGTGCTTTTTTTTGGGACACCCTGTATTTAGTTTCAAAAAGCATTATAAGATTCAATCAGAACCAATTTCCGCGTTTCCGAAACGTTCTCCGCTAGCCTGCCGCGAAACTCCAGCTAGAAAGAAGGATTGACCCTTGCACCGGCGCGCCGACCTCACTTTGAACGACGCTCTTTTCATGGCGTAACCGATTGCGTGGTCTTGGCTTGTAAATAACCACAATATAGTCAATTTGTATCTTTTATAAACACTTATAAGGCCGGAATTTGGGCCCAGGAAACTTGGTTGTGGCTTGGAAAGGCTTTGAACGCATTAAAATAAGGTTTTGGGTGTAAAAATGGTTAAACAAGTTAAAAACAAATTAGTTTATAAGTTTTATTTCCGTTAATCCTTTTCGGATTTTTATATTCGTTGAATTTTGACAATCTCTTGCCAACAATCGATTCAGAACACGATGCCCGGTCATAAACGGATCAAGAAGAAGGTCGTTTTTTTGGGAGAATCAGGTGGGTTGGAGTGTAATTTTTCTTAGTTTTTAGTCGGTTTTAATGGCTTCAAAATTTATACTTTGAAGGAGTAGGGAAGACGTCGATATTGTTACGGTACGATGGGCGCGGTTTTGACACGAAGCAGACGAGCACGCTGGGAGCGAATTATATCATTTGTAATATGTGAGTTTCTTTCTTTCTTTCTCTCTCTCTCGCTCTCTTCCTCTTTCTCTCTCCTCTCTCCCTCTCTCTCTCGCTCTCTCTCTCTCTCTCTCTCTCTCCCTCTCCCTCTCTCTAGCGCTCTCTCTCTCTCGCTCTCTCTCTCTGTATCACTCTCTTCCTTTTTAGCACTCTTTTTAGCCCGATCGGCTCGACGACAGTGGAGTTACAGCTCTGGGATACGGCCGGCCAGGAGCGGTTTCGATCTTTGGTAGGCCAATAGCAGCTAAAGATTTGAGTCAGTCAAACTAGCAGAGATTCTTTGGGAAACGTCAGACAGGAGCAACTAGCCGAGATCTTTTAGGAGGGGTGTGGGAAGGGCATGCCAGCAGAGATTCTTTAAGGAATTTTCCTCAAGATTTCCGCTAAATCTCCAGATTCCAGGTAAAAAACTATCTCCGAGGTGCGGATTATGCTATCATCGTCTACGATATCACCAGCAGGGACAGCTTTGAGAAATTGCAGTCGTGGATAGATTGTAAGTGCGAGTATGGGCAGGCTAGCAGAGATCATTTGGGAATGGAAGGGGCAGGCTAGCAGAGATCATTTGGGAATGGAAGGGGCAGGCTAGCAGAGATCATTTGGGAATGGAAGGGGCAGGCTAGCAGAGATCATTTGGGAATGGGAGGGGCAGGCTAGCAGAGATCATTTGGGAATGGGAGGGGCAGGCTAGCAGAGATCATTTGAGAGCTTTTCAGTTGTGCAACGCGCTGATGTAGATGAGCCGATTAAAATCGTGCTGATGGGGAACAAGACGGACTTGGAATCACAGCGAGCAATCAGGCCCGAGAAAATCGCCAAGCTTGCCTCGCTGATTGAAGCGGTGAGAGAGAGACAGAGAGAGAGAGAGAGAGAGGGAGAGAGAGAGGGAGAGAGAGGGAGTGAGAGAGATTCTAGTACCAATTTCTCTATTTCCAGAGCTACTTCGAGACATCAGCGGCAAATAATGTCGGAATCGAGGACGCCTTCTTTCAAATAGCCTCCAAAATTGCGCTACAAGGCCCGGGAAGGAAGCCCAGCTACCTCGTCGAGTAAGTGGGTTCAGAGGGCAAGCTAGCAGAGATCCTTTGAGAATTGTCAGCACTAATCGCCAAAATTTCGACGAGGCAGGCTAGCAGAGATTCTTTAGGAATTTTGATCAGGGCAGTATAGCAGAGGTATTTTGGCGCTTATCGGGGCATGCTAGCAGAGGTTCTTTAGGAAAATTCGGCTATTATGTCCCTTTACCCCATAATTCTTGCAGTTCGGTGACGCTGAACGAGACGGGCGGCGAGTCGAAGCGGGGTGGTTGTTGTGGGTGAAAAAAACGAAAAATGTTGTTATTTTTGTTGTATAAGTGTAATATTTTAATGGTTCGCATTCAAATGTACATATACGGTTTTATCTACGGGATTTTAAGCAAAAGTGAATAAATTTATTCTCCTAATACCCCGGATACCTTTTGCAGACATACCAGGGCAATACTTTTGACGGGTCTCGGACACGCCAGTAGCCTAAATCGGAGCAGCTGATCTCGGAGGTGATCTGGAAAAAAAGTTTTAGTGTTTTAAAATTGGGGTTTTCAGAGGGGCATATAAGTGCTAAAAATCGACCCCATGCGTCCACTAGGTCTCGACAGCTTCTGGAAAAGCTAAAAGACAGGCATATCTGCCTCGTGTCTGTCTGTATCTCTCCGTCCTAAGCTCTCTCTCTCTCTCTCTCTCTCTCTCTCTCTCTCTCTCTCTCTCTCCTCTCTCTTCCCCTCCTAAGCCCCCCCCCTCCTGTACCTCCTCCCTCTCTCTCTCTCTCTCTCTCTCTCATCTCTCTCTCTCTCTCTCGCTTTCTTTCTGTATCTCTCCGTCCTAAGCTCTCCCTCTTTCTCTCTCTCTCTCTCTCTCTCGCCCTGTCTCTCTTGTGACATTTCTCTATCTATCGCATTCTAATCCTCTAATCCTGGTAAGTTGGTTTAGAAAGACATCCTTCCAATTTTTTCCAAGCGTAATTTGGAGCGCTGCGTAGCTGTCTAGACCTAGTCGGTGGGAAGGGTCGATTCTAGCAGTTTCCGGACCCTTACAAAGCGAGACCAGCAGAAAACATCAGTTAAATTGCTAAGATTTTCCCAAAATAGCTGATTAACGATATTTTTAAAGGAACTAGGAAGATGCAGAACTCGATTTCTATCGACTAGGTCTCAAGTCGACTCTCGACAACTACGTTACACTCCAAAAGACGATCCAAGCTAACCTTAATTTTTGCAAAGCCCTCTTTAAAAACCCTTAGACAAGTGTTATTTGGAGTGTCGCGTAGCTATCTAGGCCTAGTCGATTAGGTGGTAGGTAGATTCTGGCGCTACCTGGTCCCTTTAAACACCTAAACCCACCGAAAGTGCCCCGGTCTTCGGGTCGCCATGGCCGTAGAGTTTGTCAAAGTTGAAGGGCGTCCCGTCGGTCCACGTCCACACGTTGTTCATCAGACCTGAAGGACGGATTTCAAAAGCCGCTTCAAAACTGCAATTTCAACCCTCTTAAAGGGGGCGGCAAGGCATCACTATGGATTTTTTGCTCCCATATTTATCCAAAAATCTGCCTTGTCCGTTCCTTTAATTCGATCGTGCCAGGACTCACCTCCAATCCACCCCACCGACCAGTAAGGGGCGCTTCTCGAACAGCTGTTCGCGTAGCTGAGCGTCAGACCTGGAATTTGGTCCGTATAAATCTCTCTCTCTCTCTCTCTCTCTCTTGCTCTCTCTCTCATTCTCTCTCTCTCTCGCTCACCAATAATATAGCTGCTTTCAGCCAAAGAGTGCACAGATGCTAAATGCCCGCCCAGCCGTTGGCATGTCGCTTCGGAATCGTAGAACGTGGAGTTGGTACCAACCTGAAACGAGAGAAAATTGGAGAGAGAGAAAGGGAGAGAGAAAGAGAGGGGGGTGGAGAGAGAGAGCGATACTCACCCAGTAACAAGCGTTGCTAGCAGCAAAGTAGCTCCATCCGGCTGGGCATTGTAGGGTGGGAGACACTAAAAACGGGTTGGAACCTGGCAGAGATTCTTTCGGAAATTGCCATTCTCTAGGGCCTGCTAGCAGAGATCATTTAGGATAGACAAAGAATTTGGGAATTGAGGGGCAGGCTAGCAGAGACCATTTGGGAAATTTAGGCTCTGGCAGGCTAGCAGAGATCCTTTGGGGCGAGATATTTGGAGTCTGGCAGGCTAGCAGAGATTATTTGGGAATGGAAGGGGCAGGCTAGCAGAGATCATTTGGGAATGGAAGGGGCAGGCTAGCAGAGATCATTTGGGACTGGAAGGGGCAGGCTAGCAGAGATCATTTGGGAATGGAAGGGGCAGGCTAGCAGAGATCATTTGGGAATGGAAGGGGCAGGCTAGCAGAGATCATTTGGGAATGGAAGGGGCAGGCTAGCAGAGAATTTTTAGGAAATTAAACCTTACCGGTCGGTACAGTATTCCTAGCCAAACAAATCGAGGGGAGCGGCTGATTGCAGTCCGTGGTATACCATTGACGACTGTCGGTCTGGATGGCCACGCAGTTGTCGCTGAGCGGTTGGACTAAAGGGGCGGTAAAGGCATATAAAAAAGTAAATGAAGGGGCAAGCTAGCAGAGACCATTGAGGAAAAGAGCACTCACTTGGCGCCCAATTCTGATAGGTCCACGCGCTGCCATCGACATTGTAAAACGTCAGATTGGCGCCGTACCGCATCGCACCCAGGAAAAATCGTTGGAAGGCGCCGGCTGGAAAAAAATGGGTGGCTTTGAAGCCCCTTTAAAATTGACAGTAGCCAAACTATTTTAAAAATGGATAAGAGGACTACTGTATTCTTACCTGCCCCTTGCTGCGTGACATCGGTATTATCGAAGGCGTTGTGAACGGAAACGAGGTGTCCTCCACGCTGGACACAGGCAGATTCGGCTTGCGAGAAAGTGGCTAAAATAGAGAATTCCCAAAGTGTCTCTGCTAGCTTGCCCAGCTTTTTAAAGGACCTGACAAATAAATAACGTCGTCAGTGACAAATAAATAACAAGCATGAAAAAGAACATTTTAACCATTTTTCGAATTTAAGTTGCCCGTAAAGCATGAGAATGGACCCTTCTATCGACTAGGTCTAGATAGCTACACGACACTCCAAAGAACGCATTCAGGTATGTGGATTTTTGCGACGGCCAAATTTACAAAAAACCGCTAAAAAAGGACGAGGCCGCGTAATTTGGAGCGTAGTGTAGCTGTCGAGTCTTAGTATATGCTTGGTCGATCCTAGAGCTTACGGGTCCCTTTAAAAACTAAAGTTTTCCAAGATTTATTTTGCGATTTCGATAAAAAAATTTGATTTTTCCCTTTAAAGGCGTAAGCAAACGCGAGAATCTACTCCTTCGATCGACTAGGTCTCGACAACTACGTGACACTCCAAATGACAGGCAATCGGCTCGTCGAGTTCTGCTCAAGTTACGTTTTTATGTTTCAAGAAATCATGAAATCATATTATCAAGCAGAATCTGGAGCGCCGCGTGGCTGTCTGGACCTAGTCGATCAATAGGGTAGATTTTCAAGCTTTCCAGCCCCTTTAAAACGTCAAAATACCTTCAAAAAAGCTACAAATTACAACAAGCACGCCAAGACCCACCAGACGCCTGCAAATACACGCATCCGCCCAGCTGCTGATCATACAGCCCACCCGCTTGGCACTGGGCCAGGGTTACGGTGGCCAGGGCACCGAATAGCAAGGCTTTTCGCAGCATTTCGGCTTTGGAACAGAAATGGTTCTTCGGGTTTTTGAGGTGGGCTTTTCAAGACGCGGCTTATCAGCCGCCGAGAAACACGGGGGCGCATTTGTAAGCGTTTCCGAAGCCGAGTCATCCGGCCTCACGCGAACCTCATAAAAGCGCACCCAGAATCTGCCTTTTTTGGCTCTGTCTGATTTGATGTTAGTTTGATGCCGATTTGATACGTATTTTGAGAGCTGTAAAATGTGATCGATGCTGGCGCCGAAAATAGAGATATTTGTTGGTAAGCATCGATTTTTGAGGAATTTTTTAAAAAAGTCAGGAGCCCGAAGGTCCCAATTTTTTAAGAAAACAACATTAAATTATGATCCGTGTTCCGAAGTTTGCTTGTTTTTGCCATAGTTAATTTATTTGACATTATTTTGAGCTCAAATTAAAATTCTTCTCATATTTTTTGAGGCTCCATCGAATGGTCTAAAATAAATATTCTAAAAATATCGAAAATGTCGAAAATAACTTTGCACCCCAGGCTGTTATGCGGAAACTAAATTTTAATTGTTTTTTTTGCGGCAACTATTTAATATTAAGGTAGCATGAGCTGAAATTCAAACTATTCGGATATTTTTTGGGGCTCTATCAAATGGTTTCTTCAAAACAACGGCAAAATGTTGCAAATACGCAAAATTACCTTGGATCCACTCGTATTGCTAGATTTTCTGCTACATTTTTACATTTTTTAGTTTTCAGCATTATTCTGTTAAGGTCAGGGTCAAATTTCGACCTTAAAGGGCAATTTTTAGGCATTTTCCTAGTTTGAAAAAGTTTTTTATTTTCAAGGTTTTGCAAACTTTTTGGCTGCCTTCTAAATTTGTTGGCAAGGTGTTATCACTTTATTTCAACGGAATAAACGGAAGTACGGTACCGGTAGGGGGAATGTCACAAGCAATTCATGAATACATCCGTAAAAATAATTTTAAAGTGGCCCGGCAGTTGAAGGAGCGACTTTTCTTAGGTCCTGCCATCTAAACTTCGACTTCCAGGCCCCTTTAAAATAAAAAATTCTATTAATACTTTTTAAGTAGTACAGTAACACAAAGGCAAGGCTTACTGTAAAGTGTTTTTACTCAGGCTGGCGTTTTAGAATGGGACCAAGCCTATCTTGTGCAGAATTTTTCGCTGATTCCGAATCTGGTTTCCAAATTTGCTGCCGATCTTTATTTAAAAGTTATTCAACATTTATACTAAAAAAAATGACGTAATCTGGATTTTTTGCGTTATTTTTTAAGTTGTCGTCACCTCCGACGTTAAAACTGGCTCGGTAACGGTTTTAGAGGTCAAAGCACGATTTTATGCAAAAAATCAGGTGTTTTTGTGCAAAAAGCAAAAGAAATTGTGCAGGGCGGGGATCGAACCGCCGCCCTGTGCCTGGCAAGCGAACAGCTTACCAATGCACCATGGTGCCAACTGAGAACGGGGCTTCGGGAGGGTAGATAAGGGGCACAACAATACCTGGGCCGAGGCAGGGAATAGTGGGCCAGCATCCGAATTTATGCCATTTTTAAGCTTAATTTAGACCCAAAATGTCTTTTTAACGCGAAGTCCGCAGCAAATTTGGAAAACGGATTCCGAATCAGCAAAAAATTCTGAACAAAATAGGCTTCGTCCCATCCTAAAACGCCAGCCTGAGTAAAAACACTTTACAGTTAGAAATCACAAAAAACGCGTGAAAGTTTCAAAAAATTTAATAGCTAGTAAACGAGATGAGATCTTCGAGGTCGACTTTCTCCCATGGCACCTCAAATTCGAGGGGGCGGCTGAAGCGGATCTCCTTGATTGTGCCGCTCTTACGATATACCTGGAAATTGTGCATTAAATGGGGTATCAAGCCCGAAAATCGACTCCTCGATCGACACGGTCTCGACAGCTACGCGTCAATCCCAATGACGCGCTTGTTTGATTTTTGCACCCATCGAGAGATGATAACCCAATTGCGACCGAATGCATAACTTGCAGTGTCGCGTAGTTGTCCGGACCTAGTCGATGGAAGGAGGTCGATTCTAGCCTTAATAGCCCTTAGAAACATACAGCCGCTTTTCCAATGGCCCAGAGGGTCCCGTCACGATCTACCGTAAGCCCGTGCACCGGCAGCTCGTTCCGGATACGGTAGAGTAAGTAATGGCCTTTTTCTGGAAATAAAGAATAGAGAGCGAGAGAGAGAGGGAGAGTGAGGGAGAGAGAGCGAGAGAGAGAGAGAGAGATAGAAGTGCGAGAGCGGAGACTGAGAGAGAGCATGAGAACGAGAGACAGAGAGAGAGAGAGAGAGAGAGAGAGAAACTTACGCGCCAAAATTCCAACCATACTCCCGTCTTCCCTAAGCATCCACAGCACCTTCGCACAAGCCGCAATTTCAACGACGTTTTGGAGTGAAATCTCTTCGATCACCACCTCGCGCCAGTCTGGAAATTCTGGATTCAAAGGAGCGCAATATCAGGAAAAATCGCTATAAACTTCCTAAAGAATCCCTGCTAGCCTTTTGCCACATCCTGACCCACCAATTTTATGTACATCCGCCGGATTGGCGCATTCTCTCAACAACAATCGATGGCATTTCGTGACCGCCCAGACACGACTCGGCGACGAAATGCACAGCAGCTCGATGGGCCACTCGGAGGGGAGCTGGAATTTTGCATACTTTTGGACCATAACGCGCAAGTTCACTCTCATTAATGCGTCTATGGCATATAGGGGATTGGCTACTTGCCAAACGTTAAAATTCTGACTCGAAATTTGGCCTATCGTGTCCCTTTAAAACGCACATGAGTCCATTCGATGCCTTGCGGAAGTAGTCGAGTACATCCTAGTCTCACCAACACCTCGCCGGACTTGGTGACCAGCCAGACGAGGGGCTAAAAACGATTGTTTTTCCTCCCTTTCTATCACCCGCTCTCTCACTATCTCTGTCTCTCTCTCCCGCTCACCACCTCTCCCTCGTTCTCTCTCTATCTCTCCCTCTATCTCTCTAGTCTCTCTCTCTCTGTCTGCCTCTCTCTCTTTCTCTTGCACTCTTTCTCCCACTCCTCCCCCTGCACTATCTCTATCTTTTTCTCATGCTTTAGCTCTCGCATTCTTTCTCGCAATCTTTCTCTTTCTCTCTCTCTCTCTATCTATCTCTGTCCCTCCATCTCGCTAGTCTCTCTCTTTCGCTCTCTCTCTCTCTCGCCCCATACCGAGATGTTATCCATTGAAACATGAACACTAGCCGCAGCGGGAGCATCTACTCGAATCCACGGTCCAGCCGTCTCGAAAGCTCTCTCGCGCTGCCAGTACCTTCTGCGAGCATTTCCCTAGAATTTTTTTTGTTAGCACTTTCTCTCTATCACTCGCTCTTTCGCTCTCTCTCTCCCTCTCTCTCTCTCTCTCTCTCTCTCTCTCTCTCTCTCTCTCTCTTTTCTCTCTCTCTCACCTTTTTCTCATCAATCCCCCACTTTCCATCCAACGCAGTCCCGTAATCCCAGTCCGCCACCATCCGCCACTCCGGATCCGACCACGCCCAACCGCGCGCCAGTCTAAACTCGCCATTTCTATCACCTGCTCTAGATTTCACACTCCCTTTCGACCCCTGAACTCCACCAACTTCATGGTCTTCTCCTTGTGCCGTCCATCCAAATCTGACCACGCGTAGACCCCGCCAGTTTTCCCCTCAAACGGGATGAAGCCGCGAAAGAGGGCGTGTTTTTGATATTCCACTGAAAAGTTACGTTCTCAAAGGGTCTTTGCAAGTTTGCCTTCAAATTTGAAATTCCCTTTAGTTCCGCCAGAAATCTCCAAGAACCCTCTCAAGAGTTTGCTGTTTTTCCCAAAGAATCTCTGCTAGCCTGCCTTACCTATCGTCTCGAGCTCAGCATCGTACTGTCGATAGAAATATTCGGCCTCCTCATCAAGTGGATCGTACTTTGCGTCAAGGGCGTAGGCGTATCCTCCCTAGATTTCATGCCGTAATTGGATAGGCAGAGAAAGAAAGCGAGAGAGAGAGAGAGAGAGAGACAGCCAAAGCACGAAAAGTCACCTTTGTAACGGCCCAAACGATGCGCTCAGCCCCGGCTGATATCCGATGAAAATGGCCGGGGACGAGTAGCGCTGGAGCGGCTGAGAGAGGAACGGGAACTTGCTAAAAAACACGATAAAATCTAGAGCTGATGAAGTTCTTACCGTATTGTTCTTATCGGCCCGCATCTGCGAAATAATGTGACATCGGATGGTTCCATCAGAGAGTAGAGAAAATGCCCATTGACTACGACGATCGCGGGGGAGGAGGACGGCTGAACGGCGGATTTCCTGGAATTTAGAGGCTAACGAGCGGAGATCAACGGGAAGTCAAGAGTGAGAGAGAGAGAGAGAGAGAGAGAGAGAGAGAGAGAGAGAGCGAGAGAGAGAGAGCGAGAGAGAGAGCTAGTGAACTATCCTGAGAAATCTTAAAACTTTGCAGAATCGTACCTTCTCAATCATCTGAACCCATTGATCTCGTTCATCATCCGTTCCCAACCCGATCAGCACGATCGATTCTGCAGACAGCGGTCGGGGCTGGATACAGAAAACCGAACGAGACTTTCCGGACAACGGATAGACGGAGCCGATCTGAATTTCGGGTTGAAAACTTGTAGACTAAAGGGACCAAAAAGCGCCAGAATCGACCCCTCCCATCGACTAGCTCTCGACAGCTTTACGACCCTGCTAACCACACACGTCAATAGAATTTAAACGCGCCAAAAACCGTAATTTGGGGCAAAAAATGGACGTTCTACGTGTCATTTGGAGCCTCGCGTAGCTGTCTAGACCCCCTTGCTGGGAGGGGTAGATTGGCCAAGTTGTCTCTGCCTTTAAAACACCCACATCTTCCATAGCCCTCCTGAAAACGGTGCCTCGCTTCAGCGTCACATGGATCTCGGCGTCGTTCATCTGGAGGGTGCCCTCCGACCAGTTCAGAAGGCCTGAAAAAATTTTTTGATTATCGCGTCTTTCTCACCTCTCTCTCCCTCTCTCTCTCTCTCTCTCTCTCTCTCTCTCTCTCTCTCTCTCTCGCTCTCTTTCTCACCTGTACTCGCCAGAATTGCCGTAATTTTGGCCTCTTTCGTCCATTCCATGCCATTTCTTTCGGGGGCCGAGTGTTCTGGCCCTTCAGTCGATTCTTGGAATACTCCCATACATCGCTCTTCAGCCATTTTTAGTCGCATTAGAATCTGGAAAGATTTCTGGCTTTTTTAAGAGCATGGAACGCCAAAACAATCCTGTTTCAGGGGGCTAAAAGTGCGGTTTCTCAACTGTAATTTGGCGCGTCGCGTAGCTGTCGACACTCAATCTACAGGATGAGTCGATTCTCAGCAGTTTTGATTAGAGATGTTAAGAATCAATTAACAATCAAGATTATTTGCATACAATGGCACAATATTATTTGATTTGGATCGGGCTGAGCGCATCCTACTATATATAAAAAAATAGTGTTTGTGTGTTTGTGTGTGTGTGTGTGCCACTTTGCATCCACTTCCGTCTGTCTGTCCGGAGGATATCTCAAGAAGGGACGGGTATTAGGCTACGTATGATACGTCATTAGGTGCGTAATGGTCTAGGGATGACTGCACACTTATCAGATTTTTAAAAATTAGCTATTTTCGCTATTAAATTTAGGTTTTTGTAAAAACCTCTTTGTTAGGAATAATTAGCATAGACCGGAAGTGGGCCGTCGCCTATATAAAGAGGCAGAAAGGGTTGTTTTTCATTTTTTTGTCTTCTGAATGGAGGATAATTATGCGACGGGTAAAATCGTATGGGGTCCGAGACGGGGCCAAGGTTGAAAAGTCGCGAAGCGGCTTTTCAACCCTGGTTTACTTGATCAAACAATAGCTTTCTGGAATTGTGGCATTTTTCGGATGGTAATGAACCTTATGGCATGATCGAATGCTAATTTACTGGGTTCGCGGCACGATTGCCTGATTTGCATTGCGAATTTGCACAAAATCAAGTAATTCCGCTGAAAATCAAGTAATTCTCCCAAATCAATCAAGATCAAGTAAATCAAGTAATTTTATTTTACTTGATGCTTATTTAAGCAAACGGCGCAAAATAATTTTATATTTACTTGAAGATTTCGGATGCAAATAAAGTTGTTCAAGCAAATTTACTTGGTCTTTATATTACTTGATTCGTAACATCTCTAGTTTTGATCCCTTTAAAAAGGTTTAACATACCTCCAACCGCCACGGAGCGTCTCGTATCCTTGCGATGTCGAGTGATGAGGGCGCAAAATTCGGGTCGATCCAGCTTTTTGGCAGCCGTTTGTGGGTGAACGAGACGGCCGAGGCGTCCACCTAAACTGCTGCCTTCAAGAGGAGAAATTTAACCTGAATTGAATACCTGGATTTCCGGGTTAGAGTGCAGCTTACCCCCCAGCCGGCACCCAACCTTTGTATCTCGGCTTCCTGTTCATCTACAGGTGTGTAAAGCATACCAAAATGTTCGTCTTGCTCTGGCGAGTATTTTGGTATACTTTACACACCTGTAGATGCTCAGGTACCCGAGATACGATAGGTGGGGTCGCCCCCGGGGGGGGCGGCGGAAGGGTAAACTGCACTTAAAGTGCACGTTCAGGCACGTTGAACGTATATTGCCTATTGACACCTGCGTCTCCTTCTTTTCCAGTCTCTCGGCGTCAATAGGCAATATACGTTCAATATAAATATACGTCCCTGAACGTGCGCTTTAAGCCGATTTCCTGCTGAAATCTCACGCTTCGGACTTCGGATTTGGAGATTCCCACATTTCACGACTTACCTGTAACACCCTCGTTTCAGCGGCTCTATGAACGACCGGAAGCCATTGTTCGCCATACGGCTCATCCGGGCAGACGCCGGAACGGACGTGCAGCTTTTCGTCACGATTGGAAATGGCTAGGACCTGAAATTTGAGGTTGTAATATGCAGAATTTTCCAGAGTATTTTGCAGTCCAGCAAAAAAGTACGATACCTGATCATTGACCGTACAGCTCATCCTGCACATTGCCTCGCCGGCCTCGCGGAGCTTCGCGTAGTCGGGCGCCACGCTGTTCGAGCTCAGGGATATGGTGGTGGTGAAAATCTGAAAAACTTCCTAAATGGTCGCTGCTAGCTCCTGGCACTTCCAAAGGACTCTGCTACGCGATCGACCTTGTTTTTGATCTTTCGAAAATTGCTATGCTACGCCCGGCTTCCCCAATGGTCTCGGCTAGCATGCCCAGGCTCCAAACGCTCACTTTTCCCTCCACCGACACGATCCACAACGATTTGGCGCCCAGCGCGAATCCGGTGATTGGCAGGGAGGCCGGGAGGGAGATCTGAATTACCGTAGTAATCTCAAAAAATTATTTACCTCAATCCAGAGCTTCCCAGTCGGCGAATCCGACTTCATCCCGCCCCTCGAGTACAACCTCCCATCCCAAGTCAACGCCAGCAGACAACGGTGGGCTGGAGAGGTGCCAATCGCCGAAATGTCCTCCGGTTCGCCGTCTAAATCAAAGAATCTCTGCTAGCTTGCCCTCAGATTCGTACGCGGTCAAAAATATTGATAAAAAAGTGACCTCGTTTTCCCTAAAGAGCCACGGCTACCTTGCCCAGATTTTCCCGTTCAAATTTTATATTTCGGGCATGAACCTCGAAATTTAGCATTTTCCAAAAGGGCCGTTGCTAGCTTACCCAAAAATTTCTCCTCGAATCACCGATTTCTCCAAAAAATTACAAATTTAGAGGTTTTCCAAAAGAACCTCGGCCAGTTTTCCCAAAATTTTAGCGCCAAAAATTCGAGTTGCGTTTCGGTTCCGAATAACGCGCTATTTCTAGCGTTAAACGTTTAGCTACCTCACCTTTCCCGTAAATCCCCTCTATTTTCGCCCATCGCGTCCCCTCCGGGTTATTACGGCAGATACCCTCGCGGCGATACACCGAAGCGGCTTCCGAGAGGGCGTACAGGTCGAAACAGCCCTAAAATCTGATGTTTTTAGTATCTTTTATTTTATATATTGCTGCTTATTGTATATTATTGTAAGTTTATACTTTTATCACATATTTTTCGTATATTTTAATAGCTGGAATTCCCACCTCGCTTCCGGAAGCGAAATTCCCGGCGCAAATGTCGAGAAACGTGTGCTCCTGGCTGGTGACGGCCATCTAAAAAAATCGTTTTTTTTGTGTTTTATAAGCTGAATTGAAGCTTTTCTCAATCTAATAAATTAATGATTGAAATTCGCGACTAATTAAATATTTCATAGCGTTTTTCTAGCAGATTTTTCACTCAAAAAGAGGCGAAATTTTGACCCAGGTACGCCAAAAAAACAATACTAATTCGAAAGTTTATTAATAAACTTTTATTTGTAGCATTTCGCGTATTTTACCAGTTCTTTGCGCTTACAAACAGCTACTTTGCCGAATTTCCCGGCTGGCGCCGACCCCTGAAGATGCCCCCAGCCGGCCCCTCCCCACTCGACCCCGTGGCCTATCGGTTAGCGTGTGTGCGCCCCGCCCACACGACCCTGGTTCGACCCCCGCGTCCGGTGATGAATGACTTTTCCACCAAGATCTATGAATCCCACGTGATTTGACATTAGTACCCGTCTGAGGGCGCGCAATTCTTTTGGTTTTGAAATGAGGATCGGGATAGTTAGGCAAGTTGCAAATTTAAACGGTTTGAGGCGTTTTTCAATTTTTAATTTTCTATGGGAATAGAGTAAATTCTACTAGCAGAATTGAGCAAATTATGGCATCTTGAAGATTTGAAACAGTTGCTATCCGTACTTCCTGGCTTTTTCTCGCTTTTTGTATATTTTTAAGCTATTTTCAGTTTTCTAAACGATAGAGAAATTTTGGCTGAACAATTCAATTCGATGCGAAACCCGCGAATTGAATTTTAAAGGTTTTAAACAGTTATTCTACTTAGTTTTCGGCCTTTTCTCGCTTTTAGTAGATATTTTTATGCTATTTTCAGTTTTCTAAACGATAGAGAAATTTGACTGAACGCTAAAAAAGATTTCCTTCATCTTCCTCAATTTTCTGGTGATTTTTCTTTTTTTTTTTGTAAACCGACCTGAATCCAATGCTCTATCGCCACATATCGCATCGTGCGCTTAAAAAGCCGACGTCGCACCATCGACAGCTTCTTCTGCACCGGCTGATAGTCGACGCCGCTCCCAAAATTGAACGCGTACTCCCAACCCTAAATTGTAGTCAATGACGATTTTTGATACGTTTTATTAAGCAAAAACTGACTTACAACGCTTCACTTACCTCTTTATCATAGCGCCTTACGTCCTGGCCGACCATCCACGGCTCTTCCCAGCGCCATCCGTCAGATCTGAAAGTTTATATAACTCGTGCTCACCAAAATCTAGAATTTCTGGAGCTATCTATCTATTTGTGTTCCCACCTACCTCAATGAAAAACTCTCAAACGTCAGCCGTTTCGAGCCATCCTCATTCGAAAACATTGGCCGATCGGTGGGCAATGTTCGAGAAGACCAGCCGACGAACGGATACCATCGCTGAAAGGTTTTTTGGAGTTTTTCTAAACGTTGAGCGTTTTATAAAATACTTTTAAACCTTTTTCAGGTTTTTGCGAGGGTTTTTTTAGTTGAGACTCGCTATTTCTGGACGGGCTTTACGATTTCTACCTGATTCGAATACGTCGAAACGACCTGACGAATCGCCAAGTGGGTCTGCAGCACAAAAACGTAGATTTGGCCGGCGCGATCGATGCCGAAAATTACTCCTGGGGTAGCGGCAACCTGAAATAAGGTATTTTGAGCTTTCCTAGACCACAACTTTTGTGTTTAACTTTGTATTTGCTGAGTTTGCCTTACTACTTACTTTTGGTTTGTTGTGACGTGAATTTAGCGTCAAACATAGCTTGTGAACGTTTATATCAAAAGTAGGAGCTTTTTAACTATCGGAAGACGGGGCGGAAAGATTTTGTCGATGAATTTAAGCCCCGGAAACCTATTTTAAGCCACTTAATAACGTTAAATAACCAACAAAAACGACTATGCGGTTTTTAAAACATACTTTTAAGATATGTACTTGCTCGCCGCCGGCACCCGTCACCGGAAAATCCTCCCAGTCATAAATATCGTTAGCTTCTAAAACCTTCCTTTCAAATAACTATTTTAACCGTACCCGGCTTCTCCTTTGAACTAATCCGCTGCGGTGTCCCATCACTGGTCACCGCCCACAGATACCCGTGGTTCATTACTGCAATATAAAATTTAAAAGCCGGTAGATTGTAGTTTTCATTTCACCCAAAAGTCTGAAATCATGAAAACTTCTTGTTAAACTCAAATATATTTGTTTAATAACCTCTCCACTGATCTCTGTGCATTTATCCACTTTTCATCTATTAATAGAAATGTTTTATTCTGTCACTATCACGTGCGCTAGCCGACATAAATACAAGCTCGAAAAAAGAAAAGGAATAAAAACGAAGACAAAAGAAGTCACAGTTAGCAAAGGAGGGGTGAAACACACACTGGGAATGGATTGATCAAGTGCAAAATGTGGGGTTGTAATCGGGGAACAACGTGGAATGGATAGATGACAATGGGCTTGATGCTTCATTTGAGGAGGCGCGAGAGAACCGGAAGTAGGCGGGCTAAGGTAGGGGCAGCTATATTTGGCTTCTTGATCCATGTCGTCGTCTATTTGCCGCCCATCGACGCTTTGTTCGTCTAAAAAGGGGTAATTGAAGCCGCGATGCCTGAATCGAAATTTAATATCGTCTAGGGAAAATTAGCACTAAAAAGTAAAAGCATCTGAATAGGCTGAATACATAAGCTATTCTAGTTCGAGATAAAAAAGAAAAACCCACTTCCCATCAAATTAAATTACTAGCAACAGCTAAACCAAAAAAACTACCAACTCTAAACTTTAAAAAAAAGTCCTAAATTTTTTAGAGAGAGAAAATCAAAAAACGTCTACTTTAAAATTAAATGAATTAAAAGGCTACATACTACAAGATCTACAAAAAATTCCAGTAATAGCTGAAAACAAACAAAAAACCCACCTGCACAATACCGATGATCATGCCGAACAGCCCGATGGCTGATGCGAAAATTTCGATGATGAGGATCTTGACGAAGAGCGACGGGTTGGCCGCGTCGGCGAGCGCGGCTCCGGATCCGACGATTCCTGAAAAAGCGAGGGTAAATGATACGGAAAAAAAAGATTTTTAATTATCATTAGCAATAAAGTTGTAAAAATACTTTGGGAAATCAATAGAACGCTTTCAAAGCCTCGTAAAAAAAGACTGACCTACTGACAACCCGCAAACAAGGTTGGAGAAGCCGACAGTGAGGCCACCGCCGAAGATCATGTAGCCGGCCGCCAAGTTCTTGGCGATAATGTTCCGGCCGTCGGTCGTCAGAATGTCGAACTTCTCCCTTTCGAAGTCCTGAAAAAAATTAGGTTATGAAATCCCGCCAACAAGATCTAAAATTTCAAAGGAAGTTAGGAGCTATATTCGCTCTAGAATAAATTGTAGAAAAAGCACTATAGGATCGTTCAGGGAAAATAAACAGAGAATCCTCCAAAACTGCACCTGCATCTTGTTGACGAACACGAACGCCATGATGATACCGAAGATGGCGACGGCCTCGCAGAAAATGATGGACACAAGGTTCTTCGTTCGAATTCTAAACGCACATTAACGTCAAGCGCAAAAAATACCTTGGGGCTTTCACTCCTCCGCCGAGAATTGAGGATCCCGTGGTGAAAATGCCCCTGAAAAAAATGGCGTTTTACAACCAGACAAGATTTCTTGCGAATTTCGTAGAAAACCAAAAACCGACCATCCGGCGCCGATGACCGACATGGAGAGGGAGCAGGCGATGCCGAGACCGGCCCACATGTGCGGCGACGTCTCCGTCAAGAACCAGGCAATGTCGAAACGGTGGCCCTGCCCGGTGAGCATGTAGAAGAGGCCTGAAAATGGAAAATCAATATTTAGTCTATCTCTAGCGATTTTGCGCCGTTGTCAGTTCAAAAAAAAATCGATAAATTGACGAAAAACCGGTTCTCAGCCTCAATCTTTAAAAAATAATAGACTCACCTGTTCCTATCAAAATGGACCAGCCCAGGGCGAAGACGACCCCCGTCGTTTTGAGAATAGCGCCCGCCATCTGGAAAAGTGGATTAAAATCAAAGCGAAGAAAAAAATGAAGAAATAGAAAACAAAATATAGTCAAAGAGCAAGAACGGCTGTTAAATAAGAAACAGGTAAGGCTAGCCCGCTGTTACTCGACTTCCACGCGGTGATAAGAGGATCAAAGACCACGCCACAAATCGATAATTTCATTTCCAAGAGATATTCAGAGTCAGTGAAATGCCTAACGACTTTTAGCGCAAGTAGAGCCGAATGAGACCCTTTTCGCAACAGTTCTACCGACAAAGTCATAAACCTAAAGGCCAAAGACCAATCTTGAGATCGGTGCAATATCGCTAGAAGCCTGAAAAGAAAACGCCAACACGTCTTCAGATAAGCGAAACCCCCTTGAAAAACTTTTTTGGGTCACTCGATGACTACTGGGAAGGTCGAGTATGCTGGAGATCAGCTTTTGCTCCCGAGTCGATCTCGGCCCCCCGGAACACGCGGCGCACGCCAGGCAAGGGCTGCTGGCGCCGTTTAGGAACCGGCCACCCGGGCACACACATCGACATGGCATAAGCGGTCAGCTGGCCGGGTCGATGGGGTAAACTATCGGGGCCGTCTGTCTAGACTTTTGTGCTTGATCATGCCCAAAATGGCGTTTCTAAATGAATCGAATCCTAAAATTATAGACTTCTAGCTTCTCCTAAAGCCCCGAAAGGCTTTCGCGCACTGCAAAAACTACAACAGATTGGATTTCACCTTTCAGATTCCGGTTTTATAAAGAACCTCTAGACTGCATTGTAACCACATGCTAGCTAGAAAAGATATCTATAAACAAACGTTTTTAACTCTAAAAGCTAAAAGTATAAATGTCACGCATTTTCTTATTTGGGCCCTCAAAAATCTTGTAAAAAAAAACCCAAAACCACCAATCCAGGACTCAACTCCAACCTCCAACCAGTCCATGGTGGTACGGGCAGCTTGTTGATGCGCAGATTTGATCTAGAAGAGGTGGGTCCCCATTCCAGCGCCCGCGAAATTGCGAAATCCAGGAAGAGCTCGAGTCCGTGTCCCTGATCTCGTCGCCGGTGCGTGTTCTGCCGACGGCCTTGGCGAATCGACGCGGCTACATAGTAAGTGAACAAACTTAAAAAATTCTGTTAGAATAAGCCGAAAAATTTTTAATTTCGCAAATTTGAAAAGCAATAAATTTTGAAAATTGCAAAATCGACGTTCCGTGGTGCTCCACAGTACGATTTTTGTCAAGTGGAAACTAACGGAAACTTCGAATCAAAAAATTTTAAAAGTTTTCGATTTTTTTTAGGAAAATCACGAAATCAAACAAAGTAAATTTATCTTTTTTTTGACGAGGTAACCTCAAAGCGCTCCTTTTCCAGATGGAACGACGTCAACGGGAAACAAGCCTCGACGACGACGAGCCGGCGATGGTTCACGTCGACGCGAGCAATGGTACCCCGTTTCCAGAAACCTAATTTCAAATTAGAATCAGCCAGCTACAACCAGCCGCCGCCCGACCGGGATCCCGAGGACGACGAGACGGTGCTCGACAACACGCCGCCGATTTTCAGCAAATATGGCGACTTCCATACGATCGACTGGCAAAGAGATTTGGCCCGGGATCGAATGAGGTAGAGTTGGTATTGTCCAGGTTTTTATGGGCTTTTTAGGCACAAGCTGATTTCCGGAAAGCGTCGCGAGTGGCCGATAGGATTGTTTGAGGTGGGTTTGAAACCTTTGCGATGGTTTTTTTCAATGCTTATGTCGAAATACCCTTTTTAGAGCGCCTGGGACTCGGGAGCCGGTTGGCTATGCGTTCTTCTCGTCGGGCTGGCCGCCGGAGCAACAGCTGGAACCATCGACATTGCCGCCCGCTGGATGAGCGACCTGAAAAACGGAATCTGCGCCGACCGCTTCTGGCTGGACCGCGAGCACTGCTGCTGGTCGTCGAACTCGACGATTTACAAGGTTTTTAGAGCTTTTGTGATACAATCTTTTGTTTTAGGACTTCGACTGCCCGGCGTGGACGACCTGGCCCGAGATGTTCAACATCTACACGAAATCGCCATTCTACTACACGGTCGACTTCTTGTTTTACGTCGGATGGGCTATGCTGATGGCTGGAGTGGCGGTTTTGCTTGTCAAGGTGAGGGAAAGCTGTTCGGAGTTTTTGCAATATCGGAGTGCTAAGTTTTTTCTTAGGGCCCAAGGTATCTAATAGAACGATCAAGTTTGTTTCTAAGTTTTTGACTATTTCAAAACGTAAAAGCTGTACAAATTTTTATTAACAACACAAAAAATAGATTTTAGGAAAAACACTACTAATTTTCGACCAAAATTGGACTAAAAATTTTTTTCGCCTGAAATTAGTTGAATTACCTAAAACGGTATTAAGCTACTTACGATTTAGTTACAATGCATTTCTGGCCTTATGAGAAAAAATTTGCTCTCCCCGATAATGCCAAAGAATCTCGCGAAACTTTCCAGACGTCAAACTGACGCTGCAAAGCTAATTTTTTGATTCAGACATTCGCCCCGTACGCTTGCGGCTCGGGAATCCCGGAAGTGAAGTGCATCCTTTCCGGCTTCGTCATCCGCGGCTACCTCGGCAAGTGGACGTTCATCATCAAGTCGGTCAGCCTGATCCTCGTCACCTCGGCCGGCCTGTCTCTCGGAAAAGAAGGGCCGATGGTCCACTTGGCGTGCTGTATCGGCAACATCTTCTCGTATCTATTCCCGAAGTATGGCATGAACGAGGCGAAGAAGCGTGAAATTCTGTCTGCGAGTGCTGCTGCTGGAGTTTCCGTGGCCTTTGGGGCACCGATTGGCGGCGTTATGTTCAGGTATAAACGTTGATATATTGTTCCTTAGGATCCCATTTTTCTGATGTAGATAGATGGGTTCGGTTTTAATTTTTTTCAATTTTTGAATGTAAAAACACGACGATTTTCGATGGAGTAAATAACGAAAATTTTATTTTTTCTCTTAAAAACAGCCAATTTTGGACCGAAATATCGAATTTTCAAACTTTTTAATTTTGTACGGAAGTTCTAAAGTTCGTAGTTTTAACGATTTATGAATTTTATTACCTAAACTTTACCTTTTAGTCTCGAAGAGGCGTCCTACTACTTCCCGCTCAAAACGATGTGGCGCTCATTTTTCTGCGCGCTCGTCGCCGGCATCATCCTGCGCATCGTCAACCCGTTCGGCAGTGATCAGGCGAGTTTTAAGCTACGAAAATTAACGTAATTCCTTTTTCAGACCTCGCTCTTCCACGTCGACTACATGATGAAGTGGACGTTCTTCGAGCTGATCCCGTTCGCCATGCTGGGAATTTGGGGCGGAATCCTGGGCAGCATCTTCATCTACCTGAACCTGCGCTGGAGCCGCTTCCGCAAGACGAACCCGCTCATTGGCAGTACGTTTTGAAATCTGGGTTTCCAAGCTTCAAAAATCCTTTTAATTTTCGTTTTTTTTAGGAAATCACATCAACGAGGTGCTTCTCGTGACCCTGTTCACGTCGGTGATCTCCTACTTTAACCCGTACATGCGCAAAAATGGGTCCTCGTTGATTACACAGGTGATTTTTTCTCAAATTATGCATTTTGATGCGTTTTTTTCAGCTGTTCGATCGTTGCGGCCCGGAAGATTTCATGAGCGACCTGTGCGACTACCAGAACAAGACGGCCAGCAACATCAAGGTGGACGACAACTACCACACTGGCTCTTTTGGAACGGGCGTTCAGGTAATTTTTTTCAGTCTTAGCTGGTTTCATTTTGCGATAAAATTTTGTAGTTGAATTTAGTAGCATTTTCGAAGCAAAAATGGGAGGAAAAACAATACTAAAGAGTCTGTTTTAGACGGCCGTCTGGCAACTCATCATCGCCCTCATCTTCAAGATGGTCTTCACCGTGTTCACGTTTGGAATCAAGGTATTTTAGGCATCTAGCTTTGAACCTTTTCTAGATCCCCTGCGGCCTGTTCATCCCCAGCCTGGCGATGGGCGCGATCAGCGGCCGTCTACTTGGACTGTTGATGGAAGCCGTGACGAAGACAATTCAGGTAACTTTTTCTTGATTTTTACGATTTTTATAGATTTTTTTTTTATTCTCATATCAATTTGTTTTTGGAATTCAAAATCATTTTAAATTTTAAATTGATAATTTTATTTGAAAGCGCTTTTTCGATTTTAGGAAAATTTCTATTCTGTTCTCGAAATTTTAGATCCCCGACGGACATACAGAATGGTGGTCCTGTCAAATCGGCAAGGATTGCGTGATGCCCGGCCTCTACGCTATGGTTGGAGCAGCCGCAGTACTTGGCGGAGTTACAAGGTATTTCCGAAGCTTTTTAGCGTGAAATATGCATTTCAGAATGACCGTCTCCCTGGTGGTGATCATGTTCGAGCTGACGGGCAGCCTGGAGTTTATCGTGCCCACCATGGTGGCCGTCATGTTCGCCAAGTGGGTCGGCGACGCGACGCATAAACAGGTTTGTGGTTGTTATCTGCTCGAAGTGCTTACTGTTTAGGGCGTCTACGAGGCGCACATCGAGCTGAACGGCTACCCGTTCCTCGACAACAAGGGCGAGTACCCCTACTCGATCGTCGCCTCGCAAGTAAGCTTGCATCCATCTTTAGGGAAATTGCTGGCTTTTTGTTAAGTGTTGACTTTATATACTTTTTCAGGTAATGCGACCGCACAAGGGCGATAACGAGCTGTGCGTGATCACGCAGGACGGCATGACACTCGGCGATATGGAGGCTCTACTCCGAGAAACCGATTTCAACGGATATCCGGTTGTCGTCAGCAGATCGTCGATGTACTTGGTCGGATTCTGTACAAGGTATGGATTTCAGTTTCCATAAAATCCGCATTGTTAGAATTTAATTTTATTAAAGTTTTATTGCTTTTTATGATTAAACAATTTTAGGCGAGACCTCCAGCTGGCGCTGCACAGTGCCCGGAAAACACAGCCATACGTCGTCACCGCCTCGGTCGTCTACTTCACAACAAATGTCCCGGATTCGACGGTGGTTGGCGGACCGGCCCCGCTGCGGCTGCGGAAGCTTGTGGATTTGGTAACTTTTACGCACGAAAGTTTTGGATATCCTTATTTTAGGCTCCGATGACCATCACCGACCAGATGCCGATGGAGACCGTCATCGACATGTTCAGGAAATTGGGATTGAGACAGGTGCGTGTGATTTTTAGAGCTTTAACCGGCTAAACTCCAGATAACCCCCCCCAGCCGACCCCCACCTACCGTATCTCGGCTCCCTGTTCATCTACATGTGTGTAAAGTATACCAAAATACTCGCCAGAGCAAGACAAACATTTTGGTATACTTTACACACCTGTAGATGAACAGGGAGCCGAGATATAAAAGTTGGGTGCCGGCTGGGGGGGTTATCTGGAGTCTTACCCTTTAACCGTCCATAAGAATCCATGCTAGCCTGCCCAACCTGAGCGTTCCATTCCAGGTGCTCGTCACGAAAAGCGGCAAGGCCCTCGGCATCATCACCAAGAAGGACATGCTCGAGTTCATGCGCCACGGCGAGAACTACCCGGGAATCTCGAACCCGAATTTCCAGTAATTTAATATTTATTTTCTCACGTTGACATTGTTCCCCCCGTTTTGTGAATCTGCCCTCATCTACGAGCTTTTCCCCCGTTCTCTGATCGAGTAATAGGGTCCTAAAAAGTGAGTTTTGCCTGAAAAATCGATTCTTAAATTCATGGCCCCGTTACTCGACTGGTCTGCATCATTTTACCCTCGGCAATACCGGTCGTGTCGCCATATATTCTCCCCCGTTCACGGGGTTGGATCATTTTGTTGGTGCTTGCTGCATTCTCCCCATTTCCGCTGTTGCTTTCTAGAAAATGTTGGCTTCCCAGTCCCTTTAACGTCTTTCCCAATAATTAGCCATCAGCCCCTGCTGACCGTTTCCCCTTTAAAATTGTGATCAAAATGCCAAAAGACACACCTACCGTTTCCTGTGAAATACGGCCGCCCCTTTGCCTCGTTGTAATTTGTGAATTTTATAATTTTTTTTACTTTCTCTCGTTTTTTCACAACTTGAAACTAGTCCAGCCGGCCCATTTTTTTTGCCGGGGTGTCATAAACTTTTTTTCAAACTTTGGCTTGCGAGTTTTTGTGATACACTGGACATTTGAATACTGTTGACGTTTTATTGTGGTGTAGCAGGGATTCGCTAGACGGGGGGATGGGTCATTTAGCAGGCTCGGCATCAGGTATAGCGCGTGTTGTGCGTTACCAAAAATACGATAGCTCGGAGAACATAAGGTATAAGCAATTTTTTTTGAGAAATTGCAGCTATTTTTAGCGTTTAAAAGGCGCTTTTGCGTTATCGGGGGGAGGAACATTTTTTCTGTAGAAGCCTAAAAATGTCTGATCACTTAAACGAGAGTGTTTTAAATAAAATACCTCTATTTATTTCAACTAGAAAAAGTATCTAGAACTTTAAAAAATGTTTCAAAACGTTGAAATTTTGGAAAAAAAATCGGCCATTTGGCCCAAAAGAGGATATGTTTTACTATTTTGATAAAAATTTATAAATTTTTCATGTTTAGCAATAGTAAAAACCGTTTAGAAAAAAATTGCACTATGAATATTTGAAAAATTAGATCCTAGGAAAAAATTTAGTCCCCCAGATAATGCGAAAGAACTCTTCGTTTTGTCTCTTTGACAACAACAGTTCTAACAGCTTCCGGCGAGCTAGAAACCGTCCGGTGACCCCCAAAAAACCCCTGCAAATCGCCACAGCGTGGGACTTTGACCTTCCCACCCCCTCTAGCCAGTCAGCCACAACCAGCAATGGTCATTTCATTCTCGCCACTGCGATAAGTGTTTTTTCGGGGGCAGACGCTTTTCTTGGGGGGCATCAGCAAGAGGGCATCGCCCCCACCAATTTTTTGTGGGCGCCGCTGGGTTTGGGTTCCCACGGACCGGTGGGGTGATTTTCCGGCTCAAAATAGATCAGAAGACGGTATTTAAATCTTTCGAAATGGATGACAGCGTCCGGAAGGATCTCTGCTAGCTTGCCCTAGCTCGAGAAAGCTATGTATTTCGTTTAGTTTACATTTTAACAGCGCTCAAAGGAATGTTTTGCGATGATTTTGTTGGCTAAAGCTGACGTTAAAGACGCCTGCAAGACAAGTATCAGCCTGAATTTCCCAAAGATTTACTGCTAGCACGCCTCATCAGAATTAAAGGTGGTTTTACATGATTTTTGATGATTTTAGATAAATCGAAGCTAGAAGAAGCGTGAAGAGCAAGAAACGGCAAGAAAGTGCAGCCAAAATCCCGACTCGATCGCCTTTTTGTAGACGGGGTCAGCCGCTACGCCCGACTCTTATCGACACCCGTTCGACAGTAGTACACAATCTACCCATCCCCAGTGCAAAGCTTCGTGTATTTGATAAGCGGCCTGTAGTTCGGGTCGTCACCCCCAGGGGATCCCCATCATTTTTGGGTAGGCTGTGGATGGGGTGAGGTGTTTCTCGGATTTTCTCTCTATCTCTCTCTCGCTCTCTCTCTCTCTCTCTCTCGCTCTCTCTCGCCAACTTTGGCCTTCCGCTCCTCGACGATAAGCCTATACGCTGCTGACCTTTTCGGCAAACGAGCCCCCGCCTTTTTCTCCCTGGGCGACTACGGATTTGCTGACCGAATTACGAGACTCTCCGGCTCCTGTATTTTTCTATTTTTGGATACTGTAATCGGGGGTGTTGTTTAGGAGCACCGGCAAGCCCATCTTTTAAAGGGACTGGCAAGTCTATGACTATGGATGTCAACAATTTTTTTTCCGCCCAGCTACTCATAACGCGGCTGTCTTTCACGGCGTAATCGAATGCGCAGCCGCTGCGTAATCAACGCGTTGCGTGTCGCGGCGGCGATAAAATAGATCGGGATCCTGGGCTTGCCCATCACTTTAAAATTCCAAATTTTTCCGCGATCTCTGTCACTTTTTGCTTTTTCTTTGTGTACAAATTAGTGCCCCGGAATAATGAAATCAGCCCTGTTACGCTCGATTGAACAATTCGAAGGTCGATATGATTGTTGACCATTAGCGGGGGTATTTTAGGGTTGCAGAATTGCCTGACGGAGCCCGTAGTGAGACCCCATGTATTTTGTTTACAACCGACCACTTCGTAGTGCGGTGTGTGTGCGTCTTTCTGTCTTTTTGTCTGTCTGCCAATCCTTTTGCCCACACTAGCACAATCCACTCTTTCGCTTGTCGCCTGCATATCACACTGCATGCCTTTTTGCCGGGCCTAGCAACAGCTGAGTGTGTGGATTTTTTATTTTTAGCAGCGATTTTTGGGTGATTTTGTCGTCGAAAATTCAAGGATTAAGTCACGATTTTTAATATAATTGAATTCGCTTTAGAGACTGTTACACGAAATTCGGCGGCTTTTAGCGTGACAAAGGGCTCAAAACTAAATTTATTAGAATGTCAAGCTGTTCTTTGCAATGTTTACCTTTTTCTCCTCCTTCTTATACATTTTTTTTCATCGGCGCAAAGCTGCTTTACGTACTTTTGGCTCTTTACAAAAAATTTATTCCTACTTTTAACGGGTGCGGTTTTTTTGTCAGGCGCGTTTCCTTCCCAATGTCTTTAAAATCCCATAAGCCGTTTTTTTCGGTTACGGAATAGAAAATAATAAAAATCCCAAATGAGAAGCCAAGTCCACGAAGTCGCTCAAACCCGATTTGTTCGGCCCACATTCTAGGATTCTTCTTGCCAAAATAACCCTCGAAAAACTGGCTTTTCTCCGTGGCCTTTCCGAAGCGGTCCAAAGTACCAGGACCTTGCAAACCGAGCTTTTTTCATCACTCTCCTGCAGCGAATCTTTTGCTGTATCATCCGGGGGACCGATTTGGCCGATCAGTGGCGATAGCCGGGGGATAGCCCCGCAGTGTTTTTGTCTACTCCTTATCTCTCGCCACCGCCTTTATTGTCTCTTTATCCTCTGGGATAACACGCGAGAAACATGTGCCAGCCCCCACGCCGCATCGGTCAAACAGGTCAAATAGGGCCGCAGACCGCCGATTTCGTGAAATTGTGTTGACCGTTGGGGTGATGTGGGAAAATCACTTCTGATTATACCAATTTCTTAAATAGATGGTTGATTCGATTGACGGTGCTAAAAGCTCTAAGGTTCTAAAGAAAGCAGTAGTTTTTGTAAGCCAAAATTTTAGCCTTGCTTCTTCGAATTCACCCATTTAGTGATTCACAGAGACAACTTTAAATTGGGCCAATTTAGGATCCATAAAGCGGAGAAAATTAGTGTCCACTTCGCTTAAAAATGACTTCTTCTGATGCTAGAAAGTCCATTTGTTTCTATTTTTTTAATCTATTTTATTTTCTGAAATTTGCCACGTGTTTTCGTTGCATTCTAAGCCGATTTTTAGGGATGACCAAAGCCGCAGCGTCAAATCCACTTTCGGTCCAGGTATCGCGCTTCATTTTTACCACATAAAATGTTTTCCAGGTGGACAACGGCGGCCACCACTCAAACGGGTACACGAGGAAGGAGTCCGCCGCCCGCATGCCCTACCAGTGCGTTTATTTTTGAGCCGATTACCTATATAGCTAAAAAAATATTGCATAGAAAAAATCTATTTTGAGTTTTATCGCTTCCCCAAAAATCTCTGTTAGCTGTTGGTTGAATTATCCTTTAGAGGCCGCTGCTCGCAAGGTCTCCCGTCGACCGACTCGCAGGCGAGCTTTTCCTCGTGTGACGCCGATCGAGGCATCAATTTTGAGGTACATTTGCTATTTCTATAATTACGGAATTTTTCTAGGCTTCCCACGAATATGTGCCCCTCCATCAGAAGATCAAGAGGTAAAGCAGCGTCCTGAACATTTTCGACTTTTGAAGTTTTTCAGCCGAATCAACGACGGGACCCCGTTCTTCTCGCTCGAGTTCTTCCCGCCGCGAACCGCCAACGGTGTCGCCAACTTTTTCACGCGTCTCGACCGCTTCAACGAGGGCTCGCCGCTGTTTGTCGATATTACATGGCACATGAACTCGGATCCTTGTCAGTTTTACTGTCGAGAAACGGGTTTTGAGTTTTCTAGAAGCAGGTTTTTAGAATATGTGGTTTTAATAGATAAGAAACCGCAAAGATTTGGCTATAAGCTGCTCAAAATTTCATTAAATTTACTAAAAACCAAATCCAAAACCCTTTTTCAGCCAATGTCGACAAGGAAACGTCATCGACGTCGATCGCGCTGGGCTGTATGAACTATTGTCGGTGGGTTTTTATTTTTTTTAGAGAAATCGCGCCTTGATGTCATTTTTTTGTATGTTTTGAGCGGCTTTTTAAACTCTCTACTTATCGATTATTTTAGCTACTAACTTATCAAAATCACCAATTTCTCTTTCGCTGAAACGTCTCAATCTCGAATTCTAGCATGGAAACGATGTTGCACATGACCTGCGTCCAGTACGACAAGCCGACCACGATCAAGCACCTCGAGCAGTGCAAGAAGTACGGCATGAGAAATATCTTGGCGCTGAGGGGAGATCTGCCGATGCCAGGGGTAAGTTTTTTATTTTTCCTTCAATCGTTTGCATTTTAAAAATCTGGAAATTCATTTGGAGATTTCTTTAGACGGGCGCGAAACCGACGTACGACTACCGCGCGCTCGACATGATCCGCTGGATTCGCGAGGAGTTTGACGACTATTTTACGATCTGCTGCTCAGGTTCGATTTGGATTTTTTTCGGTCATACAACGTTTTTAGGTTACCCGGTCGGTCATCCAGAAGCGCAGTCCTATGAGGCGGATCTGCTGTACTTGAAGGCGAAGGTATGGTGCTTCGAAATCGGTTTACGTCCGTAGTGGTCAAGCGTACGAAATTGTCTGAATTAGTTTTTTTAACCGTTTTTGCTGGTTTATCGATTTAGTACTTTTAGAGCTTTTTATAACGTCTTTATGTTGCTAGTAGTGAAACGTAGTGACAAGTGGCCCTGAAATGACATAGAATTTTTTTCAGGTCGACGCCGGCGCGCAGTTCATCATCACCCAGCTGTTCTTCGAGGCCGAATCGTTCGAGAAGTTTGTGCGTGACTGTCGCGAGATTGGCATCCAATGCCCCATAATTCCGGGCATCATGCCGATTATGGTAAATTTCTGATCGAAGTGGATGAATCCTGGATTTTAGGGCTACGACTCGATCAGCCGTATCGCCAAGCTGTCACAGCTGAAGATCCCGGACTGGGTGCTCGCTGACCTCGAGTCGATCAGACATGACGATGACGCTGTGCGGAATTATGGAACGGTGGGTTGGAGACGGCGAGAAAGAGGGAGCGAGAGAGAGAGAGAGAGAGAGAAAGAGAGAGAGCGTCAGTGAGAGAGTTGGCAACTATATAAATCTTTCATTCTTAGGTGAAAGCCGTCGAAATGTGCCGTCGCTTGTTGCAAAACGGAACCGCGCCCTCGCTCCACCTTTACACGATGAACAGGGAGGGCACGTGTCGGTAAGTTTTGATCGACTTTTGAGGTCTTTTTGAAGTTTTTATTTCATTTTTACAGTTTTTTATTTTTGTCAAAACGTAATTGTCTTTCAGTGAAATCTTGCAAGAGCTCGGGTTGTGGCACCGTCGACCGATGCGCTCTTTGCCGTGGGTGCCGCATGGTGGCAACCATCCGGTCAGGTGTAAGGAAGATGTACGACCGATATTCTGGAGTGCACGCCCGAAGTCTTACATCTACAGAACTAGGGTTAGTTTGGATTTCTGACTGTCGCTCTTGCTCTCTCTCTCTCTCTCTCTCTCTCGCTGTCTCTCTCTTCTCCGTGACGATAGATTTTTGGTATTTTGGTAATTCCAGGATTGGGACGACTTCCCGAACGGCCGCTGGGGCAACGGCTCATCCCCGGCCTTCAACGACATCAAGGACTACTACCTGTTCCACATCCAAGGTACCGTGGTGGCTCCGTTTTTATTCTGTATTCGGGATTATGAAATTCAAAATTTAAAGGAAAACCTTTTTCAGGCGAATCCAACAAGGAGGAGCAGCTCAACAAGTTCGGCCGCCACATCGCCAGCATCGACGACGTGAAGCGCGTGTTCATCAACTTCCTCACCCAGGAGCCGAACGAGCACGGATTCGTGGTACGTTTTTTTCTTGATGCTGGTTTTAAGAAAGTTTTCCCACGAAACCATTATTGATTTTTCAGGTCCGCTCACTGCCCTGGAGCGAGCAAGAAAATGGCGTCGCCGAGGAGACGAGCATCATCAAGGTTGGTGGCGATTTTTCGAGCAGTTTTGAAGGTTTTTGAGCGGCCATTTTCCACGTGAAAATCGATGATTTATATTTTTTTCAGAACGAGCTGCTGTGGTGCAACGAGAACGGCATCTTCACCATCAACTCCCAACCTCCGGTGAATGGATCGCCATCGAATGACCCGATCGTCGGATGGGGAAAGCCCGGCGGATATTGCTACCAGAAAGTAGGGTTTTTCTATGGATCTCTCTTTCTTTCTTTCTTTCTGTCTCTCTCTCTCTCTCTCTCTCTCGCTCTCTCTCCCCCTCTCTCTCCCTCTCTCCCGCGTCTTTGCGAAAACTCACGAAAATCCTACTTTTCTAGGCCTACCTCGAATGCTTCATCTCCGCCGAACACTCCGCCACCCTGCAGCGCATCATCGACGCGTACGCGCCGCGCATCAACTACCACATCATCAACCACGATGTACGATTTATAAAACTTTATATTTATTCAGTTTTATTTCTAGGCCTCCGTCGACCTGACCAACTCCGAGAAGACGACCCCGATCGCCGTCACGTGGGGCGTGTTTCCGGGTTGCGAAATTGCGCAGCCGACCGTCGTCGACCCGATCACGTTCAGGGTGTGGAAGGACGAGGCGTATGAATTGTGGACGAATCAGTGGTGCGTGATTTTAGAGGCGTAGGGAGCTTCATCTTCATTTTCAGGGCCAACCTGTACCCGGAAGGCTCCGAGTCGCGCCAGATCATCGACGACATTCACGACACGTACCACCTGGTGACGCTCGTCGACAATGATTTCCAGGTGAGCGCGACCTTTCTCTCTCTCTGTCTCTCTCTCTCTCCCTCCCTCTCTCTCTCTCTCTCTCTCTAATTCTTTCTTTTTCCAGCAACCCTGCATCCTATTCGACATCCTCGAGCGCATGGTCACCGAAAGCCAGCAGACCAACGGCCACGCCCGAGCAGCTCGATGATTTTCATAATTTTATATTCAATTTTATCCTTTGTATTTGTTGTGTTTCTGCATCTTATATCCTGCCCCCATCATCCCTACATTCCCATTCCCCCCCGATTGTCATACCGGTTCGCGTAATAAACGTTTTTCGGTGGATGACTTCGAACGCTCGGGTATGCAATATTTATGCCATGGTTGGGACGGGCGCGCTGGCTTGTCATCGGCCATGTTCTGGGCCACAAAGTACCCGCAGAAAGCAGCAGAAATCGGGAATTTAATTGCGCCACCTTGCGCTTATCGACCGGCAAATTTTGTGCCCGACGGATCGCCACTACAAAAAGGCACAACGTTTTCCCGGCTGGTCCCGGCTGCTATCGGTGGCTCCTAAATCACCCTTGTTCTTACCGATGAAATGTAACGCCAGTATCGAATCCTTATCCGTTCGCGCCACTCACTTATAAGGTATTCTGTTTGAGCTCGGCTGTAATTGTGCACCATCATCAATAACTATTTTTCAGCCGTATACCGTTTTGGCACGTCTCTATGGATGTGTGCAGCTGTCACTTACACTTTGAGGGCCTCCCCGTGTTTAAAATCCTAATTCGCCTTGTTTAAATTCCTGATTCCCAGTAAAAACTGACGATGGCCTGGAGAGAGAGAGAGAGAGAGAGAGAGAGAGAGAGAGAGCGACAGAGAGAACGTGATAGCGCCGGAGCGCGATAGCCAGCAAGCGTGATCCCTTGCACAAAAGGTTCACTGTTAGGTTTGACGAAAAGTGCATGTATTATTTTGCACTATTGCGCCTTTAAAACAATTATTTGGTCAATCCCTCATGCAAACCCATTTTTGATCTTAGACTGGAGCGGAACCGCATATTGGTTCCTCCTTTTCGTCCCCAAACTTATTTCATTTGTATCTTTCACAAAGCCCCGCCAGTTTTTTGAATTCGATTAATGCGGACGGGCAGAGAAAGAACTGAAAGTTAAATATTGGCTTCACTAAAAGGCATTGAACTAGCTTCTCATGGTTCAATAAGTCTAATATTGCGTCTGAAAATAGCTACACCCAGCAACTAACTACGCTCCCAAAATAAGAAACGATCCCAACACTAAGTCGCCGGAAAACGGCAACGAACGTTTTTCCGGAATGCACAGTGTTGGGTGACATTTGTATTGATATGTCGCCATCAACCGGAAAAAGTCAAGTTGACTTATTTCCCTATTCCTGGCATATTTAAGGGTTCTGGCACGGTAAGGCATGATCGATTATTCCTCTAGCCATAGTTATTCCAGCCGAAACATGGGAACAATTTTTTTGAAAACCTTGTACGCCTCGATACGTATTCAAACATCAATTCGAGCGCTTTTCCCCGCATATCGCTTCTATCAGATTGGTAGATAAGTGCTGTCACAAGTTTTGAAACCCCTCCCCCCCCCCGTCCTGAATTTTTTTTCCAGACGAACGAACGCCGAACGGGTATCAGCCATCATGATGAGGTGTGCTTGCATACGCGTTATCGCGTGGCGCGTCGCTGTGCGTGGCGGCGCGTAGCAATCGATTGTGACCGATTTTTACGGCTTGACTATGTCATCAGGCCTTCGATTTCGCCGTATGAGATTTCGCGATTCTACTTCTGGGCTTTCATTTCAGCATTAGTGGATCCTTGCAGGGACAGCGCGATTGCGCGACTCGATTCCCCGACACCCAGTTTTTCTACAATAGTTCATTTCCGGAATATTTATTCTAGCGACTAGACCGAAAGTATTACCTAACGTTACCTCGAAAGGTCAAAATCTCGAAAATTGAAGGGATTAAGACGACATAGGTCGATCGGTTAGGCGGGGAAAGGGGGTATCTCTGCCTCTCTCGAGATGTTGATCTTCAAGGTGTTGATTTCGATAACGGATTTTCGAGCTAAAGTGCAGCTTATGCTTGCCTGACACTTCCGTACGTTTTGATCGGAGTGAGGAGGGGAGCGATAAGAATGTCTGTTGCAAGGGATCACCGGCGGGCAGGGCAGCGACAGCCCCTACGGTGTTGCGAAATTGGCTTCGACAGCCTGGTAAACATGATGACGTCAGAAATCCTGGATGCCTGATCGACGGGCTTTATTGGAGCCCCCCCCCCTGATAAGGATATGGCATCAACTTCGAAGCAAAATCGTACTATACCGTTAAAAAGCAGTGTTTGTGTTTGCAACTTCTGGTGTTGAAAAGCCGCGAAGCGGTTTTTGAACCTTGATTTGGTTTGAAAATTCGTGCGCTTGTACAGCTTGCCAAGCTAATTACTGTGCTAATCGTTGATAGTTCTAGGATTATGAAAGTGGGTGCTAATGCACTTGGGGGGGGGGGGGGGCAATCCGGATTTTGACTACAAGACGCTCCAAATGCCGTTTTTATACTCGAAGCCTCTGGAAAAGCCAAGCCAAGCCTAAGCCTAGACTTAGCTTCATACAGACGAGGCCTAAGCCTGACTTGAGCCAAGCTAAGCTTAGCGCTAAGCTAACCCCCAACCCCCACCCTAACTTCATTAGCAGCTGAAAGTGAAAATCGTGTGAAATGATCGATACGTTCGTTCGGTTTCAATTTTGACGACGACATTATCTCGTTCGACTTTCCTCTTTATGTATTCCCGGCCTATCACCCATTCAGTGTCCGTTATCGACGGGACAATCGCTCTTGCCGAAGTTGGAAGTGAGTGATGAGTGGGGAGGTAAGTGTACAAAACGATAGCGAATTGACGGCCGGCATTAGGAAGTTCTTTGTTTCTGACGCGCGGGCGATGGTTTTTCACATACAGAATGCTACGCCGAAAAATATTCGTTCAGCGTCAAAATCTCGCACTTGAAGTTAATCAAGATCATTGGATGGCGGAAACGCATGGGAATGAAGAACACCCGGACGCCCTGGGCGGAGCGGTCGGTGCAGCGCCGTTGGTCCCGGAAGAGCAACGATCCGCGCTGAAAGTCGGTTTTTAAAAAAACGCTAATTTAAGCGCGCTCTTACAGTCGGCAAGAAAAAATAGCACATCATTGAGCCAAGTGAACATCATTTCATTCTTTCAGTATAGCAGTAGCATTATTTCATCATCATTTCAGCACGCACCAGGCTTACCGTGCGAGATGGAGCTAGACAACGATGAGGCGTATTCTTCCCTCGAGAATTCGATCAATTCGTCGCAAGAAGGCCGCCCACCAACGGAGACTTTCGCGAGGCTCTTGAATGGGAGCTTCCGACCTGTGCCCACGGCCCCGCTGAGGCGTTCGGACTGCGGACCGGAGGTGGGGGAAAACTTTACCTGACGGCCAAAAAAACGTTTTCAACTTTGGGCTTGAATAACTTTTGACAGTGATATATTTGACCATGCGTTGCCATGCTAGAATTCCTAAATATATCAGCAAAGGGGATCAAACCAAAGTTTTTTTTGCGATTCTCGGCTACGTACGCATACAATGACGGCCGAAAGTGTGCCTTCCGTTGTCGGGTGTCGTTTGTATGCCTACGCCGCCCGAAAATCGAAAATTTCACCTCTCTGCTGATATTTTTAGGCATCTTCATCTAACAAAAGTTATTAAAGTCTAACAAGGAGTCGCATTTAGGTGCTTTTGGAGTTTCGGGATGGGACCTAGCTAGTTCGATAGAGAAAAAAAGTTCTGAGCAACATACCATTTTCAAAAAGTGCTGATCGATAAAGGTGTTTTAGAAAATTGAATTTAATTAAAAATGTTTCTGGGTATCGGCACCCTTGTGGTGATTTGAGGTGTGTTACGGCGGTCGAGGTCCCGTCCCGAAACTCCAAAAGCACCTAAAAGCGACTCCTTGTAAGTTGCGAACAATTTTTTGGTCGCCCTGTATATTTATTTGCCGTAGTGATCGTCTAATAAACTGGCTGAATTAATTCGGTTTCTCAGGCAGAATGCTTAGTTTTTGAGCAATAAAAAAACCAAAACATATCGTCGATCGCTTGACTTTGAGCTTTTCTTACTGACAAGGGAAGTGCACGACCGGCCCACGAGAAATCGACACGAGACATAGTGGATCTGATAGAATTGGACACGGGGATTCCGAATCTGTAATCAGAATTTGCTAAATAAAATGGAGAAAAAAAGTTATGAAGCTTCAAAGTTGGCCAAATCGCCCAAAATCGGACTTTTATGGGCCTGTAAAGGCCGGAATGGAATTTTGCCACACCCGATTAGTGCATCTTGTTCAGCAGAAAAAGCGCTTTCGAATGAGCTATCTTACTTCAAGTTTACGATGATTTCGCGAAAATCTCTTCTATGAACTTGACAGGCCATACCCTTGCCCGTGAATCCAAAAACTTTTTTCAGTGAATTGTTTGCAAATGCTACGTATTACAGCTCATTCGAAAGCGCTTTTTTTTGCTGAACAAGATGCACTAATTTTTTTCTCCTCAATTCCGTTCCGCCGGTTTTTACGGGCCCTTAAAGGTACGGTTTTTGGCGATTTGGCCAACTTTGAAGCTTCATAACTTTTTTCTCCGTTTTATTTAGCAAATTCTGATTACAGATTCGGAATCCCCGTGTCCGATTCTATCAGATCCACTATGTCTCGTGTCGATTTCTCGTGGGCCGGTCGTGCACTTCCCTTGTGAGCTTGTAGCAGGCTAACCAGTGCTCTTTTCTCAGACGACCCCGATGCGCGAAAAGAAAGGCGAGCAGCATGACGGGCCAAACCTCGGCCAGCCACCTAGTTTGGATGACGAGGAAGCGGACCTCGACAACTTTAGCATAAGCGAGTGGGACGCTCCAGAACCGGAAAACCGATGACTAGAGTGGTTGACTCGACGAATACAATCAGCTTTGACATTCGACTGCCTGAGGGAGTATTCGCCGGACTTGCAGGTTGGCAACTCTCTCTTTCTCTGTCTCTCTCTCTCTCTTCTTCCGCTTCTCTCTCACTCACTAATCTTATTCCTTTCAGGACCAAGTTGCTCGAGCCGCCAGTACCCCAGAAAATTACTGCCATGCGATAGAAGTGTCCGGCCAGAATGCGT